CCTCTCCTGAGAATCACCAGCGCGATTCATATAAATAGCCGCTTCCAAATTCTTGCTTGGAATTCCCCTTTCAACGATTGATTGCAAGACCTTTTCAAACCCATCAGCTGCCAACTTTCCACCGATTACCAAGAATTTTATCGAAGTCTTGGCAAAAGCATCATAGTAGAAGTGAAACGCAGTGGCGGAACTACAATACAAAAGGCTTTTTTTGGCAGTCATTCATCTGATTTGCAATGAAATTCTTGAAAGGTTCGCTGATCACTTGATTTTCTTTCAACAAATCAATTCTCACGTCAAAAAAAGCGTATTCTCTAACCACCGAGCGGAAATTCTCAACAAATTTTAGCAACAACTCGTTCGTGTCCACAGAGAGGTTACAATGTTTCACAGATTTCAATTGATTCAGAATCGCCGCGCTTTTGTCGCAAAATAGTTTGTGCCCAAAATGCTCTGCCCAAAATAAGTCACACGAGTGGATTCGTTTGAACAATGGAAAGTGGCGAGCGACATCAAGTCTGAGGTAGGAGTCATGGGGACGACGGGCGATCCAAATCGATTTATTCCCAGAGGAGAACCCGTACACGTGACGCCCAAAGACTATCCAGGGTGTCTGCAGCAGAATCGATCGAAATCCTGCATTCACCTTGACCAATTCAATCGCATCTTCCGGCTCCATTTGCTCCAAAACCTCCAGCTCTAGATCATAGCATAGCTTCTGCATGGGGAATGACGTCAACTTTCGCATTTCAAACGACATTTTGCTTGGCGTCCGTCGACCTGTAAAAGAAAAAAAACTATTAGATTTCCAAAACCGAGTCGGCAATTAAAAGCTTTTACAGGGTGTGTCATAATTAATCATACTCACTTGAATGTAACTCATTCAGAAAGTAAACGATTCCCACAAAAATTTTGAGTGTCTATTATCCAACCGATAGGCGTTCATAAATATTTTAAACAAGCTCTCAAGGTTGGGAGTCACATCACGCCTGGCACCATGAGTCACAAAACTAGATTGTCTGCCAGGTTGAGCGCGCCCCCCAAAGCTGAAAGTCCATTTAAAAAAATTGTGGACTGGATTAGATAATGGGCACCGCTACAGGAGACCCGCTCCAAATACACAAAAATTTTTGTGAAAATCGGTGATCATTTGACTGAGCTAGACCCTCTCCAGTGATCATGAGTGATTATGACGCACCCTGTAGACAAGATTCTCGACAATCTCTAGATAACTCGGCTTATCAACCATAATCAGAATGAACATGAGAAATTTCAACCCCGAGTTATCAAGACAGTAAAAAACCATTTTAAGCCATCTATGAATCCGAAAAAATTAGTTGTTTCATTTTTGAACGTAAAAACACAAACGTAAAACACAAAAAATGTGAAAGGCGAAAAGAAACTTAGTCTCATTAATGGTTTTCTATAAAGAAAACAAGGTGGTACAACGCGAGCTCAGCCACGATTCGCCGATCACTTCCCTCTACTACACTATCGACCATATCAGGCTAAACGTCGAATCGCAGAAGTTCGTGAGTTTGTTTTTGCGTTATGATCTAAATGCTGATGCTTTTGTACAGCCTTCTTTTGCTTCTGCACAGCTTTCTTTTGCTTTGAGTTGCCCGCTCTATAGGCAAGTAATATATACAACCGCTTTTTAACTTAAAGGAATGTACTTTTTCGGAAAAGCGCGGTAGAATTCAATTTTTTTTTGGTCAAAAATTAGCAAATTTCAAACTGCAACTTTACCCCTTCGAATCCAAACAAAATGTGCGACAGGTTAACTTCATTTTGTTTAACATCAGGGAGTTTCATTATTCTATCAATTTAGGCCTATCGTCAGTACCGACGGATTTGAGGTTCTACACGGCTCCGATACACAGCTCAGCACTGTCGCTTATAATGGAGAGTTTGAGAAGAAGCCGTTGATCGGGTAAGCTATGACTAAACTCGACGCCTTTGTTTGCCCGAGGTCAAGATAAATATCAAAGGTATAAACTAGGGCTACTGCTCGACGCTAAACAAAAGGAAAATGAAACAACAAAACACCTACAGGCCATTTTAGAAAGCTTCACAAAAGCAAAAACATTTAGATCAAAACCCCGAAAACAAACTCACAAACTTCTGCGATTCGGCTGATGGGCGATAGTGGAATGGAATATAGTGGGGTGGAGTGGTTGGCGTGTCATGGCTAAGCTCGCGTTGTACCCGAAATACGGTGGGTCAGCAGCATCATCTCTGCAAAAAAACATACAGGTTGGTAAAAGGTTTTTGTTATAAATACTAAAAACAGGAAAGAGTGAAAATAAAACAGGCACCCACTCGGGAGCAGCTTGTAGGATGAATGACTGTTCCGAAAGTGTCGCGCCCTTTTTACAAAATCATTAGCTGAATATCTTTTCCCTGAAGTTACTCAGCTAACTGGCGAAACACTCGCTTGCCAATGGGTAATAATAGATTTGCCAAAGGCTATAAAAAGAAAGAAAAGTTTTGCCAATGGTCTGAAGCCGGAGATACGGCGATTTTTGCATTTTCTTTTCTTGCTTTCAAGAGGAAACTCGAATGTTTTTTGACGCGTTTGGGTAGTAAAAAACTAAATAACTAAAACTAAAAACTTGCAAGTCTCGGACAACAAAGATCAAAATAAATTAGCTTTAACAAATACCTTTAAAAGCATACAATTTCACTCGTTCAAATCAACGCATTCTTTCAACGATTTATTTTAAAGTTTTTGGAAAATTGTAACAGGGCGAAATATAAAGGCGAGTTTACGCTTAGGCTTAGGCTTAGGCTTAGGCTTAGGCTTAGGCTTAGGCTTAGGCTTAGGCTTAGGCTTAGGCTTAGGCTTAGGCTTAGGCTCAGGCTTAGGGCTTAGACTTAGGCTTCAGACCATTTCTAGAGATTTTTTTCTAGAGAATACTAATGAAATAGTGGATTTTTTCTAATTCAAAGAAATTCTTTGATTATTTCAAGTTTTTATAAAGAAGAATTATGAAATCTTTGAAATTTGAAAGCTTTGATCTTTGATAAAGCTTTGATATGAAGCTTTGATCTTTATATTGTTTGAAATTTGAGGTAAATCAACTAATACGAGATTCTCATTAATAGCATTGACAGAATCGAGAAATCGTGCAATCTTTTTGAGAATGAAGAGATGAGACAATGTTTCTTTTTAAAGGGTGTGAAGGGGAGAGGAGGAGGAAGGGAGAAGAGAAAGAAGGGAGAAGAGGAGGAAGGGAAAAGAAAAGAAGTGTCGCGTGCGAAACGGTCATTCCCACTCCAAGAAAAAGCTGCAAAAAAGACGAAAATGGTCAAAAAGATTCAAAGAGAGCTTAAAAAGGCCCTATAGATTTCTATAGCTTATAGATGGAGTTCTACAAGAGCGACAAAAATAAATGAAACGCAATGAGTGTTTGTTATTCTTCTGATTTGGGATTTCTCTGCTCATTTCTGTTTCTCTTTAGTTCTCTGCTTATTTATCTTGAAATGAAAAATCGTCAAAAAGATCTTTAAAACTTTGGAAAAATTGGGTGAAAAGAGGAAATAAAAAGAGTAAAATTAAGAGAAAAGACGATTTTCTTTAATTTAAAACTCTAAAATTAAAAATTTCTTTACCTTTTCCATCATTTCACTCACCTTTGCCATTGATTCACTTCACTTTTCTTGATTGACGTTGGATGAAACATACGAATATTACATGAAGATAAGCCACTAGATTCTATTAACAAGGGAAGGTCAACTGGATCGGCTGGCCAAATGACATGAGCCATAGACATCTGACGTAAAATTTTACGCTGAATCCTAATCTGCTTTCCGTTTTTGCTAAATGGCCTTCTGTCAAAAGTTATAGGCCTGCAAAGTTTTGTTAGAAGTTTGAAAAATCAAACAGAGACCTTAAACCTGGACTTTTTAAAAGCGAAGGAGTTGCAGAGGTGGCCGAGTGGTAAATCGGCTAGGGTATAGGGCGAGACCTTCCGGGTTCAATGCCCTTGTCTTGTTTTGATCTTACTTTTTTGGATTTAAATGGTTGGAGTGTTTTTCTCCTCAAAACGGCTATTTTGGGGAATTTTTTACAAAACTAATTTTTAACATACAAATATAGAAAACAGAAGACTTAAACAAGACAATAGCAACAATAATTCAACAATTGTGACACTCGTCTATGAAATGGCAGAAGCATAGTTTGATATCACAACGAGCACATGACATAAAGGCTTGAGATGAACAAGTCACAGCGTGACAAACAATACCATCCACTGCAAAACATACATCGTTTGGAGTATCAAATGGGATGAGCGGGGCATCAAGGTAACCACATTTGATCCATGGATATTGGCGAAGGGGCTGAAAACATGGAGCACCAAATTGCGAATGCACTACCGAAATGATCTTGATTAAAGAATCTCGTGAATGGAAGGAAAAGTTCAAATCGTTTGCAATCAAGTGACTCACGATTCTCTTTATCATCTGTTCAACCGGCCGGAAGAAATATACATCCATAGGTTGGATAAGGTTGGTTGTTCCTGGCGGTATATTTTCGATTTGCAGACTATATCCTTGAGGTAACGCTTGTTGGATAAACTGATGGTTCTTAAAGGATGTCCAAGAATCCAAGAGAAGTGTCTATTGTTTAGGAGCATTCCCTGCACAAGCTACTTTGTTGAAGTAGTCGATGACATGAGCCTTCGTCATAATATGTGAGACTCCTGCCTCAACGACAAGATTTTTTTGGAGAAAAATGTCCCTTTTTGGGGAAAATTCCCTTCGTTTCTGGAATTACAACAAACGCCGTATCAAGAAGCATAGCATCCGCAAAAGTGTAGGCATATAGGTAAGGCTATGTGTAAGAGAGTTTTTACTTTGAACCAATCTCTCAACTGTTTTTTCATCTTTAAACGCAAGGGCTCTCATTCCATGCAGTTCGCGACATATTCCCGTTTGACCGGAATTAGCAAAAACGGCTGGACCAGCTTTCTTGATATTGTCATGAATTCTCTTCACAAATATGTCGCCTTCAATTCGAATTTTATCTTGATCCCGGATACTCTTCTTTGAAACGAACTTGGTAATCCTTCTGGAACAGATTTTCATACTCCTTTTAAAACTCTGAATCCACGTATGGGTATGGGATACTTTAAAGTTCTCAACTGGAGTCTGAAGAGATCCATTAATTCTAATACCTATTTGGCGCAAATCATAATCGTGAAGCGCTATTCCTTCCATTAACTTTTTCTCCACATCTTCGGCCAAAATATCTCGAATCCTCTTCAGTTGGCAGATCCTGTTCATTTTTGCCGCTTGATTTTTTTCAAAAACGCGAAGCCGATTCATGTGGTCTTTAGTCTTTATCCAGCGAAATCTGGACGTCATACTACTCAAAGTTCGCATGCCTTTCTGACTTGAGCGAAGATGGGAAATTGCTGCGTGTAATTGTTTTGTTGATATGAGGGTTCCATCAAAATTTACCATTGAATCTGCTGCAATTAAGGCACTTTGTGGGGTGTCGTCAATATCCCAGCATTCGTCGTCAGTATTCATGCCACTCTCCTCTTCAAATTCTTCCTCGCTCTCAACAATCATACTTCCGCATTTCGCTTCCTGAAGAATTCGCACAAAATAATCGGCAATTTTCTGCTCCTTTCCATTCAAAGCCCGTTGCCGTGAAGCCGTCTTAAACTCGTCCACAAGACGTCTCACAATCATTCCTTCATCGAACTCCATCTAAAACTATTTATTTTCAAAAACTATAAATTTGAAACGTTCAAAAAATGTTTAAAACTTTTCAAAATCAAAAATGTATGTAGCGCGACGGAGATATGGCTCGCTTCCCGGCATGGGGACTGACACCGTTAATTATTTAGGCAATCTAATGTAAACGGGTTGGGCTCCCTATGTATATTTTTCGTGTGCCAAAATATGTACGATTGTGTGCGGAGACAAGGAGCCACGCAGAACATGACAAAAAAGATGAATGAAAAGACAAGGGAATTGAACCCGTAAGGTCTCGCCCTATACCCTAGCCGATTTACCACTCGGCCACCTCTGCACCTCTTTCGCTTCTAAAAAGTCCGGGTTTAAGGTCTCTGTTTGATTTTTCAAACTTCTAACAAAACTTTGCAGGCCTATAACTTTTGACAGAAGGCCATTTAGCAAAAACGGAAAGCAGATTCGGATTCAGCGTAAAATTTTACGTCAGATGTCTATGGCTCATGTCATTTGGCCAGCCGATCCAGTTGACCTTCCCTTGTAAGTATAAGTTATCTAAAACAGTCTACTGGGCGCGGACGGGTCCGCACAAATAGCAGACAGGCAGCTGATCTTTTACAGATCTTTCCCGTGATTCCGAGACGAGATATGGCTTCTATTCTGGGCTCGGGATTAGATTAGTCCAATTTCAGGATTCGCAATCGATTGGGTTGGCAGAGAGATCTACTTACTGAATCGACAAGAGCGAGCGATCCACGTTTGCGAACTGGACGGGCGACTCTGCAAAACACTCATCCTCGACAGAATCCAACAGCCGAAAGCGATCGTCGTTCACCCGCAAAAGGTAAAAAGCTTCCTGTAGTTTCTGTAGGATCTATAGAATCTGTAGAATCTATAGAATCTAGAGAATCTATAGGATCTATAGGGTCTCTAGAATCTAGAAGATCTCTAGAATCTATAGGATCTATAGGGTCTCTAAGATCTAGAGGATCTCTGGAATCTAAAGGATCTCTGAAATCTAAAGGATCTCTGAGATCTATAGGATCTAGATGGCCCATAGGATCTGTAGAATCTATAGATTCTAAGAGATCTATAGGATCTCCAGGGTCTTTGGGTTCTCTAGGTTCTATAGGATCTAGAAGATCTCTAGAATCTATAGGATCTATAGGGTCTCTAAGATCTAGAGGATCTCTGAGTTCTATAGGATCTAGATGGCCCATAGGATCTATAGAACCTATAGGACCTGGAGGATCTTTAAGGTCTATAGGTTCTATAGGTTTTATTGGACCTATAGGATCTATAGAGCCTATAGGATCTAGAGGATTTATAAGATCTTTAGGATCTATAGGTTCTATAGGATCTAGAGGATCTATAGAACCCAGGAGCCTAGAACTAGGGTCAAAGTAACACAGAAAAAAACGATGAAAAGCTTATCTCTACCTTCTAGGGTTATCTCTACCTCACCGAATGGAGTCTTCAATCATACATTGGCCGAATGGCGCTTGATGGATCGCCGGACAAAGCTGATCCCATTGAAAAGGTATAGAAAAGAATTTAAAAATGTGTCTAAAGATCTTTATGATCTGTTTATAGAGCTCCAACCTGTGTTTGAAGAGTTTTAGGATCTGTCTCCAGATCTTGAAGAGCTTCAAGATCTGTCTGGAGATCTTAAAGGGCTTCAAGATGCGACTAAAGGCCCTCAAAAGCTCTAGCTGTTAGCTTCTGACCTCTTTTGTGCCGTGATCCCCTGTTGTTTTTGCAGAAATGATGACTGCGGCGATGCATCGGATGAGATCGGTTGCAATAAACACAATGGAAAGACTTGTGAAAGTCATGGCGACAATGGAGGATGCAAACATTTCTTCACGGATATCAGTGATGGGTAAGTGATGTGCCTTGCTCCCAAATCATCACCTACTTTCTGCCCCTACACACATGCTTTCTATTGCACTAAAGGCCTCATTCTTCTTATTGAATGAGAGCTTTGAGGCTCTTCTATCTTTCAAATTCTTGCGCTCAATTCCTTGATCTCTAATTCTTAGGCTCTAATTCTTCAACTCCAAGCTTTGCCTTTTCTTGTCCTCAAATTCCTGGCATTAAATCCTTCACCTCACTTCCTTTCCTTTAATTCCTTGATCTCAAGTTCCTGAGCTCTAATTCTTGCCCTCAAATTACTGACCTCAATTCCTTGCCCTCAATTCCTGCCCCTTAATTCCTGGCTTCAATTCCTTGCCCTCAGCTCCATGCCCTCAATTCCTTCCCTCGCCTTCCTCACCTAAATTCCTTCCCCTCAATGCCTTCCCTCAACTCCTTGCCCCCAATTTCATTTCTTCTGCTATAACAGTGATTTCAGTTACTACTGTCATTGCCGTGATGGCTTCCAACCGGATCCCCAGAATCCTCTCGACTGTATCGATGTGGATGAGTGCAAAGGAAATAACACTTGTATTCAATTGTGTCTCAACACAAAAGGATCATATCTTTGTCGATCCACGGATAATTATGAAAACAAGGTGGTTGTCGGAGCGATGACTGGAAAAGATTGTCGAGCGAAGGGCGAACCGGCTGAGGTGAGGCTAGGGAAGTTGAGCTCACCGATCATAGCTCGTCGTGTATAATCGCTGATGATAGACAGCCTGAGACTGAACATAAGGCATAAAGCCGCACTCAGACGGCAATGGGATAAGTGTTAGGGCGGCTGATTGGTGAAGCGTTGGCGCAGTGAGGGAGAGATCACCGGGATCCAAGAGATCGGGATCCAAGAGATCGACCGGGATCCAAGAGATCGGGCGGGATCCAAGAGATCGGCCGGGATCCAGGGATTGGGCGGGATCCAAGAGATCGGCCGGGATCCAAGAGATCGACCGGGATCCAAGAGATCGCGCAAGATCGGAGAGATCGGGCGGAATCCAAGATATCGCGCGGCAAGAAGAGATCATAGCTGATCGTGTATAATCGCTGATGATCCAAGAGATCACCGGGATCCAAGAGATCGGCCGGGATCCAAGAGATCGCGCAGCAAGCGAGAGATCGCGCAATTAGGAAGAAATCACGAGGAAGCGAGAGATCGCGAGATAGGCGAAAGATCGCGCGGTAAGGGAGAAAGAGTAAAGAAAGATTGATTGATTTGTGAAGGAGTAAAAGAAGAGATTTTTCAAGAACTGAAGCAAGTGATTTGTCAAAAACTAAAGGAAATGACTTATGAAGAAGTAAAGAAAAAGGTTTCTCGACTATGAGAAGTCCAAACGAGTCTCGCTTCGAAGAATCGAACGTAAACTATTCAAAAAAAGTGACTCAAACCCCCTAAACATTGTTGGTCTTGGATTCCAAGAAATTCGAATTTAAAGCTTGATTTTTTTGAATCTAGAACAAAGAGAAGAAGGCATAAGCAGAGATTTAAAAGAGCATTTTCTAGGACAGCATTTACTCACCTACTTCAATGGCTTTGGTGAGGGAAAAGACAATCGAATCTTCTGGGCTGATCCCAAATTCAAGTTTATTGAAAATTTATTGATTTTATTCAAAAAAAAGACTATTCTAGACGTGTGTTCTCAATTCTGCCTGATGGCACTGATCGACAAATGGTTGTACAAGCCACTGAGAAAGATGATAAAGCGATTCCGTTTGCGATTGATGTTTTTGAGAATCATCTTTACTGGGCTTCCAAGGAGACCAAAACTCTTTATGTACAGGTGGGTGTAAATTCTGAGCTTACTAGTAAGACGACAAGGTACTCAGGAAGACAATAGGACACTCAGGAAGACAGTAGGACACTACTAAGACAGCAGACTCTCTAGTAAGAGAGCAAGGCACTCAGTAAGACACTCAGTAAGGTCTAAGGTTTATAAGGGACACGAGTCCGTCTAGTTCATTGGTAGAGAGTTCGACCAGTATGCGATTGCGGTAAGAGAATTCTTTAATGGATTGAAAATTCTTTAATCGATTGATTGATGGAATTGATAAATAAAGTAATGCTTGTGATTTAACATGAGATTTTCTTGAGCAGAAATAGTTTACAGTTTTAAACTGACCGTATTTCCTCTAATACCCCGACTCAATTTGAAAGCTTCGTTCTCAGCTCCATTTTGAGATATTTCTATGTTCAAGATACCAAAAGATAGCCCTTAATATCTTCTTTCTTTTGGTATATTACACACAGAAATACCTCAAAATGGGGCTGAGAACGAAACCTCCAAAGTTGGTCAACGGGGGAGGGATCTCGGGACTTTGGACCAACTTTGGACGCCTCGCTCTCAGCCCCATTTTGAGATATTTCTATGTTTAAGATATCAAAAGATAGAAGATATTAAGGGATATCTTTTGATATATTAACCATAGAAATATCACAAAATGGCGCTGAAAACGAAGCGTTCAAAGTTCATCAGGGAGGCGGAGGTTTATTAGAGGAAATACGGTAGCTTTAAGAGTCAAGTTTCACTTTTAATAAGATAAAACTGGCTAAACTGAATCTAATTCATGAATCCCCTTTTCAATTATCGTCGCAAAAAGGTTAGCACAAAATAATTACGTTAGAAAATACTAAAACACTCAGCCTATCTGTATTCTCTATTTAAATTGTGGAACATTTTATACGCGCTCTGCCCCCTTTGCCATTGGCAATCTAACTTTGAGGCGTCCAAAGTTGGTCACCGGAGGAGGGGTCTCGGGATTTTGGACGAACTTTGTACGCTTCGTTCTCAGCTCCATTTTGAGCCATTTCTATGTTTAAGGTACCAAAAGAAAGAAGATATTAAGAGCTATCTTTTGGTATCTTAAACATAGAAATATCTCTAAATGGAGCTGAGAACGAAGCGTTCAAAGTTCCTCTGATACGTTCAATTTTTCTGTTTTTTAAAAGGCACCCATTTTAGACAAACTACCGTGATCTTTACGCCAATTTTCACTCGATCAGCTCAATTTTGGACAGATTCGATAAGGGAATCAAGCGAATGATGCAAAAATTGGGCCAATCGAGTGGAAATTGACCTGGTGGGATTACGGTAGTTTTACAAAATATAGAAAATGAAAATTTTTGAAAATGGTATCAAAAAGTACCAAAAGTACCAGAAAAGAGTCCAAAAAATATCAAAAAGAGTACCAAAAATTATTAAAGATAGCAAAAAGTACCAAAAAGTACCAAAAAGTACCAAAAGTATCAAGAAGAGTACCAAAAAGAGTACCAAAAGTATCAAAAAGTACCAAGAATAGTACTAAAAGTACCAAACAGAGTATCAAAAGTACCAAGGATTTGTGGTTACAAAATGAAAAAGCAAGCCCAAAAAGAACATTTGTTGAGAGAAAAAACTTTCGAGTAACTCTCGGCTAAGAAAATAGGGAAAAGCGGGGACTTTCCCGTCCGTCTTTTTTTTGTGTGTCCCCCGAATAATTCACGAGGCAATTCTCCGCCCGATTTTCTCCACTCTCCGATCTCGATTACAATTTGGAGAGGGGGATTTCATGGATGAAGCTACCAAAATACCAAAAAAGTACCAAAGATACCAAAAAAGTACCGAAAAAGTACCAAAAAAGTGCCAAAGATACCAAAAAAGTATCAAAAATACCAAAAAAAGGGTACTTTGTACTTTCAGAGCTCGAAAATGTAGAAACAAATCATCTGTTTCTTCACAAATCACAATTCTTTCGGATTTCTTCGCGATGATTTGCATCGTGAGAAAGGAAAGAGCACGATACACCAAAAAGGTTTTGTTTACGCTTTTTTCGATCACAAAATACACCACAGAATCATTTCCTCAATAACAATCAATAACAATAGCAATTTATCAATTAAAAATTGGATTTTTCAAATTAAAACTGAGTTTTTTCAAATTAAAACTGAGTTTTTACAATTTAAGACTAAGATTTTACATTTTAAAACCCATTTACAATCTATTTTGATCATCAAAATCAAGAAAAATACGTTTATAGCAATATAGAAAAGATTGAGTGAAAAAAAATATCAAAGTTTCACTTTCGATACAGAAAAAGAGAAACCTTTCAAATTAATACCTTACTGATCGCTATTAATGCACATATATGTTACGCTTGAATCCGTTCATATTCTTTGTAATTTTTTATTGAATAGTTATTGCTTTAATTCTTTTTGTTTTGGATGGAACATTTTTTAGGCTACATTTTGACATATAATAGATAGCAAAATCTCCTAAGAACGAGAAAAATAAGCTTAACCAATCGTCTCGACCCCAAGGAACGTTCAAAGGTTTTCTTGTTAATTTAAAAAGATATTGACATGTATTATATGTCAAAATGTAGCCAAGAAAATGTTCTATTCAAAACAAAGAGAATTAAAGCAATAGCTATTCAGTAAAAATTTTTTCAGTAAAAAAACACAAAGAATTTGATCCGATCTGGGCGTCTGATCGGATTATATCAATATTTTATTTATGTAAGCATGAAAAGTGACAGTTTAAATGACTAAATGACACACAGTACTTATTGAACACAAATTGTTGAAATTGAAAATAACTCTAATATGAATTTACATGAAGCCAAGAGAAAATAAAATTAAAGGAAAATGAGACAATTGAAGCGAAAGCGTGGAACGGATAGAAGTCAAACTAACCGACTAAATTTAGGATTTTTGCCTAGTAAGCAAATGTATAACTGTTTTGGCAACAAATTCCAAATTCTAGAAACTCGATTGGGAAAGAAATGGAGGGAAGTACCACTTGAGGACCTGGTGGAAAGAAGTCAAAATTTGGGGTCATGCCTGCCAAACCTTTTTGATAAAGTCAGAAGCGATTTCAATTTAGGATGATAAATAGAGGAATGAAGAATACGATAAGCGAGGCAGAGCGAGGCAAAAACAAATACAGGGTGGCCCACAATTATAGCGCTACACTTTAGAGGGCCTAGATTGGTCAAATTTTGAGAGCAATCTTGTCAAAATCTCGTTGATATTGAATTTATTATGTTAATGAACGAAATTTCCCATGCTCTACGCGGTTTGAGTGCAAAAATTCTTGAAAAATGTCACCAAAACCTACTGAAAATGGTCGTGTTTTCATTCCGTTCTGTAGTCTGTACGCATCAAATTTACTCTTGATTCCTGAAAATTAAAACATTCTCTGATAAGAAATTTTTGAGCTTTAACCATATTCATAACCCATTAAACTTACTCGACTTTGAGTAAAGCACTCTTCCATTTCTTGCAACAATCTTTGGCACAGCTTTGAGCTTGTTGAATTTACCCAACGCACCTCGGATTTTGCTAAAGCCATTGCACATTAGGATATCATCCTGATGACTAACTTTGCATAGTTGATATCACCGCGTATAAAGTACGATCCTTGATCTCGCAGCAGAGAATTTGACGGTCCAAGATGGGAAAAATGAACACCTAAAATAGTTTAGGGATTAAAAATTTTATAAGCTTTACCTCCAATCTCAGTCTAATCCCAACGAAAGAAGAGCGCCAGCTCGGCGTATTATAAAAGCATGTTTGACCCGATTGCGCAACAGACCACCCACATCCTCATTAAATCAATACCGATTTGTCTATAATGAATCCACTCACCGAAACACCACGCGCAGCAAAGTGTTCGAATTTTGGCCACCATACTCTCGAATTACCCTGTTCCCCATTTGAACTTCAGCTGGCAAATATATCAATCTGGAAGGTGTCACCACCACAACCTAAAATAGGCTGTTTACCGTATTTCTTTTCTCATCACAAGCTTTCTCAGCACTTTCATATATCCGTCTTTTTTGAGCTGCTCGGTCAGTTCCTGACGCTCTGCCGGATGATTTTGCCGGACAAGGTCAAAATTTATATTAATAAATAGATTATTAAATCATTACCAAATAATAAAAGGTATCATGGATAGAGCAATTCACATGAAAAGTCTCGATTGAATCCACCAGATCTTCCAAGGCGTCATTCACAGGTCATTTCACCTTCTAAAGGAAACATTTTGAATTTAGATAAGATTAAACCTTTGGTGTGGATGCGAATTCTTTTGCAACACTACTTAGAAACTTCTCGTAAAGACAATGACCTAGCAAAAGACGATCCTGAACACTGATTTAAGCATGTTAAAATTTTAACGAACTTTTGCTGGAGCTCCACGCAAAAGAACTGCTTCGATCAAATATCGCGCAATTTAAACAGATCATCTTGATCATCTTTAGCAGCCTAAAAATGTCGTTAGCTTGAGTCGGATCTGATCCCAATCTTTTAAGGTTAAAAATCACCTGCTTTAATATTTGAATGTAGTTATCTCTATCATGTTTCACATAGTCGATCGCTTCCAAATCTCTAAATCATTATCGTTTAGGATCTATTTAAAACTTAAAAGACGTCAAAAGATAAGCACTACCACCGTAAATTAGGCCCAGGCTTGAGGATCTTCAAGACAAGTTGAATCGGAGCCACGTAAAGCGTAATGCCTCCAATATAATGAAGACGGCTTAACAAGGTGTACATTTGTTTGTGCGTCCAACTTCGGGCCTGAATGAATATTTAAAATAGTAAAAAGCAATACCGAAAAAAGCAACGGAGAACACCGGCGAATCGGCAATGCAATCGTTATCTCCATTATTTCTGTGAAACGGATGATCATCATAAGCCCCGATCATCATAAAATCAACGTACATCCGTCTCACGTTTTTGTAAGGCAACTAAAAATTTGTCATTTTAAAATAATAAGTAAAGCCAACCCGGAGTGTATAAGTTACAGACTTTTGCCGAAATTTATCATTTTTCCAACTGTCCGCAATGAAGTTGTCATCAAACCCTAAAAATATTTTATGACTAAAACCACTAGTTCAGGATCACTTTCAAACTCGAAGTTGTTGAACTTGAAATAGGCATTATTCACTTCGTCGTGAATAAATTCCGCGGTGATTGGATTTAGATGCTCGGATAGCTTGCTGATATCATCGGGCTAATCCATTTGACTGATCCAAACTTAAAAGAAACCATAGTCGCCGTGTAAAAATTGCCGCCGACGAAAGTCTCAACTTTAACCTAATATTCTGTTCAAGGCTACTTTTATATTTCAAAACTTCAAGCCAAGTCAAGTCAAGTTCAATAAAGCAATGAAATGTCTCCTGGTGGTATAGTAGTTCGGGGGGGAGACCGTGTGCATTCGTCTCTATTGCGACAGACCGCACTAATTTCTGCTTCTAAGGTCCTTCATTTAGAATCTATTTAAGCTTTAGTAAAAGTTCTTAAAAGTTCTAGTGGAAAGTTCGAAAAAACTCGTCTTTCCAAACTGTCCCCGCCCCTCCGAACCACTACTATAGCGCCTCTTTCCTCTCCTGTGGGGATACTCAAAATTAAGGCCAAGCCATAAAAAAATTGGCAAGGCTTAACGTTTTTGAAGCATCTTGTCCAATATGAAAACGAACCTTCAAATGTTTAATGTTTTCCCGTGGTGCCGGGTTGTCGATTTGTCTCAAACAGGTAGACACCTTTGTGCATCATTTCTGCTCTCACGAAAATTCCGCGCTCTCACGTACGATGCACAACGAGACGAGCAATTGGCACAAGTAGATTCGTTCCGAGAGATTTCCTGAAACGTTCAAACTGTCAAAAGTGATTATCGAGCCTGCTGATGCCAACTTTGATAAATTTCCAGCTTCCAGTACCTGTATATTCTTTCGCCGAGCAACACAAAATCCTCCATCGGTCATCATCAAATCGACGCCAATTCCTTCTGTTCCTCGTTTCACCAAATCCTCAAACGAGTCGATAGCCGCCGCCGATTTCGTCACATCACCGTCACTAAAGTTGCACTGTTAATCAGGCAATTGTTTGGTGATTCCATCAAATATTTTGCTCTAAACTTACTCATGTCTTCCCTAATAGGGTTCGTAGAAAAGCGGAGACGAGGCGAGAAATTTTGAAAGTTTCAAGTCGTTGGGACCTAAACAAAAACAATACAATCGACTTTTTGGACTATTGTTAAACCCTAGGTAACTCGAAAACTTAAGCTTTAAAGTGAATCCGAAGCCCTTTGCGTTGTGTAAAAATTCTTAGTCAATTAACAACAATCCAATGCGCCAGAAGGTGTGTGTTTGCTTATTTGAGCAATAAAGTAAACTCTTTAATCCAAGCCTAATGTAAGGAAAATACCTAATTGTAAGTAGTATTCATATATGGCCCAAGTACAGGTTTTTTCAGATTCAAAAAGTATCTAATATACTTTAAAAATGTTTATTTGATAGGTAGAATATTTTAGAGTTAACTGCATTTGTTGAACTTTCGGTACTTTGAGCAACTTTGAGTAGTTATAATTAGCAGTCATAGAAGCAGTTTTCCTCCTAGAAACAGAATAGATACATCATTTGCAACCAGCGCGGAACCCATTCAAATGACTAAAACGATCGCAACGAGCTGAATACTTTGCCTTTTAGCCTATAGAGCGAGCGTAATTACGGAGCGTCGCGTTTGCGCACAGACGGACAGACTCTTCTGCTTTATATATAGTAGATTATTCATATTTGTGTCTGTTTCTCGAAAACTGTGATAAACAGTTACCTGAAAGAACGATAATATCATCCACGCGCCGGCGATATACGCGAAATCCCAGCAGCACGCCGAGATCTTCACATTGAGAATTTCCTTTGCTTCTTGCAGATCTTCCGGGCCAATTGTTTCATTTTCTTAAAGAACCCTTTGAAAAATCTTTGAATTTTAAACTGTAAAACGCATTTTGAGTCAAAAACGAACTTCTTATAAAATCATAGTTGATCATTGCTTGTGAGATCCTTCTGAAATCAATTTATTGAAAAAAGAAATTTTTTATTTTAAACCCGAGCACTGTCGACATCAAAGGGTATCCCATTCCCGAGCATAGCGATAAACAAATACCAAAAATTGTCAAGAATATGTCGAGCCATGAAGCGAAATGATACTGAATTTTCATTTTTCTTTGTTTTTCTAAGAGTTCGCTTACAAATTCCCGGAGTGAAGCTCGCTTTTTTGGTTTGAGATCATCGTTTGGTCTGGAATCATAAGGTGAAGTTTTACAATGGTAAAATTTTTATGCTTTGTAAATTTGACAGCCATAGTAAGTTTATGAATTCTTCTTCATTAGTAGCGTTCCCGTTAAAGCTTGAAGGTGCACTTTGCACTCACTTCGGAGCTTAGAAACGCACCCATTCTGGCTGTTTTTTCAACGATTTTAAGCTCTTGCAGGAAAAATAAAGAGTTCAGTGCACCAGAAAGTGTGTGTTTCCACTTCTCAAGCACAAAGTACACCTCCGAAACACCTAATGCTCACTCATTTTCAATGAGATTCTCTCTGTCCTCCGTTTCGTCGCCTTTCGAGCAACACGGCAGGCAGGAAAGCACCATTTTTGTACTGAAATTTACGAAAGGCTCAAAAAAGCAAAAAAAATCAAAAGAAAAGAGGATTCAAGATCTCAAGAGAATCACGAACTTTCTCCAAACCAAGAAATTCACAATTGAAGCGGGAACTGAAACTGGAAAATGGGAAATGAAAAGATTGAAAAATGCAAAATTTGAAAACTGCCATGGAACAATTGTTTTTTTATAAATAAATGAATAAATTTGATGTTCAAAATGATTGTGCTGTGTCAAGAAGTTCAAAAAATGTCGGCTCTCCAAGTCTCAGCAAGTCCAAAGCTACCAATTTTTCTTTTTTTCTCTTTTCTGATAAGCGTGTGTGAGAATCGGGACAATAAAGGAAGGAAATCGTAATGACTACATTTAAAGCATCACTACTTGTCGATCTTAAAGTAATCTGCAAAGCTTACTGAAAAGTCATGAGTCAACTCTCGAAAAGCCATTTAGACTTCTTCAATGATGTACCCGTGTGAGAACATTTGCCATCGGATACGAAAGAAATTCTTTATGGTTTGGGATTTCCAGCAAAAACTTGTATTATGCAGCAATGTATAGGCAATTTTACACCACGAAATCGAGTGGTTCGACAAAAATTCGTCGGGGGAATTGTGCACAAAAATGTTTGAGTGAGTGGGAAAAGTGAAGAAAAAAGGAATTTTTTGACTATTTAGCGCCTTGGAACGGCTGAAGGAGGGCTTTGGAGACAAATTCGCCAAAGTTTTCCACAACATTGGCCAATTTATCTCGGGAATGGCGATCGGTAAGAGTCTTATAAAACAAAGAAAATGGTTCTACATCCATAAACTGGCATTATTGGCTCTATTAGGTTGGCAAGAAAGAAAGTTCGTAGAAAAAGTTTGCACAGTGTTTTCTCAAAAACCAACCCATGAATTCTTCCCAAATTTTTTTGATTAACTTGGCTATATTTCAACCTTTTTTGAGTGACCAGCCTTTAGACAAGTTTTTAATGGGTTAATGGATAGGTAATGGGTCTCATTGAATGACGAAAGAGAATAGAAACCCTCTATACAAAATTGAATCAGAAACCCTCTATACATGAATCAGAAACCCTCTATAAAAATTTTCTATTGAATTCTATTGAATATTATTATTGAACTTTCTTTAACGATTTACTTCTCGATTGTGGTTAGATAGGAAATTTCATATAAGAAAGAAAACATATTTTCGTTGAAAACAGATATTGGTTGAAAAAGTTTAAAAGTTTAAAAAAGATTAAAAAGAGGGAATCGAACTCGGTTCAAAAACTTTGTACCTCTCGGCTACAAGGACATATTTTCAAGGTAAGCGAGGAAACCTTGCAAAGGGATAGCGAAAACTATAAAGCCAAATTTCTTGCGTTTGCAAGCTATTTAGGAAGAACTAAAAGCGGATTCAGAAAGCCCGTGAAAAACTAAACACGATAGGATAGGTCTCGTTTTGAAAATTCATCTTAAGTTGGCGACCTTTCCTAGTAAGTCTTTCCATCTAATTCGCAGGCTTTTTATTTCTTATCTTTTCTATAAATTCTATTAATGTCGATCTATCACAGTCACTTGTACAATTTGACCTCGATTAATCTTGCTAGTAAATCCACTCTTTTAAATGCAATTAAGCGAGTTGTGAGCGATCTATAGAGACATTGATTCGTCCTCATAAGCATCATTAACTCTCTTTTTCATGAGGTGGTCGTAATAGATTTTTAGAGTTAAAATAGAGAGACATGCCTGGAATGGCCTATGACTCAATTTTGAGTTGCTTCCAAAAGTATACAAAAATAACGATAAAGACAACAATATTTTGTGATAATATTTTTGTGGTCAATATCAGTATACTAAAGTTAGCAAACCTCATAGCAGTCGGTGTCTTGAACTTCAGATATTTAAAAAGAGAACGGTGGAAAAAAAGGTGTCACGACTCTTTCGTCAACCTAATAGAAGGCAATATAGAAGCTTGTTTTAAAAGCCAGCAAAGATAATAGCTGTTTCTTCTAGGATTTGCCTACAATTGGCGCCTCGCAGCGATCATGTGCTCAATGACCCCATTTCTCGTAATGGCTGGTATGCTGTTTAATCGAGTGAGTATGGGGCTTTGAGTTCTTTTCGGTACTTTTTAAATTTCTGGGATTTTGGATAAAAAAATCAAACTCAAAAGGTTTACAACATTTTCTAGAGACAAAATTTCTTTTGCTTATACCTAGTCAGATAGAAAATATGTTACGCTCATTCGTCCCAAAGATCTCATTCAATCCAAAACCAAAACCAAAGTACCGCATTAAGCAACCCAAGCCAAATCAATAGAAGTAAATGCACCACTTTTTCAGGTAATGGGTCAATCGGCTGCTGATTCAGCAAAGCGGTATGCAAAAGCGGGGAAAGTCGCGGAAGAGGTGAGGGGGAACTCTTGGAAAATTGGTAACTGGTTTCCAGGCATTGAGCTCCGTTCGAACGGTCATTTCTTTTAATGGTCAAGAGCATGAATGTAAAAAGTTAGTGAATTTTTTAAATTGATAAAAACACAAACCTTACATCTAACCTTGATAATTTTCAGATACGAGAAAGCGCTGGCCGACGCTTCCAAAGTGGAGATCAAGAGAGCCAGTGAGTTTTTGGAAACCTTAAAGTTTTTGTGGAAAGTTAGATATATAAAACTTTAGTAATCGATAGTTAAATGCAAATTACAAAAAATTTATAGTCATGGTCGGTCTCAGCTCCTCGGTCACCTATTGCGTATTCGATTTTCTGTACTGTGTGGCGTTCTGGGTGGGCACCGATTATGTATACTGGGGATTCACATCAGCTCAGACAATGATTACGGTGAGCTGAAAAGATGCAGTAAAGTTTAGATAATAAAGTTGACTAGTGATAATAAAATCGGTACTTTTGACTATTTTGCACGCCACGCACATCACAGGTCATATTTTTTCGCGGTTTTTCTCGGAAATCCGGATCTTTTCATTGTGAAAGCTATAATTTGCACAACCCAAAGCCAATTCGATTTTCTTGGGACTTTTCTTGGGACAAAGGGTTAAAAGAGTGTGTTCCTCTCAAGTAATGGCTTTCTATAGCGCGCCCTTCAAAGTCGAAATCTCAAGAAATTCATTGTTGTTAACTGAATACCTTGAGATTTTGTCTTTGAAGGGAACGTTATAAAAAGCCATTACTTGAGAGGAACACACTCTATCTACGACCCTGAAAACCCCGGGGAGAAGGAGCGTTGAGAGATTGAGTCGGTTTCTCCGTTCTGGGCGTTCTGAAAACCCTGAAATCAATTTCTGCCCCAAATTTGGCCGTACTTTTGCTAAACAACCTACTCGAACCGGGTCAAAATGATAGAATTTGATCATTTTGAAATAAATGGAATGAGTTATATGTTGGAAAGTTTTTGTCAAAAGACCCGTATTTTTTGACAGGCCCGGATTTCCGAGAAGAACCTTATTCGCTTTTCATCCAAATGCGTTTATGTTTGATCTCCCTCTAATGAATCTAGACGCAGCTAACATTTTACAACCATATTCCATTCTACCATCGATTCGCTATCGCTCCATCCCTTCTACCTTTGGCTTTTTAAATGCAATTTTGACGTGGTGTGCAAAATAGTCAAAAGTACCATAAAAATTTTATTCTTTAAGGTGATCATGGCGGTGAAATTTGCCTCTTTTGCCCTGGGATGGGCTCTTCCAGACATGGGAAACACGGCGAGCGCGCTTGGACAAGCCGGCGGGATCATGGAGATCATTGATGCGGTCGGAATGGAAATACTTTAAAATTTACTGTTTTGATGATTCTAAAGAACTGATAATCGTAATTTTAAGATTTAATCCCGCTTTCCTATAAAATTGAGAGCTATTTGGCTTCACAAAAGTTACTGTAAAGCCCCTGTTCTCTGTCTCGTTACAGTAAACTGAATACAGCCGCTAATTGTAGGACTAAATATCTTTCTAAACAAAGAAGATTTATTTTATTTGACACTATATATTTTGGTTACTGTAACAAGACCTTTTTAGGTGACACCAGAATAAAGGAAAGGCACACTGAAACCGAGCCATATCGAGGGAAGGATAAGAGTGAGAAATGTTCATTTCACCTATCCGAGTCGACCAGATGTACAGATTTTGAAGGTAAACTAAAGAGATTTAGCAAAAGAGAATAAGAAACAAGAGATTTAGTTATTAAGTTTGTATTTTCAATTGCTTCTGAGGTAAAATCTGAAAGCCAACCATTGAATTTTCAGGGAATTTCCTTTGAGTGTCAACCTGGAGAAACGATAGCTTTGGTCGGTGCGTCGGGTTCGGGAAAATCGACGATTGTCCAGCTTTTGCTCAGATATTATCAACTAGAAAATGGAAATGTGAGTGAAAATTGGAAAATTGCAAATTTTAATCTTTAGCTTGAAATCGATGGAATCCCGGTGGAGAACTTCGATGTGGACTTTTTGCGGAAAATCGTCGGCGTTGTGAGTCAAGAGCCGGTGCTCTTCAATAATACAATTCTAGAGGTAAATTTTTGAACCAATCCAAGAGAATAAAGAGTTGTTTATATTTTTTAGAATCTAAGATTTGGAAACGCGAATGCAAGTGATCGAGAGATTCATGTGGCTCTGAAGAAGGCTAATGCACTCAACTTCATTTCTGAATTTCCCGATGTAAGTATGAATTGAGTTGGCTTGTCCTGGAATATTGGCCCCAGAAATAGAGCTGCATACCAAGTCTAAATCTTATTCATTTTGTTTTCTAGAATACTACATGGTGCGTCAAAAGTTCAGTATGTAAATTAGTTTGATGCGTTCGGCAAGAGGGTAGTAGAACTTTTGACGCACCCCGTAGAGGGCTGTGCTACTTGAGATTGTAAGCTATGCATACAAAATCCTGTAGCCAAAATTGGCCAGTCAAACTCAGTCCTTCAGATTTTGTGGATGATCGGGTGATTTTACTGAAAGAGTGACTTGACTAGGCTTGGTTCAAAATAATCTTAAGAATAGCTTTGGCTAGGATTGATTGGACCCTATCCTGGCCTTGACTTGGTTTAGATAAAGTTTAGTAGTTTAGAGAAAAGCCAAAACCTACTTGGGCAAAACTATAAGAACAGGATTTATCTGCCACCACCCAGTTTTCTTCAGGATCTAAACGCTCTGGACCTGACCCAAAATGACCCTAGAAACAGCTTTGATTGTATCTACTATCAACAAGTTCTCTTCAGGGTCTGAACACTCTTGTTGGTGATCGTGGCACTCAAATGTCTGGTGGACAAAAGCAGCGAATCGCCATTGCGAGAGCTCTTCTCAGAGATCCACGAATTCTTCTTTTGGATGAAGCAACTTCGGCATTAGATGCAGAAAGTGAAGGAGTTGTGCAACAAGCATTAGAGAATGTAAGAAAAAGGAAGATTCTTTGAGTAGAACCGTGATACGTACAAAGCACTCTTTTGTCAAATTGTTGACAATCAATTTTCAGGCAAGTCGTGGCCGTACAACGATTGTGATCGCTCATCGACTCTCGACCATCAAGAACGCGCACAAGATCATTGTCATCAAAAATGGAGAAGGTAAAGCAGCCGTTTTAACAGAATTTTAGGCTCATATCCGTTATCCGGGATTTTTGAATGAGCAAAATTTATATACTTTTAAATTTATGCATAAAAAATTGGAATCCTCAAAGGGGAAGAAGCGGTGAGTGGCTGAATCGTCTTGCCGTTTTTTGGCGCCACTATGCCCAAGTTCTTGGGATAAATTTCTGCACTAACTTTTTTTGTATTTTTCTACAAAACAGATGATTCCCCGAACCCGAATAGCTTATAAATACATTACTTGTAAATACGGTGGTATGACACAAGCACATAAAGTATTAAAACCAAATTTAAGTTGTCGAGAGTGGGAAACACATCGAGTTGATGACCAAACAGGGACACTATTTCGACTTGGTGAATGCGCAAGTTTTCGCCGACGTTGAGGCACATAAAGGTTAGTAGGTAAAATGGGTAAAACGTAGTAGTAGTGTAAACTTAGTTGTTAAGTGGTCTTGTAAAATGTGAATCCCTCTAGAAGTTAGACCTGGCTATCTGCGACAGCGAAGCAATCGTTTTTCGACTGGAAGTGATCCAGTGGAAGATCTTGACCACGGGAATAAGCTGCAAATTGCGAACAAAGAAGAGAATGAGTCGGAGATGGATCGCTTGACGAGAGGTAAAGGAACTTTTATGGTTCTAGGGTTTCCAATTCTTCTAAGGTTTGGAAACAAGGCAATACCGAAAGTCAGGTCCTGGCTTTCAGCCCAGCTATGGGCCAAATCAGAAACAAGGACCTGGCTGATCCGCAAAAAATGGTTTTGAAACAATCAGCTGAGATTGAACAGCCTTGGTCAAGTCTTGGCCCTGGCTTCGGCCTAACTTTGGCCTTAGCCTTGCCTGACCTAGAAAAGTAGCTTTTGCTGGATCAATATGTCTTGACTATTTGGTCCAAAGCCAAAATTTTCATACGTACAAATGAAATTCCAGAAATCAAAGAGGAGGGCGTTTCGACGGTGAGCCTTTTCCGAATCATGAGCCATTTGGGGTCGGATTGGAAATATTTCATGATTGGGAGCATTTGTGGATTGATTGAGGTAAATCTTAACAATATCCAGAAATGAATTGCCTTTTTTGTAACCAAAGAACTTGTCTCAAAAGCCGATCTTTCAGGGTCTAGCCGTCTACCCGATGTTCGGCTTCTTCTACACAAATGCTTTCGAGGTAGTTTTTTTTGAAGAAACTTCTAGATTGATATAATCGCTAAGATTTTTAAAATCCTATATCTATTAATTATCTGTTCTTATTTATTTTTAGATCTTTTCCGAGCCCGATCATGAGCTGATGAGGCAACGAGGTCATTGGGCCGCTTTGAGCTTTTTGCTGATCGTCGCCATGGATGCTGTGATTCCGGCTGGAGGGGTTGGATATAAAAAGTTAAACGTGCTAGAGGAAAATGTTTTATGCTAATTTTGAATGTTTTGAAAATGTTTTGAGATACTTTAAATTCAAATTTCTGAAAAATTATTCAAAAAATTTCAGGCGATCAACTTCGGCGTCACCGCCGCGCGGGTTGTCGAGAAGCTGCGATACAAGGTATTTTAGGAATCTAGAATTTTAATTTTAATTGAAATTAACACTTAAAATACAAACAGACTTTATCTCTCCTTTTTCAGACTTTTAAAAATGTACTCAGCCAGGACGGGGCCTACTTTGATTCACCGAAGCACTCACCCGGGAAAATCTCGACTCGCCTAGCAACCGATGCTCCGAATATTAAACAAGTGGGCAAAAATGAGTTATAAACTTAAAATTTGGTTTTAAGAAAGTTTACAAACAATTTTAGGCTATCGATTACAAATTGGGACATGTGTTGCGAGCTGTTGTGGCCCTTGTTTCTGGATTGGGTGTGGCCGCGTATTTCTCTTGGCAAATGACCCTTTTGAGTGAGTGGATTTGTAAAACTTAAGAAAATGTGCAGTAGAAAAAGTTTATAATCAAGTTTCTTATTAGGCTCTCAATTAGAAATTGCTTTAAGTTTTTAAAAAACCTAAAAGTTAAGGCTAAAAAGATCTGAAGTGGCAATATTCTGAGTCACCTTTCAACATTTGGTGCCGATATTTGTTTTAGTTTATCAAGATCATCATGTCTACAATTAAAGTTGATTGAACTAAAAAATCAAAACATATCTGATTAGATTCCTTATTTTTCTAGTGCTTGTCGTCGTGCCGGTGATCTCGTTGACTGAATTCTTGTGGACGAAACTTTTCAACGCCACCTCGATCGAGGATCTCAAGTTGATGGAAGCGAGTGGAAAGGTGGGTAGAAAATAGGATATTCGATATTTGATATTCAATGGGATATTCAGTTGGATTCAATTTTCATAACTATTAGACAATCAGCTTCATTAGTATACCTCCTAGCAACATTTGATGGAAAAAACGTGAAGTCAAAACTACAATGTCTTTCGGACTTCGTCTCGTCGTTAAGATTTACTAATAAAGACTCAAATTTGATGAATCAAAACAAATTTTGAGGTTTTTTTTAAATTTCTAGGTAGCAATGGAGTCGATTGAGTGCATTCGAACCGTTCACGCTTTATCATTGCAAGGAGTGATGCACGAGAAATATTGCACCCTCATTGAGCGACCCCACAAAACAAATAAGAGGAAAGCTTTTGCGCAGGTAACCTTCAAAGGAATTGATAAGAAATAATTGTTTTGTAAAGTAGCAGCTATAGTCAGCCACTCGAGTGCATTCCTAACCCGTAAAATCCAGAAGAAGCATGGACCTAGACCTTGCCTGACATGACCTGGCCTCGATCGGAACGTTCCTTCTAAATAAAGCTACCGTAAATACTGTAATTGGACTCCACCCCTCAAATAGTACCCCAAATTTAAAAACAACAAATTACCCCCACCTAACGCGTAATTACAAACAACTCTTTTAAAGCGGAAAATTTTCATGTATTTTCAGAAATCGTTTGTATTTTTAATTTTATCCCATAAATTTGTTGTTTTTAAATTTGGGGTGACTACTTTGCGCCAAATTTTTTGCGCAGCTCGCCATAAATTTCTTCTAAGTGGGCCAATCTTTATGATTGTAGATCTCAACAAGTGCAACAAAGTAACACCAAAATCATAAAGATTGGCCCACTTAGAAGACTTGAACCACTTAGAAGCTACTTGAACTCGGAGGGGATTGATATCGGTTTGGCTGAATGGATACGGGATCGTCGAGCCGAGAAGAAACGAGTGACACGCCGGATTATCTGGAATGAAGCGGCTAATCGATTCAAAAAAGCGGAAATTTCTTTCAAAAGAACCCATGGCTGGATGGAGTCGTTCTTGAGGCATCACCAACTTTCTTTGAGGGCACCAACAACAACTTGTCAAAAGCTGCCGAGCAAATTTGAGAAGGCCATCGTTGAGCACATTCTGAGGCTGAACAAGACAATCAAAAAAGGCGATTACAAGCACATTGTTGCCTGCGATGAGACGGCTGTTTGGCTGGATGCTTCGACGAGCAAGTGCATCGAAGCGGTTGGAGCCAAAGAAGTTGGTGTTAGAGATCAGAGATGGAAATCAAGGACCTCTTGGAGCCGCTCGCATCGATGGGATTTCAAGGACATCGAGGAATTGATGATCAAGAAAATGATGAATTCATTGATTCGGATGTTTCTATTGATTTCGCTTGTTAGTTGTCTTTGTTTCGTTTTGCTGTTAAATTTTCAAATGGTTAAAACCAATAAAAACTAAAGAAAAAGTTTGCTTTTGAAAAAATGATTTGAATGTATCCTGATTTGGTAACTTGAATAGTGGTGTAAAATAGTGACCCACCCTCTAATAGTGCCCCACCCTCTAATAGTACCCCACCCTAGAGGGGGAGGGAAAAAATAGTACCCCATGGGGTCCAATTACAGTATTTACGGTAGCTACTTTATTGAAATCATCACATGATTCAAAATCCTGTGTGCAACATAATTTCAGGGAGTTATGACCGGTTTGATGAACGGTCTTCAGCCGCTGATGGACGCGGTTGAGTTCCGCTTCTCTGGGTGGATGATCATGAAGGATATGGTGAAAAATCCGTTTGATGCCTGGAGGTAAAAACAATGGTAATACAGGTGGTTTTGATCAATCCCAACTTTCAGAGCTCAGTTCTGTATCGAGTTCTCATCGATGGCCGTCGGACAGGGTGCCACGTATTTCCCCGATTACAAAAAGGCCAAATTCTCGGCTGGGCTTTTGTTTAAAATGATGAGAGAGCCGACGAAAATTGATGGATTTGCGAGAAATGGATTTGAGGTTCATTTAAAAGTACAAAAACAAACCCTTTTTTGGTTAAAGTAGCTAAAACAACAATTTATAGGCAACCAACGGCAAGGTCGACTTCGAAAATATCAAGTTCACCTATCCGGAGAGAAACGATGTTGAAGTGTTGAAAGGTTTGAGAAATTAAAGAGTTTTTGAGCTCACTATCAGCTTGGTGAAAACTACAGTAAGACTAATTTCTTGAGCTATTTTATTTTCCAGGAGTGAGCTTCTCGATTGAACCGGGCCAAACGGTGGCCGTTGTTGGTCCGTCGGGTTGCGGAAAGAGTACGCTTGTGAGTCTCCTCCAGAGATTCTACGATGTCACGGATGGAGCTGTGGTTGGTTGAAGGAATTTCCATCTTTTAAAATGCTTGCTTTAGAAATCTTAAAGCTGTTACTTCTTCTAGAAAATCGATGGCCGAGACATTCGACTGATGGGAGCCGCGGATTTGCGATCACAAATGGCTGTTGTTTCACAGGAGCCAATCTTGTTCGATGATAGTATCAGGGTAAGTGTTCTAGGAATTTTATTGTACCATTGAAAATTATGATTTCCAATTACAGTACTCGTACAGTCGCAGAAAAAGACTCGCAAAATCATACAAGTCTGATGAGGCTACTTTGTATCCCGCTTAAACGCACCCTTTCTGGTGCACCGCGTACAGTGCATCAGAAAGGGTGTGTTTACGTGGAGAACAAAGTAAACTTAATGGATACAGTACTAACTATAAGTTACACAGGTCTCAAGCTTCTTGTCGATTTTATTTACACGGTAAAGTTCTACAGGGTGGCCCACAATTACTTCAGAGGGGCTAGATTGGCCAAAATCAGGTCAATCGTTTTGATTTTTCTGGAGGTAAATCTTAAGTATCTCCTGAAACAGTGCCCATTATCTAGTCGATACAAGCTTTCAACTTTTTTATATGGCCTTCCAAAGTTGAGAGCCCTCTGAAGTGCGAAAGTATAATTGTGGGCTACCCTGTAGAGCTTCAAACTGTTCGTTGAGTTCATCATCAACTTTAGAACAATATCCTTTACGGACTCGACCGTGAAACGGTCAGTGAAGAGAGGGTGACCGAAGCGGCAAAGAAAGCCAACATCCACTCATTTATCTGTTCTTTGCCTAGAGGCTATGACACAAATGTTGGAGATAAAGGAACACAACTATCTGGGGGTAAACATACCTAAAAAAGTTTAGCTTTAAATTAATAGCTTTTAGGTCAAAAACAACGAGTGGCCATCGCTAGGGCTTTGGTGAGAAATCCAAAGATTTTGATTCTTGATGAAGCGACGAGTGCTTTGGATACGGAAAGTGAAAAGGTTTGGAAAAGGTGTTGACTAAGAATTGGTTAATTTTAACATCAACATTTCTTGCAAAAGTATTAAAAAATCTAAACATATAATAAAAAGTCGGTACTAAGGTAGTTGGGGACGGGGGATCACTATTTTTTTTCGAAAACTAGTTTTTCTAGGGTAGTTTTATGCGTAAATTCCGAAAAACACAACGAGAGCTTTAGAAAATGAGTTTTAAGCCAAGTTTCGGGGCTCCAAAGTGCGCGCTCATACAGTGTGAAGAGAAGAGAACTTGGCTTAAAACTCATTTTCTAAAGCTCTCGTTGTGTTTTTCGGAATCTACGCATAAAACTAGGACACTGGATACTATCCAGATAACTCCAAATAATAAATAATTTGAAAATTAACTATTTTCTCCATTTTCCAGGTCGTTCAAGAGGCGCTCGACGCCGCATCGGAGGGTCGAACTTGTCTAGTGATTGCCCACCGTTTGAGTACAATTCGAAATGCCCATCGAATTGTTGTGGTGAAAGGAGGGGAAATTGTGGAACAAGGTGGGGAAATTAGATGGAAAATATTTGGGAATATTCAGGTAATCACCAAGAATTGTTATCGATAAAAGGAGCCTATTACAATATGGTTTTACAACAAGAAAGACGGCGACATTCGACGGAGGGCGGAGGCGGACAAATTGAGGAAATGATCAGTTTGGAATGAGAATCACTTTGAGTGTCTAGTTGTTTTTGTTGTAGTTCATGTTAATTTATTCAATAAATTGTCTATTAAAGAACCTTTTTGAATTCCAGGACAAGCCATTGGTTTTATTGCAAAGATTATGAAGTTTCAGACCATTTGACTTCTGAGCAATCGATTATCTGCTATTCATCTAATGAATACTGTAGGAAATAGAAATAAGCTAACACGATACTTATTTTTGCACTGGTTTCACCGTTTCCAACTCAAACTTGTCTAATTAGCCACTTTTCGAGTATTCTCAACTTACAAGACTCCTCTGTACCTGTGTAAATCTTGAGGTAATTTTAGATACTACAGGGTCGTCAAAAATTATGGCAACCAGTTTTTGGAAAACTTTTCTTTTCCAAGAAACTTTCTACAGAAAGTATCATGTATTATCTACTATTTGAAAGCTCTAATTCTCAGCATCCTTAATACATTAAAGATTTTTTTGACCAGAACTAATTTTTGACCCTTATTGGCCTTCGGAATGAATTCGTCGCAAGCACCCCACGGCGTTCTGCCATTTTTTGTGGTTTTGAATGTAAGGAGTGTTTCGAGAAGATTTTTTAAGATTAAAGGTTACTCAGTTAAAAAAAATCTTAAAAAATCTTTTCGAAACATCTCAAAATCTCAAAAATACATAAATAGGTATACTTTTTGTACCTCACTATCAGCTCGATCTACATACAACCTAGATGTCTAGATTAAGTATCTAAAGCTAACTTCCAAGCTAAATTTGAGCTCTTTTGATCGAGCTTTCCTGTTGCTGTTTGGTGTTTGGTGTTTGCTTTCTCAAAGGGAAACTCTGATGACTCATCTAAAAAAAGGCCTCGCCCTATCAGGTTTGCCCAATTTTTCCCAAGAAAAGCGTAAAATCAATTTCCGCATCATTTCCGAATCAAAAATAAATAAAAGCTTATTCTTTCAATTCATCTCTTTCGCAATCTTCTTGAAAAAAATCGCTTTTTTGTATCAATTTTCTCATTTAGAGAAATCCACTGTTCGGAGAGTCGAGAGAAAAAAGAGCGAAAACTTTCGAAAATCATTTCTCTAAAGCTTTTCTAATAAAATATTCAGTTATCTGAAATTCTGAGAAACACAGGTAAGATATTTTTGTAGAAATTTCCAAAAATTTAGAAAATTTTTTAGTAAAAACTTTAGCTCAATGAGAAGCTCTTCGGCATGGGATTTTCTCAGAATTTCTGTGAGTTTTCTGAACAGTTAATGTTTTTGTGTAAAGATTTTCAAAAATTTGATTATTTCTTGAAATTTTGGATAAGTCTCTATGGTTTTCAAAGGTTTTGCTAAATTTTCGGCTCTTGTCCATGACCGAGTGTTTAGGCCAATTACTTAAACGTTTAGATCAATTAAATCCGAGTTCCATTTGTACTCAATAAATAAATGATTCAAGAAATGAATACCTCCAATCGATTTCCTGGCCCCGAAAACCCCTGAGTACAAATTTACGGCTGAATATCTTCTTTTTGTGCCATCTTATCGTCTGAATATCCCGTTAAACTATTGCTTTACTTACAATTAAAACTACAGTCAAACCTCGATCTAACGATGCCAATTTTTGGTTCCTTGAAAGCTATTTGCCTTCTAAAGACGTTCGATTTAATGATTTACTCGATTTAACGATAGAAAATCCCGGTCCCATGAGAATCGTTAAATCGAGGTTTGACTGCATATAATTAGTTAATAATGATATTATTTCTAAACAAAGTTATGAGTGTTTAAAGCGTGAGTACTTGGTCAAAAATCCCTGATACCTTAAAAACCAAAGAGCCGAATTTTCTGCAAAATGTTTAAAGATGGAACTAGGGCAGATCAAAAACTCGTGCGTCGCCGGGACTCGAACCCGCCAACTTTCCCTAACCGAGCAATTGTGCTATCCATTACACCACAACTCCAAAAGGAATTTTCTTTAAAAATATAGCTTTTTTCAAATCTAGATATGTTTCCTTGAAAACTTTGATCTTTTCCTATTTTTCACGGGTATTTTGATCTCGATTCTCTCGGGTTACGTGCACAATCAACATTTCTATGTGATCAGGTAAAATTTCAATTTTCATCTGAAAGAAAAAATTCTTTCAGACAAATTTGGCAACTTTTCATTGAAAAGGAGAAGATTTTGACTAAAAATGGTAAATTTTAAGGAAAATATCTGAAAGAGAAAGTTTAGAGCTTTCAAATTCGACGAATCTCGAGGATCTCATAGATTTCAACGACCGTTTATCGGCCTCGTGTTGGAGTGTTTTCAAATTTGGAATTTTTTCGGCTGTGCTTGTTTTCTTGATGGTTTGTGTTGAAAATGGTTTGAAAAATTTACGAATCTACGAGTGCATGCTTCTGAATTCTAAAACGAATTCATTTTCGAAAATTGCCGTAATTTTGCCACGTAATCTTTATTCAATCTCAATCTACGAAGATTCTAATGATTCTGTTCTTGTCATTTAGAAAACGACTTTCATGACGGTGGCGGAAAATCTATGTCATCGAATGCGGCAACGAGCTTTTATGGTTTGAAAACAACATCTTTTTAGAAATTTCAAGTTTTCAGATCATTCTAAACAAAGATCTTATTTGGTTTGACGAAAAGAAAACGACGGTTTTGTCTGCAAATATTATCGAATCGTTAGAAAAATTGAATAACGGATTCGGGATTATTCTCGCACACATTGTCCGCCACTTCGTGATGCTCATCTTTGGGGCGATTCTCGCTTTCTCCTATGACTCTTCATTGGCGCTTTTGATGTTCTCGATCACTATTGTTTCTTCATTTGTCAGCTACTTTTTCAACAAGGTATCGATGTTCATCAGCTACAATAGAATTTCAAAACTTGTCTTCACATCAAAGTCGAGCTACTTTGTGGGTTTTAGATTGAGGAAAAGCTCCAAGCCTCGATGAGCTCATATGATAATGCGAATGCTATCACACAACAGGTAAAGCTTTGTAGGTGCAAATTTTGATTCAACGCAATAGTTGGATGTGCTAGACCCTCCCTAGGCTTGGGCTACGAACATTAAAATAGTTTGTACCGGATTTAAATCCATGAGTTTTCGCATATTGGGTGGACGCTCTACCAATAAGCTACCCGTACTCCAATTTCATCAGTAGAATCCTATGGCTTACTTAACAAATTGTTAAGTATTGTTAATAACAATACAAACACAATTTGGTCATTGATGGTAACCAAAAGATGCCTCTTTTAGGTTCTCAGCTGCATCCGAACCGTGCAAGCGTTCAATGGCCAAAAACACGAGGAAGTAAAGTAAGTTTAGTAAACAAGTACTCTACTAAAGCCACAAAGTATTATTATTAAAACAAAACCCTTAGATACGATAAGAAATCCACAACTATTTGAGCACAAAGTGCAAGCTTAGTCTCAATTTTACTAAGCAAAATCTATCAGATACAAAAGCGCTCTCGATGATTGCATCAAAATCGACATGCAAGTGCAAATGTATTTGGGTTTGTCGACGGCGTTTCTTTACTCGATGAGCACCATCATAAATGGACTTCAATTTTGGATTGCAACTGAATATGTTTACTGGGGATTGGCCCAGTTGCAGACGGTTTTAATTGTGAGTTTTTTAACTGCAAATTGGGCAAATTTTCTTGGTCTGTCAAACGTCTAACCCCTGTCGGGCCTGTCCCTGTCAAACTTCCACCCTCTAGTGGATTTCTTATATTTTTCTGGTAAAACGTCAAGCAGTAAAGTCGTTTGAGAGACAGAAGAACGTTTCGTTTTGGTCTGTACAAATTATTAATAAACATTTTTAAAGTCTATAAAAAGGTTAACTTTAGGTTGGTCGAGCCGCTCGCGCCGCTTGTTCCTCATTTGGCGAGTTGCTGAGCGACTGGTCGCAATTTCGTCGGAATCTCGTCGAATCGCAAACACTTTTTGAGTTGCTTGGAAATGATTTGAAAGAAACGGTTTGTGAGAACTGTACGACATTTTTTACTTTAAGACATCAAACTCAAGTTTGTAACAAGTAACGGTAAACCGGAGGCTGACTAGTCTGCATAATACTGTAGTTGAATTTGATTACTATAGTTAAAAAGCTTGACTTATGATTTGAGATAATCCTGAATCCTAAGTTCTGAAGCTAATAATGGTCACTTGACTCCAAAAGATTTGAAATAAAAGGTTTAGAATGCAAAACTTTCAAGAAAAACAAGAGAATACGGAAATCTGGAGCTAACTGGCAAGTTAGAGATCAAAGATTTAAGCTTCACCTATCACAATAGAGAAGCGCAAGTTTTGAAGGTAAGCAAAGAAATATACTCATCGAAAGATAAAGTTTCAGAACATTTCATTCACTTGTGAGCCGGGGGAAATGGTGGCCCTTGTGGGTTCATCTGGCTGCGGAAAGTCAACCCTCTTGCAACTCGTTCAACGATTCTACGAGCCAACGAGTGGAAAAGTGATTAGATTAAGAGAGAAAATTAATATCAGGTATGCAAATTTAGATATTTATTGGAGACAGGTGCATCGACAGTTTTCCAAAAACCGAGTTGAGACCCCAGTTTGGAGTTGTTGGCCAAGAGCCGGTTTTGTTCAACTCGTCGATCATTGAGGTACTTGATTTTGATAGTTTAGATAACCTTAGTTATTGATAATCTCAAATTTTGATACAAACTTTTGAAAATTATATAGAATTCTTTTAGAATATACGTTTTGCAAATCCGTCAGCCACGGAAGCCGAGGTGACGCTGGCACTCCAAAAGGCCAATGCGCTCGACTTTGTGAAAAGACTTCCAAAGGTTGGTTACAAATATTTATATTTAAAGCGTATGCCCTGAATCTTTTGATAGATTTCAATTTCATATTTTAGGGTTGGCACACAAGAGTGGGTGAACGTGGCACGCAACTGTCGGGCGGGCAAAAGCAAAGGATCGCGATTGCGAGAGCGATCATCAGGTCAGTGTTTGGATGAGAAGCAAACAAATGAAAGCTGACTAAACTAAATAACTTAACATTGAGATTTGAATGCAAACAGTGTCTTTCGTAAGTAAATTTTACGAGATTAAACTTCGTGTGTTTTCATGCAAATCAGACCGACTAGACCTTGTGCTAGACCTAGTCCACAAGAATCTCTGGGCTTGCTAAAAGCCAGACTTAGTTTCTGCAAAGTCAGAAAGTCAGACTAGGGTCAGATTAGTACATTCTTGTGTTGGTGAAGCTTGGCTACTCAAAAAATGAGATACACTGAGCGTCTACTCATGAATTCTTAGAAAGCAGCTAAAAAAATATATTTGTTTCGCTTAGAAACCCAAAATTTCTTCTACTCGATGAAGCGACAAGTGCCCTGGACGGAGAATCAGAAAAAGAAGTGTTGAAAGCGCTTGAAAAGGCTTCAAAGGGGAGAACAACAGTTGTGGTTGCACATCGACTTTCATCAATTCGCAATGCCGATAAAATCCTTGTGATCAACCAAGGAACACGTTTGTTTGAGTCAAGTGAAAGTCTAAAGTTTAACTTCAGTTGTCGAATCGGGGACACACGATGTTTTGATGAAATTGGAGGGGCATTATGCTGGATTGGTGAAGGCACAGCTCACAGAAAGGAGTTGGAATGAGATCTTTAATCAAACTGATTTCTTTAGTGCCTTCACATAGACAATCCACCGATGAAGAGCTGCATTTTACCGAAAATGAACGGGAAGAGCTTTTTGAGCATTTTGTGAGTGGAAATGATGATGAAGAACATGAGAAAGATGTGGAACGAATCAAAAAAGGTGGCACTTCGGAAATATTGTAAATTTGTGGTGCACCAAAAGAGATGTGTTCCACTTTTGAGCACGAAACGCACCACATTTGTGTGCAAAAACAGAAACAGAAACATACATTTTCTGGGATACCTAATTAAAGTTTTAATTTAAAACAATTGCCTTTTAGAAGCCCAAGAAGAGGGCGTACTCGACTTCTCGGGTATCAAACTTTTCAAAGAAGCCCTTCCCGATTGGAAATATCTCTTACTTGGGCTATTTGTATGCTCTTTTGAAGTGAATTCAATATCTAAAAGTGGTTTCAGTTAAAAATTTCTAGGGTGTTTTCATGCCCGCCTATCAACTACCACAAGCTACAGCGCTACAGGTTGACAAATCAAATTTCATTCGCAAACTACATTTTAGTCTTTTGCCGAATTGGATCCGGAAGAGCAGCGAAGAAAAGGACGAATAGCCGCCATTTGGATGATTCTACCGATTCTTGCCGATTTTTTCGCTACACCACTAGAAGTGAGAATTCAGTGGCTCTCTTTCTGACGCACTCACATTAGAACAAGTTGAGGCAGCAAGTATTGCTAGAAAGACTCTAGAGTTTATTTTGCCAGAGACGGTACGTTTACAGATCACAAATACTCTAAAAAGAAAATTTCAGGTATTGGGCTTTGAGACAACAGCAAATCGTCTGTCAACAAGACTTCGAACAAAGGTTTGTTCACTCAATTATAGCTGAGCAATTTGCTTTTTGCGGATCTTATCAAGTTTTGCTTGTAAATCTTATTAAGCTTGAAATGCAAAGCTTGCTATTTGGTGCAGAGTTGGCTATTTGGTGTGGAAAAACGTTGAGGTGTGGAAAAAAAATGCTGGGATACGCTCCACATGTATCCAAAAATCACTTCTTTTGAAAGCAAATCAATTTTCTAAAAAGGAAATCAATTTGGAAGCAAATTTTCTTTTCTAATTGTTGTTCGTATTCAATTTGATCTATAATTCCAATTGCCAGATCTACTCGAATCTCTTGCATCAAGACGGATCCTTCTTCGATATTCCCCAGCATGCCGCCGGTCGGCTGACCACCCGTTTGGCCACAGATGCGTATTTTATGCGAAGAGTAAGTAAATTTTTCACTTTTCCGGCTTCTTCACCTATCATATAATTTAGGCAGTCGGCTTCAAATTGAGCTATTTCCTGAAGGGGATTCTCGCGTTGATCGTCGGATTGTTCGTCTCTTTCTATTACTGTTGGCCGATGGCTGTTTTGAGTAAGAAAGATGGGGAATTTGTGTAAAAATTCCTCTAGTGACCCCGATGATTCCAATTCTGGCGTTCATTGAGACGATTTGGAGGGGAGTATTTGAGGCGAGCTCTTATGAGGATAAAAAGTTGATCGAGGAGAGTGGAAGGGTAAGAGAAAAAAGCTAACTTACTAAAATTTACCTTAGCCATTGAAAATCTTTGAGTGAATAGTCTTTTATTTTATTTCTTTTATTGAATTGAGATTATAGGCAGATAGAGCCTTCTCAAAGTCCTCTTCGTTGTTTAACAATTGAAGGGCTGTTCCAAAGGCAATTTTCCGGATCTGGCTTTTTGCCGTGTTAGCTTAGTTGCACTGACCCACCAAAATTCCCCGAACCTGGCTTCTGTCCAGTCCTTGGCCTGGTTTACATGATCTAGACTCCCTAGGATGGATCAAAGCTCCTTGATCCTAAATATAGGACTGTGAACCACTTATAGTTAGGTTAACCACATTGAGTAATCCTGTCTAAATTTGATTCAAAATATATAACCACAAACTTTTGTTGTAAAATCCAGTTTGTGGTTAACATTCATTATAACCTCGCGAAAAAATAACATTCAGCTAATGACCGAATGCGTGGAGAACATCAAAACTGTGCACTCGTTGAACATGGAAACGGTGATGCACGAGAGATTCTGTGAACTCATCGAGCGACCTCATCAGAGGAATATTCGAAAAGTTTTTGCACAAGTAAGTATAACAGTAGTTTTTTAAAACAATACTGTACAGAAAACTCACTCTAATCATTGTTCAGGGTGTGATCTCTGGGCTTCACGAGAGTCTCGCGACTTTCCTCCGGGCAATCGAGTACTCGCTGGGCGGATGGATTATCAACTCGGGATACGGGAGACCGTTAGATGTATTCAGGTGGGGAAATTTGTTTTGAGGTCGGAGTTTTTGAATAAGTAATCTTTAGTTGCTTATATAATCACCAACATCCCCAGAAAACTGATCTCTAAAAGTTTAGCTTTGGACGCCACTATGCTCAAACCTTTGGGACAATTTTTTGCCTCAAATTTGTCTTTATTTTTCTAGGAAACTGATAGTGAGAGAATTTTCTAGAGCTCTAATGGTGATGGACTCAGCGGGTCACTATTTCGGCGAGACTTTTGTTTATTTGCCCGAGTATCGGAAAGCTCGTCTGGCTGCTGCGCTTGTGTTCAAACTGAAAAGGGAATCGGAGATTAAAAATGATGAAGATCGAAAAAGTTTACAGGTTTTATAGAAAGCTTAAAAGACAGAAATTCTGAGAAAAATTCCTTTAGGAAGAGTCTTGTGCTTGAAAATGAGCATCGGTGGGAGTTTCGATCCATCGGCTAGAATTCCGAGCACAACTGTGGAATTCGTCTTCTCATTTCCCGTTGAAGCAATTGAAATATCACCCTTTCCTATTACTTCGACTGTTCGGTTGGAAACAATATCGATCTTTCTCCACATCCGGTCATTTTGCCTTCAATCCTCGCTAAGCTCGATTATTTTTTGGTGAAGTCATCAGTGCCGGCTCAGCTTGTTTCCAGCGGTTAATCATCTGTTCGGCGACTTCAAATTCGATCGCAGCCGCGTTCGTTCCAAATATCCTCGCAAATTTGACCGCTTCGAGCTTCGTTTCGGCGGTGTACGACTTTCTCCTCATCGTATCTAAAATGAAAAAACGTTAGTAAAATTAAAAATTAAAAAAAAACAAAAAAAAACAATAAAAAACAAAAAAAACAAAAAAACAATAAAAATTAAAGAAAGAAGAAAATTTTCCATCCCTTTAAATGCCCTTTAAATGTAAATTCAGAACTTATATTCGGATGAACTTATACTCGCGACTTTAGGGTACTTTAATTATTAAAGTTTTTTCCAGACAATCCAATGCTGTCTCATCACGGCTCCATCTCTTGTTGGCGCCTTTGCTTTTTGGTTCATTTTTGATTGGTTTCCCAATAATGCCTATGTGGGAATCATTCCAATGACTTTGAGTGGATTGATCATGTTTGTCAATCCAATTGTGCTTTTCATATTCAATGATCAGGTATAAAAGCAATACAAACATTTACTTCCTTTTATTTACTTTTCAGGTCCGAAAATCGATGGTTTCTGTAATATTCCGACAAAGACGAGTGGTCGATACAGTGACAACACAGACAACTCAAACGATTCGTCGATCGGCATCCGTGCAAATATAATCTTAAATATGTAGATTCATGAATTCCTATAAACTAATCGATGCATATTTTTATCCATAAAGTACCCACGGATTTTACCCATACCTATAAACCCATAAAGTCTAGCATAACAACAAAGTCTATAGTAGGATACTTACAGTTTTTGGACACATTAAAGTTTTTTGCTAGTTACAAGTAAAAAATACCGAAAATTCTTCCAACTGGAATCTTGGCCACCGTGTAGAGATTTTTGTTGTAGAGATAGCCAGACAGGATGCCGACCCCTAAAATGTATCGTTTTTCACTTTCTCAATTAAGCTTTATGTCAGCCAGGTTTTTAGTTTAATAAGTTTGTTCATTGTTATTACTTCCATGGTTAAGTTTGTTTAAGTTTATTATTAGATAGATTGCTAATTGTTAAGTAATTTTCTGAGACCAACTTTCACCAATTAAAAGCGAACAATACATAATCATGGGTCCAAAAAAGGTGAAAGGGCATTGCACCAATCTCCCCTTTTGAAAGTGCTTCATGGTAGATCCCTTTGAAAGAAATGGCAAAAAAGAATCTGAAAACAAAGCAAACAGTAGATTAGAGCGTTTAATTTCTCAGCAATCGATTAAAAGTAACAGCATGCTCGAACCATTATATGGAAACTATTGTGGCCATTTAGATTGAGCTGAGAATTTGATTGACAAATATCCCACTCTATGGATAGCCATTGTTACCATGGATAACCATGGATAACCATTGTCGATGTATTGCTTGCACGGCATCTCTAAAAAAAACAATATTATAAAAATTAGCAAAGCTCTAACATAACAAAAACAGAAGAAAAAAAGAGAAAAGGTATCAAGATTTTTTTGTTTTTGGCAGTTTTTTATTTTCTTGTACATAAATAGTTTTTGCAAAGAGTTATTTTGTTATTTTCTGTTAATTATAATTTTCTAACTTTGTCTTATCTAATAAAACAAAAACAAGATGAATCCAATATTTTTGGATACTCCATTTGCTAATTTTTTGAAAGGTATCAAGACTTTTTTGTCCATTGTATTAGTTTCAACTAAAGTGACTCTCCCATTTCTGAATATATTTTGTCGCATGTAGGATTTTTCTTTTCAATTTTCCCTTCTAGGCGAAAAGTTTTGATGAAAGTTTGCGTTGTTTTTTCCGTATCGATTAATGAGCGTAAAATGTGCTCACTGCTCCCAAACGCTCGACGATTTTCAGAGAAAAGCAGTAGAGAAAACCTTATCTCCGACCCTCAAAAAAATGGGTAACTCAAATTTTTTCGTAGAAAAAAGGGAGGACGAGAGAAAAGAAGTGAATAGAAATTTATCAAGATATTTTCGATGTGAACATGGTGTGAACAAATGCCCTTATTTCCCGAAAGTGGAACGCTTTTTATTTCTACATGATTTTACCTGGACTGATCTTTGCTGGGTGAAAACTATTGAGGGTACTTTTGACTCTGAAGTAATCAAAAACTTTTAATTCCGGGAACCGGTATATAATCGCTTCAATAGTTCATATTTTGTATGTCCTACCTTGCCCTACTCAAGGTATGCATCAGTACAAAATCTCCGACTTTATTGCTCGTGGTGGTTTCGGGGAAATTCACGAGGTCGAAGGTTATGGACAGTTAGTTTTTGACTTAATAAACACGAAATATAATACAGGGCGTCTCAAAAGAATGTCCCTTTTCAAACCGAATTTTAGAAAAACTTTAAGTGGCTATTGGTGGCACTCCTGGTGCCAAAATTATTTTTTCTTTAAGGCAATTTTTTCACTTTTTTTTTGAGAATTGTTTGTGTTCTCGACCCTCCTATACACGAAAAATTTTTTTACCACCACGGTCACCACCACCATGAGATTTTTGCCATAAAATTAAAACTTTTTACTGACATCGTGGGCATATTAGCTGCACGCTATTAGGATAACTACAGCTTTAAACCATACACTTTATTGATCAGATAAGACAAACATCTAAGCAATTGGCTAAGAATAGAGCTACAAACAAACTAAGAATTACAGTTACAAAGAATTTTTCGGGCTGTTTTGGGTGAAGGTTTTCTATAGTAGTCTTATAGTAGAGAGATACGGTAGTGGTGTAAAATAGTACCCCACCCTAGAGGGGGAGGGAAAGAATAGTACCCCATGAGGTCCAATTACAGTATTTACGGTATGTACGACAGATTATCATATAATGTAGATGAATCAAGTGTTTCGCGGAAAATCATAGGTAATATCTTAACTCTAATGTGACATCACGATGCCAGTACAAAGTTTAAATTTTATGCCAAAAGTCTCATGGTGGTAGTGAAAAAAATTTCGTGTATTCTCGAGTCGAGAACACAAAAAATTCTCAAAAAAAGTGAAAAAATTGCTTTAAAGAAAAAACAATTTTGGCACCAGGGGTGCCACCAATAGCCACTTAAAGTTTTCTATAAAGTTCGTTTTGAAAAGGGGCCTTTTTTTGAGACACCCTGTAGATGAAATAATTCTTGAAGATCCGGTGTTTCACCAGAGAACTATGAAAGCAATTGTTACCACTTTTTAGACGAGCAGTGATAAAACGACTTCGACAGGATGGCCGAATTGCTATTCAGTCTTTTGAGACAGAATGCGATGCTGTACGCACAAAGTTTACACATAGGAATATTGTCAAATATCTGGAAGTGGTCCCCCACGAATTTGCGATTATCATGGAGTATTGTGAACGGGGAAATCTCAACAGCTGTTCGTTTAAATGCGCTTGACGATTGAATATAATTGAATATTATAGTAATCCTCAACCCCAGAATAATTTATTCGATGTGCTCGGTCGTTTATTGGGCAAAGCAAATCTTTGGTGCTTTGACGTATCTATTCAAGAAACATCATTTCGTCCATCGTGATCTCAAGCCAGCCAAGTAACAAATCAGAAAAGAAAATTTGGTACTTTTCGGTTATATCTCCACAAAAGGAACGAGGTTAGCGAGTAAGCCTGCGACCCTGCCTTTCGGTCCAAAAAGGCTTCACTAGACTGATTCAGAAATACATTTATTCATCTAATAAAGTGAAATGATTTCAGTCACACAAGCATAATCATTATTTATTTTTCATATGTTTTTGTCTTTGTGGGTTTATAACCTAAAAGTAGAGAAAATTTCGCCCAATACATGTTCTGTTTAGCATTTTCGTCAGCAAAGGTTACATGTTGAAGCTGGGAGACTTTGGCTCAATGAGAAGAAATATCGAATACACGTGTAGTGGAACTTATGATATTGGAACCGAACGCTATATGAGCCCTTTGCAAACAGAGATGACACCAGGGGGGCGCGAGAAATGGCTTGACAATCAGGCAAGTAAATATGTCTACGCACTCGGTTACAAGTACTTAAAGGTTACAATTAAAAAAGGTATCTATGAATAACAGTTATACAACGGTCAGTATAATCGATGATTATCATGTAAGCAGTCGCACACATATCAAATCTTTAGTATCTTTAGGTATCACATCGAAATGATGTGTACAGTCTTGGACTGGTTCTTTGGGAAATAATCGAACGAAGGTCTAGAGCGGCTGCTTTTTTCAAAAAACGAGCAGCTCTTTAGGATTGTCTTTTGGGAATATTCGAACTATGAACGCTTTAATCGAAATGAATTTCAAAATGCCATTTTACGGAAACAATTGAAAGAGCTCGTTCCACCAGTATGCCAGCCGGATCTTCAAGATATCGTGAAAAAGTAAAGCTCCAAAAGTAAAAGCAACAATTTACAGAAAATATGTTTAGGTGCACGACTTTTTCGCGTTCAAATCGACTTGAAGCATCGATTGTTTGCAAAAAGTTGAAGGAATTCGCCAAAGTGGGTTCATTTTTTGGGGCACTTAAATGAATTTGTCTAGTGTTGCAAAATCATCGACAAATTGAAGCATCTACCAGAAGAAAGAAATCAAGGCTACCTAACACGGCCGAAAGGTTTTGATGGAAACTATGAATTACAAGCAATCCATGAAGGAGAAGCAAGTCAAATTGAAGGCTTTAATTTCGATGTTTTGAATCTGAGAAGTTCCATGAAACCACAAGATGTGAAACAAAATACCCAAAAAAACGTGGAAATCGGAAACGAAAATGGAGAAGAGTTGTTCAATGAAGAGATGGGTCCGCAAGAGACAATTGAGTCGAATATTGAAAATGATCCATTTCTCACAATCAGTCGAAGTGTAAGACCCTCGACAAAAAAATTAAATGTAAGAAGAATTCTTGCTCTGATAATTTTATTATCGAATTTCGTTGCTTGCATTGGTTTGTATGCTTATAAGAAGCAGAATCAAATGAACGATCCGAGTATGATTCGCGTGTATTTTAACCACGCAATAGCCCGGATGGAGATTAACATTAAATACTCAAACGAAATAACAAAATATCTTGTTATCAATAGAGATGCATTGGTTTATTACGATATCAAAGAAGATAAAATGGAAATGAACGAAGCGGAACTTAAAGAAATTCCCCACCAAGAGAAAACTTCGATGAGTAAAGTCTGCGAGGATTTCGACAAGATAAGAGGTTGCGAAAATTTAGCTTTCGATGTTGATTATTATCCAGAAGGTGCTAAATCGAGAATCGGCTATCCTTCCGAAATTGAAATCGTCGAAATTATAGAAACTCTTTGCCCAAACAAAACTTTTCTGACAAACTTGTTTAAAGTAAAACACTTTGACGTAACAACAAATCGCTTTAAATTTCTTCGAGGCATACTCGAGAGCTTTCCCATTACTGCGGAGAAATTTTTAACAGCTGAACTTCGATTTGATGTTGGTGACCATGAGAAGGATAAAATAAGTTATTTGGAGGGAATGCTAGAAAAACCAACATTTCGAGATGTTCCCGCAATGAAATGGTACGCTAAAAATAATTTTACTTCACGGGTTCTTTCACGTTCTAATGCCAGCATAATAACCAAAGTAGTGGTGCCCGACTTTGTAGCTTTTAATAGTTCACTCATGGAGCTACTAGAGAGGGGACAGCATGGATTGAATGAGAATTCGATGTCGAAAATAGCATTTTATGATAATAAAGATGCTTTTACTCATTTCGGAACTATTGTGGAAATGTTTAAAAAAATGAGCAAGCAAGTAAATGAGTACCAAATAAGCGAGATTGGCGTAGAAATGGTGGAAAGCTTGGAAGAAATTAGAAATATTACGAATTGGAAACATTTAATGAAAGAAAACAACGAGTTAAAGCCCGATAGAGAAGAAGAGAAGTTGTTCTTAAAAAGTGGCACTAAAAACTTATTAATCTACTTGCGCGCGGTCAAGATCACTAGAGGACACAAAACTGAAGCCGCTATTGATGTAATTTGTCGTTATCAAAAATGAAACAACTTTATCTTGTGACTTGTAATGTAATTTTTCTAACTGTAATAAAGCTTTTTTTTTGATTTTGTCTTTGCGATTTCTTCCTGTACTATGAGGTGTTAACTTGCGATGATGCTTAATAAAAAGTCGCAAATGTTTCTTATATGCTTAGGAGTTATTGAAGACGTTTCCTATCTTTTTCCTTTTCACCGGTCTAACTTGCTCAACATGCTTTTTGCTCGCACACACTATCCGACAAGAAGTTCCTTAACTCCTAAAAACGGCCCTCTTTCGTAGTAGGATTTTGGTTTGTGTGTGAGACAAGTGTGAGACTCAAAAATGGAGGACTGGAGATGTCACTTTCTTCAAAAGAAACCCATTTTGGTGTCAATAGAAAAGTTGTAGAGAACCAGAAATTTGGCTATAAGCCTAATTTTCAAAAAAGTACACTTAGTAGTTTTGCTTAAAATGCAAGTTTTGTGAAAATTCGTAAATTTGGCATTTCTTGAAAACCAGTTTTTGAATCGTTCGGAAAATTTGGATATAAGCTTCATTTTTGATTCTCTACAACTCTTCCATTAACACCAAAATGGGTTTCTTTTGAAGAAAGTGCTAAAACTGCGACATATGACAATAGCCGGCAGTTTTCGATTCACCAACCCAATAGTTTTAACTAAAGTGGACCTTCAACTCTCCTATTTCTGAAAATATTTCTCTCATGTAGGATTTTTCTTTTTTAGTTTTCCCTTCTAGGCGAAAAGTTTCGATGAAAGTGTGCGTTGTTTTTTCCGTACCAAACTGTGTTCGATTAATGAGCGTAAAATGTGCTCACCGCTCCCAAACGCTCGACGATTTTCAGAGAAAAGCACTAGAGAAAACCTTATCTCCGACCCTCAAAAAAATTGGTAACTCAATTTTTTTCGTAGAAAAAAGGGAGGACGAGAGAAAAGAAGTGAATAGAAATTTATCAAGATATTTTCGATGTGAACACCGTGTGAACAAATGCCCTTTCCCGAAAGTGGAACGCTTTTGTGGAATGAAACGAAAATGGAGAAGAGTTGTTCAATGAAGAGAAGGGTCCGCAAGAGACAATTGAGTCGAATATTGAAAATGATCCATTTCCATGATCCATGAAAATGATTCAAAAATCCTATTGCGGCGATTTCAAATATGCACTTTATTATTCTTAAATAGCAAGGAATTTGACCCATATCACGATGTCAAGATAAAAATGTTGGTTCTACAAAAATCCCTGACTCCCATCCTAAAATCGTCTAAATCTTACAAGATTTTACAAAATCTGAAGCTAAATCTTTTGCCATTGTCTTCTGCTCTTCAAGCTAATTTTTCTGCTTTTGATTTCGTTTGTCTTCTTTGACACAGTTTTGGGACAGATTAGGCCAGATTCAATAATCACCCTCAGTTTCTTGCATCGAGTCATTTTCAAGCTGATCCTGTATCACTGATAGGTTCTAGGCAAGCTAGAGATTATTATTCTGTTACTGATTTGCGTAAACCCCCAAATGCAACTTTTTTCAAAGATTTATTCAGACTAACCCGTATCGAAAATATTTTCTGAGATCCCGGAGAAAGAATTGAAAGGAAAGTGGGAAAACGAAGAATGGTGCAAAAGGAAAAATTGTTGAGGAAATCAATGCAATTTTGCCTTGAGAATCGGGCGAAGTCGGCAAGAAATCATCGAGATGAGTTTGTAAACGACAAAAGTTGAGACAATGAGTGTGAAGAGGAGGATGAAAGAGACGAAAGCGATCACGTCGATCATGAAATATTCGATGAAGGAAAGCTTTCGGCCAAATGGTTCCATTTCGGGGAGGCGACCGAATCTGGAATTTCAATGTAAGGGATTCGTGGAAATGAAATTTGATTGGAAATTTTTCAGTGCCAGAAAATTTCTACTAGAATTTGGCCAAGTGAGAATTTGGGCAGAACTTTGGGTATTGTAACTTGTTAAAGCTACAGTACCCAAATTTTTTATCCAACTTTTAGTTATCTAGGTAATTTGCATAAAACTCACTCTCCGACGAATTCCACATTTTTCACGAGGAGCTCTTTTGGGGAGAATGGGGCGCTCTTCAGGAGTGAAGAGAGACGTCTCGCGTTCGTCGAATAGCTGAATATCATGAAAATTAGAATACTATTAGATTCATATTATAGAAATTAGCATTTTTTCATTATCCTAACAAATTGATATGCAAATTTACAGTTTGACACTCGGGACAATTAGCCAAAGTTCGCATACCAATTTTTAGGAGGTAAAAATGAAAAAAATACCCAGAAATTCTTAATTCTGAATTTCAAATTATCTACCTATTATCTTTGAGTGCATTCTTAATCGTTTCGCTCAACTTCCGCGCGTTTCCCAGCTCGTGTTTGTTGAATTGCGCGGCAGCGCCGTGTCTCCGCATCATCATCGCGTTTCGCGGTTGATCCGCGAATAGGGGAACGATTACCATCGGGGTCCCACTGAAAATCGGGATAAGTTTTGTATTTTAGATATAATATTTAACATTGTATTAGCTATAATGATCATACTTTTAGATATATTGTAACTTTTACAGAACCTTTGCTTGCCAGCTTATCTATTGATTCAGTTAGAACTAGGACACATCGAGATTCGAAACGAAATATAGGTTTATATGCAAAGAAGAGATATGCTAATTGGTTTTCATATGCAAATTTGTATCTTGTTGGCATTTTTTCAATTCTCTACCTGTGCGACGACTCGTAGCAACTCGCCAATCCGCCGTGGGTGACGAAAAGCGAAAGTCGTGAGTCTTCTGGAATAAAAATATACAACTTTTAAAGTTGAATCAATATCTTATTTTTCAAATTGCATATATTAATTTCCAAACCACTCACTTAATAGCTCGGCTTGCGGTGTCCACTTGCTCAAAATCAGATTCTCCGGCGCGTTGAGAATATCGTCCTCCTCGTATTTCCAGATGAATTGAACATCTGAAAATCCAATTTTTATTATTTAGATTTAGATAATCTACAGCGCTGCTACAGTACTCATTTCTATTTTGGATAAATTCCCCACCTGGCATACTCCTCGCGGTCTCCAGAATGCTCGTTTTCATCGCCACCGGCATGTCCTTTGCCTGGATCACCGAGCCGAACGAGATCAACACCGTTTGCCCTTTTTGATTCAAAATCGAGTTCCAGTGCTGAAATTTGAAGTCATTCTTCAAAATGGATACCGTTTTTACCGATGGCAGTTTTTTCTTTTCGTTCTTGATGCCGATTCCGCCGATCTCGACGACTTTTGAGATAAGCGGATGCGGGAAATCGACAAGGGGATGACTGTTTGTGATCATGATGGCTGAGAGGGAGAAGAGCTCCTGAAAATTGGGGATTGGGTTTGGATACAAAATAATCAGTATTGGCACAGTACTAAGTTTAGAGCACTGTTCCATCATGGTACCAGTACAGGAATTATCCAGCAGTGTTTCATTGCTGACTAGGGGCTTACTACTGCACAACAAGCCAAAAGTTTTTGCTGTTTTGCTAACTCAATACTGTTCTTTAACTGCACCTGCATGCTCGGGAAGTCAGCTCCAAAACGTTTGCGGAAAACGGCAGTCGTCCGGTCGACACATCCAGCGAAAGCATAACTTCCGATAATCGTTCCAAGACCATTTGCCAGTCGCTCGAAAAACGTCATGTTGTCCATTGATGGGGACATTCCACCTGAAATTTTGAACGTTTTTACTTTACGAAACAGGTCAGCTGCATCCAAACTCTGGTAATAAAGTAAAGAAAGGAATGGCAAAGAAAGATTTCCGGGGAGGGAGTTGAACTCATGAGCTTTTTGCTTTTCGGGTTGATGCTCTAATCACTTGGCTATCTGGTATCTTCTTGCCAGAGAAGAAAAGGTAAATATAAGGGCGAAGAGAGAGCAAAGAAGAGAAGAAAAGCCTACCGGGAACATAGCTCGGTGCGGTGGGCACGCCCAGCATTTGTGCCTGATGATCATACATGATCGTTGTGCTCGCAGCGACCACCTTTTTCACACCAATCGCCTCGAAAAGACCTAAAAATTCTAGAAATTGAACCAATTAGTCCCGAAAACTCACCGAAACCGCAAAAATCGAAACCCTCGTTGATTCCGATGTCAAAATGCTCATCGCGCAACTCGCGGAGAATGGTCGAATTGGAGATCACCGCGTCACACTGAGCGGCGAACATACTGCCGAGGTAGGAGAAGAGCTGAAAGAAGAAAATTAGATAGGAAAATTTAGTAAAATTCAATACCTACGCAGAATATTCTTTAAAAGTATCAAAGTTTTCCTTTCCAACTCACTTCAATCATTCCCATTGGAGTCGCCTCCATCTCCCAGAGTTTCGGATATATACCGCCCGGGTTGATGAGACGGTTCTGAAAGCTTTTACATATACTTATCCAAGATATCAAATATCTAAAATATTCAAGATATTATAAATTCAAATATCCACTTACATTCATGCTGAGCACGAGTGGGTCTACGTCAATGGTGTGGATTTTCTTTGTCTTCGAGAATTTTTGCCCGAGAAGTGATGGATTGAGGACGGGGCGGAGCTCGATCTGGAAGAATGTTATTATGGATAAGTTTTAGAGTCAATTATTTATAAAACTTAATAAGATATGAAAATTTGCTAGCTTTAGAATATGAATAGAATTACAAATGAGCACAGGCTTCATTTGAGCTATTGAACCCAAAAAAAGGTTTGTCACTGCGAAAATTGTATCCAAAAATATAATAAACTGAGCGTTAAGCTTTTAAAAAGCAAATCTTTATAGACATTTAATCCAAAGATATTAATTTTAGCATATTTCTTTGGTCATTTACCACTTCATGTCCAGCTTCAGTCAACACGTCAGCCACACTGCCCATGAAACGCATGTGACTCAACGCGAAATATGGATTCACGATAAGAATCTTCAGCGAGTCGCAAAAAGAGAATAGAACGAATAAAGCAGCGAAAGTGAACTGCATTCTAAAATACACTTTGATAGAGGAAAGTATAGTATACTTTAAGAGTACAGATCACTCTCGATAAAAAGTAGAGCCACCTTGGAGTACTGTAGTTAAGATAAAAATGCTGTACTGAGTGTACTTTGGGTTCAAAAAGTTCAAAAACACACTTTTCTGGCACACTGCATAGTTTCTAAATGAAAAGCAGTACGCCAGAACTAATGTGTTTACAAATTTTCACCAAAAATACTCAAAGACAAAGGTAGAAGCTAGGAAAATCTTTATGAAATGATCTTCAGTAGAAATGCAAAAGCTACAGTAGTCCTCATTATATCGAAACCTCATTGTTTGAATGGGAAACGCTTGACGAGTTTTCAATGCATGAAAATCCCCATTTATATGAAGTCGGCGCGGGGCGAGGGAGTGGTGATTGGAGACGTCACTCCGATCGATCCCCTCCCCGTCAAATCCCCCCAAAATCCCATCAAATCGATCTCAAAATGATCTCCGCAAAATGGTCCCCGATCTAGTGTTTGAACTTATCCAAAAAAGTTTGTAAACAAGAAACAAAAATGGATGTACATAGTTTGTCTTGTTTGGTTGCGGATGTGCTGGAATATTTTGCTTCTCGTGATTAACCAACGATCTTCTCTTTGCGGATTGTTCTGTCTCACTGTGGTGTTGTATCCTGTATGATTAATGATTAGACCATAAAAATACATTTATTCACACGAATAATGTGATACAAACAATACACAGACACAACCCCTAGCACTCAACCCCTAAACCCTAAATGAAGGGAAGAAATAAACCCATATATATATATATATATGGGAAAAAGAATCAATAATCTAGCCGGCAAAATTGAGCCCTTGACCTCCCGAGCTGAACTGTTTACATTTCAAAGTTTTCTGATACTGTAAAAGGTTTTACAATTTCGCAATCTAAAAAGGTTACATACACAAGCATCACAATCGCTTCACTATTTATATTACATTTTGAAAACATTATCAATCATTGGGCTAAATGTTTTGTGCTAACTATATTAAAGGCGCACCGTTCGTGCATTTTTCTTTCTTCAGTCTACGACAAGGATACAAAAAGTTTGAAACCGTAACCTCAAATCTGCCGAACATTTCCACGTCACGAACCTCATTTCGGGCCGTTCCAAAAACTTCCTATCGTTGAGCAAAACGAGCAAAAGGAGAATCTGCAAATTTGGCACTTTTTAGCGTCGATCATTTTGGCATTTTTTGATGAGGTCACATCGTTCTTTTTGTCATTGAGTTCGTTCAGATCTCTTTTTTTCAAAGCTTATCGTCGATGTGCTTGCTTTGATCTCGATCGCAAAAAACCAATTACCTACGTAGTTGGAACATTTTTTGAAGAGAAGCTTTAGTTTTTCTGAAACCACCGTAACCTGTCCCAAAAATGAAACTTCCGGAGAACGCGGAAGGAGTTAGCATAATCCATATTCTTTTAAGCCAAATTAGTAATTGAAAGGTCCTGTAAAGTTACCTGGTAAGTTATCCGGTTACCGTAGTCAAGGGTAGTTCTAAACTACCGTAACCCTGGTTAAAGAATGGAACTTCTGGAGAAGAAGTTACCGTGATCTGCATTTTATTGTGATTGCATGTTGCATGTTGTATTGCTTTAGTAAGATTGCTGGGCTAGGTTGCTCAGACATCGTTTCAAAACTACCGCACCAGAGCTTGATTAAAAAATGACACTTCTGGAATGGAAGAAGATACCGGAGTTTCTCTAATGATTACAACTTCCATAAGACAAAAAAGCTACCGTAATCGCTCTTTCATGTAAATTTGGAATAGTCAGTACTGAAAGCTTGTACCGTACCCTAAAAACGAGATATTCAATAAAAATTTTCCATAAGGCATTGCCCTCAACATGAAGACTTACCGTAATCTAGACTACAAGTTCTGGACTGTTTACCATTTTGGGTCCAACGGAAAGACAAGTGCTGTCATGCTAGTATAATACAATATGATAAATTAATATTGAAATTGACATTTAAACAAGTTACGGTAAGTGGCAGATCGCCCACTAACAGTGAAATTTCCATGTACTCAATTTGCATTTAAACCTTCACGGCAATGTCTTCTCAAACGAAATCCCTCATTTCCCCCATTCACTTTTCATTCGTTTGGTCTCTTCGATGCACCCGATCGCGCGTCAATTTGTTATCAACGGTAAACTTAGCTATTTTTCCAAAAATTGTTCTTTTCAGCCCTACAGAGTCTCAACAAGCCGAAAGAGAAGCAACCACAGGTGTGGCGGATTGTGCTTTGTGCTTAAAAAAGAAAACACACCCTTTCTGGTGCACTTATCTTCTTTCATTAACGATAAAAAGTCATATTTGAAACATAGGTTTGGTTCAAAACTGGGTGTGCCTTGTGCTGAAAACAGAAACGCACCCTTTCTGGTGCACGGATCCTTCTTTATTTCTCGTAGTAACTTTCTTGGTTTGGCAAGACAAAATGGGGTTTTTAGTGCGCCAAGAAGGCAATGTTTCTCCATTTTTAAGGAGAAGCATTAGCATATCTACTGGTGAATGGGAAAATCAGTTTAATCGATTAAGCTCAACTCCTTTTGCTTTCAGTTTTTCATCGAAATCGATCGTGATGATCTCGAGAACTATGTGCACAACATGGGCGAACGATACTTCCTCTCGACGATTATGGGGGTTAGATTTGGCATTGGTTTTGAGATTTTGTTGCGCAGCATCGCACATCTTAAGGCTTTTTCGAATATCAAGTGTTTTACAGATACTATTAAGTCTTAGCTCCCTACAGTATGCTAGAGTGTTCAGGCAACAAGATCATCTTTATCTTTCATTGAAGTTTTTAAATGGCATACAGCTTTTTCGGATGAGTACTTTGCAATCTGGTATACTGTAGTGGACAATGCAGTAGCTATTTGCTTGTGGCTACGCTTGTTTGCCTACTGTATTCATAAACGCACCCTTTCTGGTGCACTTAACTCTTTGTTTTCTGTTTTTAGGCAAGCGGAGACCCACAACAATACACAAGTGAGCAATGGGTGTGTTTATGTGTTTTTGTTAAAATCTACCGTATCTTCCATTTGGTTGATCTAGATGTTGATCAGTTTTCAAAGCATAAGAAGTCTTTAGCCTTACTGTAACCAGAAGATAGCCCTGTTTCTTACCGTAACCCGTGCATAAACGCACTCCCTAAGAAGCCTGAGCCTTATTTGTACCCATGTAGATTGCATTAATTCTCAATTGTTGAAAACTCTAGAGAGTATTCAACCCTCTTTTCTTTAGAACAAGCCAAATTTCTACTTGATCTTCTTGGCGATCATTTTGTTTCTTCTCTGCTCGGCCATCGTTTTTTACATCATCATCTATTTCTTCGTTAACAAGGTTAACTCTTTTTAATCTAAGCAAGAATTGAAGCTAAAAATTCTAAATATCTTGAAGCTCTTTTAATCTAAACACAATCTTCTACAATAATCTCATTTTCTTTGTTCAGAGACGTCTCTCGATTCCTCGAATCCATTGGGGTGCGCCACCCACACAAACCGACGAGTACATGGCACGACAGAAAACTCTCGAGGTGTCTTTGGAGTTATTTCTAAACTACTCTGAAGTTATAGTAATCAAAAAAACCTCTGAGTTGTTAAAGTTACTTATAATGAAGTTGCTTTGTTTGAATTACGGTGCTAACAAGTAGATTAAAGTACAGGGTGTCCAAAAAAGTCACTTTGCATCAAATTTCTAAAAAACTTTAAGTGGCTCAAAGTGGTAGGTATGATGCAAAAGTGATTTTTTTGGGGTCGCAAATTTTTGTTATCTTGCCATGATTTTTGCCATATCATGATCCCCTATTACAAGAAATTTCCCATACCACCATCACCATATGGGTCACCACCATGAGATTCATAAAATTTAAACTAAGGTTTTTAGGCAAACACTTTATTCATCTTCATTAAATGATAACCTGTCATACATAAGAGTTTTTCAATCCGCCTTTTTTTTAAAGTGTTCCAAGGAAACGCTAATCAATCAAGTGTATGGTTAAAATTTGTAGTTATCCTAATAGTGTTTGTTATGCATCACGATGCCAGTAAAAAGTTTAAATTTTATGAATCTCATGGTGGTGACCCATATGGTGATGGTGGTATGGGAAATTTCTTGTAACAGGGGATCATGACATGGCAATAATCATGACAAGATAACAAAAATTTGGGACCCCAAAAAAAATTACTTTTGCATCATACCTACCACTTTGAGCCACTTAAAGGTTTTTAGAAATTTGGCACAAAGTGACTTTTTTCTGGACACCCTGTATTTTTGTTTAGGATGCTCTCCTCGCCATTCAATCGTGGAACACGGGAAAGAATAGCTATAAAGCGGTGGGGAAAAGGTTTTTCGAGTTCTTTAGATTTGCTCACTAAAACTAAAACCTAGAAAAAAAAAGTTGGTGTGAATTGCCCAGGGATGGGGCCTGTAAGCCAGGTCAAGCCAGGCCGAGATCAGTTAGAAGACAGGCCCAAGTTTGCCTTTAGTGGACTTGGGAACATTCCCTGGATCATGTCAGAGATCTGGAATCCAGAGATTAGATCATGGTTATAGCAAAGCCAGAACAGAATCGACAAAACTAGAAGTCAGTCCAAGACGGCCTGACCTGGCCCAGAAAAATTGCCTTTAGAATAAACATTGTACAAACATTTGGACTTGCCACAGAAACTCGGGGTCACCTAGTTCTGACTTACAAGCATGATAGTTAAATTTGGCATCTAGCTAATTCCAAAATAATCCCCTTCCAACTTTCTTTGGCCACCGTCGTCTCACACTTGCACTAAAGCTTACCCGTGGTTCCCCCCCTCAAAAACAAGTTCATCCATCTAGTGTTTCCCATAAAACAAATAACTGGTAAGGTTTTGAGGGGTGAAAAATAAAAAGATTGGTCTCATTTGGTCGAAAAGTGCTCTCGAGAGGTCTTTTGGTGAAACGCGCAAATGAATCTGATCGCTGGATGGTCTCAGAATACAGTAATCCTGGTGGTTCCACCCTATTCCATTGCCTAAAGCCTCCACAAAAGCTTCAATATTTTCAAAATTCTACCAGAAAAGGGGAAATTCACGTGAATACATGCACTTTTTCGAGGGGCTTTTTGAGGACCCGTGCTGTTCCCCGCAATGACGTAACTCGTTAGTTAACGAGTTTGTCGATTTTTTTGCGCCTCTGCAAGCTTCTCCATTCCCAATTTTGTGATCTTTAGTAGTCGAATAGGACAGCCTATGTCATGACCATTCGGGGACTTGTTTGTTTGTAAAAGTTTTTGTTTGTTTCAGGTTACTACGTAATAAATTTTGAACCCAAAGGCATTTGCCAAAAAATCTTTGTGGATTGATGCACTTGTAGCCAAATATGCTATTTGTTGTTAGGTGCTACCAGAATGAAAAATTGGTGTTAAGCTTGCCTGGCACTAGATTGCTAGTCCTGCTAGTTCTAGACATGCACTCGGTGATGCTGGAGTCAGAAGATTGATGTCAAACTTATCTAAGAGCCAATCGACCAGATCCGATACAGACTGGCGTTACCTGGCCCACTGCCCGACTTCGGGCTAGTGCTAGTCTAATAGGTAACACACATAGAAAAATCCGTGGCCTAGACCTGGTGCTGACCTAGGTAAGTCTGATCTGTTCTGGCTTGTCCTGGCGACAAGATAAAGCAGAGTCTGGTCTGGTCCTAGCGAATCATGGCCCGTGGTTCGACTAAAGTAGACCTAGTTTTTTTTTTAAATGTGCAAACTGAATCTGCCTGGGTGTCCAGTGGACGGTTTGATCTGCCCTAGCCTGGCCTGATGCTGAGCCTGGCCTGATCCTGATTCGGGAGCCTGACCCTGACTGGGCCAAAGTCCTAAAACATCCTTGCTCAGAGCACAACCCTAATCGATAACCAGAAAACACCAAATCCCACTTCCCTTGTGCTTTTAGGCGGTGATGTATCTGAAATCTCAATGGGTGATCCCTCGTACGAGCCTTTTGCAGATGAATTTCCCCCAAGATTTCCTCAGCAACGTCAACGCGGCGCCACTCACTGAGCAAGACGCTAAAGAGCGATTGCAGGAAAGTTTTGGTTTATCTTAAAAAGTTCCGATTTTTATGTAATCTGAAAATTTATAACAAGTCCAAGTTGACAACTTTTTAACTTTTTAGGCAATGATCCTCCCCAATTGCTCGCATGTCACCAAAAAGACAACAAATGAATTTGAAGATTAAATGCAAATTTTAAAGTTTAAATTGTGTTGGTGAAATAAATTTAATCGATTTGTTCATTGTTCTCTTTGAATATTTGTCCTTGGGAAATCGGTTCGAATTGTTGACGCGGAGACGGGATCGACGGAGACTTTCCGCGGATGCTTTGAGACGATGACGATCCGACGGATCCCGTTCCGGAGAGTGCCCAGCTGATCCTTGAGATTCGAGCGCATACTCGTTGAGCACAGGTAGAGCATCTGCAACGCCTGAGAGTACTGATACAAGTTGAATCTTTGTTTTTGATTGTAAATACAGATTCGGAAAGTCGTAGAAAAGATTCTTCCAGACAGACTTTATCTCGTGATTCCCGTTTGAAATTTTAAAAACTTTGAAAGATCAAAATCCTCCTCAAACCTCTTCAAAAAATTTTGTATGAGTCTACTGGATTTGAACTTTTATGTAAGAGGATGCAATGAATTGCTAACTGTCGAAATTCGAAGTTAATAGATTCCGCTACTCAGAACTTATTTCAAAGCCATTTCCATCAAAGTAACAACAGCTCACCGCTGCCACCGAGCAGCAAATCGGGCGCCCAAAATAACTCAAGTTTGCATTCAGTGGCAGGTCACCGATTCTAAAAAAAACATATTTATTGCCCTGAGCTTGCTTGAGCGGCTCTTTTGCCTAATGTTGGAAGTTAGTTTGCTTATTTGATCAAAATTTTAACTAGCAAGAAAAGTTATCCCATCGTTTGTGCTATCTTTTAGAAATAAACGGTAACCATTACACCCCTTCGCTTACCCCAACTTTGCGCCCATCCAAAATGAGGCATAGGTGAAGACGATTTGCGTAATGAAAACGCAAAGTGAAGTGAAAAGAACGAACTTCTCGCGACGCAGATAACAAATTGAAGTCTGAAATTTGGGGGACTGGGTCAATTTGGGCGTTTAGTTAAAGCTTAGAAATTTCTTTTCTTACCGACACAATCATGAAAGCACAACAAATGTACAAAATTGCAGCGGAAAAGATTGCGATCAACAAGAGAAAGATGCGAAGTGGCTAAAACTTTTTGTAGTTTTCATTAGATTTTTCCCTGACTTGAAACGGCCAAATGTACATCTCTTGATAGAAACCGGGAGTGAACCAAATCTCGGTGATATGTCCAGTCAAATGCAGGAAAAACGTGGCGATAGAGAGGAGAACGGCGATGAGAGCGCCGAGCATTGGAATGTAGGTTTTGGTCTAAAGTTAGACTTGGAGTGAATTATTCGAGAAATTATATTTACGAAACCGAGCTGTACTTTGGGGAAAAATGGAATAATTCAGTTTTTAGCGGGAAACGGGAGTGAGATGTGCCAAAAGAGCGGTGTTTAGATACTTGAGCACAAAGTACACTATCACACTATCACTGCAATAACGTCGAGCAAGGATTACTGTACTACTGTATCACTAAAGTAGCCCTACACAGTGAAGGTACTTAAAGCTAAATATTTTGGTTTTTCAATTACACAGTATGTGTTTGCTCTTTGGCTTTACTGTAAGAGACTGACAATTTACAATACATTATGTTAGCTGAATCTCTACAGTTTGAAAAAATAGAAACATATCCTTTTTGGCGCACTTGCTTTTTCTATTTTCTAGCGGGAAAAGAAGTGAAGTGAAGTAAAGCCGAGATTTTTGAGCACAAAGCATGCTATCACTACAGTACCTTTGAGCCCATTCGTGAGATCTCGTAGTATCTCAAGAAAGCCATTAGGAGATTCGTGTAGACTAGGAGATCTTGCAATGCCCCACCCACTCCCTGCCAAACGAGGTTGAGGTCGACTCGGAAATTGAGCGCACATCCAGTGATCACTGATTCTAAAAAGCAAACTCAATATGTATGTCCATCACTAGATTTATAGCTTCCTTTATTCCTCTGACAGTTCATCTGAATGACAGCCGTTTCTCAAATGAATAACATCGGTGACCTTGAGAGTTCCTAGTATCTATTTGTGGCTCCCATGCCCTCTTTGTATGCTATTTTTGTCATTTACATAAGAATCCAGTTTCTCTTGTATTTTTCTTTACATACCCCTTGCCGACATGATCAGCGTCACCGCATCCGATATGTACAACAACGCGATGCAAACTTTGAAATTAATATTCAGCTCTCGAATTGTTAAAAGTAACACCAAGATAAGCGTATAACAAAGGAGAACAGTGAAATTGTAAATGCAAATGAGGTTAGAGGAAAACATTGAGGTGTACGGTGGAGAACATTGTGGGTGAAGCCAGGAGGTCATCTGGAAATGATGGACTAAACCTATGATAAAACCAGGCCAGACCAAGACCTGGCTTTTGGCTTACAAGTAGCCCAGTCTTTGTCTGACCTTGATCCGAAAATCGAAATTTGCATTTGAAAGAACCCTAAGAATATGAAAACTTTAAAATTTAAAAATTTAACAACTCTGCAAAGTTGTTAGCAAAACGATCTTTGAAATTTTCGTAGGCTTCCAGCACCCTTTTTTTCAAACTAAGTCCAAGCATCAAAAAGTTATTTTTATTCAGCTCAAAAGTTTATCACCAACCATCACTTGCCCCATCTCGATTATCGTATCGAATGTCGGCATGCATCCCTGCATTGTGATACAAGCCGGTGGCACGTATACGGTAAAATTGTTCATCGTTTAAACTAAAAAAACAACTAAAAGCCAAGTCTGATTGTACCAATAACTTTACGGCAAAATAGAAAACACTCCGATGAATATGTACCAAAAGTTCGACTCAAATGTAAACCCATTCCACCATTTGTTTTTCTCTTCTCGAAAATCCCATTCCCCGCCGTCACTAATTTCATCTTTGTGTGGGACTTGTGAAAAAACGCACAAAACACTGAAAACACTCATAACTATTATTAGAAAAAAAACTTGGCGAAAATAACACATTGTAGAAATGAGATTACAGTGAGTCAGATTGGTTTTTGAAACTTTTTCGTCTCGAGGAAAGCTTTTTCAAGTACATGTTATTATGATTGAACTGAAAATTTGTTAAAAATGGGTTGTGTATACTTGTGATAAGCTCTTTAGACGCCAAACTTGCAAGCTGGACAACGCGAATGCAAAAGTTCTTGAGAGTCTGTCCTTTTGTGCGTTGCTCTCGGTCAATGCGCTTTCTAAAAGGTATTCCAGAAAACTGCCATAATCCGAACTACTAGTTTACACTCGATCAGCTCAATTTTGATATCATTGACTGGCTTTATGATTTTTGCCTCTAGTTTTACCGGTAGTTAACATGTTAGATTACGCTTAAGAAAACATATTTAAATATACTGATTTATTAGGTGTGCTTTGTAGCTTTTGACAAATTTATTCTATTCACTCTCCACCCAATCGAGCACTACAAAGTATTGCGCAAAAAAATGTACAAACTTACGTTTTTCGATGTCAAAATTTGATATGAAGTGCTTAGTTAAAGCTTTCAAACTTGGCAAATCAACAAAGCAAAACTGTTGCAAAAGTCAATTTTATAAAGTCTCGGTTTCAAATCTTGCAGTATCTCAAAACTGACAAAATAAAAGTATGTCCCTAATTGTGAGTTTAATGTTTTCATCATATAAAATATTAAAAGAATAAACTTTTATTTATCACGACACCATTTAAATGCTCGGCCTTTGTACCGATGCTCTGATGGTCGAGACTGAGACCGGTTCCAGTGAAATCCTCCGTTTTTGTGTCGTCCTCGTCCCGGTGATCACTTTCCTAACCGTCATCCGAAATTTCCCCAGTTGATCTTTCAATCCAGATCGCATACTGCTCGAACACAAGTACAACATCTAAAACAGCTATAATTACTATTTTTCTAGTTGTCCAAAGATAATCACATGGTTGGGAACAGTTTTGTTTTGTAACTGTACATGTAGTATCAAATTTTATGAATCGGTTATCACAGCTTTCAAATTCTTAGAACTCATGTGCTATTGAAAATTGTTGCTTTAAAATTGTTACCGGTGCAACAGATGAGCAAAGTGGACGACCGAAATAACTCAAATTTGCGTTGAATAGAACATCTCCAATTCTGAAAATGGGTAACTTGGGTAATGGATAAAATTTAAAAGAGCCATCCAGTATCTAGTTAACCAGATAAATGTTTGTTATTTTTGTTTTCGACTCAAAACCGTACCCCAACTTGCAGCCCATCCAAAAAGTGGCATAGGTGAAAACGAGTTGGGTGACGAAAACGGAAGCTGATGTGAAAAGGATGAATTTCTCGCGATGCGCGAAGTTTGATGATAACTGAAAAAGATAAATTAAGAAGTCTGGGATTTCCAGCAAAAAAGACTTTTGAGTCGGTTTAATTACTCAAGTAAGTCGGTCTTGACGGAATCGTTTCAAGTGAGGCATCAAGTTCCAGGGGGAACCTTCCTTTACTTACATTTCACACAGTGAACTGTTTTTATTGGCAAGTCGTTTTGTCCATTTATTTGATCTATTGATCCTTGATCAAATCTTTGACCATTTCAAAGTCAAATAACCGTTTTTTTTTGTTATTTGCCTCTATATGTTGATCTCTTGAATAGAACAGTGCCAAAAATGCCGACATTCAGAAGATTATGAAATAAGCTTTCAAGAATAGTTTGTAAACTTCCACCTTATGATTTGTTCTAACTTGATACACTGGTTTGTGAAATAATTACAGGACTTTTGGAAGAGATTGCAAAATTATTCAGAAATCTCTACAAAATATGAGTGATATATCTTTTCCAAAACAAACCGTCACGATTCGATACGCGCACGCGATGTAAAAAACGGTGGCCGTGAAAATCGCCACCACCAGGTAAACGATTCGGATGTACTGAAAATTTTAGTTATCAATGTAATTCATATTTTGAACCTGAAATGGCCAAAGATATCTCTCCTCATAGGTCCCATTTGGATCGTACCACAAATAGGTGATATTGCCGGTGACATGCAAAAAGAATGTGGTTATGCAAATGAGAATCGAGAGAACCGCGCCGACACTTGGAATCCATTGATTTGTCTGTAATGATCATGAAATTCTGAATCCAACAGGTTCCATTGAAAACTTAGAAAGATGAGATATTAGTTGCCCTACCTACCGTAGCCCATCACCCAATTTAACCACGTTTTGATCGGCTACGGTGACTGGAGCACGGTATAGAGCAACTATTGGTAGGTAAACAATTTCCTGGACACTCTGCTAGGAAAACTGCAAGTACGAAAGGATTTCTCACCTCACTTCCTATATGTGTCGCTTCGTGAAAGCGCAAATAAGCCATGAGAAGATTTGTCGATATCAACAAGTCTTGCACCCCACCACCGGCTCCCTGCCAAACGAGATTCAAATCAACGCGTAGATCCAATGCACAACCAGTGATCACAGCTTCTACAAAGGCACGAGTCATCGTCTCATATGAACCAATTTAAGGATAATCCAATCAAGCTCTATTTCAAGTTTAGATATCTTTTTCGAATTTACCTCTTGCAGACATGATCAACGTGATCGAGTCCGATAGATACAATAAGCCGATGCACACTCGGAAGTTGAAGTTGAGCTTTCGCATTGTTAGAATAAAGATTAACAGAGTTGTGTAGCAGATGAGGACCGTGAAATTGTAAACGCAAATAATGTCTGAAGCGAGCATTGAGGTGAATATGGGTAGGCACTGGGGATGGAGCCATGAGGTTGTCTGAGAAGAGATCCATAAGTTTGAAAGAAGATTTTACAAGAAAGAGCTGCCACTTATTATAGTTTAATCGCTGTTAAAGTATCGCCGAGCAAAAGACTAACAATAAAGATTACCATAACATTGATCATCTCAACAACTGTGCTCAATGTCGGATAGCATTGTTCCATTACCAAACAAGCTGGAGGCACATAAATTGGTGGTGGAGCAAAAGTGGTAGTGCTGTTGTGCATTAGAGCCGATGGAGTTTTGAAATTTGAAATTTTAGAATTTTAGAACAGTTTTGCTGTACTTTGTGAGAATGAACAATTTCCGAACTCGTTCGAATTTTGTTTTCCCATTCACCTCCCACTCAGAATTTGGCATTTCGGAAGTGGGTTGATCTAATGAAATTTGTCCGATTCTAGGATTTTTCATATTTTCGATTGTTATTACCTTGTTTATGCTATATTTTGGTTCTAGAACGAAAATTACCTCGAGTTTTTCTTGGTGAACCCAATTTGTCCCTAATTTTGAGTAATGTCATTCCCGCCTCCGCTCAAAAAAATCTCAAACCTCAAATTTCTTAATGGATTTCTGGTGATCGGAAATTATTATGTACACTTTTCTATTTTATAAAAGAAACCTTTTCAGTAACGTTCGTCGTATGGATTAACCTTTAAACAGCTTAATTCTCTGATTGTAAACAGACTTCTCTGATTGTAGTAGCGTTTAACCAGCTTTGATTGATCTCAATAATAAGCCGAGCAAGCAAGTAAAGCCTCAATAATAAATGCAAAATAGGGCAGTTCCGAGAGTTCTTAACACATTCTTAACACGAAGTCATTGTTGGTTTGGTGGTCTTTTCCAATGACAACTATCTATATTAGCCGTGGACCTGAAAATTTGTAACCGGAGGCATTCTAGAATGAAGAATCTGAATTGGAGAGAAAAAGGCGAAACCGAATTTGGGTTTTGTCTTTTATCTCTGGAGGCCGAATGAAATATCCAAAAATAAAGCAGTTCTCTTAACTAAAAAACTAACAACGGATTCGAATTGCTCATCCTCGAAAACCCTTGATTGCAAACTTTTAATTCAATTGGCCTCAAAAAAGGGCCAAATCCACGTACGGCCCATCGGTGGGCCGTATCGTCGCGAATGTGTCAAGAATATTTTAAACCTGAAAAACTTTCTTGAGAGGTAATTTTCCGAAGATACAAACAAGCTTAATTTCAATTGCACGGTTTGTTTCTATCTGTCATTGTTGAATTTGCCTATGAATTAACTGTGGAAGCTAATTGTGGGGTAACCAGCTGCTCACTCATCCCATAATGCTTTAGTTGCACAAAAATTATTTTGTTTTGTGACCCATCCAGAACCACATTTGGATAAGTTTTAAGGCTAACAGGCACTAAACTGTCAATGAAATTTTTCTTTAGGCATTGGAACGCATTGAGTTTGGAAATGAACCAAGTCTTCAGTTTGGACTAGCGTCTAGTTTTCTCAAGATTTTTTTCCAACTTTTAATGATTTAACTTTTTGAAAAAGTTCTCTTGAACTTTACCTGTTGATCAACTTTCCCTCAAAACTCAATTTCGAAAGGCTAATATTTTTAGCCTTTCTTTGATTGAAAAGCGAGGGTGGCTTGATTGACCTAGAATCGAGTTATTTTCCCATTATCGCCCGACTTGTTTATTGTAAACAAAAAGCTACAAAAGAAATCATTAGCTAGAAATGTGAAAAGTTAAAAACAATAAAAATGTATTTTTTCAAAGTTTCTTTCCGCGGATGTAGAGGATTCCCTCAGAAAGCTGAGAGTGAATCGATTTTGGATCGGAGCCGGCTGGGAGGTGATAGCAGCTGAAATTGGATATTGAATATGGTAGTTCATAAGGTTATTAAAAAATAATTTCTTTTAAGCTAGCGATAGATTAGATACATATTTAAGTGAGTAGTCACACTTTGAAGGTTTATTATTTTGTCTAGAGATCTAGAGATAGGATTATTTTGTGGAGTTTTAAAGAGAAATGTTCTCTCAGTTTGGCTATTGTTTAAGTGACATAATGGTTGACAAATGATGTAGAATTTGAAGCAAAAATACCACCAAATTCAAGGCAAAAGTTTGCGCATAGCCCAAGAAAGCTCTATATTTGTATCCGGGGATTTTCGGGTACAGAGAACACCACAATTTCTGTTTTCTGAGGGCCTTGGTTGGCTGAGCAATGTGTAGTTCTCTATTTCCATGCTAGGTCGATTTGATTTTCATTCCATTTCACTTACCGGCTCACTTTTCGCGTGACAGTACCGAACTTGTCCGAGCGAATCTCGTGCTCGAAGTCGATGTCGATGCGATCACCATTGACTTTCACCTGAAAGTTGAGTTGTACAAGTTAGTGTACAGAACTGCGTAATGGCTTTACTTTGCAATCTTGAAAATCCTCATCGTTCAGGACATTTTCTTTACTATAAACAGTTCTTTCTCTCACCGAAATCTCCTTCTCGGTGAAGTACTTGGCATCCAGACCGATCTCGAAGTCCTTCCCGTCCTCGTGAACCTGAAAATCAAGTAAAATGTAAAATTATATTTTTAAATCAAATTAAAATAATCAAATGTATCTGATTGTAAGTACTGTAGATAAGATTTTATCGGAAAATCACCCTAACGATGCCATCTTGTCCATGAAGGGGCCAATCCCAGAGCTGTTCCTCAGTTTTCTTTCCGAGCTCGATTTGAGACATCTCTCTGGATCAATAGAGCTCTAAATTTTTAAGGTTTACGATAATTTCCGTATAAAAACTAATTGAAAAACGAAATTTCGATGAGAAAATTAGATGAAAAACTGAAAGACCGATTCTACCTCTTCAGAAAGCGTTTAGCTGATTGTAAGAAATCCTAAAAATTTTAAAACAACAAGGCTTTTGATTAGAATGATCCAGTGAGGCAGTTGAAAGCGAAATGCAAATGTGGAACAGCTGACCCCATCTCTTTGTGAGCATCCCAATGGTACGGGGATCTCGATGTAAAGCTCAACTCTAGCACCCCTTTTGAGCCCTGAGAGCCCTATCGGATCAGAAATTTTACATAAGGAAGGGTTTAGGGTATTACCACAATGAAAAAACTACATACTTTTATCTTTTGACTTTCGCAGTCAAGGCAGTCAAGTTACTCTTGTCAAGTTTCGGGTGTGACTTAGAGCCAAAACCCTTTTGGCAATGAATTTTTGCATAGTTAAAAGGTTAATAACATCTTTATCTCATTTGAAGATGATGCTAAAACATAAATTGAGTCAAGCAAAATTTTTAAAATTAAAAAGAATCGCAAAATAGCTCAGAACATATTAAGCAATTCATATCCGGTCCCGATGCTTGACCAAATGGTAATATGCACCATTGAATACACAATCGATGAGCGATCAAGAGACAGCCACGACCGAATGAGGCTTGATCCAAGGCGTCTTGCACTACCTGAAAAGAACGCTCACTTAATTCAATAATCTAGCTTCGTGTCAGCACCAGCAAGATTCATCATCAATGTCAACTACTTGAATAACAAACCCGTTCACTTTCCGCATCCAAAGCACTCGTCGCTTCATCCAAAATGAGAAATTCCGGGTTTCGAATCAGTGCCCGTGCAATGGCGACTCGTTGTTTTTGTCCTGAAAGCATGCTGGATAAAAAACGAAGATTTTTCAACCGCTTTTTTTACAAACCTCCGGATAGTTGTGCGCCTTTCTCCCCAGCAATCGTCTCATATCCATCTGGAAGCGATTCAATAAACGAGTGAATATTTGCCGATTTTGCCGCTTCGATCACTTTCTCTTTTGAAATAAGTTCTGGCGGAATTCCGTAAGTGATATTATTCTAAAAATAAAATTTGTAGATCAATTTTCTTTTATCAAACTTGAATCGAGCGGAGTTCTTTTCGGGGCATTTTCGAGAGCGCAACTCCATTTAGGGTCTAGATTTGGAAGTTTTGACCCACCGACAAACGTTACTTTCTGACCGGGCTCCACGGTGAAGGAGAGGCCTGGAACTTGGGGAATTCAACAATTCTGTGGAATTAACAAAATATAATTATATAATTGTAAGATTGTTTTAAAAATTTAAGCTTTAACCTCTCAAAATCTCTACTTCGGCTCGTTGTGGATAGGTGAAATTCAAAGCGGAACGCACCGAATTTTGCATGGAAATTTGGGGGTATTTCCGTAATTACTCTAATAGAGAAGTGTTTTCGCCGTTTAAATCGTCGTTTAAAAGAGAAAAAGATACATAAAAGTTCCACTTCTAAAATTTGAACAGTTGAAAAGAGTAATTGAAAAAGTTTCCCAGACCTCTAAAATGAGCCAGTTCATTTTAGACTGACTTTGTAAGTTCTTTGTTCACTTGTAAGTACGGTTCCCTTGTTAGTCTCACATTTCTGTGAATTCGAAGCACAATTTACTGGCTGTCCTTGTTTCCCATTCTCTATGAGCCTAAATGACCTTGATTAGAGAAAAGTAGAAAAACTTCCTTGCAACAGAGAAAAAATTCTCTTCACTTGGATGAGCGACTTTCATTGCGCAATCCTATCGACAAAGTGCCCTTTGACCGAAAAAGTGTAACAAAGTGTAACACAAATGAATGTTGCTTCTTTCACTGAACACTTTTTTCGTGTCGCCGAATTTAACCGTTGAAAAATTTTATAATAATGTTATACTAAAGATTTTATGAGGCTTTTCAGGTTCTATTAATATTTTCACTCGTAAATTTCAAGAATGCCTCCCTTCGACCTTTCAAGAAAAAAATGCCTCCCTTCGACCGCGTGAAAGAGGAGAATGGAGTGACCTTGGAAGTGTCGACGAATTTTCGATCCAATTCATTCGAGGTCCCGAAATTGGCCACCACCAAAAGTTACACCAAGGAAAACGTGGCGGGAATCAAGCGACTCTCGGTGACTTTTATGGTCTCGAAAAATGTGCAAACTCTAAGAACGACCTATGCGGCGAGTCTCAGTATCAGTAAGGAGATTCTGGGGACAGGATGGGCTTTTCAGGTATTTAGTTTTGCTTTTGCAAAATTCAAATTCAAAAAATTTTTGAGTCGGGCGCAGAACTGGATGCGGATGCTGGCGAGGTGGTGATTCCACTCATTTTGACGGACAAAAAGAGCGGGTTCGCTGTTGGAGTCGAAATCAAGGCCACCGTAGATCCGCTGGCATTCAGCGAAAACGTCAGTCTTATTTACATAGCCAAACAAGGGTTCTTGTTTTGCAAATACAAGTGTAGCAAAGAAAATTTCAGGGACTCAACTTTATTTTGTCGCTGCCAATGCTTGGTAGAATCGTCACTCTGAAGGTGAATCCGGGATCGAGAAATGTGACGGTTCAGTTTGCAGCCAGCCACGAGCTGCAAACGCTCGAGCAAGCAATGGTAAGCATATAAAAGCATAAGTTGTAAAATCTCGAGTTACAAAATGCCGACTCCGAATGAATTTCTAGTCTCTCCTCTATTAAGTCAAACAAGATTTGTTTACAAATTAGGGAGCTCTCGTCCAGATCTCCGAATTGAATTATGCATTTTTTAGTGCCAGTAAATCAGCTATCCACGACACTTTAGGAAAAAAGAAACGTCAATTACTACAGCATGGCGGTCGACCGCCTCCAAAATGGATGTATTGAAATTACTGAGAAAAGGACAAAAAGCGATCAGCAGCAGGTAGTACTGTAAACTAGACCTGGTTTTCGAATCGAATCGGTCAAAGATCGATCTGAAATCGATTCGATTGGAAAAAAGCCAACCAAAAACCAGGTCTACTGTGAACTTTAAATTAACAATTCTCTTTCAGACTAATGTGAATTACAATGCAATTCGAGACAATTCGAACGGGGTGAGATTCGTCGATGTACTGGAATCGGTGGCTGACGTTCTCACCACTCCATTTTTATGGGCGATTAATCTCTTCTCCGGAAATGAAACAAAAGAAAATCAAAAGAATCTCAATGTTAACCTCAACTAGTTTGGCCCCATTTTTTCATTTAGCATCTTTCCTTTGATTATTGCCAATTGAAAATGTAAGAAAGTTGTTTTCGAATAAAGCCTGAATATATTAAAAAGTTCCGCAAAAAAGTTGAGCGTTCACTTTTTGCTCAAATTATTTATTCCGAACTCCATGCAAATCAAAGAAAGTATAGAAAATATAAACACAATCTTTCGGAAAGAAACAAAATAAATTACCTGTCTACAAAGAGGTGCTTTTCTCAGAAGGCTGCAAAAAAATGATAAATCCAGAAGAAACGATGAAAATGAGCAGCTATTTTTTCTTCTTCTTTCTTTTTCAGAAAAATTCTTTAAAAATAACTCATTCGCTAAGAGGAGATTTTTGTGGATGCTTACCAGGAAGTTCTGTCAACAAACTGATTTTCCAGAACTCTTTTGGTTTTTAGTTCGCATATGTGATCCCGAAAATACTACTGTATCATGGTATTTCCAAAAGTTAATCATAGCTATTTATCTCTTTCTGTGGGTTTCTCGAGCCTCACCGACTTTTGATACTTCGAAAAAACAAAAAGCGCTTTTTGCTCTTTCTCTTTGTATCTATATATACTGCCAAAATTGCAACTCGAATGGTTCAGCCGTTTTGCGAAAATGTCTCGATTTTTATAACAAAAACAATCTTGATGTAGAGAATTTATGTGGGAGTCGCAACACCTTATAAGAGTTGATTGTTTGAAATGCTTGAGTGCGCAAGATAATTGGGTAATATTCCCCCTTTGAAATAACGTTCATCTTTTAGATATCTGATACATGACCAGACTTGCTATTAGCTCCAGACTAGTCTCTGTTATTCTTTTTCCCTTTTTATGAAATAAGTTCAAAGATACCAAGCTTTAGTCCTGCAAGAGCAACTTTTCAAAGAATATGGGTTTGAAACGCTTGATGTGCTGTAAAAGCAATTTGAAAGTGGTTCTTACCAAATTCGATTTATTTTGAGTAGAAAATTGCGCAAAATTAAACTTCCAAATCTCCTCGAATCTTTGAAACAACTGAAACTCTGCCGGAACATGAAAGGATTAAATTTTGAACATGAAAGGACTTTGTTTACTGCGAAAGGGAGGCAAATTGATGACGACAATTTAATCCTGTTTTGTAATGTCTTGTGTATCCAATTTAAAAGTCAACATTAACAAATGTTTATAAGAATTCGCCCCTACACTTTCGTTTTCGATCACTTTTGATCCACTGCATGCCAAATTGTTTTTGGCATTCAAATCCGATTCTGATGCTTGACCAAATGGTAATATGCACCATGTAACATCAACAATTCCCCGTGAGTTCCTGAAATTTCTCCCTTTTATCCAAAACAATCATATCCACCTTGTTCTACGACTTTCCCCTTCTCGATGACCACAATTTTGTCGGCATTTTGAATGGTACTCAATCGATGAGCGATCACGAGACAGCCACGACCGAATGAGGCTTGATCCAAGGCGTCTTGCACTACCTGGAAAGAACGCTCACTTAATTCAATAATCTAGCTTCGTGTCAGCAAAAACATCAATATTCATCATCAATGTCAACTACTTGAATAACAAACCCGTTCACTTTCCGCATCCAAAGCACTCGTCGCTTCATCCAAAATGAGAAATTCCGGGTTTCGAATCAGTGCCCGTGCAATGGCGACTCGTTGTTTTTGTCCTGAAAGTATGTTGGATAAAAAACGAAGATTTTTCAACCGCTTTTTTTACAAACCTCCGGATAGTTGTGCGCCTTTCTCCCCAGCAATCGTCTCATATCCATCTGGAAGCGATTCAATAAACGAGTGAATATTTGCCGATTTTGCCGCTTCGATCACTTTCTCTTTTGAAATAAGTTCTGGCGGAATTCCGTAAGTGATATTATTCTAAAAATAAAATTTGTAGATCAATTTTCTTTTATCAAACTTGAATCGTCTCATCGAATAGCACTGGTTCTTGTGAAACCAAACCGATTTTCGATCGGAGTTCTTTTCGGAGAATTTTCGAGAGTTCAACTCCATTTAGGGTCTAGATTTGGATACTTTTGACAAAATCTTATAGAATTTTACAATTTGTCCATCATTTAACTTGTAGAATCGTTGTAACAGAGAGGTTACTGTACTTTTCCCGCAACCCGATCCACCGACAAGCGCGACTTTCTGACCGGGTTCCACGGTGAAGGAGAGGCCTGGAACTTGGGAATTCAACAATTCTGTGAAGTTAGCAAAATATTATTATACGATTGTACGATTGTTTTAAAAATTTAAGCTTTAACCTCTCAAAATCTCCACTTCGGCTCGTTGTGGATAGGTGAAATGGACGCCTTCAAAGCGGACCTCACCGAATTTTGCCTGGAAATTTGGGGACATTACCGTGATTATTCGAATAGAGAAGTGTTTTCATTCACCTACAGTATACTTAAGTTTATAGGAGTGCTCAAAATGAGTGTTTTTGACTTGTCACGGGAACTGACTTTATTTGCGGATCATTAAACTCTTCCAGTTTATCTCTTATTGAGGGTCTTAAAAACCTCAGATTTTGCTATCCTACCGTATTTTCCGATCGCTCTTCTTTCACTTCCGTATCTTTCAAATGTTTGAAGAAAAGCCCAGCAGCCAGGCGTGATTTTCGATACTCAGGAAAGTAGCTGAGAATATAGCCGAGTGATTCCCCGACAGAATGCATTATCACCATAGCTCTGAAAATTTTACTATGAAATTTTTAAACTAGCAAGTTTTAGCCATTAAGGTCATGTGCTTAAAATGAGGCTTTTCGACCTGTCACCGAATTTTTCTGGAGTTATAGTTTTTCGAGTACTGCTATGTCTAAAATCCAAATATAGGTATGGTACCTGAATATATCGAACGGTTTATAAGAGTTATCTTTCAGATACCATCCGGCCAAATAGTACTCGACGGCAAGAGTGACCGCATAGGTGGCCTCAGAGAGGCCGTTCACGACACCCTGGAAAATTTGTAGAACGTTGAATGCCTATGTTTCGAGTGTTATAACGTTCTAATGCCGATAAACAGAAAACATATTGAAGAGAATTGTTAGTTTCATACTTTGAAAAGACAAGATACTGGTTGCTTGGTTGATTGAAATAATACTGTAACTAGAACGGCACCTGGAAACATTTATGGCAAACTTGTTAGCAGGGATGCTCTAACCAGGTCTGACCTTTATCTTGATCTAGCCTGGCCTTGAGATTATCTGTCTTGTCAATAGAAAAACCCTGCTCACTATACTGGAGCAAAAAGTACAAAGCCTACAAATTCTCCCAACACTTACACTCCAAAACACTTTTCGGCTATTGTTCTGATGGGGTTTTTGGAGGAGACCACAATATCGCTGATGCATCCTCCCTTCAAGATTCAAAGATTGAACGACGATTATGTTTTCAATGCTCTCTGACATGAGCTGAAACAAATTTTAGGTGTTTGGAGAATTGAAGTGTTTACCCTTCCACATTCTTCGATCAACTTTTTGTCAACTTGCGACTCGGGTTCGATGAGGTCCCAAATGCTCCAGAGAAAAGCGATGAAAGGAATCGTTGGGAGGGCTAAAGAATAAGTTGGTTAAATAGGTTTAACTAATGAATATTTCTCTTAGCAACTTACTAACTAACGCCAATGGATAACAATAGTAGAAACCGCAGAGCAATCCAACGATCAACCCGATCAAGCCACGAATCAAGTAGCTCAGACGCATGCTTACCACCTAAAATCTTGATTACTGCAGTCTAGGTATGTTATTGCTCTAGATTGCATAGAATAGTATCGTCCATTGAACTTTGCCAATATGGCTCCTTTTTGTGATGACTTTGTGCTCGAGACTGAAACACACCCTTTCTGGCACACGATTTCTTCAACGACGATTGCAACGACGATTCAATGTCGTCGAGAGGTGCACCAGAAAGGATATGTTTACACACTTGAGCACAAATTACATTTTATACATTTTGAGTTGAATGATAAGTCCAGCCAATCAATTTTTTTTCTTTCAAAAATCAAAAAAATTTTTCACCTGTCTCGTCAAAAAGGCGTCTGATGCCATTCTTGTTGCCAGTTTTCCCGTTGAGTGCTTCGGATTATCGAAATAGGGAGCATTTTGCATCAAAAGGTTTGAAAATAGCTGAATTTAAAGAATTATATATTCTATAAACTAAATTCCTGAAATTCCTGATTTTTAGCTTTCAAACCTTAATCCGAAGCCGAGTCGAGACTCCGACGGCCGTTTTCTCGAATGTGTATTGCTAAAGAGGCAAAAGTTGCAGACTCTTTTGATTAAAATGCAATTATCATTTAAAAGCTACTCTAATTTGAATCTCAATCTATGTTTAATCTTTTTTTAACCTATTACCTTCAACAATGAGCATATCATATCGGGAATGATCAACAAAAGCATTAAAAGTGCAGCCCAGTGTCCATTCTCGAGTTGTGCTTTCGGGTCCAATGAGGAAAAGGACTGAATTTTTGATTAAACACAAGATTTTGACTTTTTCCTTGAATTTTATTTTAAATTTTCTAACCTCAAGTGCGTTCGTTTCGATCCAACGATTGATCGGCATCGAGAGACCCTGTGATTAAGCGATTTTTGAAAAGTAAACTATCTTTTTATTTTCAATTTTTGTTAGTATCATCAAGTAATCAGCTACTTGGCATTATTGCGGTTTTGGTAATTCTTACAAACCTCATAGACACACGTGATCACTCCCACAATGAACAGCCACTTGTCAGCTTGCACTTGTTTGAGAATCTCCCAAAAGCTAGCATTGGAGACCGATTCTTCTTCGCATTCTAAACTTTAGACATTCCATCGGAGGTAATATTAAGTTGAGGTGATATTTTGTATATAAATGTTTTGAACTCTCTGGATAATTTCTAAACTACTTCTAAACTTGACAATAGCTTGGAGAAAAGCATATTAATCCTGTTATTCTTCATTTCCACTTATCGAAATCGAATTAGAAATTAGAAATCGTTTAGGGTTTTTGAAAACAAACCCCTTTTCAATCGAGTCATATCATCTTCTTTCTCTTCTTCATCTTCTTCAGAGAAAATGATCTCCTCATCATCTTCGAAATCGTGATCAGAGAACTCCTCGGTGGATCGACGTTTCGAAACGGCTGAAATGTTTGAAGTTGCTTACAAAGTGAGTCTGCTTGTGGGTTTGGGGTCTTTTGAGAGGGTCGCGAAATCAGGCATGGAAATTTTGTAGAAGAGTACAAACAAGGCAAAGGAAAATTTGTCCCAAAAGTTTGGGTATAGGTACGCCCAAGAGGCGGGAAAAGCTCGGTCGCTGACCGCTCCTTCCCCTTCTGAGGATTCCAAAATGGAAGCACCCTGTACCAGAAAAGTATACCAGACGTCGAGCGTCTGTAAGCGCGCACAAAGAACACCTCCCTTAAGGTCTTTTAAGACCGGGATTTCTCTTTTGCAGTGTAGATGGAACAAAAAGAAGATATTCAGCTGTAACTTTGTACCCGCGGGTTTCCAGGTCAGAGAAGTTATTCATTTATTAGGTCTACAATGGAACTCGGGTTTAATTGGTCTAAACTTTGAAATGAATTCGGAAACTTATTAGCCTATTTTGGCTTTTAAATGATATGCAATAATATTTATCTAACCTTAGAAATCATCAAAAATTAAACAACAAGTACTTTTCTGCTTGAACTCACAAAATTGATTCGTCTGAGTCCGCACGAGTTTGGAGTAATGCCCTTCCAAGGCCATCAACTCTTCATGCGACCCCACTTCGACCACTGAAATTCTGTTCTTGACGTTGAAAATTTCACTAATCACCTTCTCCCTTGCTCAACACAACAATTTTATCGGCTTTTCTAATGGTTGAGAGTCGATGTGCAACCACAATTGTTGTTCTCCCTTTTGAAGCCTTTTCAAGCGCTTTTAACACTTCTTTTTCTGATTCTCCATCCAGGGCACTTGTCGCCTCATCAAGGAGAAGAATTTTTGGGTTTCTAAATGTTGTCTGAATTACAGGTTCGTTCAGTTTCAAACTTGATGATGGCTCTTGCAATAGCGATTCGTTGCTTTTGCCCACCCGACAGCTGACAGCCTCGATCACCGACTTTTGTGCTCCAACCCTGAAACGTGATTGGTAAGCTATTTTTTAAATCCAAAAAAATAGAACGGTGAAGTAAATGAACCCAAAGAGCCACCTTTGGAAGACTTTTCACAAAATCGAGCGCATTCGCCTTTTGAAGTGCCAGCGTGACCTCAACTTCCGTGGCTGACTCTTTTCCAAAGCGGACATTCTGAAGAATTGTATTCATTAGAAGATTTAGTTTAACGATACAAGTGCTGATACCGCTAAGTATCTTGAGCTTTCAGTATTATTTGCTGAAGATATTATATTCAGATTACCGTGAGTCAAAACAATGGGCTTTACAATAAAATACCTCAAGAATGCTTGTGTTGAAGAGAGCCGGCTCCTGTCCGACCACTCCGAACATATCTCTCAACTCTCTCTTTTCCAGCTCTTTAATTGAATTTCCATTGATTGAAATCTGAAGTTATGTCGTATTCTAGGTATTTGAGCAGTTTTTAGAGTCTGGGTGGTCTTACAGTACTCGTGTAAATTTTTTTTCTAATTTAATGATTTATTTTGTCCCAATCTGTTCCACAACACCACTAATTTCTCTAAAACAACCAACTTTTCCTGAGGTCGGTTCATAGAATTTCTGCAACAACTTCACAATAGTTGACTTTCCGGCTCCAGATGAGCCGACGATGGCCACCGTTTGGCCAGGATCACAAGAAAATGAAACTTTCTGAAAAAGATCCAGTTATCGAAAAAAATATTAAAATACCTTCAGAACATTGATCTCTAAACGTTTAGCATAGGAAAAGCAGACATTATCAAAAGTGATTCGGGCCGGTCGATCCAATGAATGGAGCTCTTGAGTGTTCCCCTGAATATTTTCCGGTTTGTGAAAATTATTTTGCTATTTGTATTGTATATTTCTTTTAAAGTCGGTTTGCTCACTTTTTCCGTAGTCGAGGTAGTAGTTGAGTCCAATTCCAGAATCTTCATGAGTCCTTGTGATTCGACGAGTGATTTGCGGAAGGACATCACATCGCCGATCAGTGATGCAAAAGATAGAGTCGCAGATTGAACGGCGTGACCAACCTATGTAAAAACCGATCCTGATAAAATAAACTGATTGTGAGCAATCCGGATAGACCTGTTAAGCTAAATCTATTTAAATTCCTGTAGTTCTATTGGATTTAGAAGCAACTACATATTCTTACACCAAAACCTCATCAAAATATTACTCCGGTACGTATTCGATCGCTCCTAAATGTGGTATGCATTGGTAGAAAAAATACCGTAAGAACAGTGGTTGCTGCAGCTAGGCCCTCAAAGACGTAATCAGTGGCCATCCAATAGGAATAAGCATCAAATGAATTGTAGAGAGCGCTGAAGAAAACCCGCACTCATGGCCCCAAATGATCGCGTTTCGCACATCGCATTTCGCGTTGTACTCAACCGCCTCTTTGAATCTAAAACAAAAGCTTTGTTTGCTTTGTAGTTTAATACAATATTAGGCTGTCCAGAAAGCCTTTTCATTCCTTTTCGTACTTCCGTTTAAAATCAGCAAATGCACCAATTGGATTACAGTTTGTTTCATTAGAAAGTCCAATTATTTTTCTGCAAAATAACATTCCGGCTTTCTGGACAACTTAATAGTACCCAAGTCCCGGAAATTGTTTTTGAGTTATTTAGGTATTGTAGAAAAAGAAGAGTTTAGCAGAAATAGGTTGTTTTCATTTTTGAGCATAAAAGCCCACCTTTCCAATTCGTATTTCTCGCCATTGTGCGCCTGAACCGTTTTGATTGAGCCAAGAGCCTAAACTTCTGTAAACTCGCAGTTTCCTTTAATTAGTTTACCTGATCGAAAACCCTAGCCGCTTTTTGGTAAGTCTCCTCATCGACGGATTCGGATAGCTAAAAATTTCGTTTTATTATTTAATGCTTCTTTAAAACGTTTTAAATTTCAAAATCCACCGTAATCTTGCCTCAAATCTAAAGACACGGAACGCTATGATCTAACCTTGTCAATAAAATAAGCGGCTGTTGACGTGATGCCACAACCGATCAACATATACCCGGCGATTTGTGTGTTCAAATGAAACGCCACATAGAAACCGGCAATGATTTGAGCGATGTGTTTAATGATGAATGCCAGGGTCACCCCAAAATTGTAGCTTAGCTTTTCGGTGGATCTAAAACAGTTGGTAGATAGAAACTGTTTAGAACATCTAACTCACTCAAAAATTGTTGTTGATAGAGTCTTTGGCTTGTTCTCTTCAAACCACTCGATTTCTTGTGCCAGGATTATCTAAATCGGTTGCTGTTCGATATAACCTTGTTTTATTATTTTTTTAATACCTAATTTTTAAAAGCAAGTATGGGTGAAAGAAATTTTCTCTGGTAGGCTCAGGCTTAACTATAGCCAATTATTTCTTTGTTTGGAGCTATCCTTGCTCTCTCAACTGTATTTTGAATGTGTAAAAAACCGGACCAACTTGCCGACGAGTCGGAACTTGTGCCACTTAGGCACTTTTTACACTTATCACACGAGCAAGAGGCGAAAGGGAAACAAATTTTACCACAATTATGTGCATTTAACTTGCAAAAATTGAAAAGAAGGCAGGAAACCACAAATTTCACAGCTTAAATGGGGAAAAGGTCTACGCAAAGATATTCAGTTGAACACGGGGTGGGTACTGTATTGAGGACACGATATAAAATGGAAATGTAATCTGAATACAATTTTCCCTAACTTGTAGTGGCTATGCGCCATAATTGGGCATTCAACTCTAAAGTCTATTCTTCTCAAGCAACCAGTTTTCTGGAATCAGCTTTAGAAAAGTATTGTATTCCCCTGACGATGACTCCTTCGCGATAGATCTATTTTTGGTCTGATTATGTGAGATTCAGAAAAGCACATTTAAACTGGATCGATTCTTGCAATTCTTTTATCCTTACCAAGATTTCATCGTCAGCTACATTTTCCCATCGCTTTGACCAGTTCTGATCAGTGATTCTTTAAATTTTGACCATTTTAAAGAGCCTAGATGTCCGTCCGTCTATTAGAGTAAGCTCATTTTCTACAACACACTCTACTTACTATGATTATTGTTTAGTTTTTAAAATCAAACCTAACCCACCTGAAACGCTCGCTGCTTTATCCGGTGGCAAATATTCTCCGCAGCAGTCATAAAAATTGATCTCTAGAATTGTTTCAAACATATATTTTTAGCATTCAAATTTTACCTTGAAAAAGTTCAAGACGGCCATTATTATGCTCAAATAAAAGAGCCGAAGACAAATCGCGTTCAATTGAGAATCAAGCTCATTGCCTTTGAGATCAACGATCAACGTTGAAAAATTGGCTAAACTCTATTGCTTTTTCAAATTTACTTATTCGATTACCAGAAAAAGTTTCCCTTTCCCGGCAAATCCGTTCTTTGTTGATGAAAATTTGCCAGAGATCACTGAAAGGTGTTGGGTAAAAACGATATCTTCCTACAATAGTTGATTTCTTAATTGGTTCAATTACCCAAGTCAGACTTGACTCTGTTCAGATCAAGTTTTGTGATTCGACTAAACTAGCAAGCAAGTTTGCCATTTTAGATGCCTAGCTTAACCGGGTCTAACAATACACAGGGTTTTCCATTTTTTTAAAGTCTATCTTCTTATCTAAGAAAGTTTGAGCTCAATTTTGAGTTTCGCCAAGTTTTTGAACTAAGAACCTTTCCATAATTGATTTTTGGAGAAGTTTTCATTCGATACGATTCGATTCAGTTACCCAGATTCAAATACCCTATTCTGGGTAAAGTTACAGGGTAAAGTTTTGTGGAAGTTTCTTTTGAAACTCAAAAACTAGTCAAAGCTTTCAAAGCGCCAAACTTTTTCCTATTTTCCCCTAAACAACTCACTTTATCATATATGCATCCTCTTTATGGATAAAACCGACGAAAATTGAGATCACTGTCCCAACAAATACTAGCAAAAGATCTCGGAAAGTGAGAAAATTAAACTGAAATTTGGAAATTTGGGGAAAAAATAGGAAAATTGCTTACCAAAATCAAAAATTGATTCCGCTTTTTCCTCTCGGTTAGCATTTTGTGCTAAAAAGTTAACACATAAAAAAATAGGCATAGAAATTGCAAAAATAAACTAAAAGCTTTGTATTTTTAAGAAAAGATATTGTAAAATTGCTCAAAATTGTTGGAAAATTTGGAAAATTGTTCAAACTAAAACTTCAAAGATGGAAAACTTCAAAGATTTCGATCTTTCTTAAGCTAAAAAATTTTGAAAAGCAGTCTAACAGAAAGTTTTCTAAATAAGAAATTATCCAGCAAGTTTCAAGAATCAAATTTGATTTTTCAAAAATTCCAAACTTACTGAATGATTTTTCACCTCCAAAACCTTTAAGGTGTTATTTCGATTTTTGTCCCAAAAGAGTCTAATCTTGTGCAATTCTGAGGGTGATTGGAAGAAAAAAAGCGGAAAAGAGGGAAAATATAAAAGACTGAGTAAACACTTCCCCTTTTTCGCCTTTTCAATTTGTTCTTTTCGTTTCTTTTCCAAGTCTCAGAATTCAATCTTGCTTTTTCCCTTTTGATCTATTCTTTATCTCCTCGATTTTGAAATCTTTCTTTGGATGAGACAATTTTGGCGGAAGTCTTTTACGATATCTTGATGAAAATGATCTCATTTTGAGTTTTAATTATTTTTGAGAAATTTCACAAACCTTCAATCTTTGTTTGTTACTTTGAAGTACTGTTGAAATGTAAGCTCATTTATTGATCATTTGATGATGAAAAACGATCAGAAAATGAGCTACTGTAAAAGGAATGCAAGTTTTGGTCAGATTTTAAGTTTACCTTCTTTTATATTATAGTTTCAAATTAGCAATAGCAGAAGTTGATTTGGGGAGTGAACGGAATAGCCCCAATTTTATCTTGACTCTTCGAAAAGATATATATCAATACTTTATTCATGTAAGCATGGAACAGTGACATGTTTAATTGACAAAATGGCACACAGTAAACTTATTAAACACAAGAAAAGAAAAATTGTAAAGACTGAAGAATAAATCAATTCATTCCAAATCAAGTTCAAATTCAAATTCAATGACTATCTAGTAAAGTTCAAATTCAAATTTAAATTTAAATTCAAACTTGTTATATGAATGAATGATAAATCTGGATTTAAATCATTTTACATGATTTCCTAAGAAACAATAATATTATAAGAAAATAAGATAAAATAAAACGCCTGAAAACGGACGGAGTTCAAACTAACCGACAAAATTCAGGATTTTTGCGCAGTGAGCGAGCATATAACTCTGATAAATTTAGCCGGTTTGTATGACTCTTAAAAGTATAATAAGAGTTGAACTCACAGACATGCTTAGACAACAAATTCGAGATTCCAGAAACTCTATTGGGGAAGAAATAGAGGGAAGTATCACTCGAGGACCTGGTGGGAAGGAGCTTAAATTTGGGACCATCCCTGCCGGGCCTTTTTTGGTATAATCAGGAGTGATTTGAGTTAAGGATGGGAAATGGGGAAATTAAGAATATTATAGGCAAAGCAGAGAAAGCAGATTAAGGAGTCTATGATGGAGTAAAGATTAAAAAAAGAAAGAAAAAAATTAAGGCGTTAAGGATAAAAGAGTTTGTGATTTCGATTGTAATCTCTTTTAAGAAGAGCAATCTTGATTGAATTATTTCGATTTGTAGTATTTGATTTTCTCGATATAGAGACCAAATGGTGAAGGCGTATTTCAAGGTTCCGATGGCCCGATTCCTACAGGACTACAGTTATCCAAGGATGCACCTGTCGAAAAGAAGTCGATGCGCTTCTGGATCCGCTTGCTTCAGCAAATCTTCACGATTTTGGTCAAGAGACAGAAATATGTGAAGAAGAATTTGGATCTGATATATCAGTTGATCTAGATTTCTAAATTTCTGGTTTTTTATTAATTTTTCTTGAATTTTACCTGTTTTCGTATTCAAATTAATTAAAACCCGTTTCTTTAATGAGTGATAATTATCTTATGTTTTCCAGTTTTGGTCATGTGGATGGCAAAAAGTACTATGAAAAAAATAATGATCCCCGCCCCTCTAATACAATAGCTAATAATGAGCAATAGCTTTGCATGAAAAATGCCAACTACCAGTGGTGAATATTTGAGATTTTTCGTTTTCACGTACATATTTCAAACTTTTCCCAGTATTGTTTCATGTTCGAATAGAGCAAATATCCAAAATTGACTGTCCAACAAAGAAGATAGGGAAAAGGATTCGAGATAGGTAGTGAAGTCATTCAAAGAACTTGACACAAGAACATAAAACATAAAAATATTTAATGCAAAGAGAAATTAGTCGGGGGAAGACTCAAACCAAAGCCAAAAAACTTCATAGGTTCCGCACACTAGTACACTATCCGCTAGACCACCGAAAGTATTTGGGAGGTTTCTTTTTGGCGGCCCAATGAAGAGTCCGAAATTTAACGGAATTTTCTATGACAGATTCCTTGCGATTGCGATAGTAATTTTCTGCTAAAAAATTCTGCTGCTAAAAATTCGTTTAATTTGTAGTCTAAATGTTTTACAAAAAATAATTTAAAAAAACAAAAAACTGTTTATATGCCTTTCAAAAAGTAACAAAAACACATCAGAAAAAAGATCTAAACGATTGTTGCTTGATGCAGAGATCGTGTTTCGATGTTGCACAGATTCACGCCCATTTGAACCTGAAAAATCATTTTTTTGTAACACAGCGTCGAGAGATTTTTGTCAATTTTTAGATGGGTTTACACAAAAAGTAAAAATTCTCTTATGTTGCAAAAGTTCGAGCCAGAGGTGTGTGGTATTCGGTAGCCAGAGGTGGTATCCGGATTGAATCCGGAAAAGTTTCCGGATTATTCGGAATATTGACTATTTTTTAAAATATCCGCACTCCTCTGGTTGGCACTATGTAATTAGTGCAGTGAGCACCGTTGAACTGACCTTCATGAAGCCGTTCTCTCCCCATTTCTCGCCCCACGAATTCTTGACGATCCAATAAGGAATGTCGTTCTCTTTGCCTGCAACATATTTTATTTTATCTTTTTTTGTTTTTATTTTGAGTTAAATTTTTAAGTAGCGTAAATACTGTAGTTGAAGCCCCCTTTTGACCCCTCTAGGCAGTCGGTCAAAAAATTGGTAGGGCCTCATGAAAAAATATTTCTCGCTCAAATGTTTTCTACTAGATGCCCATATGCACAAAAAAATAGGTTTTCAGATAATTCCTAACATCACCGGAAATCCACTGGCCAAAATTTTTTGTTTTCCTATTTTCTAAAATATTTTCTCATTAAAGTTTTTGTAATTTTGATCTCCATATTACATAGGCACATACTCCAAAGCAAAATTTCTCCAAAGATTCCGTTAAAAAAATCGAAGTCAAGATTGAATGTGTCGAATGAACCATACTCACCCCATCCGACAAGGAGCATCGCATGACCACCCATGCTGTCATCAGGGCACTCCTTGGAGAAGATTCCACCCTTGTAGAATCCAAAATCCTTGTTAAAAAGCATGGCTAAAAATGGCACACATGTACTTGATTTGAAATAGCTTTATGTTCCCGAAGATTTCCGAAAGAGCTCCTTACCAATGGCAATCGGTCCGCCCTGCCTGACGGCGTCCTTGATTGTATCGACCGATGCGTTTTCGCCAAGCCAGATGTATTTCGAGACTCGGACTTTTGGGTTCTGAAAAAATCCATTTCAATTTTAAAGAATCCGATTTTAACCTACATTAATTTGATAGCATCCCATATCACCGGTGATATGGTAAGGGGCATCGGTCTCCAAGCCAATTCCGTTACTATCTTTGAGGAAACTATAATAGAATTGTAATTGTACTACTTCAACTACACAGGGGCGCCCCCCTCCAACTTTAGGTGGGAGCGGGTGCGTGATTTTCTCGTTTTGATTTCCTCCCCGGTGTACAGGGTGTTCAATATTTATGGGGACCAGTAGATTACTAGATTTAGAGCTCATTTTGTAATGCTAAGAAGAAAACAAACTTATCAATACGCTTATCAATCAATAATCAATACAAACTTATCACTTATCAATTTACCCCCCCCCCCCCCCCCCCTCGTGATTTTTTAAAAAAAAAAAAACCCGAGAGCCCAAAGCGAACTGCGAGCTCAAAAGTCCGCATAAATATCGAAATACATGTACATGTACATGATCTCTACTTCCCTATTTCCTTCCCCTCTAGACTTACTCGAGGGCGTCAGCGGTGGGTTGTGGATTACAAACACCTTCTGGCGTGGCTTTCGCTTTATTCATGCAGCCCATTTGCTAAAAAAACATGTTACTTGTCTGTTATATCTTCATAAATTAATCCAGAAGTAGGCACCTAGATAAAGCTAAAATGAGAAGAAAAGATGCTAGTTCAAAGCTACACGTAAGCACCTAGTACACTCTAGTCTGGTTCATTAAAGGCTCATTAACCTTTCTGGGGGTATAGTTATGTAAATGTCTGTTTGAAAATGTTTTTTACTATTTCCACATACTATACCCCAACAAAGGACCTATTGTTTGCTATCGTCAATCTCTAAATGCATGTTAGAAAGGCAAAAGTACCTGTTCGGCCAGGTCGAGCAACTCGATGTTCTTTCCGTTCGACGCTTTTCCCGTTTTGATAGCATGCTGTGCCTCCATAAGACCGACCGTACTGTAAAAACATTTGATAATCAAGAAAATGGAAAAGAATCTTTACGTGAACGCCCAGCAACTCGAGCACTCGAGCTGGTTTTTGACCGGGCTGATCACTCCGTAGTTCCTCCAGTCGAAAGTCTCCGGTAGGAGGTTGGCACCTCGTCTCGCTCTTGTTGTCTAAAACTTACTTTCTCTTTTTCATTGGCAAAAATACTTCTAAAATTAATGGTGCTTTCCTGTTCTCAGTGGGGGAGTGTATCTGCACCCCCTAATACATGCGCCGATACCTCCTGTATCTGCCTAAGTTGGTCCCCAACCATGCCAAAAATCTCCCCTTTCCTGAGAACACCTTGCCGTGTTACCTTGCTCCCTTGCTACCGTGATATGGCTTGAAATTTTGTCCACAAGCAGAGAATACCGATTTCTATTTGTAAACAAAGTTTCAGAACAATTTTCCCATGTCTAGTGCATACTATAGTTGGGAGCCCCCAGTATATGTGCCCCCCTCCCCTCTGCACCTATTTAAGTTGGTCGCTAATTATGCCAAAAATCTCCCCCCTCCCGATAACAGGAGAGCATAGCAATTAATAGAACAACAAAAATTTTGTGAAGTGAAAGTTTGTCTCACCTGTCCCGTAGTCTCTCCACGCTCTTCATCCATTTTCTGGAGCCAATCATTCTGTTCTTCTCTTCCTTCATCCCACAATTTCTTAGCTTCCTGAAAAACGATTTATTGTAAAATTCGAAAGTCCTCCACAAACCTCTACATCGACGGCTTCTTTGTCAAGAGGCGAGTCAAAGCTTTTAGAATCGACGAGCACTTTCTAAATGAACTTATTTGATAATAAGATTCAGACATGAATCGCCAAATCTTGGCCTATTTACATGTTCTCACACGATTGAGCTTGATTATTTCGGGAATATAAATACGTAGAGTCTTACCTCTCGGAACTCATCATCATCCAACATCATGTACTGGTTACGTCCAAGTTTGTAGGTGGCTTTTTCCTTTTCGGCCGCTTCTTGAAGCTCTTTCAACTCTTTTTCGTTTTCTTCGAAAATTTTCAGTTCTTCCGCCATTCTGTTCTCGTCAAGCTTGAATCCGAATCTGGAAAATTGATTGTTTCTTTCTAGTTAATAGCCTTTTTTCAATTTTTAAGCAAATGACTTCAAAAAAGGAAAACAAACTCTTTTTGGTATGCCAAGAATTCGTCAAAATTTGACCCAAGTTCCCAGCCGGCGTTCGTCAACAGTCTAGCAGCACGGGCGTACTAAAAAAGAAATTAGGTAAGTGGAAAAAATATATATATAATTTCTGCATTTTTTACGTTGTATAGAAAAAGTTGTTTAAAAAAAGATCCAAGCAAAAGTTTTCTAATTTTTGGGACTAAAAACAAGACAGTTAAAAAGCTAAAGTACTCTATATGCAGAACGAAGAAAGATACCGCTTCTGCGTATTTCGGGTCAAATCCCTCCTTTGACTCATCGGATTTCTCATCGGATTTCTCGGCCGAATCATCTCCGAAACTGACTGCAACGATAGAAAGCAGAAGCGCCACGGGGAGCCAATTTCTCATCGCTCTTTGAAATGAGTTGATTTTAGGGGACTTTAGTTTTGTCTAGACTAGTAAATCTAGACGGGTCTCGAAAAGTTAAAAACAAAAGCAGAACTTTAAATCACAAAACTGGCAATGATTTTGACCAGGACAACCACCCAAGACACTAAACTAAGAGGCGCTGATTTGCAAGTCCATCTTCATCTCTTTTTATAACGTCGCACTCTCAAGGTCAAAATTTTGACCGTTCATTTGCTCTTTTTTGTTTTTCAAACGATTTTACAATATTTTTTCCTCCCCGAAAACTCCGGAACGCACTGAACGGACCAAGGCAAAAAGATTGATATCTTGGGAAAAATGGAGAAGGAAGTGGAATTTTAAGTCACAAAAATGGATCAATCTTGTGCTATTTTATAGTGCTAACCCAAATTTTTTTGCGATTAGAATGGAACTCAGCCGAAGATCAGAACTAAATCTGATGGGTAAAAAAACAAAAACCAAATTGTGTTATGAATTCATAAACAGGTCACCCAGGTATTCGTCAACAACGACGATAACAAAAAAATCTTCAAGTGTCGTGGAGACATCGCAAAAGCGATTGGAGTTGTGAGTTGCTAGAGAAAAAAACGATTGTATGTGGTTTGGCAAATAAATTTATTGAATAAAAATCGAGTTTCCTCAAACGAACAAAAGCCGAAAGAACAAAATAGCACAGAGAACCAATAAAAACATTAGGGAAAGAATAAAAATTATGTAAATGTGTGGGTATTTTTGTTTACCCTTGTTCATTGCCATAATGACTTCACCGGCGCATCGCGCAAATTTCTGAAAAGATGACAATGTGCTTTTTGCAAATTGTTTCTTTTGATAAATCATAGTTTGAAGTCTCAGTCAATGTTGTTTTTTTCATTTTTTAGTTTCTTGAACATTGTACTTACCGGATCTATTTTTGAGAGAAGTTTGTAGAAATCGATGACAATTTTGTTCATATTCTCAGCATGACAAAGTTTCTCGAGTTGATCGACGTGGCACTTTGCAAACTTCACCACATCACTAAAAACCATCACTAAGCAGTTTATTATACAATTCATTACTGTCCAAATGAGTGGTAGCGGACTGACAAATCCAAATTGAAACCGGTCTTGACCTGACTCTTCAGAACAAGCTACGTTAAAGTCCTTAAAATGGTATCAACTGAGGTCCCATAATGTCCTATTAAACTTTTGATTCTGAGTTCCACGATGAAACTGTACGCAAGACACTTACAAACCATTAGTATCCGGTATGATATAACAAGTGTTCTTATTCTTGGCAAAATTTGGGGAAAAACTCACTTGCAAACGGAATCATCATTCAATTCCCCACATATTTTTTCAATTTCCTCCTTTGTCTCACTGGCATGACATTTTGCGACAATGGGTGGATCTATAAATCTTTCTATTTTTAAGCCAGAGAAAAGCTGGATACAACTAATAGTTTATTTCGTACAAACTAGGTTTTCAGTCCTATACATAATAGTCTTGGCATTTAAAACGTATTTTCAGAATATTTTTATTATGCGCTTCCTACCCCGACTCTCAAGGAGACTTGCTAAAATTTACAATACCAAATTCTTTACACTGTAATCCTTTGGACGTTTCAAGAGACAAACCTGGATTAAACGTTTCGATAGAGGGCGACTTGCAGATCACATCTTTCACATAGGACACCGTTATAAACATCCCCAAATCCGAGAATGTGATGTTGATGGGGTTTCTCTTGACATCAGCGTAATCTTTTATGTACCCCCTAGGGAATCTTGCTGTTTATCTCTTGTTGAATTCTTTAGCAAGCAGTTTAGACCGACCATAGTGAGCCAAGAGCGTGAAAGCTAGTCAAGATCAGGCTATACAAAAATCTGATGCTGGTTATGAACTAAGGTAAGAGGGAATCAATACAAAGTTCAAACTTTTGAAAACATAAAGTCTCCATAAAAAGCAGCTTTCCAATTGGAAACTGATTTGGCCAAGCTCATGTATGATCCTGAACTGATCTACTATCTGTTTGTACAGGGTGATCGATAATTATAAAAACAAGGTAACAAGGTAGCAAGAATAACTTCTGTCACTTCTGTCAGCCACTCAAACCCTTTTTGACCATCCTCCCTGTTTTGCTTTGCTAGAAATTGGAAAAGAATAATTATAAGAGAATCCTGTAAGCAAAAAAATTAAAGTTTTTAAAAAAAATTTTTTTTTTAAACTTCTGATCGAAAAATTCGAGCACTTGTTACCATAATTATGGCACATCCTGTATATCTACTAAATATGGGTTCTGATAGAATTTTCATTGAATCGAATGGGATCGAATCCAAGCCGGATAAAATATTCTCGGATCGGATTGTCTCTAATCCGGCCCGACCCGAACCCCATGTCTACTTACACAACCTAAACGAGGAAAACTCACTCGCAAAAAGCTTTCACAAAACCCTCGTCCTTTTGATTATTCTCGATAGCGGGCAGAGTCGATGCATTTTTGCTGAAAAGTTTGATAATCGCTGTAAATGTGAATGAGACTTGATCACCATGAGTTCCAAAAATAAAAGTGAATAACAGTAACATAAATATTAACATGATTTAAGTATTAGAAATAAAAGTGAAAAAATAAAGATTTTCCTCCATCATTTCGAACGTTTATCAGTTTTTGCGGTCGTTTTTATCAAATTTCTCTCAGAAAGGCTTTTTCTTCCGCTTTTCCTACCGATTTCAATATGAGAAAAAATGAGAGATGATATAGGAAACTTTGAAAATTAGCCGTCTGGAATTTTTCTATCACAAAAGGGCACATGCTTCCACTCGTTCCTTCTCTTTTCTATTAGTTTCTTTTTTTTGAGTCACAAGACCACCAGTTGTAAAAAATACAAAAACTTTCGCTACTCCGTGTATCAGAAAATTTGTTTAATAAAATTTAGGCGATATTTTCCAGGTTTCACCCTAGGTCCACTGCCATTTTTTATCACAAAGAGGCACATGCCTGGCCATTCTCTTCCCATTAGTTCCTCATTTTTCCGAGTCGAAAGACCACCAGTCGGGCCAGTAAGACAGGAAGTGGATGTGACAGTTGCAATCACGGAAGTGCCACTCATTATTTCCCATTCCTATCAACTGCTCTTTCCAGTCTTTTCCATTTCTCTTGAATGAACCCGAGAGCTCTCAAAAAAATCATCACATTTGTTTCCCCTAATTGCACAAAACCTTCCAGATCCCACCGAATCTTTGCTAGGAGAGTTCAAAGACACTTTGTTTACCAAGATCCCAATTTTTCAGTAACTTTCAACAATCCCATTCGATTTTTCAGGAAGTCCAAGGAAGTCTGAGTTCCTCTATATTCTAATTTTATTTTCTTTCCTTTCTCTTACCACATTTTTTATTTTCAGTGAAAATGTTCCATTATTCCCAACTACCGACTGAATTGAAATGCTTAACGTTGAAAGCGACTCGATTAGAGGATTCTCTACAAGTATTTCGAGCAGCCAAAAAGTCAGGACGACATCTTCTTCAAGGTGAGTCAGAAAATATCCGGACAAAGATTAAGTTATCGTATGATGAAACATAAAAAAACCTGTAACTTTGAGGTAGAGAGCTAGTTAGTCCAACTGTGTACAGTATCTGTTTACTTAGTAGGTTTAGTTGCACCGAATAATCTTTGAAACTGCCTAGTAGTAACAAAAGTGGGAGGAGAAAAATACTAGTCTGACTTGGACGAAATTTCCAAACTTAAAATAAGACTTTCAACTATAAATTATTATCTAAACATCGATAGAAACAGACAATGTTCAAAGTTTGGTCGTGTTACATCTTCTGATAAACTCGAGTACAATAACTACACTACATACCAGATAAACCTGATAAACTAGAAAAAGATTCCAGATTATCTCCCAAGGAAAATCGCCTCTCTTGATGTGCAGATTCCTGTGTATTGTAATCAAAACGGCGACGAGATCACCTACAAAACCGTGTTCACGGTCACTCTCAAAGAATTGAATTTGCAATTTCGAATTCATGAGTTCAACGTTGAGGTCATTGATTTGAAGACTGCAGCAAAAACGTGTATCAATGTGTCTGGAAAAATATTTTGGAGAATTCTATCCAAAATCCGGGCCATCAAAGAATTCCGTCTCTGTTGTGCCCCACATTTTGGATCGGGTGACCGAGCTGAGCGGAGATTCAAGAGACTTCTCGATGCTGACCTATTCTTTCCAAATCTTCACTTTGTTGATAGATTCGAACTGATGACAAGCTCCCCAGAATTCCTGGAAATTCACTTTTCTCATTCCACCGTGAAAAGCTTTAACCAGTTCAAGTTGTCATTTGATTGGCCGGAGACGAGCGAGAAGGAGGCGTTGACACTATTAGACTACGTTTTTCTCTGTCCACCCGTTCGACGATGTCCTCATTTCATTTGGTCTGGGAAACGAATGCCTTGGCCTCAGATTGCACAACTCTCACCGGTGCTGCTAGCTTTTCAGGTGGGTAGAATGATAGTCCAGATCTCCATAGCTCCTCGCTACTGAATAGTCAGCAAAACTAGGTTTGAATCATGTCAGCAAAACTTAATGCATATATTCGTACAAAAAAGCAAAGCCCAGATTTGAATCATCTTACTATTAGTGCATGCCTCAGCCCATCTTGGATGGATTGCTCTGTTACCTTCGTTACCAAAACTATGTAGATTACCAGTCAGATGTCCCCGCTTTGCTTTAGTGGAAACGGGAGTTCTAGTTCTAGGGCTTTATATTGCCATATTTGGATAGTTAAATTAATTTTATAATGTAGAACTTATAAAAGAGAAAAATGGGAATGATTTCCAAAAGATATCAATCCCTTTCCAGGTTGACGAGATCTCGTGGCTCAAATTCGCTCAAATGCCAAAGGAATTGTTGACAGGTCGATTGAAAGAGCGACAAAACACGGTGATGTTGATCGAAGCAAAATACAACACCCACGACACCTTGGATGAGCTGTTTCTCGAGTTTTGCGAGATTTTCGACAGGGTCAAGTGTGTGCACGAGGACGGGCATCGAGGGTTCCTCGAGTTTTTGGCGGGATCCTATATTCCTGGGAAAGCTTCCTACATGGAAAAGCTTAAAGATCCTAATACAATGAATTTCTTTTTCAAAAAGCTACACCGATCTGGTCGAGTTACCGCCATTGGATGTGCTAGCTTATACCAAGGATCGAGTATTGGTTCGAGAAATGGTTCTCCATTCATCTATCGGATTTTCGTCCGGCATCTATCGACGTGAGATCTCTATCGAGAAGGTTATTCTACCAAAAGGATTATCTAATGATGTGTAAAATTCCTTTAAGCTGCTTTAATTATATTATTAGTGAAGCTTTTTTATACTTGTTGGCTTCCGCCATTGCACAGGCTAGCTTCAAAATAATTGGAAACCTTTGAATTATGATATACTTTATAAATCGTTATTTCAATCGTTAATTTTTCAAACGTTTTCAATCGTTAAATTACACACTATGCATCTAACTCTACTCTATTTTTAAAAGTACACTGTAAAATTTAACTCTCAGCTAACATTCAGCATGACAATTGGCTCACAAAGATGATTCGAGAGGCGAGCTAAATGAAAACTATTGATTTGCAACCGTGCAAATAAAACTTTTTAAGTCTTCTAAAAGTTTACATATACTGAAAAAACAGAGATAAAATATTTTACAGCCATCCGGAGCTGAACGGCTCAATAGAACCGAACAAAATAGTTTAAGAAACGAGCCAAATAATGTTGTTGATTAAGATTGCAATTGTTCCGATGAGTTGAGCTAACTCCGGCCGGACCTTAAGTCGCTTTATCTCAATTTATTAGGTCGAGCCAGAAAGTCTAAGAAAGTTAATGCATTTCTTAGTCGTTTAAAATAAACAAATTTACTTTGGATCTTTTTTTAGCAAAACAAGAATAACTCAATGATCGCCATAGTGGCCACTTTCCAAAACTAATTGGGTGTTGCAGATCTGGAGACAATAATGATTAATAAAAATAATGATTGTCTTGATAGCCTCTTTCTCTTTCCTTTGATCTGCGCGTTTGGAAGTCAAATCCGAAATTAGTGAATTCAAAGAAGATGGAAGTTTTGCTATAAATAACGATTTTTGGTCGATTGTATTTTCAAAGTTTTAGATTTTTATCCAAAAATTTGGGACGATGGCTGAGTTATCAGAAACAATCTCTCGATCAAACTTTATAAAGAGATCGATATCGTCATCATCACGTTTCTCACAATGAATGGTTGGTATTCAGAGTTTTCTACAGGCTGGTCAGAAAAAAATCCGGGTTCTTCATACTAATGGATTGGTGAAATTTTGAGATACTAGGTTGAGGAAAAATTCTCGCCTCAGCTGCGAGAAATTCAATTTTTATGCGCACTTTAATAACAAAAATAACAACAATTATTCCTCGAAGTATCACCCATAATTATCTACGATTTTCTGTCCTTGTCCCTTGTGGTATACGTCAATTAAGTGGAAAAGTTATGGAGATTCCAAATCCAGAGGTATCAAGATAATCATTAATGGCTCTTTTCCTTTTTGAGTTTCTAGAATACGGTATTTTGCTGTAACTACTGAATTTTAGTGGCAACAGTTGATGGGTTGGCTGTTTGCACAGCGTGTCCTGTGAATGGCCAGCTATAGCTGCTGATATTATGGAATGAATATAAATAAGAATCAGAATTAGACCTGATTTAGAAGGTTTTCTAGTTGGCGCAATTGGTGGGGTCTTTCGGTTTTTTCCTTATCGGAAACTAGTGAAGCACGATGGGATAGGCTAAGGAATCGTTGTTGTTTTCCGTCACAATAAAGCTCCTTGCAACGATCTCATCTACGAATTATGTGTGTTTTACCCAGATTTCAGCTTCTCTATTGGGTTTTTTAGTGGGATAAATCGGGTCGGGGGAACACGGGGAAATCAGGAGGATTTTGATTGAGCCACGTCTTGAGGGTCAAAAACACATTTTCCGTAACACATTTTTTCATCTCTAAGTAGAAAGATCTTTTTATCAAGTTTTTTATTGAACTATGTAAAAAGAAAAAAACACCAGCGATATAATTGTTCTTTTATTTCATTCTTTTACCCTGACACTGTGCATTTTGGCGGAGCTGATTGGTGACTCTAAATTTGATCAAGTTTGAGAATTTCTCTGTTTTGTTAACCTAAACATTGGTTCATGTCCGGGTACAATATAATCCGAAGCACAGATCACTCGTTGTTGACTCCATCTGTCTAAAAAATACGATGATAGATGATTGGAATACGTTTCTAAAAATCACTCAGTTGTGGTTGTTCAGGTGGAAACTGCTTGGATAGAGAGGAGTCGATCAGATCCTGTTGAGTCAGGATGAGATCACCTGAAAAAACATCAACTCTCTAGGTTCGAATATCAATATTTATCTACTAACTAGTAAACTAACAATATTGCGGAAGTGAGTTTTAAACTGAATGCTACTATAGAAGAGGTACATGTGTAAATAATATGTGTACATAGCATATTCAAGTAGGATTTCCCTCTCTTTTTGAAACTAATTTAGAATCCATGTTGGTTTTGGATCCCAGCTAAATATTCTTTATTCTAATGACTGACTTGAGGTTTCTAACCACAGATCAACCAACCAACAACGGCCACCGTTCCACAACAGCTTGTATTGTAGGCGATGAGTGATATATCACCAAGTGTATGCCCGGGAGTGTTCCACAGTTCGACACTCGGCGTCAACTTGTAGCTGTCCTTTCCCTCTGAAAAACATACAAGATTAAGGGGTTTAGATATGAGGAAAAATAAATCGAAAACTTCACAAGAACTTCGGTACTAGTCGGTTATAACCCCCTGCCGGGGTTATTCAGAGAGAATGGGGGATATAACCGACTAGAATTTCAAAGGCAACTTACGTATCAATGGGGTGGGCGAGTAGGAGGATCCGTTGCTTGCAAAACCAACCATCAAATGAATGGCATTCGGGAATAGGTTCTCTTGTCCCATATGATCGGGATGCCCATGAGTGGTGAGGAGGTATCGGATTTGTGCCGGCTGAATGTCCATTCGTTGCAAAGCTAGAATGGAGGTAGTGTAGAACAGATTCTGGTTATTGGCCTTGCCAGCTTTGCTGTCCAACAGCTTTTATGTGAACATCAATAAATTTGTTATTTCAGAGAGACTAAACCAGATCAATCCAAAACTTGATTCTAGTCGACTATAACCCCCGCCCCATCATCTAGCAGTCTAGCAGTCTACTAAGCACTCGGGAGCCCCTCTGTGGGTTCCAAACAGTTTTTGGCTTTGGTTTACATCCATGTATATCCAGCAGAATAATGGGAGTTATAAATGTACTTAATGCACAGCTGAAACCGGGTAGAAGGCTACAACTGACTAAACTTAAAACCTAGACCTAACTTTTATGTATACTTAGTTGAACAGATCACTATTTTGAAATTATTTTCTGAAATAAACGCTTACCCTGTAACATAATATTCCTATTTTTCGTATCTCTCGCTGCGGGAGTATCAACAAGAATATACACTCCATTGTCCGATACCAAAGTCACACCTCCGACAAAGATGAACCCCTGAAATGCAGGGTTGATCCAGTTTTGCATAGTTTCTTACAGTTGCCGTCGGGGCGACGCTGCCAACGACGAGTTGGGTGATATTAGTTCCATTTGGAACATTTCTTGGTGGTGAGTTGAAGAGCTGAAAGCATTTAATTTCTAATGGTTTCTGGTAGATTGGGGTAGTATTGTTGCTTCCTTATTGCTGCCTAGTGCCTACACTTGTAGAAGTCGGCTTTCTCGTGTCATTATAGAAGCTAGCGCCCTTAATTTTTTGAATGATGGTGTCCATCATTATATCATTTAGAGTAGTTTCTTTCTGTAAAATTCACAGAAATAGTCTAGTCTCATAAGCTAGAGTCATTGGTAATAAAATTACCCGACTCCTATTCGAATCCGAATTCGTTTGCTGTTGAGATCCAGAATTTTGAGACTGAGAGTTGATAAATTTAAATAATAGTAGAAAAACAATCGAATCGATGGGTGGCAACATTCTCGTTTTGATCAGTGATCTTCTGGAGCTACAACCTCCTTGATGGTTAGGGTTTTTAAACTAGAGACTATAGGAGGCTTTCTGTTTACTGAACTGTTTTTTTCCAGGGCGTAGGAAGAAAGTCGGGAACAGTTTGTTTGAACATTGACCTGAAAACTCTAAAATGAAAAGTGAACGTGTGAACTTTTTAAGAACTAATACAGGAGTAAGAAATCCTTAACTCTTCCAGTGTAATTAAAAAAGTCATCAAGTCATCATAACCATACAATACAAGCCCAATTGATTTTAAACTTTAAAACACAAAAACCGGAATCAGACTGGCTGGAAGAAACCTAGAGAACCGTTTACTAGCCAGTCCTGAATGACTGGCTAGTAAACATTTTGCCGTCATATTGCTTGTTCATTTTCGATGTTTTGTGACTGTCACTACATTTCCGCTCTTAATCTGCCGTGTTTAGCACCAACACACAAACATTTCATATAAGTAATGAATTCATCTATGAAGGCTATGGAGGGAGTGAATATAGCTTTGAGATAATGAGTGAAGAGTGAAACAATAAAAAATTTAAAATATACCAACCGAAATCTAAATTGGAAAATCGAGAAAACAATAAGGTAAGAGACTTCTCTTTTCTTTTAAGGTCGGTTTGAGAATTGGCTCTCTGTTAGCTAAGCCCCTAAAATTTGAAAAGTGATTAGATATGATTGTAAGTGATTGGATGAATGCTATCTACATTCGATTTGTTGTCGCCTGCTTGTTAATAACGAATATAATTAACGAATGTTCAAAGCTTTTTCAGGGACGTGTAACGTTTTTCCTTTTTTTCTTTCTTCCGAAACTGAACCCTAAAAGTGTTTTAAAAGCCAAACGATTCAGGGAAAGAGCCCAATATCTTCATCGATTTCCAAAATTGACTTTTGCTAGCCCTAATTCTGATTATCAATGTATATGTACGTTTTATATTATCGTTTTATTTTTCTATGTATTTCTCGATTCAAACTCGGCAAAAATCACTTCGGCAGCAAGACGCTCGAATTGGATACCAAGATTGACGTCATCAACACCCGGTTGTCTTTTACAATCACAACGGGTTTCATTCAAATTCCAGTGTAAATCATGCTCCTAAGATTTATATGATACAAGCTACTGCAAGCATCATCTAGTTAGAGTTGCAGTCCATGTTGTGGTCAAGTTTTTTCATACAAAACAAAACAAATATACTCTATTATATGTAGTTCTAAATTGTATCACTTACCCAGGGCACCCATTTGAGGGTCTTCACATTGCACATCAGTTTAAGTCCACTATAGCAATCTACTAAACCAATTACTCGCTCTATTCTTTGTTGTTTTCAGAAAACAAAACTTATAAATCAAGCAATTAAAAGCTCCTCTTTGAAAAACTTTAAATAGCGAAAGCAAAAAGCTCGAGAATCTTATCGAATTCGATTTTGCCGAGAACAAATGTTTGCGAAAAGTCCGTGAGCACGGCAACTTTCCACAATGGAAGGCAAGCAAATAACTTAGGTGATTGTGAGTGGGTCGATCGGGGACGGGGAATTCCAAGTTTCATGCAACTTTGCATCCAAGCACACAGCCCTTCACGTCGACAATAATGTTCGAGAAGGACCCGCTTTATTTCTCGAACTATTGGAGTTTGGAAACCGCGTATAGGAATACAAAATGGGAAACCCCTGCCGCCCAATCGCCGGAGGGATTTATTAATTGGAAGAAAAGATTTTGGAAAAATTCGAATTCCGGTTTGTGTGTATAGTGGAAGAATTACTCGATCACGGATGGTTCTCTTGACGCTTTGAGCGAGTGTGAGAAAATATAAGACTATTAATAAGCTTTTTGACTATAAGTTTTATACTTACGGTTCCAGTTATGCCCCGAAAAATTTGCATTTGTTCAAATGATTCAAATTTGAAATTCTCGAAACCCAGTTTCTCTTCACAGCACCGATGATCTAATATGGTGACAATGATGCGTGGGTTTTTTGTGGGGTTTATTCGGAATCAGAAAAAGATAATATGACAAAACAACTTAAAGCTGGTGCTCATAGTTTTTGATGAAACTTAAGTAATATTCCTGGCTCTTCGCCTCGTCCTCAAGCTGTTGGTACAGATTTGAGCAAATCGAGTCGAAATCGGGTCGATCTTTTGCGTCAAAAGACCAGCAGGAATCGGCCAGCATTTTCCTGAAATTTCGACTCTCTTTTCACTCGACTATTCATAGCAGAGCGTAGCTCTTGCGCTAGAAAGCCTAGGTGTTGAGTTTTAAACAAGACTTAGCTTTGTCAATTCTCTAGCTGATTCAAAGTCAAACTTTTAAAACAATACTAAAAAATGCTGTTCTTAGAATCTATACTTATTATTAGATGTAGTTGAATAAAAAGAATACATTCTGTTCGGCGTCTCATCGGGGAGTTTCAGTCGATTCCCGTCCTTCAAATAGTCATACATGTTCGGGCCTTCAACGGCGACAAACGGCGAGTCGCCAAATGTATAGACTTCGTAGAGAAACACACCGAAAGACCATCTAAAACAAAAATAACATTCATTATCAGTTGTTGACAGTGAGAGAACATTTACTATTGTTGACAAGTGATAACTGATAGTGAGTTATCATTAAGCTTCGTACTCCAAATACCACCACAGTTAAAATAAGTTTGAGAGTCGGTCTTTGAAAGTCGTTATGGTCTTTTTGACATGTTCAACACTTCGGGTGTAAACAAATTAACTTTTCATGCTTTCTATTATTATTTTCTCTTTTCTAGCTTCTTCCATAAAAAACAAAAAGTCATGGCCACGGCCGAACTTGCACCCTCGACCCTACTATCCATTAGACATGGGAAAATTCCACCTTCGTTTTCTCCGCCGTTTCTTAGCCGATTGCTCTGACATTTTGTCAACAAGCAGAGAATTCCAATTTATATTTGTTTTCTATTCAGAAAAATCGGCCGTCTCTTGGCTGAGATAACGAGGGTGAAATTAGGTTCGGGTTGGAATTTTACCATGTATACTATCTATGTGTTTTTTTAGAGAAATCTGACCATTCATTGAAAAAATCTTGGCCTGGGTTGGCATCAACTCATGCTGTAGTTAAGGTGTTAAAAGTCGTAGTTCAATAAAAAGCATAACCCTATCTCATAGTGAGCTTTGCTGAATCTAGCCTCTAACACATTCAGAGCCTTACACATCAGTTTTCTCGCTGAACACGAAAGCTTTCAGTGATTCAGGAGCCATCCATTTGATCGGAAGAATTCCACCTTTTGCCGTGTACAATAAAGTGTCCTCTCTTCGACAAAGACCAAAATCTATAAAAGATGTTCAATCTTGGCAGTTTTCTACTTTTGCACCTGATAATTTTGCAACGTTTTCGCTGGTGATCAACACATTTCTCGCGGCCACATCTCGATGAATGATATTTTTCGAAACAAGATAGAGCTAAATTTGAGGTTTTAAGCAACTCACGCCAAAAAATTCTTTTTGATGCTATCGTAAGAGCTTTGGCTTTCTCAAGATCTTACCAAAGCGTCGCCGATTTGCCAAACGATAGGTAAGAGATCTCTATCCGGGAGGGAATCCTATAAGAAAAATTGGCTAAAATTCTGAAACAAATAAACTATTTGAACATTTTGAGCTAAACTCACCTGAAAGAACGGATCTCGTGTGTGTCTGAGTAATGAGAGGAGGTCCCCTTTCTCACACAGTTCACTGATCAAAAATGGCATCTCTGGGTCTCTCGAACAACCGAGAATGGCCAACACATGGGGATGGGACTAAAAATAAGTAATAATTTATCAGAACCCAAACAAAAACATCCATAGCCAACATGAAATCGATCTCTCGAAGCATTTCTTTTCTAAACTTATAGCTCTTTCCCCGTTGGAGAACTTGAGCTTACTTGTCATCTTTCTTGGCTCCAGAATGACACATCTTGATAGCCACCATATATTTACCATTTTTCTCGAGTAAAGGGAGGCTTTTCTAAAAATAATCATAAAATTTGCCTACATGAGCTGGTAAAGCTTGAGGAACTTCGCGGTCTAACCCATTCGAAACCGCAGCGTTTTTTCTTTTTTTTCGTCTACGGGCCAAGCCCTTTTTTGACATTTTTGACTCCGAAGCAGTTTATTTATGGTTGGAAAAATGCAAGAGAGTCTCCTACACCATTTATTTTTGATGAAGAACGATTTGGATTTGATTTCAGTACTTTTCAAGATCCTAACGATTATTGTTCTTATTTTATCGACGACAATATTTTAGTAGGCGAATCTAATAAACATGGAAAAGGGAAAACAAACTGGCAGGATTTCGATGCAAAATCTTTCAAGCTCTTCCTGGCTTCAAATGGGAATCGTCAAATTACCGAGGATTCGTGACTACTGGAGTAGCAGGCCTGGATTAGGAGGATTTTCCCACATCATGTCAAGAGCAAAATTTGAATCTATTCTTCGCAACCTGCGTTTTTGTGATAATGAACTGGATCCTGCAGGAGATCGGCTTTATAAGATTAGAGCTATTATGGAACATTTAAATGCAAAACCAGAGACTGCATTGATTCCGGGTAAATATGAAACATCTTTTTTGCCCACGTAATTTGTAGATCTGCTACAATTGGAATATACATGTAATGCTGAAAAACAGCAAAAAAAGCAATTAATTGAATGAAAATAGCTCAATTAGCGCTGCAGCGGTCCGTTCCTGAGTTTTTGCTGCAGCGATTATTCGCTGCAGAAGTTTCGAATGGGCTAAAGAAACAAAAAGAAACAAAAAGAAATAGAAACAAAAAGATCAATGCAAGTTTTTTCGCTTAGTTAGTTTAGTTTAGTTTAGTTAAGTTTTTTTTTGTAGAACTATCAAGGATGCTTTTGCTTCTTAATAGCTCGATAGAGTTTAAGATATATTGACCGCATTTTTTCCTTAATGCAAGTTAATTCTGGGTTCATACCATGAACCGAAGCCTCCCAGTAGCCGAATTCGGTAATTTGCCCAGTGATCCCCGATAGACTTTTGCAAAAGCTCCCGAACCGAGTTTCGTCTTTGAGATCTCGAGAAACAGTGGATCTACTTCCCAGCCATCACTACAAAAATGCTAACAAGCCTTTTCTTTAAAATCAAACGTTTTCTGTTGCATCTTGTACTCGTTTCTCTTTTTATACTTCCGCAATCGGCGATCGAAGAGAGTGCTGTGTTGGAATACCCGTTCTCGCCACCTGAATGAGTGATTTTCCAAAAGCTAGACTGTTCGATCAAATGCCCCGAATCCTTTTTATCCTTGCTTAAAAATTCATTTAGTTCTGTACTAACCGGAGCATTTTTGCCATAATGCCTGACTAATCGATTTTTCAAGTTTTGCGGCTTTCCTTATCATGACCCACAAAGTGCTCAGCGGTTGATCCTTGCTGTATCCTATTTTCCAACAGATTCCAAGTATGAGACCAATAGCAAACACAATTAAAAGTGCTAATCCGGCACCGATAAAGTACCTGAAATGTAGTTTGCAACAGAATAGACTTTCAACGAACCATAAGACTTTCTTGGATGATTTGGGGGTTACTGGAGAAGTTTCGGTACTCAGAGGCTCATATGAACCCTCCCAAACATGAATGAGAAATCCCGTTTGATCCGTGGTGTCACTGTCTCGTGACCATTCTATCTATAAAAATACCTTCTATTCCTGAGACCATTTCAAATTTGTCGAGCCAATAAAAAGACTGTTCTTATGAATCATTTGTTCAAGTAATGAACTTGTACTTACAAATATTTCAATAAACCCACCTTTACACAACTTGCAAATGAGTGAATTATGGGCTGCAGATGAACGTCATCCGAGGTCAAACTGCAAAGTTAAATATAGAAAAGCATCGGATATAAATCTATCATTAAGCTAAATGCCTGAGGTCATCTCGAAGAGAATCGGATTGACATGACGATGTAGAATATGTCCGCAAACCAAGCGTTCCACCCTCGATCCTCCGTAAGTCAACTGTGATTGCTCTGGTCTCATTTGGCTAAACGGATCTTTTTTGAAGGATTAGACTTCTCTTAAAGTCTAGAGCTACAATTAGAGTCCTGGTCTATCATGGTCTTTACCTACCTGAATCTTAAAAACTCCAGTATAGTTCTCCTCACTCAATGGATGATCCCATGAGTCAAATATCCACGGATAATATTCAGAGGACCAAAGAGAAAATTTGTCCAAATATTCTAAATGAAAATTTAGGCATTCGATAGTCTAAACATAAATCTACCCGGCTCTTTGCTGATCTTTGGCTCGTAAATAAGACAAAAAGCACAGGTTTGGTTCGGTAAAATGGTGGTCGCTGTGGCTCGGGAATCAATTGAATAGCCAGCCCTGCAAATAATCAACAATCAAGTTATATGACTTAAAGCCTTACATATTGCTAAAAAGTAGAGCTTTTGACGTTTGGGTTGTACCGGGATCCCCACCAGCATATATTGAATATTCTGTACCAGAAGGACAAGTGACTTCTGCCTATAACATATGTGATAATAAGACCTGGTTGAAGGCACAGTTCGGCTTTAACAAACAAGATCAGAGTGGTTCCAAAAAGCCAGACCAGGCTAGAAGTAAGGACAGGGAGACGCTCCCTTGTTAACGACCGAAGGGCCTCAAGTTGACCACATTAGAGCAAATTACTATTTTTTTACAGTCTGTGATGCTAAACAATACTTAATACATTAGCAGTAATGTATACCACTTTTGCCACTGTAAATGGTTCGGAAAATTGTGTACTAACCCTGGGCTGGCCTCAGTTTTGAAACTGGTCTGGATTTTCTCATTTGGAACAACCCTGAACTAGACCGATTCCAGCCTTGGTCCTTTGAGAGCATCCCTGACCTTAGCCATACTGCTCTGTTTATTTCTAGCAAAAAAGAGAATCTTATAAATTTTGAACTTTAAAAATAAACCGTAAAATTTGGACATAAGTCGAGGTTTCCGTTCGGTCGATCACCGATTGTTAAACGCGTTGATGGGCCGATATCACTAAACTTTTCTAGTCTCAAAAAACTTGTTGAAAAAACATACGTGATATTGTCGTAATAATACCATCTAAAATCTTCCATACTCGGCACAATTGTTGGGATGAGGTTTTCTTTGATTAAAATTTGATAATTATTATCTAATTCATCATGTATTCCAAGTCCTGTGATCAACAAGTGCTTTTTCGATTCTGAAAGTTGGACGATTTCTTTGAAGACAACTATTGGCAGAATTGCTTCAAAAAATTATAGCCAAGCTTAGACAAATCTGAGTACAAACTGTACAATGATAATTTATTTACAACATTACTTATTAAATGTATCAAAAAAAACATTTGTATCTCTATATAACATTAAAATGCTCTTTGAAAGTTTTGCAAGTATTGTGCCGCTTTTCTGAAGCATGACTCGAGCCGGCCAACCCAGCTTCTGCTCCATTTCATTATCTAGACCCAAACACTAGTCATTGAAAAACTTTTTACCATTAACCCATGGCTGGAGATGGAAGGCCACAGCCCATTCATCAATCCAAACACCACGCCTTGCTTGTATCCAAATCTGTTGCAGTTTTGTGTTCATGCTTGCTGATGCCGTGTATAAATAGCCATCAGTTCCGTTGCTAGAGATGTAGCGACTAAAAAACTTTGTGCTTTATGGTACTATTCAGTCCTCAGCCTCAAAAAGCAAAGCTGCATGAAAAATTTTCTTTACAAGTTAGTTCAGAACACTCTGGTTCGCTAGCCCATCAGCTATTTGTTAAATGCTTTTCGACTAACGTCGGATAAGCACGTTGGAAGATGTTTCGATCAGCCCGATCAGCAATAAATGGAGTCGGTTCACAACAGTCTGGCATCTTCTGAGCTGGGTCCGAGCCACTAGTACAGTTCTAGAATTGTTTTCTATACGCAACCATGATAGCATGTACGAAGCACTACAGAGAGCAAAAGTCATGGTCAGGGCAGGACAAAAGTCTAGCTTGAAAAGTTAAGGCCAGACCAGACAAGGTAAGAAGTCAATCCACGTCACTTCCGTCTTGGGGTCCCAGAGGAGGACAAACTTTTTAGAGGCAAACTTCTTGTTTCTATACAAATTACTACTTTTTACGGTCTATAATGCTATATTTGGCTGTCTAGGTTGTATTCAATAAATTAGCCATAGTTTATATGATAATGAGTTTTACTACTGTAGACCATCCTTTTAAAAACTGGGTGTCATCTTTTGACCTGCCTGATCTGGGTTTTCGGTAAATTTGCAGCCATGTTTGTGGCCAGAGTAGGACTGGAGTGACCTACCTTTGGCCCTGGTCTGCTCAGACCCTACTCTGGCCTGGCCAATGTTAGTCTGAACTTTTTATTGTTTAGACCGACACTCGTAGTGATAAATATTATTTTTATACAAGCTTCTGCTTTTTATAGTCTATAAAATAATGTTATATTTAGGCATTTACAAACACTTTTAGTGCCAGTGTAACAACTTTTCACGATGATCGTCATTTGGAAAGCTGTGTATTAACTTCTGGCCTGGCCTGCCTGTTCTGGTTAGTTTTCAGTAGAATGGGAATTCCGACTGATTTGGTATGCTTTTTTGGTGGGGATGGGATGCACTTACAGTTGCACATCCAGCTTGTGTATAATCGGCCAGCAAATCGCCAGCACTCGAAAACTTTAGGAGAATCAACTGCAAATTGAGCAATAATAAAAAGAATAAGTTTTTCTTGTGACAAACCCCAAAATCGTATAGCCGTAGCCCATGGATGACATAGGAGGGTGTTTCTTGAGTGAGCTCGATGATTCGAGGCTTCTGCCTCAGCACCAGTAGAAAGCCGTGGCCCCTTTCAAACGAGTTCCCAACGAGTGGATTATAGCTCCACTAGAGCGCAAAATGAGACTGATCACAGGTATTTTTAGGCTCTACGATAACAGAATACCAATGTTAGTTGTAAAAAACTGCAAGCTGAATCCATTTTTAGGCTCAACCTAATTAGGTTGAGTACTAGGTCTTTCACCCAAACTCATTTTCTAATTGAATAAGTCTCAAGCTACCAAATGAAATACGGTTTTTTTTCATTAGATAGCTCAATCATTTCTTTTGCAAATGACTTCTGTCAGTTTCTTAAAAGCTTTGCTTTGAAGGTTTTTCATTAGCAAGAAGCCGAATGTTCAAAAACGATAAGGTCCGATGATGCGATTTGGACCGTTTCTTCCAATGAAACCTATTTTGAAGAAAAAATAAAAAAGATAACGCACAAAAAGTCGTTACTACAATCAAAATTTCAAAATAATCCGTTTAGCTTTTTTCTCTATGTGCTCATTTGTCAATATTTTTAAAAAATTTTCCACTTTCCATATTAAACTTTTCCAGTTTTCGCTCTCGCAGATTATTTTAAAATATCAAAAATTGCTTAAAAATTAGAAAAAGTAAACGATAAAGATTTATAATGAAAGAAACCGTTTGATATTTGGTAGTTTGAGATTCGTTCATTTAGATAATGAAATGAAGGGTGAAAGACTTGCTAGGGAAATGCAGGCCACTTGCCGTGGCCTTTTGGAACGAGACCAAACCCATCTTATAGAATCGAGTACGCTGATTCCAAATCGGCTCTTAGTTTTTGTGCTCGAGGCCTATAACGTAAGATATCTGGCTTACAAGTTTTGGTTGTATTTTTGATCTCCATTTGAGACCTCCATGTCATCCCTTAAAATGTGGCTGCGTAGCCGAGGTTGCTAGACTTTTTTTGCCCTGGTTCGATTCCCCTCATGGCAAACTTTTATTGCTTTTCCTTTTTATATTAATAAAGTCTTTTTGATAATTGAAAACAACTTTTTACCTCCGATTTCGTGGAGGCAACAAATAGAGATAAAAAATGCAACCAAAAGTTATTAGTCAGATATCTTGCCTTACAGGTCTCGAGAGCAAAAACTAGAAGCAGATTCGGAATGAGCGTAGTCGATTCTATAAGATGGGTTTGGTCTCGTTCCGGGGGGCCACGGCAAGTGCCTGCCTTTCCCTAATTAGTACTCAACCTAATCTTGGGTTGGGGAAAATGAAATCTCCGGACGAACTTTTGAAAAAAAAACTAAACCATAAATTTGTCTCAGATTTTTTTCTAGTAACGAAAAAAGACTTGTCTGAGTCCTGGGAATAGTATCCTCAAAAATATCTCATGTATTCTCAAAAAGTGACAAGTTCTTATTCGAAAATTTTTGGTCAACAAAAATTTTAATTTTATGTTTATTTTGGTTAACAAAAGAAAGACAAAAAGAAAAAGTTATGATTTAATTTTTATCAAAAGTTCCTTTGAAGACGCCGCAATTTCATAATGCTCAACCCAATACAATACTTATAAATTGTACCAAACGAGGGTGCCTTTGTATAACACTCAAAAAGCTCTTTGCTCACTTGCATGCAGAGGGTAAAAAAGTCCAGAGTAAAGTTTGTTGTGTAGCTAAAATTATGGAGGATTTTCTATTATGATAGTCCCTGTAAAAACATGCTTTCTATCCGTAGCGAGAGCACCCCAGCAATCGATGGTCCTATCTGGCGGATAACTTGTGTAATAGGTCTGTAATCGGAGTATGCCCTTTTTGATGTATCGTAAATCGGCTGAAAATCGAACTTTCGATCTTTCTGTCTAAAAATGGACCTTTTATAAGTCGTAATAAAAAATGTCAAACATAGCCAGCAATATCAGCGCGAACGAAACCTCCACCAGTCACAAAAAGAGTTAGTTCTACTTCATCGAAGATCCATGGATGCCAGGGTGGCGAAATGATTGACATCTGACTCAGCTTGTAATCTGTAAAATGCATAAAGGTGATCGATTGAGCTTTTTGAATATTATATAAGCTTATGTGATTATTGCACCATTTATTATATTGTCAGATAATCGACTGAATTGATAACTAACAACCGGGCCCCATATTGTCCCACATGTAAAACTGGAGACAATATTTGCATTCGCTCTTTGCTTGCATTGTTGTTGCACTTGATCGCGTGATCACCTTCAACTCGTAGGCTCTGAAATCTGATTACTTATGGTCGATGGTTCTTAATAGTAAGGCTTGTTCATTTTTGCTAAACGAGCTTATTCATTTCATTTCATTTTAAGGGACATTTTTTCGGGCCCTTCCGTAGTTTTCGGGTATTTTGAAAGAATCCGGATTTATTATTATCAATAGATGGAGGTTCTTTTAGATGCTCTAACATAACCCAGAGTCAATATTTTTCAAATCTGAGTTCAGATTCGGAATCAGCATAAAAATCTTTATTTGATAGTTATGTTGTTGGCAAGTCTTAAAAGCTGAAAGAAAAAACAGTAAAAGATTGAGATTCATCCAAAATACCCGGAAACTACTCAAGAGCTGCTTTTCGTAAATGCACTCACTCGCCATCTACCAAAAAGTGTCGCTGATTTCTTGAGTAGCCGGGATCACTGCCGGCGAAACTCTCGTAAATCGTCTCATCGGGACACGAGAGCTCCTCTTCGTTGGTTTTTTGCTGGAAACTTGATTGTTTCCGGTTAAATTGTGCCGCAGAATTTTGTTAACTTAAAACAATGAGTCTAGAGTTGAGACTCACCCGAAACACGGGACAATCGATTTCTTGGTAGGGTCCATAGTTTTTCCCGACCACTTTCAACACTCCATATGGACCATGAATAGGGCTAAATAGGATTTAAAATATTTGAATTGTGTCGACTAAAAGAAACAAGATCACAAAGTAGTTAAGACTATGGAGGGTGCAAAACTGCACCACTTTTCGGTTGCTAATGTCAGAGCGAAATCGGGGCCATGACTTAACACCTTGCCGACATTGGTTGATGTCAGCCCACATTTTGACTGTCGCCTGTGACCATATTTCTTTAATGAATGGTCAGATTTCTCTATAAAAACACATAAAAAGTAAATCGATAGTGGGGAATCCGATCCGTTTTTAGTTTATTCAAAAAAATTTGGTAAGATACAAGTCGGTAGAGCGTTTGGATATGGATCCGAGGGTCGAGGGTTCGAGTTCGCGGCCATTACTTTTTTTGCTTTTTTATGGAAGAAGCTAGGAAAGAGAAAATAAATGTTAGAAAGCATAAAAAGTTAATTAGTTTATATGCGAAAAGAGGCGCCAAGCAAAAAGAGCCTGGTCTGTGATGTGTTCAGCCATCAGTCAGTCCCGATGGCTGGATTTCAAATCTCTTGCATAGTATTTAATGTGGCTTTTTCTCATCTAGGTCCAGACACAGAAACTAGTCACACAGAAACCATTTATCATTCATCAAAAAAAGTTGCCCACGCGTTCGGATTCGCGACAACGGTAGCTATCCATCCCTCCTTCATTTGAATATACAGCATCGATCCATCGTTATGCTCCGGATTCCGCCACGGAAGAACGATTAACTTTTTTGTGACTAGGAGGTGGTAATTAACCTCAAGAGTAAAAAATATCTTACCATTAACCCAATTGCTGGCACGGATGGCAATGGCAAACTCGACGTTGGTTGCAGTGAGCACTGGTGTCAGAACAACTTTTGATCGAGTGCTCAACTTTAGGTGAGTCGTGTAATAGTTGCCGATTGTGAAAGCGATGTTGTTTTGTTTTGACCCCGCAAATGGGCTGAAAGTTAATTGAATTCAACGCTTTGAACAAAAGCTTTTCCTGATCCGATTTTTTTAATTCAAATTGCCTTGGCTAAAAGTTTGGCTCTTTTAACTTAGAGGGGACTTTTGAACTTTGAGGAGAATTTTGAATTTATTTGGGACTTTTACACTTATTTTTCGGTTTTTAACGTTTTGCGCATGTGCTTGCTGGGATTTTTTTATTGACAATAATAGGTAGCAACTGTTTTGCCCAGGTCTTTCTTTCTGAGCGAACATCAAAATTCACCGTTCAAACATCAGGGATTTAATCTCAGCCAGCCACCGACATCGTAAACGACTATCCCAACAGAGTAACCTCAAATACACTGGATACTATTTTTGGAGAGCTGCAAAAAGCAGAACAAGAAAGAGATGGTGAAATTCAGTTTTCAGCCCGTTATTCTTTCATTTTTAATGAGAAAACGGCAGTGATGGTATTGAACGAATGGCTTTGTCAAAGGATGCAACCAAAGGAGACAGCGTTATTTGGAAAAATTTGAAGTGTTTTCCATCTAAAGCTTCTTTTCATAATCAAAGTGTCTTTGAATAATCACAAATCTCTGTTGCGAAACAGCTGCGAATTCTTCAAAGTTCAAAAGTCTCCTCTAAGTTACAAGAGCTAAAAGTTTTTTTTGCAGCAAAAAGAGAAAACAGTTTAATCTCGTTTGATTATTTTTGTATTGGTTTTGGATTCAATTTCTTTCAGAACAGTTTAGATCATTTAGTAACTCTATGCATAATTTATCATAAGTCCAACTAAAAGATTTGTCCCCTTATCCCATGAAAAGGTTTGGCCAGATTAATGCCGACTCACATCACGTCCTGTTTGAGATTTCCATCATCGGGTTTCGCTCCATCCAACAAAAAGGGCACTTCATCAGCACAGGGTCTCATCTCAAAACGCAAATTACCAATAAAATGCTATGTGTTACCGGAGTCGAATTGTCCAGCTTGTCCAGTCCAGCGCATCCGTATTGTGTCCAATCCATGAGGATTTCCGAGGGCTCGTGGATTTCAATTAGAATGCTCTAAATGACATCGGAGTTGAATAAAAGCAAAGCTTACATCAAAAGTTGCCATGAACACCCAGTGAATGGCCATCGATGGTGTCTGATCATCGAGATAATAGTGCCGGACATGATTGTCCGGATCTTCTTTGGTCACAATCATAAAACCGGCTTTGTCCATTTGCTCCAGCCTGGGACACCAGAGGAGCTGCAAGCTTTTGTTGAATACTTTGCTAATTAAAATTAGGGTTGTTTCTTGGGCCTGTTTCTAAATTCATTGAAGCACAGCATTTTCTTTGTGAAAATATGACCTATCTACTATATTATCCATTTTATAATTTTAAGAAATTGTTTGTGTTACCAAGCTTTCGGCTTACCTTTCAAGTTTTTTGATGGAGTAAAGATGTAAATAGAGGTGATCGGGTTTGGGAAACACGGAGAAACCATCAGAATTTTGATTGAACTTGATTATTGGGGTCAAAAAACGATTTTTAAGAAATTTTTAGTTAGAATGCAATCTATAGAAACTGTATATATTTGCATTTATTTAGAGCTACAAAGCAGCGGTTTCTTCTGGTAAAAATATAATAACAAGAACCGCCTTTTTTTTGTTACATAACAAAAGAGCTTTTCCTGTTGCTCTGTTTTCCCACATTTTCGGGTCAAAGCCAATTTATGGGTTGCTCTAAGCAAGCCTTAAAAAAATGGTGAGTCCACAATAATGTTTATTATACAGAGTGTCTCATAGAAAAACGTTTTCAAATCGAATTTCCTAAAAAGTTCTAGTGCAGGTGGCGGCTTTTGTGTCAAAAGCCTTTAAAAAATTCTTTGTGTTATTTGTGCTCAACTTCGAGTGTTAATAAAAAATTACCTGAGTGAATGTTCCATTTAGTGGAATGGGATCTTTGATGGGACTTGTGATACTGAAAATTCTCTTTTTTTGAGGAACTTGAAAACAAACTACCTTGCATTGTAAAGAGGAGTCAGAGGAGGATTTTCGCTTTGTAGGGTTGCAAACCAGAGCGCTCCACCTTGCAGTTTTCTGATTTCAGCGGTGAACTTTGGTTGGATGAGTAGCGGCTAAAAGCTTGAATTATTTTGACGCCTTAAACAACTTTTTGATACAGGAAAATATCCAAGAAGTACTCGGTAATCGGCGCCATATGCGAGTCGGTCTGGATTGTCGTGGATCCATGGATAATAGGGAGGGGTCCAAATAGAGATTCGATTCATCGATTGATCTGAGAAAATTGCAATACATGTCAAAAATACTAGAACTAACGTTGATCAAACGCTGTAGTGGCATAGATGAGACAGAAAGTGCACTGAACTTTTGTGAGAATCGTTGCCGCCGTTGAGCGACTATAGACAACCAGCTCATTGAGGTATTTACCGCTGAAAAAAAAACTATAAATGAGTAACTATACTGTCTTTATTCTAATTTCACTGCCGCCTACTTTTTCTGATCGCAAAAATGTAGAAAAATCATGACTAAAAACCAACAATCCATTAAGCAGTTGATGATTCTCATTTGGATTGCTGCCGGGATCGGATCCAGCAAAGGACTCATAGATTGTCTCATCTTTACAGTCAAGAGCGTCCTGTAAACTAGACATAAATAGTTTTTTCTTTTTTAGTTTTTAGATTTGGTTCAAACCAAAAAGCCTGGGCTATTTTACTTTGAAAGCCACGCAGCCCGGATCCGGATATTGGTGGTACTGATTTCTCGGCTTCAGATAAGAGATTGGTCCATCATTCCACCTAAATTCTTGTGGTGAGAGAGCCAAAGTGATGCCAATTTTTTTAGTATCAAGCTTACTTGTATTCATTTGAGCTTGGAACAACCGTTACAATCGAATTGCCCCTTCACAGCGATTGCATTCTGCTCGCCTTTTATTCCTGGGATTACCAGAACGGATTGTGTTTCTATTTTTTAAAGTTCTCAATGCAATTTCTGCTTCCCAAACCGTTCACCCATTCTGCCACACGGAACGAGATGGCATAGACGAATTGGGGGTCGACGTTGGACGACGGTTGAACGACGAGTTGAGATTTTTCAGTGATCGAGAAGCGATAGATGTAGTAAGTGTCAAGCACATTGACCTGGTTCCATGACGAGAACGATCTGAATGGTTACAGTAAAAGAAAAAGTGGGCGGGTAGCTTGCTCACAATTATTAGTTTAAACAGTAAGCCTTTGCTATGTGTTCAAATCAAATTTTTATCAATCAATTTATCTGAAATTTTGACAGTATTTTCTCAAATATTATAGAAATTTTCCACTAAATTTTGAGACCAATTCATGGTGAAATTTTAAATTATTTAAGAAACGGCACTTTCGTGAGTAATTTTTTGGAATTTGGCATTGATTTTCACCACAAAAAGTCAAAATCTTTGGGTTTTCAAGATGTAAATAGTATAATTTGCCCCTCTGCCTTTTTTTTAACCAAACAGTTTTGCGGAAAGCTCAATTTAAAAAAAATTGTTTTTTGAAATCCCGTTTTAGGACCCGAGGCTTTTTTCACAAGCTTTTACAAAAATAAATAGAATAGTCACTGAAAGTTGATGCGATTCTAAATTATTGTTTATGTGTTGGAAGTATGATACTTTTTTAGGGAGCTTGCATTGAGAAATTTTGGCCATCAAAAAATGTTCTTTAGATCGGCAGTCAAAAAACATCTACTTTTACATAATTGATTGAACTTATTTAAGGTCACCATGAATTTCTGTGGGCTTAGGTATCAAATCAAAGTAGTGAGAATGGGTGATTTTTTGAGATATAACACATATTTTCACCTTCAACGAGCCCTTAGAACAAAAAACTTAATTTTGAATAACAAAATAAGTGGCAAAAAAAGCCGATTTTTCATCATTTTTCAATCATTTTGCGTTGGTTAATGCTAGAAATCTATGTTATATCTAAAACAATCACCCATCCTCTCTACTCTAATTTGATACCTAAGCGCCCAGAAACAAATGTCTGGGCGTCGAGATATGAGCGGTTCTTTGAGTGCAAGCTTAGACTACGTGGCGCTCCGATAGAGGGCTCTTCTATTAGAATATTTACGGCATGTTATCTCTCTACAGACAGAACTTGGAGCTTACTAAAATAATGAAGATGCCTAGTTTTGAGCAAGATTCCGGCTACATTTTCCAATTTACAGTTTAGTATTGGTATTGTTAAGGTATCGTTAGGCCAAGTCTATTTGTTACAAACAAACATGAACAAAACTAAAACCTATAAAAAAGGGCTTTGCTAATCGGTAAAATTTTTGAAACCGTCTCAACCGCTTAAATTGGCAGCCCGTAAAATTTAGCGGATTCAATGGGTGAGTAAATGTAAGGAATACGATGATTTTAGCCAAAACCACTAGCGCGTTTAGCTCACCTACTTCAATAATCTCTAAAAATTTTCGTAACTTACAGCTTATCTTTTTCGTCGAACTCCTCAATTATCTCTCCCTCGATTGTGAATGGAAGCGTGTCGTTGCAGTTCTTGTTCTCAGCCAGTTTTGAGCAGCCTCTCTGCGTGTAATCGACAAGAATTTTGCTTCCATCAGTGACCTTGATTGTGAACGACTAAAAAATAGCATTCACTATATGTTTTTTCATACAGTTTAGTTATAGCTTTTTATTTATGTTTAATTTTTGTTATTTTTTGTTATCCCCATAGCCTATGAGTTTCTTTTCCTACATATTTACCTTCAAAATGTTATTGAGCCGATCCTTATGAATAGCAAACGATGGAGCTTGAGCGGTGAGCTCAAAAATCCGATTATCTCCTGACGCTAAAGTCGCAAGTAATATTAGCGGAATCAGTTGCATTCCGAGCATTCTCGTAGCACTATAACTTTCTTATATAAAAGGTATAGTTAGTTGACTGAAATGCTCTAAGAATAACCTTACAAGAGCGTCAAAAACTCAAATACGAAGCAAGTCTTGCCCATTAATCCGCCCTGTTCAACTTTTGCGCCTTTTTTTGATAAAGCAGTTCCGTCAATAGGCAAAAATGTCGTACTCATCGCCTTCCCTGCTTTCGTTTAATCTCTAACTTAAAAGTTTTTTTCTGCCCACTCTTAGGCAAGGCCTAGGTTTTTGGTTTGAGTGAAAAATGGCAAACAGTGATAGGCCTTACACCCACACACATACGGATTAGGTTTTTGACACTCAAAAAAAGAGAAGAGAGGAGAGGAAGTGAATTTTCTGAAGTAGAAAACTTTAAGGGGAGCATCATTTTAAAGAAATGAAACTCAATAACAAAAATTATAATGGTTAATACAATAGCTAGTCGACTGTCAACATATTTAGTCACAATTTGGGAACTTCAAACGTTCCCAAGTCCATGACTCTTAGAATAGGGCAGAAGTTTGAATGACTTAGGGGCCTGAACCCTTGAGGCTCATCTACCTATGTACAGAGTGCGCCATAATTGTTGCAACAAGGTATCACACAAATTCAAGGACGATAACTCGTTGATTTAAGCTTTATTTCTGGGGTTTTTTGTGTTTTTATTAGATTTGAATATAATTGAAACTTTTTCATATAAAATGTGTTGTTTTTTAGAATGGAAGAATCCCCCATCGACAATCGATCATCGAATGGCACAAGCGAGGAGTCTCGGTGCCGGAGATTCATAAGCGCCTTAAAGTCGACAGAAGTGTCATTTTCCGCACTATTCAACGCTACGAAGCTACGGGAACAATTGTTGATGCGAAGAAGGCGGTAGACGCCCAACTGTCGTCACAAAGACAAATATCAAGCAAATGAGGGACTGAATTCGAAAGAAGCCAAACCAGTCGGCAAGGCAAATGGCAAAGAAGATGGCGATTTCAAGCGCCTCACTTCGTCGGATCCTCAAAAATAGCATCAAAAATAGCATCGAAAGCTTGAAGAAATCACTGCTGAAAGCGTGGGAAGAGCTCGATCCAGCCTATTTGGTCGCCACCGTTGACGCCTTCCCGAAACACCTGTGAGCCTGCTTAAATACTAATGATGGCCATTCAAATTTGATAGTTAGTTTATAATTGTTACTGTACAACAAATGTTATTCAGTTAATAATTTGTCTTTTTTGCTCTTGCCTGCCTTAAAATCAGAACTTTATCTTGTTGGATTTATAAATAAACACAGAATGCTTAAAGTTCTATAGTCGGTGGACGTCATCGTCGTGTTCTTGTAAGTTCACTCGGAGTCAAGCCAGAAAGCGATAAGCGATTGCATCATAAAAGAGCTAGAACGGGGATTTGAAACCTTATTGTCCGTGAACGCAGCCTTCCATTGACTAGGGAAGGGTTCTAAATTAAGGTGGCGTTTCAGCTTGGAAAAGTTTAGTGCCGAATTTCTCACGAGTGAGAAATTTTTAGGAAAAACGGGAAGCAGATTTGGAATTAGCGTAAAAAAACTGCATCAGGAAAATCCTGGCTCAAGCTATAAGCATTCTGTGTTTATTTATAAATCATAAAAATTGTGTCACATTGTGTCAAAACGGCTAAACAAGTTGATAATGCGGAAAATGCTTTGCTTTGCCTTTTTCTGTCTCCCGTGATCTTTTCGAAAAGCTGACACTCATCGGGCATTCATTAACCTTATGGTTTTGTAGTTCAATCATAAAAAGATTTTCTATTTACAGAGTAAAAAAAGAGTGTAAATTTCATTTATGTCCTTCTGTAACTTATTCACCAATAATTTAGGTGAGTACAGATTTTTTCAAACGTTTTTTTTCAATTTCTAATTACTGGCGCTCTTTTTATCACCCTTTTTCTCTGATTCTTTGAATCAAATTATAAAATTTCAGTGAGAAAATCTTTTTGAAGAACATGACCTTTTTGGCGAGTCAATTCCTTTGGGACACAAACTTGCAGCAGTTTTTTGAGCTTGAAATTTTATATTCGAGGCGGTATATTTGGTTCAATTCCACTTTTGTATTTACTCAAGTATTCAGTTGTTATTTTTGCAGTACTTCTATCCAAATACCACTCTTGTTATTCAGATACTTCCTTTTTTTACAGAATGACAGAAAACACGACAGCAATTTCTGCGCAAGACGACGTTTATGATGATTTCGAAAATCATTATATTGATCCGGTTGAGATTGTCTCGAGTTGTATATTCATTTTAATTGGTTTACTCACCGATGCCATTTACTTTCGATTACTTCACTATCACTGGAGAAACGGCACAAAAACTCACTATCAGAAAATTTTTTTGATTTGTATCACTAATGTGAGTTTTCATAGTTGGCAAAAAGTCGTGATACAGTGATTCTGTGCAATGTGAGTTTCAGGATATTTCTCTCCATTATACAATGCTGATTCGAATACGTCTGCCAACTTGGGGAGTGCATGAATGGTATCGATACATCATGGTAAGATTTCACTAGAAGGTAAACTTCTCTAATGATAACGATAACTAACGATAAACGATAACGACAATAACAAACCATAACGATAATCGTATAGGGTTACTTGACCAATTTTCCGGTAAATTCTTGTTAAGAAATCAGGTTTCATGAGCATGTCAGAAGTCATGAAATGATGTTCGCACAAATGAGCTTTCTCATTTCAGACTGGTTTCTTCCCTCTTATACTTGCCTATTTGAATGGTGTATTTATGGAGATTCAAGTTCTTGGCACATTTCTTATCGCCAGCAATCGAGCCACGGCCGTCGCCTTTCCTCGTGGATACGAAAAGGTTCATAGGGATTAGAAGTGAAAATAGCACGTCTTTTGTTTCTCTTTTGTAGTTTTGGTCATATCACACATGGCATGTCTGCGCTTTATGGGTCATTTCATCGTTTATTTATTGTGCAGGCTCTCTCACTGACACCAGCTCTTTCATTCGACTCTCTTGGGGATACTATATAGCCGTCAATAAGCCGACTAGCGAGTTCACGGCAAGTAAATGATAAGTCAAGTTGCTTTTCTTGCGTATAGTTTTTTTTACAATGGTTAGAAACCATTTTTCTCAAATTTAAGAAAAGCAAACAAGGCTTTAAATGTAAAGAAATGCAAATGCTTGTTTAAGTAGAAAAGTTTAGAAATTACTGATTTCACAGAAAGCTCTGGAAAGGAGAAGAGGGGGAACACCTTATTGTATCTCCGAGAAGAATTTGTCGTTTATTTCATGTGGCGGCAGCATTTGTTTGAGTTCTATAGAGCCGTTAGAAGCACTGATAAACAGAAAACATTGAAAAAAAAACGTCCTGTTTGATTTTGGATATCCTCGATGGCTTTGATATCCTAGGCTGTCCTGGACGATTCCCATTTCTCCTTCAACATTCTATTGACGTTACTCACTTTCGGGCTCAATTTGTTTACCGGAATCAAAATGTTTTTCTATCGAAAGGATCATCGGATGCGCCGACGAGAGATCGGCTTCTATTTGGTGACCCTTGTCCAGTTTCTTATCCAATGTTTCAGCATCGTCGATCAAGTAGAAATCTAACAAGGTTTTAATTTAGAGAAAAACCTTTTTGCAGATCATTGTAAACACTCAATCGATGGAAACCTTTTGGGTATTTTTCGAGTTTTCGCCTGTTTTTGCGGATCTCGCCAACTTTGTGCCACTTTGGTATGCTCTTTGTCCCAAATTCTACTTACATAGAAACACAAATAAACAGGAAACTTTTATAAGCCGGCAGAGCACGTTAAAAGAATTTTCCTCTTGCATTCCCAAATTAGGTAATATAAAATTGCCCATATGGTGAAAACTTTGAGGTTTTACTTGGCCATTTCTGAGGAGACGAGACGAATAGTTCTGGGAGGGATAAACTCGTCGAATAACCGACTCTTCATAATCACAAAACTCTCTACTACGCCAACAAAAAAAAAGTCATCAGCCATAAGATATTTATTGATTTATTGTTTTCGCTTGTTTTTACGGATTTCAAATTTTCTTCATTTTTTCAGCAACAACTTGTTTATTTCATTTCAAAAAATTCTACGAGGAGATTTATGGAAAGAGTATGGATTAATTAAACCGGAAAGCACGAGCAAACAAGGTAAAACAAACAAAAAGAGAGAGGATAAATGAACATAACAATGATAACAAGGCTTGCGCGGAACTTCAGTCCACTAGTAGACGATGGGATTGAAATGAAATGAAATAATATTTGGGTTTAATGAATGGAATAAAAGTTAGTAAGTGATTTAGATTATGCTTAACTATAGAGACAAATAGATCTGCTTAATTAGATGAGAATAATTTAAAAGGTATCTTACTTGGCGTGACCGAGAGCAGTGGCTAGGCGGGTGTGGTGAGAGACTCCAGCGAACGAGACATTCTTTTCTCAGCATTCGATCGACCTGGCTGATGACAAACGAGTGCACCGTGGACGCTTCCGACCTTCTGGGCGGAGTAAGCGCATGATGTCTAAAAGACGTGCAATGGGTAAAAACTCGGGAACAGTTAACAATAGAATCTATGGGTTTTTCAGAACCATTGGTTAGCTTCTAGGGAGCTTTCATAGTGTTATCCAATCACTGGGGTATGGGCACCGGTAGCCTAGTGGGTAATTAGACGGCTTCTCGGTAGTAAGACCGAGGTTCGGTCGCGGTGGGGCTAAAAAATGAGTTTCTCAAAAGAAGTTTATATGGTTAAACGTCAGTTGATGATGAAAGACGATCAGTTGTTTTTGCGATTTGAAATTTTTCAATGGTTGCTTCGAGGGCTGTATTGGTTTTGTGAATTTTATTGGTGGAACTTTACAAGATACTGCAAAACCAAAATAAATCTTTATTCAAAAATTAACAATAAACAACAAGATTCTGAACCCAAAAATGTGTAGAAAAACGGAAATTTTAGCGAGTTTTCTGATGTCTCACGAGTTTATAGTAAGCACCGTGTTTTTCGAGGAGTTCCGTATGAGTGCCTGGAATTCTTTTCGGTTTTCCCTTTTTTCTCAATTCAATCCTTAATAGTGACAAATGGAGAATATCAGGGTAGTTTCTGTGCATCATACAAATTCTCACAGTTACAGTAATCTATTTTAGTGAGAGTTCATTTGGTCAATTTTAAATCTCACCCTGTTCCACGATTTTCCCATTTGAGAGCACAATGATTTTGTCGGCGTTTTTCACCGTACTCAGTCGATGAGCGATGATTAGACAAGTGCGGCCAAATGAGGCCGAATCGAGCGCCTCTTGAACGATCTGAAAACGAATAAACTTATTGTTATATTATATTTACCCATCTTGTTGACTTATATTCTCCACAAAAATGAAACCTTTTCACTTTCTGCATCCAATGCACTCGTCGCTTCATCGAATATCAAAAAGTTCGGATTTCGCACCAGCGCTCGTGCGATCGCGATCCTTTGCTTTTGGCCTTGAATCGGATTTTTGACTTTACTGGCAGTATTGTGATTGACAAGGCTTGAAAAGGACAAAAGATTTACCTCCAGACAAATACGATCCCTTATTACCGACTCTTGTTTTGTAACCATCGGGAAGTGACTCGATAAATGAGTGGATATTGGCCGACTTTGCCGCTTCGATCACTTGCTCTCTGCTGATCAACTCTTCTGGTAAACCGTAACAGATATTAGCCTAAATTTTCGATCTCATTAGATTCTGAAATAAGGAAACATTTTCCTTGTTCTTGATTCAAATACCCACAAAGATCGACTCATCAAAAAGGATTGGCTCTTGTGAGACGAGTCCAAAATGTGCGCGGAGATCGTTTTTCGACAGGGAAGTGATATCGTAATTATTGACCTTCTGAAAAGTTCTGTTTTATCAGTTTGTTTTTCTGACTCAATGTGTAGTTGGGGTTTTTCTCAAGTTTTAAGCTGAAACCTACAGTAGTATCTACAGTATCAAACTTGTTTTTGTGCTATTCTTTGGATCGGATTAAGCTCGAGTCTCTAGTTGGATTAAAAACTTGTTTTTACTCAAATAATGAACTTTTAAAAGCACTAGTAGCTCACAATTTTCCCTTGATTCGGCTCATAAAATCGTTGAAGCAGCGCAGTGATTGTGCTCTTCCCCGAACCCGACGATCCCACCAATGCGACTTTTTGTCCAGAGTCAATTGAAAAAGAAATACCTGAAACATTTGTGAATTTAATAATTATAATTTTCAAGTATTTTACATAGCAATAACTTTTTTCTAAAGCTAATTCATCTTCCTTCAAACCAACCATCCAACACATTTGCCTCTGCTCTTTGTGGATAGGCGAAAGTCACGTCCTCAAATGTGATTTGGCCAAAATTATCCTAAAAATTCTTCTGATTTAAAAAAGCTTTCTATAAAACCTGTAAACTTTTTCGATCTTCATCATTTTTAATCTCCGATTCCCTTTTCAGTTTGAACACAAGCGCAGCAGCCAGACGAGCTTTCCGATACTCGGGCAAATAAACAAAAGTCTCGCCGAAATAGTGACCCGCTGAGTCCATCACCATTAGAGCTCTAGAAAATTCTCTCACTATCAGTTTCCTAGAAAAATAAAGACAAATTTGAGGCAAAAAATTGTCCCAAAGGTTTGAGCATAGTGGCGCCCAAAGCTAAACTTTTAGAGATCAGTTTTCTGGGGATGTTGGTGATTATATAAGCAACTAAAGATTACTTATTCAAAAACTCCGACCTCAAAACAAATTTCCCCACCTGAATACATCTAACGGTCTCCCGTATCCCGAGTTGATAATCCATCCGCCCAGCGAGTACTCGATTGCCCGGAGGAAAGTCGCGAGACTCTCGTGAAGCCCAGAGATCACACCCTGAACAATGATTAGAGTGAGTTTTCTGTACAGTATTGTTTTAAAAAACTACTGTTATACTTACTTGTGCAAAAACTTTTCGAATATTCCTCTGATGAGGTCGCTCGATGAGTTCACAGAATCTCTCGTGCATCACCGTTTCCATGTTCAACGAGTGCACAGTTTTGATGTTCTCCACGCATTCGGTCATTAGCTGAATGTTATTTTTTCGCGAGGTTATAATGAATGTTAACCACAAACTGGATTTTACAACCAAAGTTTGTGGTTATATATTTTGAATCAAATTTAGACAGGATTACTCAATGTGGTTAACCTAACTATAAGTGGTTCACAGTCCTATATTTAGGATCAAGGAGCTTTGATCCATCCTAGGGAGTCTAGATCATGTAAACCAGGCCAAGGACTGGACAGAAGCCAGGTTCGGGGAATTTTGGTGGGTCAGTGCAACTAAGCTAACACGGCAAAAAGCCAGATCCGGAAAATTGCCTTTGGAACAGCCCTTCAATTGTTAAACAACGAAGAGGACTTTGAGAAGGCTCTATCTGCCTATAATCTCAATTCAATAAAAGAAATAAAATAAAAGACTATTCACTCAAAGATTTTCAATGGCTAAGGTAAATTTTAGTAAGTTAGCTTTTTTTCTCTTACCCTTCCACTCTCCTCGATCAACTTTTTATCCTCATAAGAGCTCGCCTCAAATACTCCCCTCCAAATCGTCTCAATGAACGCCAGAATTGGAATCATCGGGGTCACTAGAGGAATTTTTACACAAATTCCCCATCTTTCTTACTCAAAACAGCCATCGGCCAACAGTAATAGAAAGAGACGAACAATCCGACGATCAACGCGAGAATCCCCTTCAGGAAATAGCTCAATTTGAAGCCGACTGCCTAAATTATATGATAGGTGAAGAAGCCGGAAAAGTGAAAAATTTACTTACTCTTCGCATAAAATACGCATCTGTGGCCAAACGGGTGGTCAGCCGACCGGCGGCATGCTGGGGAATATCGAAGAAGGATCCGTCTTGATGCAAGAGATTCGAGTAGATCTGGCAATTGGAATTATAGATCAAATTGAATACGAACAACAATTAGAAAAGAAAATTTGCTTCCAAATTGATTTCCTTTTTAGAAAATTGATTTGCTTTCAAAAGAAGTGATTTTTGGATACATGTGGAGCGTATCCCAGCATTTTTTTTCCACACCTCAACGTTTTTCCACACCAAATAGCCAACTCTGCACCAAATAGCAAGCTTTGCATTTCAAGCTTAATAAGATTTACAAGCAAAACTTGATAAGATCCGCAAAAAGCAAATTGCTCAGCTATAATTGAGTGAACAAACCTTTGTCCGAAGTCTTGTTGACAGACGATTTGCTGTTGTCTCAAAGCCCAATACCTGAAATTTTCTTTTTAGAGTATTTGTGATCTGTAAACGGACCGTCTCTGGCAAAATAAACTCTAGAGTCTTTCTAGCAATACTTGCTGCCTCAACTTGTTCTAATGTCAGTGCGTCAGAAAGAGAGCCACTGAATTCTCACTTCTAGTGGTGTAGCGAAAAAATCGGCAAGAATCGGTAGAATCATCCAAATGGCGGCTATTCGTCCTTTTCTTCGCTGCTCTTCCGGATCCAATTCGGCGAAAGACTAAAATGTAGTTTGCGAATGAAATTTGATTTGTCAACCTGTAGCGCTGTAGCTTGTGGTAGTTGATAGGCGGGCATGAAAACACCCTAGAAATTTTTAACTGAAACCACTTTTAGATATTGTATTTACTTCAAAAGAGCATACAAATAGCCCAAGTAAGAGATATTTCCAATCGGGAAGGGCTTCTTTGAAAAGTTCGATACCCGAGAAGTCGAGTACGCCCTCTTCTTGGGCTTCTAAAAGGCAATTGTTTAAATTAAAACTTTAATTAGGTATCCCAGAAAATGTATGTTTCTGTTTCTGTTTTTGCACACAAATGTGGTGCGTTTCGTGCTCAAAAGTGGAACATATCTCTTCTGGCGCACCACAAATTTACAATATTTCCAAAGTGCCAACCTTTTTTGATTCGTTCCACATCTTTCTCATGTTCTTCATCATCATTTCCACTCACAAAATGCACCAAAAGCTCTTCCCGTTCATTTTCGGTAAAATGCAGCTCTTCATCGGTGGATTGTCTATGTGAAGGCACTAAAGAAATCAGTTTGATTAAAGATCTCATTCCAACTCCTTTCTGTGAGCTGTGCCTTCACCAATCCAGCATAATGCCCCTCCAATTTCATCAAAACATCGTGTGTCCCCGATTCGACAACTGAAATTAAACTTTAGACTTTCATTTGACTCAAACAAACTTGTTCCTTGGTTGATCACAAGGATTTTATCGGCATTGCGAATTGTTGAAAGTCGATGTGCAACCACAACTGTTGTTCTCCCCTTTGAAGCCTTTTCAAGCGCTTTCAACACTTCTTTTTCTGATTCTCCGTCCAGGGCACTTGTCGCTTCATCGAGTAGAAGAAATTTTGGGTTTCTAAGCGAAACAAATATATTTTTTTAGCTGCTTTCTAAGAATTCATGAGTAGACGCTCAGTGTATCTCATTTTTTGAGTAGCCAAGCTTCACCAACACAAGAATGTACTAATCTGACCCTAGTCTGACTTTCTGACTTTGCAGAAACTAAGTCTGGCTTTTAGCAAGCCCAGAGATTCTTGTGGACTAGGTCTAGCACAAGGTCTAGTCGGTCTGATTTGCATGAAAACACACGAAGTTTAATCTCGTAAAATTTACTTACGAAAGACACTGTTTGCATTCAAATCTCAATGTTAAGTTATTTAGTTTAGTCAGCTTTCATTTGTTTGCTTCTCATCCAAACACTGACCTGATGATCGCTCTCGCAATCGCGATCCTTTGCTTTTGCCCGCCCGACAGTTGCGTGCCACGTTCACCCACTCTTGTGTGCCAACCCTAAAATATGAAATTGAAATCTATCAAAAGATTCAGGGCATACGCTTTAGATATAAATATTTGTAACCAACCTTTGGAAGTCTTTTCACAAAGTCGAGCGCATTGGCCTTTTGGAGTGCCAGCGTCACCTCGGCTTCCGTGGCTGACGGATTTGCAAAACGTATATTCTAAAAGAATTCTATATAATTTTCGAAAGTTTGTATCAAAATTTGAGATTATCAATAACTAAGGTTATCTAAACTATCAAAATCAAGTACCTCAATGATCGACGAGTTGAACAAAACCGGCTCTTGGCCAACAACTCCAAACTGGGGTCTCAACTCGGTTTTTGGAAAACTGTCGATGCACCTGTCTCCAATAAATATCTAAATTTGCATACCTGATATTAATTTTCTCTCTTAATCTAATCACTTTTCCACTCGTTGGCTCGTAGAATCGTTGAACGAGTTGCAAGAGGGTTGACTTTCCGCAGCCAGATGAACCCACAAGGGCCACCATTTCCCCCGGCTCACAAGTGAATGAAATGTTCTGAAACTTTATATTTCGATGAGTATCTTTTCTTTGTTTACCTTCAAAACTTGCGCTTCTCGATTGTGATAGGTGAAGCTTAAATCTTTGATCTCTAACTTGCCAGTTAGCTCCAGATTTTCGTATTCTCTTGTTTTTCTTGAAAGTTTTGCATTCTAAACCTTTTATTTCAAATTTTTTGGAGTCAAGTGACCATTATTAGCTTCAGAACTTAGGGTTCAGGATTATCTCAAATCATAAGTCAAGCTTTTTAACTATAGTAATCAAATTCAACTACAGTATTATGCAGGCTAGTCAGCCTCCGGTTTACCGTTACTTGTTACAAACTTGAGTTTGATGTCATAAAATAAAAAATGTCATACAGTTCTCACAAACCGTTTCTTTCAAATCATTTCCAAGCAACTCAAAAAGTGTTTGCGATTCGACGAGATTCCGACGAAATTGCGACCAGTCGCTCAGCAACTCGCCAAATGAGGAACAAGCGGCGCGAGCGGCTCGACCAACCTAAAGTTAACCTTTTTATAGACTTTGTTTGTTAAAAAAATGTTTATTAATAATTTGTACATGCCAAAACGACACGTTCTTCCGTCTCTCAAACGACTCTACTGCCCGACGTTTTACCAGAAAAATATAAGAAATCCACTAGAGGGTGGATGTTTGACAGGGGTTTGACGTTTGACAGACCAAGAAAATTTGCCCAATCCGCAGTTAAACGACTCACAATTAGAACCGTCTGCAACTGGGCCAATCCCCAGTAAACATATTCAGTTGCAATCCAAAATTGAAGTCCATTTATGATGGTGCTCATCGAGTAAAGAAACGCCGTCGACAAACCCAAATACATTTGCACTTGCATGTCGATTTTGATGCAATCATCAAGAGCGCTTTTGTATCTGATAGATTTTGCTTAGTAAAATTGAGACTAAGCTTGCACTTTGTGCTCAAATAGTTGTGGATTTCTTATCGTATCTAAGGGTTTTGTTTTAATAATAATACTTTGTGGCTTTAGCAGAGTACTTGTTTACTAAACTTACTTTACTTCCTCGTGTTTTTGGCCATTGAACGCTTGCACGGTTCGGATGCAGCTGAGAGCCTAAAAGAGGCATCTTATCAATGATCCTAAAAGAGGCATCATCAATGACCAAATTGTGCTTGTATTGTTATTAACAATGCTTAACAATTTGTTAAGTAAGCCATAGGATTCTACTGATGACATTGGAATACAGGTAGCTTATTGGTAGAGCGTCCACCCGGTATGCGAAAGCTCATGGGTTTAAATCCGGTACAAACTATTTTAATGTTCGTAGCCCAAGCCTAGGGAGGGCCTAGCACGTCCAACTATTGTGTTGAATCAAAATTTGAACCTACAAAGCTTTACCTGTTGTGTGATAGCATTCGCATTATCATATGAGCTCATCGAGGCTTGGAGCTTTTCCTCAATCTAAAACCCTCAAAGTAGCTCTATTTTGATGTAAAAACTTAAGTTTTGAAATTCTATTGTAAAAGGAAAAAAAAAAAAAAAAAAAAAAAAAAAAAAAAAAAAACACCCCAAAAAAAATATAATTAAAATTTATTTTTATTTTATTTAATTTATATATTTTTTTTTTAAAAAAAAATTTTAAAATTTTTTTATAATTTTTTTTTTTTTTTTATAAAAAAAATTAAAAAAAAAAAAAAAAAAAAAAATAAAAATTTTAAACCTTTTTTTTAAATTTTTTTTTTTTAAATTATTTTTTTTTTAAAAAAAAAAAAAAATATTTATTTTTTTTTTTTTTTTTTTTAAATTTTTAAAAAAATTCCTTTTTTTTTTTTTTTTTTTTTTTTTTTTTTTTTTTTTTAAATTTTTTTTTTTTTTTGGGTGTGGTTTTTTTTTTTTTTTTTTTTTTTTTTTTTTTTTTTTTTTTTTTAAAAATTTTTTTTTTTTTAAAAAAATTTTTTTTTTTTAAAATTTTTTTAAAATTTTTAAAATTTTTTTTTTTTTCGGCGCCGACTCATTCTCCCCAACCCAATAGCTGATGAACATCGATACCTTGTTGAAAAAGTAGCTGACAAATGAAGAAACAATAGTGATCGAGAACATCAAAAGCGCCAATGAAGAGTCATAGGAGAAAGCGAGAATCGCTCCAAAGATGAGCATCACGAAGTGGCGGACAATGTGTGCGAGAATAATCCCGAATCCGTTATTCAACTTTTCTAACGATTCGATAATATTTGCAGACAAAACCGTCGTTTTCTTTTCGTCAAACCAAATAAGATCTTTGTTTAGAATGATCTGAAAACTTGAAATTTCTAAAAAGATGTTGTTTTCAAACCATAAAAGCTCGTTGCCGCATTCGATGACATAGATTTTCCGCCACCGTCATGAAAGTCGTTTTCTAAATGACAAGAACAGAATCATTAGGATCTAGATTGAGATTGAATAAAGATTACGTGGCAAGATTACGGCAATTTTCGAAAATGAATTCGTTTTAGAATTCAGAAGCATGCACTCGTAGATTCGTAAATTTTTCAAACCATTTTCAACACAAACCATCAAGAAAACAAGCACAGCCGAAAAAATTCCAAATTTGAAAACACTCCAACACGAGGCCGATAAACGGTCGTTGAAATCTATGAGATCCTCGAGATTCGTCGAATTTGAAAGCTCTAAACTTTCTCTTTCAGATATTTTCCTTAAAATTTACCATTTTTAGTCAAAATCTTCTCCTTTTCAATGAAAAGTTGCCAAATTTGTCTGAAAGAATTTTTCTTTCAGATGAAAATTGAAATTTTACCTGATCACATAGAAATGTTGATTGTGCACGTAACCCGAGAGAATCGAGATCAAAATACCCGTGAAAAATAGGAAAAGATCAAAGTTTTCAAGGAAACATATCTAGATTTGAAAAAAGTTATATTTTTAAAGATAATTCCCTTTGGAGTTGTGGTGTAATGGATAGCACAGTTGCTCGGTTAGGGAAAGTTCGCGAGTTCGAGTCCCGACGACGCACGAGTTTTTGATCTGCCCTAGTTCCATCTTTAAACATTTTGCAGAAAATTCGGCCCTTTGCTTTTTAAGGTATCAGGGATTTTTGACCGAGTACTCACGCTTTAAACGCTCATAACTTTATTTAGAAATAATATCATTATTAACTAATTATACTTCAGACCTCGATTTAACGATTCTCATGGGACCGGGATTTTCTATCGTTATATCGAGTAAATCATTAAATCGAACGTTTTTATAAGGCAAATAGCTTTCAAGCGTTCAAAAATTGACATCGTTAAATCGAGGTTTGACTGTAGTTTTAATTGTAAGTAAAACAATAGTTTAACGGGATATTCAGAAGATAAGATGGCACAAAAAGAAGATATTCAGCCGTAAATTTGTACTCAGGGATTTTCGGGGCCGGGAAATCGATTGGAGGTATTCATTTATTGAATCATTTATTTATTGAGTACAAATGGAACTCGGATTTAATTGGTCTAAACGTTTAAAGTAATTGACCTAAACACTGGGTCACGGACAAGAGCCGAAAATTTAGCAAAACTTTTGAAAACCATAGAGACTTATCCAAAATTTCAAGAAATAGTCAGATTTTTGAAAATCTTTACACAAAAACATTAACTGTTTAGAAAACTCACAGAAATCTTGAGAAAACCCCATGCCGAAGAGCTTCTCATTGAGCTAAAGTTTTTACTAAAAAATTTTCTAAATTTTTACAAAAATATCTTACCTGTGTTTCTCAGAATTTGAGATAACTGAATATTTTATTCGAAAAGCTTTAGAGAAATGATTTTCGAAAGTTTTCGCCCTTTTTTCTCTCGACTCTCCGAACAGCGGATTTCTCTAAATGAGAAAATTGATACAAAAAAAGCGATTTGTTCAAGAAGATTGCGAAAGAGATGAATTGAAAGAATAAGCTTTTATTTATTTTTGATTCGGAAATGATGCGAAAATTGATTTTACGCTTTTCTTGGGAAAAATTGGGCAAACCTGATAGGGTGAGGCCTTTTTTGAGATGAGTCATCGGGGTTTCCCTTTGAGAAAGCAAACACCAAACACCAAACAGCAACAGTAAAGCGCGATCAAAAGAGCTCAAATTTAGCTTGGAAGTTAGCTTTAGATACTTAATCTAGACATCTAGGTTGTATGCAGATCGAGCTGATAGTGAGGTACAAAAAGGACACCTATTTATGTATTTTGGAGATGCACTTTGTACTTGGAGCACAGTCGTTTTGCACTGAACTCTTCATTTTTCTTTTAGTCTTTTCAGAGTTAAAGAGCACAAATTCTATTTGAGTAACTAAACCAAAACGAAAAAAGTGAAGAATTAAGTGCACCGGAAAGGGTGCGTTTCAACTTTTAAGCTTAAAATACGCTATTCCGTTAGCACTTACAATTAGGTAACTACAGGGTGGTCAAAGATTATGGCAAGCAGTTTTTGGAAAACTTTTCTTTTCGAAGAAACTTTCTACAGAAAGTATCATGTATTATCTACTATTTAAAAGCTCTAATTCTCAGCATCCTTAATACATTAAAGATTTTTTTGACCAGAGCTAATTTTTGACCCTTACTGCCTTCGGAATGAACTCGCCGCAAGCACCCCACGGCGATCTGCCATTTTTCGTGGTTTTCTAAGTAAAAATTCGTATAATCGATTGCTCAGAAGTCAAATGGTCTGAAACTTCATAATCTTTGCAATAAAACCAATGGCTTGTCCTGGAATTCAAAAAGGTACTTTAAACGACAATTTATTGAATAAATTAACATGAACTACAACAAAAACAACTAGACACTCAAAGTGATTCTCATTCCAAACTGATCATTTCCTCAATTTGTCCGCCTCCGCCCTCCGTCGAATGTCTCCGTCTTTCTTGTTGTAAAACCATATTGTAATAGGCTCCTTTTATTGATAACAATTCTTTGTGATTACCTAAATATTCCCAAATATTTTCCATCTAATTTCCCCACCTTGTTCCACAATTTCCCCTCCTTTCATCACAACAATTCGATGGGCATTTCGAATTGTACTCAAACGGTGGGCAATCACTAGACAAGTTCGACCCTCCGATGCGGCGTCGAGCGCCTCTTGAACGACCTGGAAAATGGAGAAAATAGTTAATTTTCAAATTATTTATTATTTGGACTTATCTGGATAGTATCCAGTGTCCTTATGCTTACAGTATCCAGTGGAGTGGATACTGTAAGGTTGCTACATTCTTCCTTTTATTCCCTCAGATTTCTTCAAAGTGTGTTTTCACCCAAATTGTATTACAATTAGAATAAAATGAACCCCATATCGAATCGAATACTTTCTCCATTTTTGACATTTTTAAGATCGTATTCATTAACGAGAGGCCTTTTTGGTACTAAGGTAGTTGGCGGAGGGAGGCCACTATTTTTTTTCGAAAACTAGTTTTTCTGGGGTGTTTTTATGCGTAGATTCCGAAAAACACAACGAGAGCTTTGGACAATGAGTTTTAAGTCAAGTTTCGGGGCTCCACAGTGTGATCAGAGGGGAACTTGGTTTAGAGCTCATTTTCCAAAGCTCTTGTCGGGTTTTTCGGAATCTACGCATCAAACTACCCCATACCCTAGAAAAACTACCCTAGAAAAACTAGTTTTCGAAAAAAAATAGTGACCGTCACCAAATACCTTAGTACCGACTTTTTATTATATGTTTAGATTTCTTTAATATTTTTGCAAGAAATGCTGATGTTAAAATTAACCAATTTTTAATCAACACCTTTTCCAAACCTTTTCACTTTCCGTATCCAAAGCACTCGTCGCCTCATCAAGAATCAAAATCTTTGGATTTCTCACCAAAGCCCTAGCGATGGCCACTCGTTGTTTTTGACCTAAAAGCTATTAATTTAAAGCTAAACTTTTTTAGGTATGTTTACCCCCAGATAGTTGCGTTCCTTTATCTCCAACATTTGTGTCATAGCCTCTAGGCAAAGAACAGATAAATGAGTGGATGTTGGCTTTCTTTGCCGCTTCGGTCACCCTCTCTTCACTGATCGTTTCACGGTGGAGTCCGTAAAGGATATTGTTCTAAAGTTAATGATGAACTCAACGAACAGTTTGAAGCTCTACAGGGTAGCCCACAATTATACTTTCGCACTTCAGAGGGCTCTCAACTTTGGAAGGTCATATAAAAAAGTTGAAAGCTTGAATCGACTAGGTAATGGGCACTGTTTTAGGAGACATACTTAAGATTTACCTCCAGAAAAATCAAAACGATTGAACTGATTTTGGCCAATCTAGCCCCTCTGAAGTAATTGTGGGCCACCCTGTAGAACTTTAACGCGTAAATCAAAGTGACTTGAGACCTGTGTAACTTATAGTTAGTACTGTATCCACTAAGTTTACTTTGTTCTCCGCGTAAACACACCCTTTCTGACGCACTGTACTCGGTGCACCAGAAAGGGTGCGTTTAAGCGGGATACAAAGTAGCTGTATGGTTTTGCGGGTCTTTTTCTACGACTGTACGAGTACTGTAATTGGAAATTATAATTTTCAATGGTACAATAAAATTCCTAGAACACTTACCCTGATACTGTCATCGAACAAGATTGGCTCCTGTGAAACAACAGCCATTTGTGATCGCAAATCCGCGGCTCCCATCAGTCGAATGTCTCGACCATCGATTTTCTAGAAGAAGTAACAGTTTTAAGATTTCTAAAGCAAGCAAAAGCATTTTAAAAGATGGAAATTCCTTCAACCAACCACAGCTCCATCCGTGACGTCGTAGAATCTCTGGAGGAGACTCACAAGTGTACTCTTTCCGCAACCCGACGGACCAACAACGGCCACCGTTTGGCCCGGTTCAATCGAGAAGCTCACTCCTGGAAAATAAAATAGCTCAAGAAATTAGTCTGACTATAGTTTTCACCAAGCTGATATTGAGCTCAAAAACTCTTTAATTTCTCAAACCTTTCAACACTTCAACATCGTTTCTCTCCGGATAGGTGAACTTGATATCTTCGAAGTCGACCTTGCCGTTGGTTGCCTGTAAATTGTTGTTTTAGCTACTTTAACCAAAAAAGGGTTTGTTTTTGTACTTTTAAATGAACCTCAAATCCATTTCTCGCAAATCCATCAATTTTCGTCGGCTCTCTCATCATTTTGAACAAAAGCCCAGCCGAGAATTTGGCCTTTTTGTAATCGGGGAAATACGAGGCACCCTGTCCGACGGCCACCGATGAGAACTCGATACAGAACTGAGCTCTGAAAGTTGGGTTTGATCAAAACCATCTGTATTACCATTGTTTTTACCTCCAGGCATCAAACGGATTTTTCACCATATCCTTCATGATCATCCACCCAGAGAAGCGGAACTCAACCGCGTCCATCAGCGGCTGAAGACCGTTCATCAAACCGGTCATAACTCCCTGAAATTATGTTGCACACAGGATTTTGAATTATGTGATGATTTCAATAAAGTAGCTAGCTCTACTTAGAAGAAACGTTTCGATCGAGGCCAGGTCATGTCAGGCAGGGTCTAGGTCCATGCTTCTTCTGGATTTTACGGGTTAAGAATGTACTCTATGGCTGACTATAGCTGCTACTTTACAAAACAATTATTTCTTATCAATTCCTTTGAAGGTTACCTGCGCAAAAGCTTTCCTCTTATTTGTTTTGTGGGGCCGCTCAATGAGGGTGCAATATTTCTCGTGCATCACTCCTTGCAATGATAAAGCGTGAACGGTTCGAATGCACTCAATCGACTCCATTGCTACCTAGAAGTTAAAAAAAATCCTCAAAAGTTATTTTGATTCATCAATTTTGAGTCTTTATTAGTAAATCTTAACGACGAGACCAAGTCCGAAAGACATTGTAGTTTTCACTTCTCGTTTTTTCCATCAAATGTTGCTAGGAGGTGTACTAATGAAGCTGATTGTCTAATAGTTATGAGAATTGAATCCAACTAAATATCCCATTGAATATCGAATATCAAATATCCTATTTTCTACCCACCTTTCCACTCGCTTCCATCAACTTGAGATCCTCGATCGAGGTGGCGTTGAAAAGTTTCTCCCACAAGAATTCAGTCAACGAGATCACCGGCACGACGACAAGCACTAGAAAAATAAGGAATCTAGTCAAATATTGTTTTGATTTTTTAGTTCAATCAACTTTAATTGTAGACATGATGATCTTGATAAACTAAAACAAATATGCACCAAATGATGAAAGGTGATTCAGGATATTGCCACTTCAGATCTTTTTAGCCTTAACTTTTAGGTTTTTTAAAAACTTAAAGCAATTTCTAATTGAGAGCCTAATAAGGAACTTGATTCTAAACTTTTTCTACTGCACATTTTCTTAAGTTTTACAAAGCCACTCACTCAAAAGGGTCATTTGCCAAGAGAAATACGCGGCCACACCCAATCCAGAAATAAGGGCCACAACAGCTCGCAACACATTTCCCAATTTGTAATCGATAGCCTAAAATTGTTTGTAAACTTTCTTAAAACCAAATTTTAAGTTTATAACTCATTTTTGCCCACTTGTTTAATATTCGGAGCATCGGTTGCTAGGCGAGTCGAGATTTTCCCGGCTGAGTGCTTCGGCGAATCAAAGTAGGCCCCGTCTTGGCTGAGTACATTTTTAAAAGTCTGAAAAAGGAGATATAAAGTCTGTTTCTATTTTTAAATGTTAATTTCAATTTAAATTAAAATTCTAGCCTCCTAAAATACCTTGTATCGCAGCTTCTCGACAACCCGCGCGGCGGTGACACCGAAGTTGATTGCCTGAAAATTTTTGAATAATTTTCCAGAAATTTGAATTTAAAGTATCTCAAAACATTTTCAAAACATTCAAAATTAGCATAAAACATTTTCCTCTAGCACTTTTAACTTTTTATATCCAACCCCTCCAGCCGGAATCACAGCATCCATGGCGACGATCAGCAAAAAGCCCAAAGCGGCCCAATGACCTCGTTGCCTCATCAGCTCATGATCGGGCTCGGAAAAGATCTAAAAATAAATAAAAATAGATAATTAATAGATATAGGATTTTTAAAATCTTAGCGATTATATCAATCTAGAAGTTTATTCAAAAAAAACTACCTCGAAAGCATTTGTGTAGAAGAAGCCGAACATCGGGTAGGCTAGACCCTGAAAAATTGGCTTTTGAGACAAGCTCTTTGGTTACAAAAAAGGCAATTCATTTCTGGATATTGTTAGGATTTACCTCAATCAGTCCACAAATGCACCCCATCATGAAATATTTCCAATCCGACCCCAAATGGCTCATGATTCGGAAAAGGCTCACCGTCGAAACGCCCTCCTCTTTGATTTCTGGAATTTCATTTGTACGTATGAAAATTTTGGGCTTTGGTCCAAATAGTCAAGAAATATTGATCCAGCAAAAGCTACTTTTCTAGGTCAGGCAAGGCTAAGGCCAAAGTTAGGCCGAAGCCAGGGCCAAGACTTGATCAAGGTTGTTCAATCTCAGCTGATTGTTTCAAAACCATTTTTTGCGGATCAGCCAGGTCCTTGTTTCTGACCCATAGTTGGGCTAAAAGCCAGGACCTGACTTCCGGTCTTGCCTTGTTTCCAGACCTTAGAAGAATTGGAAACCCTAGAGCCATAAAGGTTCCTTTACCTCTCGTCAAGCGATCCATCTCTGACTCATTCTCTTCTTTGTTCGCAATTTGCAGCTTATTCCCGTGATCAAGATCTTCCACTGGATCACTTCCAGTCGAAAAACGATTGCTTCGTTGTCGCAGATAGCCAGGTCTAACTTCTAGAGGGATTCACATTTTACAAGACCACTTAACAACTAAGTTTACACTACTACTACGTTTTACCCATTCAACTAACCTTTATGTGCCTCAACGTCGGCGAAAACTTGCGCATTCACCAAGTCGAAATAGTGTCCCTGTTTGGTCATCAACTCGGTGTGTTTCCCACTCTCGACAACTTAAATTTGGTTTTAATACTTTATGTGCTTGTGTCATACCATCGTATTTACAAATAATGTATTTATAAGCTATTCGGGTTTTGGGAATCTTCTGTTTTGTAGAAAAGTACAAAAAAATTTAGTGCAGAAATTTACCCCAAGAACTTGGGCATAGTGGCGCCAAAAAACGGCAAGACGATTTAGCCACTCACCGCTTCTTCCCCTTTGAGGATTCCAATTTTTTTATGCATAAATTTAAAAGTATATAAATTTTGCTCATTCAAAAAACCCGGATAACGGATAAGAGCCTAAAATTCTGCTAAAACGGCTGCTTTACCTTCTCCATTTTTGATGACAATGATCTTGTGCGCGTTCTTGATGGTTGAGAGTCGATGAGCGATCACAATCGTTGTTCGACCACGACTTGCCTGAAGATTGGTTGTCAAGAATTTGATAAAAGAGTGCTTTGTACGAATCACAGTTTCACTCAAAGAATCTTCCTTTTTCTTACATTCTCTAATGCTTGTTGCACAACTCCTTCACTTTCTGCATCTAATGCCGAAGTTGCTTCATCTAAAAGAAGAATTCGCGGATCTCTGAGAAGAGCTCTCGCAATGGCGATTCGCTGCTTTTGTCCACCAGACATTTGAGTGCCACGATCACCAACAAGAGTGTTTAAACCCTGAAGAGAACTTGTTGATAGTAGATCCAATCAAAACTGTTTCTAGGGTTATTTTGGGTCAGGTCAAGAGTGTTTAAACCCTGAAGAAAACTGGGTGGTGGTTGATAAATCCTGTTCTTATAGTTTTGCCCAAGTTGGTTTTGGCTTTTATCTAAACTATTAAACTTTATCTAAACCAAGTCAAGGCCAGGATAAGGCCCAATCAATCCTAGCCAAAGCTGTTCTTAAGGTTATTTTGAACCAAGCCTAGTCAAATTACTCTTTCAGTAAAATCACCCGATCATTCACAAAATCTGAAGGACTGAGTTTGACTGGCCAATTTTGGCTACAGGATTTTGTATGCATATCTTACAATCTCAAGTAGCACAGTCATCTACAGGGTGCGCCAAAATTTCTACTACCTTCTTGCTGAATGCATCAAACTAATTTACATACCGAACGTTTGACGCACCATGTAGTATTTTAGGAAACAAAATGAATAAGATTTCGACTTGGTATGCAGCTCTACTTCTAGGGCCAATATCTCAGGACAAGCCAACTCAATTCATACTTACATCGGGAAATTCAGAAATGAAGTTGAGTGCATTAGCTTTCTTCAGAGCCACATGAATCTCTCGATCACTTGCATTCGCGTTTCCAAATCTTAGATTCTAAAAAGCATATACAACTCTTTCTTTTCTTAGATTGGTGCAAAAAATTTACCTCTAGAATTGTATTATTGAAGAGCACCGGCTCTTGACTCACAACGCCGACGATTTTCCGCAAAAAGTCCACATCGAAGTTCTCCACCGGGATTCCATCGATTTCAAGCTAAAGATTAAAATTGGAAATTTTCCAATCTTCATTCACATTTCCATTTTCGAGTTGATAATATCTGAGCAAAAGCTGGACAATCGTCGATTTTCCCGAACCCGACGCACCGACCAAAGCTACCGTTTCCCCGGGTTGACACTCAAAGGAAATTCCCTGAAAATTCAATGGTTGGCTTTCAGATTTTACCTCAGAAGCAATTGAAAATACAAACTTAATAACTAAATCTCTTTTTTCTTATTCTCTTTTTCTAAATCTCTTTAGTTTACCTTCAAAATCTGTACATCTGGTCGACTCGGATAGATGAAATGAACATTTCTCACTCTTATCCTTCCCTCGATATGGCTCGGTTTCAGTGTACTTTTCTTTTCTTCTGGTGTCACCTAAAAATGTCTTGTTACAGTAACCAAAATATATAGTGTCAAATAAAATAAATCTCCTTTGTTTAAAAAGATATTTAGTCCTACAATTAGTGGCTGTATTCAGTTTACTGTAACGAGACAGAAAACAGGGGCTTTACAGTAACTTTTGTGAAGCCAAATAGCTCTCAATTTTATAGGAAAGCAGGATTAAATTTTAAAATTACGATTATCAGTTCTTTAGAATGATCGAAACAGTAAATTTTAAAGTATTTCCATTCCGACCGCATCAATGATCTCCATGATCCCGCCGGCTTGTCCAAGCGCGCTCGCCGTGTTTCCCATGTCTGGAAGAGCCCATCCCAGGGCAAAAGAGGCAAATTTCACCGCCATGATCACCTTAAAGAATAAACTTTTATGGTACTTTTGACTATTTTGCACGCCACGTCAAAATTGCATTTAAAAAGCCAAAGGTAGAGGGGATGGAGCGATAGCGAATCGATGGTAGAATGGAATATGATTGTAAAATGTTAGCTGCGTCTAGATTCATTAGAGGGAGATCAAACATAAACGCATTTGGATGAAAAGCGAATAAGGTTCTTCTCGGAAATCCGGGCCTGTCAAAAAATACGGGTCTTTTGACAAAAACCTTCCAACACGTAACTCATTCCATTTATTTCAAAACGATCAAATTCTATCATTTTGACCCGGTTCGAGTAGGCTTTGTAGCAAAAATACAGCCAAATTTGGGGTAGAAATTGATTCCAGGGTTTTGGGCATAATGGTATCCAGAACGGAGAAACCGACTCAATCTCTCACCGCTCCTTCTCCTCGGGGTTTCCAGGGTCGTAGATAGAGTGTGTTCCTCTCAAGTAATGGCTTTTTATAACGTGCCCTTTAAAGACAAAATCTCAAAGTACTCAGTTAACAACAATGAATCTCTTGAGATTTTATGCTTTTTTTCCTGCAATTTCTGCCCCAAATTTGGCTGTATTTTTCCTACAAAACCTACTCGAACCGGGTCAAAATGATAGAATTTGATCATTTCGCCTTTGAAGGGCGCGCTATAGAAAGCCATTACTTGAGAGGAACACACGCTAGTCGTGAAACCTATTAGTGGAGTTTATTTTCACCCTTTGTCCCAAGAAGAGTCCCAAGAAAATCGAATTGGCTTTGGGTTGTGCATATTAGAGCTTTCACAATGAAAAGACCCGGATTTCCGAGAAAAACCGCGAAAAAATATGGCTTGTGATGTGCGTGGCGTGCAAAATAGTCAAAAGTACCGATTTTATTATCACTTGTCAACTCTATTATCTAAAATTTACTGCATCTTTTCAGCTCACCGTAATCATTGTCTGAGCTGATGTCAATCCCCAGTACACATAATCGGTGCCCACCCAGAACGCCACACAGTACAGAGAATCGAATACGCAATAGGTGACCGAGGAGCTGAGACCGATCATGACTATAAATTTTTTGTAATTTGCATTTGACTATCGATTACTAAAGTTTTATATATCTAACTTTCCAAGGAAACTTTAAGGTTTTCAAAAACTCACCGGCTCTCTTGATCTCCACTTTGCAAGCGTCGGTCAGAGCTTTCTCGTATCTGTAAAATTATCAAGGTTAGATGTAAGATTTGTGTTTTTATCAATTTAAAAGATTCACTAACTTTTTACATTCATGCTCTTGACCATTAAAAGAAATGACCGTTCGAACGGAGCTCAATGCCTGGAAACTAGTTACCAATTTTCCAAAAGTTCCCTCCCACCTCTTCCGCGACTTTCCCCGCTTTTGCATACCGCTTTGCTGAATCAGCAGCCGATTGACCCATTACCTGAAAAAGTGGTGCATTTACTTCTATTGATTCTGCTTGGGTTGCTTAATGCGGTACTTTGGTTTTGGTTTTGGATTGAATGAGGTCTTTGGGACGAATGAGCATGACATATTTTCTATTTAACTAGGTATAAGCAAAAAAAATATTGTCTCTAGAAAATGTTATAAACCTTTTGAGTTTGATTTTTTTATCCAAAATCCCAAAATACTGTAAGTTCGATAAGAACTCAAACCCCCATACTCACTCGATTATACAGCACACCAGCCATTACGAGAAATGGGGTCATTGAGCACATGATCGCTGCGAGACGCCAATTGTAGGCAAATCCTAGAAGAAACAGCTATTATCTTTGTTGGCTTTTAAAACAAGCTTCTATATTGCCTTCTATTAGGTTGACGAAAAAGTCGTGACACCTTTTTTTCCACGGTTCTCTTTTTAAATCTCTGAAGTCCAAGACACCGACTGCTATGAGGTTTGCTAACTTTAGTATACTGATATTGACCACAAATATTATCACAAAATAGTGTTGTCTTTATCGTTATTTTTGTATACTTTTGGAAGCAACCCAAAATTGAGTTATAGGCCATTCCAGATATGTCTCTCTATTTTAACTCTAAAAATCTATTACGACCACCTCATGAAAAAGAGAGTTAATGATGCTTATGAGGACAAATCAATGTCTCTATAGATAGCTCACAGCTCACGCTCACTAGCTTCATTGCTTTAAAAGAGTGGGTTTCAAAAAAATTTGGGAAGAATTCATGGTTTGGTTTTTGAGAAAACACTGTGCAAGCTTTTTCTACGAACTTTCTTTCTTGCCAACCTAATAGAGCCAATAATGCCAGTTTATGGATGTAGAACCATTTTCTTTGTTTTATAAGACTCTTACCGATCGCCATTCCCGAGATAAATTGGCCAATGTTGTGGAAAACTTTGGCGAATTTGTCTCCAAAGCCCTCTTTCAGCCGCTCCAAGGCGCTAAATACTCAAAAATTTCCTTTTTTCTTCACTTTTCCCACTCACTCAAACATTTTTGTGCACAATTCACCCGACGAATTTTTGTCGAACCACTCGATTTCGTGGTGTAAAATTGCCTATACATTGTTGTATAATACAAGATTTTCTGGAAATCCCAAACCATAAAGAATTTCTTTCGTATCCGATGGCAAATGTTCTCACACGCGTACATCATTGAAGAAGTCTAAATGGCTTTTCGAGACTTGACTTGTGCCTTTTCGGTAAGGTTTGCAGATTACTTTAAGATCGACAAGCAGTGATGCTTTAAATGTAATCAATTAACAGGAATCCAATGCGCCAGAAGATATGTGTTTGCATATTTCAGCAATAAAGTAAACTCTTTAATCCAAGCTTAATGTAAGGACAATACCTAATTGCAAGTATGATTCATATATAGCCCAAGTATAGGTTTTTTCAGATGCAAAAAGTATCTAATATACTTTTAAAATGTTTATTTGATAGGTAGAATATTCTAGAGTTAACTGCATCTGTTGAGCTTTCGGTACTTTGAGCAACTTTGAGCATTTATAATTAGCAGTCATAGAAGCAGTTTTCCTCCTAGAAACAGAATAGATACATCATTTGCAACCAGCGGGGAACCCATTCAAATGACTAAAACGATCGCAACCCATGTTAAACCCCGCCCCTTTTTAAAGATAAACCTAAAAGTCAGATTCCCCATAGTCGAAAACCCCCGGGAGCAAAACATCGCGCGCAAAAGCTGAATACTTTGCCTTTTAGCCTATAGAGCAAGCGTAATTACGGTGGGTCGCGTTTGCGCACAGACGGACAGACGGACGTCTCTTCTGCTTTATATATAGTAGATTATTCATATTTTTGTCTGTTTCTCGAAAACTGTGATAACCAATTACCTGAAAGAACGACAATATCATCCACGCGCCGGCGATATACGCGAAATCCCAGCAACACGCCGAGATCTTCACATTGAGAATTTCTTTTGCTTCTTGCAGCTCTTCCGGGCCAATTGTTTCATTTTCTTAAAGTGGTTCTTTGAAAGATTTTTGAGTTTTAAACTGTAAAAGGTATTTTGAGTCAAAAACGAACTTCTTACAAAATCATAGTTGATCATTGCTTGTGAGATCCTTCTGAAATCAATTTATTGAAAAAAGAAATTTTTTATTTTAAACCCGAGCACTGTCGACATCAAAGGGTATCCCATTCCCGAGCATAGCGATAAACAAATACCAAAAATTGTCAAGAATATGTCGAGCCATGAAGCGAAACGGTACTGTATTTTCATTTTTCTTTGTTTTTCTAAGAGTTCGCTTACAAATTCCCGGATTGAAGCTCGCTTTTTTGGTTTGAGATCATCGTTTGGTCTGGAATCATAAGGTGAAGCTAAGTTAAAGTTCTACAATGGTAAAATTTTTATGCTTTGTAAATTTGACAGCTATAGTAAGTTTATGAATTCTTCTTCCTTAGTAGTGTTTCCGTTAAAGCTTTGAGGTGCACTTTGCACTCGCTTTGGAGCTTAGAAACGCACCCCTCCTGGCTGTTTTTTCAACGACTTTAAGCTCTTGCAGGAAAAATAAAGAGTTCAGTGCACCAGGAAGTGTGTGTTTCCACTTCTCAAGCACAAAGTACACCTCCGAAACACCTAATGCTCACTCATTTTCAATGAGATTCTCTCTGCCCTCCGTTTCGTCGCCTTTCGAGCAACACGGCAGGCAGGAAAGCACCATTTTTGTACTGAAATTTACGAAAGGCTCAAAAAAGGCAAAAAAAATCAAAAGAAAAGAGGATTCAAGATCCCAAGAGAACCACGAACTTTCTCTAAATCAAGAAATTCACAATTGGAGCTGGAACTGAAACTGGAAAATGGGAAAAGATTGAAAAATGCAAAATTTGAAAACTGCCATGGAACAATTGTTTTTTTAAAAATAAATTTGATGTTCAAAATGATTGTGCTGTGCCAAAAAGTTCAAAAAAATGTCGGCTGTCCAAGTCTCAGCAAGTCCAAAGCTACCAATTTTTCTTTTTTTCCCTTTTCTGATAAGCGTGTGTGAGAATCGGGACAATAAAGGAAGGAAATCGTAATGTTTCAGTTTTTTGATTTTGATGTTTTGATTGTTCAAAACTATACTGGAATATTTGCATAAAAAGTTCAATCTACCTAATTGTAAGTTTGGCAATTGAGTTTAATAATTAAAAGCTTCGAGTAATCATTGATAGGAGTTTGCGAATGTTTTCGAATATCAACAGGAGACGAAAAGTGGTTGAAGAAATATTTTGAGATGAAGGTTTAACCAAAGTTTTTGCGGTTCTAAAGGATTATTACAATTTGAAGATCCAAAATTTACAGTTCAACTCATAGTCAGGCTTGAACTTGGAAACAACGGTTTTCCGTTACTTCTCGTCAAAAAGTACCCCAATTAGATCATGATATGAGATTATTGCAAGAATAAGAACAAATCCAAAAGATTTATGCAAATTTACATACTAAAGTTCTTAAAAGCGAACGCCCAACAACCGGCTGACCTCCCTTATCAAACAAGCCTTTTTCTATGAGGACTTATCAAGGAAAAAGATCAAAAGTGACGTTCAACAATTTCCGTACAAATGAGAAAAATAGAAGCGGTTGTGCAATATTTCGAATCTCTTTCCGGTGAAGAAAAGAAAGAAAAGAGAAGATCACTCTGTGCATCTAGCGGTGGACAAAAAAAGCTCGGATAGCCCTGCATTTCGAAAGTCTCCCGTCTCTCTCACGTCTCTCTCCGTTTTCCAGGCAGAAAAGAACAGCAAGTAGAGTCGGGAAAAGATCGGTAAACAATCAGCAAATGAAAAGTGCCTTTTCTCTTTTCCATTTTGAGGGGTGTTTCACGAGTGAGATCAGAGATCTCGAAAAGAGATAAGAAAAAAGCGTTTACATCAGAATTACCCCCAGAGTTGGCAAGAGGAGGAACTGGATAGGTGTACTTGGATTGCGAAACCTCACTGATGCTATCAACTAGGCCTTCAAATTCTTTCCATCAATCAAAACTGAATTTGTCTCATCTCCCTTCTAAACCCTTTATTCACTTGTAGAACCTGAATATAACACAGAAAGTCAACCGACACAAGAAAACGAATCTAAAACAAACTTTAGAAAAAGTAGAGCCTTTAAATCGTTTAGAGTTTGACTTTTCTGTATGAAGTCGATATTTGCGGTGAATCGCGGTGAATCATTAGTGGTGAATCGAACGGCTTTTTGTGTAGCCGGGATACTATCTAAAATTATTTGTTTATAGTACATCAAATTCAATCTACAAGTTCCATCAGCAGTTTCAACGAAAAATAGTGGGCGCCTTGGGGCACAAAAGCCTCTCGACAACCAACTAAAGTAAGTAGATTGTTTTCAGAAATTCTTTTAAAAACTTGCCTTAAAACTGTTTTAAAAAATTGCTTTAAAGCTACAAAATTCTAAAAAGCTTACTCAAAACTACAAGTTTTCCAGCATGCTAACGTGAAAAGGTCACTCATGAATTGCATATATCACTGCAGTGACCAGTGAATAAGCCACGATAATAATATATTGAAAAGACTTTGTCTCTTCAAAACTTTTATACAGGGTGCACCATAATTATCGCAACAATCTATCACGCGCGGTAACAAGGTAACCCGGCTCTTTTCAAGGATGAACTCTTGCCCTGGGCTCGTAAACATTTTGGAAATCTCATTTAGACTTATTAGAAAGATGGGGCACCGGCCCACAAATCCAAGAAAGTCTAAGAGTCCTGCCAAAACAACTTCCCAGACTTCATTTCTTTTTCTGAGTGGTCACCTAGCTCTCCAGACCTCAACCCAATGGATTTTTCAATGTGGTCGGTTCTATAAGTCAAAGCTTGTTCAAAGCCCCCACAAAAACATCGAAATCTTGAAGAAATCACTGTTGAAAGCGTGGGAAGAGCTCGATCCAGCCTATTTGGTCGCCACCGTTGACGCCTTCCCGAAACGCCTGTGAGCCTGCTCAAATGCTAATGGTGACCGATTTGAATTTGATAGTTGATTTATAATTGTTAATGTACAATAAATGTGATTCAGTTAAAAACTTCTTTTTTTGCTCTTGTTTGCCTTAAAAGCAGAATTTTATCTTGTTGTGACAATTATGGCGCACCCTGTAGAAACGATTATCAAAGGAGAGGGCGAAAAAACGATTTATGGCCCGAAGGAGCTGAATGGAAGGAGAAATTATGGCCATGTTGGGCGAAATTAAAAAACCAAATTTGGTTTCAGAAAACCACGTATAGAAAAGTTCAAAAAGTACAGAAGAAGACTAAAAATAGCTTTTGAAAAGTTCTAAAGGTTAACAGTAGTCAATCAAAAACGCTACTTTTGGTGGGAAACCGATCGAAGGAGCGGCGAAGGCGAGGCCACTAAAAATGTTATCGAGCCAAGGGAGCGCTTCGGCTAGAGACCTAAAACTCCTCAATTAAATAACAAAAACCTCTTTAAATGCTTAAAAGTTAATAGTCAGCAAATTTCTAGCAAATCTTCCTCACCAAATCGCACAGGGGACTCCGCAAAATAAATGACATTTATAGAAATAAATGATATCATCTAGAAACAAGCTAAAACAAGCTAAAACAAGCTAAAACAGGTCCTTTTTTTCGTACTTAACCCGATTGGGGATTCTTTTCTTCTAGAGCCACAAAAAGTGATAAGGAAACAACTCAATTATTGAACATGAAATATTTTTCATTCTTTTCATCGCTATTTTTCTCGTTGTCAATTTCCTTGGTTGATTCATTCAAATGTCCGAATCGAAGTGATCAAGTACCCAATGAGGATGTTTGCATGGTGGCCGTTAGTCAAGGTGAACCAAAATTTAGTTTCTTTATTGAACGAATTAATTTTAGCTGGAGTTTATGCAAATGCTGCTCAAGGCTGTTCCTCATTTAGTGGTATGCCGGTGAAAATTCAGAATCTCTTTGAGAATTCTTTCATTTACTCCTATTTATTGCCAGGAGGTTTGTGAAGTTTTTTTTGTTCAAATCACCTAAAAGATAACATAAAAACTCAAGAAAAGCCAACATTTGAAAAGAAATTAACTGAATAAGATGATTTAGAGCTAAATGGTGTGGCTCCGTACATTGGAATTCAGCGAAAAAACAAAATTGAATGGGTGTATGCTGATGGATCGACGCTCATCTATCAGAATTGGGCTCCCAGTAAGTTTTTAGAACTTGAAGCAAGTCTCCGAAGAGAAATAAATACTCTTTTTAAAAGCTAAAGAAAGTTTAAGACAATAATCGTTGATCAAAAACTAAGATCTATTTGCAGACGAGCCTAACAATGAAAGTAATACGAGTGCTTGTGCAATAATGGACTCACAAACAGCGAAATGGATCTCCACCGATTGTACTTCTGCTCGACCATTTGTGTGTTCAATTGATGAAAACAGTTAGTTTTGAAAGCATTCTAAAAATAAACTCTTTCAGCTTTTCATTGCCCAATTGGCTGGGTTTACTTCAATGAGACAGATTTTTGCTATTACTTACAGGTAAATAAATTGTGTAAAGTTTTAAAAACGAAACCCTCGTATCTTGTATGATGTTCAAATTAGTGAATCAGAAATTAAAACGAAAAAATTGACAGAACTTCTCCATAGCTACCAGTGGTCAATGGTATGGCTACTGGCAACCGTACGACTTCCCGACAGCCGAGTCACTTTGCAAACAAAATGACTCCCATTTGGTGTCAATTCATTCAGATGCTGAGAATGATTTTGTGATGAGTAAGATTTTGCTGATGATAACCTGAGAAACATCTACCATATATAAAAAGAAGTGTCCGTCCGTCTGCTGTCTATCCGTCCGTCACACTCTGGATCTCGGCTCCACATGGACCGATTTCGACAAACTTTTTTTTGATCGATAGGAAATTAAATATAGGCACATACTTTCTGGTTAAAACAAATTTTTCATCAAAAACCCGTGAAAAAAATCAGTAAAACCACGTGGGGGTGCGGAATTGCGACGTTAGTATGCGCCGAGCGCACCCAATATAGATGTCGTTATTGCTGCGGAGGGTATCAGGGTTGGTCCCGATATTGCTTTGAAGGATTAAGAGATAGATCCCAGTATTGTTGCAGGACGCGAGGCGTGGCGTTAGTCGCGCCAAGCAAAAACCAGCCAGAAAAACCCGCCGTTAGGCGGGTTTTTCGACTGCTATGTAAGAAGGTTCAAAGTAGACTGAGCTAACTATCTCAAAGAGTTTTTAGTATAAGGTCGAAAATTGAGCCAATTTGCAAAAATATTCAACCAAAATTTCATTATACGTATTTTCGCTTTCAGATCTGATCACTTCCAATGTGAGGGATCTCCAGCACGTGACCCCGGCACCCGATCCATGCCAATATCAACAGGCCTGGATCGGATATGATGGAGATGGAAACATTAACGATCACGGTTCATGGACTGACGGATCTCCTGTTGACTATCTTCGAACTGGTTTCGGTGTTCCTGGCACTTATAATTGGGCTGTCAGTCTTTTCCCTTTTTCCTTATCAACAAAAACTTCCAATTCAGGTTTCCAATGATTATTATTGTGCACTGAGCCGCCGATGGGACTACTACACTTGGAATTATCTCACCTCGCGTTTCGTCTGTAAAAAGCCACCAAAATACTTTCCAACAAAGGAAAATTAACAGTTGTTGATTTGAATGTTGATGTAAATAAAAAAATTGTGAAATTGGAAACTTAAATGCTACATGATTGGAAAATTTGATAGGCCTTGATGAAACAACAACAAATTTCACCTCTTTTTGAGTGTATCTGACTTTTCATAGTTTTTTTGATTAGAGAAATTTCAAGAGAAAACTTTTTATCAAAGAAAATTGATATAGCGCTTTTCCAAAAAGGAGAATTTTACCTTAAACTGATTGTCGACTGTAAGTCGACATTCGTTGGGAAAAGCTTAGAAATTTCTTTTTATCAATGTATGCTTTTAATAAAATATTTACGGGAATATTTTTTTCACAGATCAGGCATTACGCAAAGCTCTGATTGATTAAAACTGATTTAGAAGTAATCAGACTTCAATGGATCGAATCGAAATTGCAGAATCGAATACCGTTAATAGCGTTAGTAAACATAAATTTTTTGATTAGTAAATTAGAGAATATGAACAAGAGAAAATCGATCCTTCGAGCGGGCGCATATTCGAGAATCGAGAATCGAGTGGCGCCTCTTGAATGACAACAACCATCCTTTGTTTGTTTTAAAATCGGTATTTCCAAAACACTTTGCAAGAGAAAGAGCCTTCTGATCCCTAATTCGGGTATTTCGGCTGCGCTGCTCCTTGAACCATGATAGAATTGCCTCTTCTAAAGTTTCGTCCCTAGCTATAACTTTTTACGAAAGAAAAAATGTAAAACTTCTCTAACTTTTGTCCGCTACTGTATAAAAAATGGACTTTTTTGTCGTTATCCATTCAACCTCACCTACTGCATATAAAAAATAGCAGCAAAAAAGTGATAATTATTGAATTAGGGCACTTTTCAAGCATTTTGATACCAAGAGCATGCATTTCGACTGGATACGTAAAAAGTTGAAGCACTTGAAGATCGTAGGTGCCATCTTAGGTACCTAGTAGGCACACTACAGCATGGCTTTACGACTACGCAACGTTTCTTGACTGCCATTAGTCCTCTTACAGCGACCCACATTATCTGCAATTAAAAATAATTAGTTCATGATTAAATTAAGACAAAAGTAATAAGCATTATTCGTTTCAATAAATTTGCAAAGTATTGTGGCTTCTTTACAAAATTTAATAACTCCTTCAGAAATTCTTCCAAACAAAACACTAAACTTAAAGATTTTTGTGGTGAGTTTCTTTAATATTGTCAGTAGCGCAAAAAATTTTATTCTACAATAAGTTAATATTCGAAGCAATCAAATTAGCAAAAGTAGGCTGGCTAATGTTAAGAAATAACAATTTGTGTTTGTTGAAATGAGCTGGCTAGAGTTTTTAAAATCTTCAAAACAAATCAATAATTTTCGAGATCTTGCATGTCCTCCAAAATGCCATCGGGCAGTTGGAAATTGGCGATTTTCATAAAAGCAACCGATATTTTCATGTGATTTCCTTGTGCGTCGCGGAGCTAAAAATGTTTTCAAATTAAGATTTTTTTCACAGAATTCAAAAATCTTTTGTTTGGACATAATTAGTCTCAAAAGTTTCCCTTACCTTGTCCGATTCGGGTGTCCACGAGAGCATTGCCTCGTTTTTGGGAGAGATCCCATACCACGGGATCAAGTTGAAATGGGATTCGCATTCGGAGAGCAATTCCCGGAAGACGATATCTCTGAAAATCGAGTTTTTAAAGAAAGCAAATATTATTGAAATCTTAAAATGCAAAAGCTTAGATGAACAATAGGAATTTGAAATTACGTTACGGATTATGAAGAACTTTTACAACGAAGTTTTATAAAGGAATAAGATTTTGTGATCTGTCATCTTGCCGAAATTTGCGTCCTCGATACTGCTCGACGGTGTACAAATGAGCCACCATTCCGTTGTGTTCGAGAAAAACGAATGAGGCCGGCAGATTGGTGGATTCATCGATGAGAGCCCAGTTGGGGAGGTTTGAAAAACGGTGTCTGTAAAAAGAATCTTTGAAATAATACATTTTTAGCCCAGAAAGTTGACTCCTCAAAAACCAGTACCTCAAAGCCGCTGCCTCATTTTCGGCACTGTATGCCCACGAAGCGGCCACAAATTCCGCGTCCTCGTCCCGTAGCCGGCTCAGGGTGAAGCTAAACCTTTTTTATCTATGCTATTTTGAAATAAAGTAGTTTGTAATTAGTTAATTGAAAATTTCAATACCCTTGTGGCACTTCGTGTCTCTCTATTTCCCGATTGGGCTGACAAACGAGAAACTCCGTGCATCCGCTGAACTCCACTTGACACATTTCGAGCATAGCTTGGACCTGAAAAAAAAATGACTTGGAAATGTGAAGGTAGTTGGAAGTGACTAAAAAAAAGTGGCTGTTTCATTATGCTGGGGTACATTACATTACTTTCATTACAGGGTATTCAAAAAGTTCCTGCACAAAGTTTTACTAAAATTGATGCTGAAGCTGACCGAGAATAGCTATCAAGCTAAACTTTGTTTCAAATAAAATCCTCAATAAAATGCTCTTAAAAACTGCTCTTCATACGAAAAAAACAAAGTGCAGAAGAATTTTGTTTCCTTCAGAAGCCCCACTTCTTCTAGAGCCGCCTCCTCGACGATCAAACAACCAGTGGCGTTTTCGGAAAGATCTAAGCATTAGCTCTTTTAGAATCTTCAATGTACTTTACCTTTTAACCCTGGACACTCACAGAGCACCTTCCCAAAGGCAAAGTGAAATTCTTCGCTGAAAAACTCCCCATCCACATCAATGTAAATGTCGACTCTGAATGTAAATAAAAATTTTTTTGCTCTTAAAGTTTTTGAACAACTTTTTGATTATATTTGGTATAGTAGGATTCTTGCAACAAATCATTGGACTTATTGAATGTCCCAAACAGGGTGTGTTTCTGGATTTTTAAAACATCAAGTCAGTCAAACCTCTGCAAAAAGTCCTTGACACAAAACCAGTATTTCGCTTGCACATCAACGGTGTACGAATACAAATAAAAGGCACCCGTGAATTTGAGCTTCAAGAAGACTTCAAGCGACCCAGTGATTGCTTTATGTCTTGTCGTTTCACTCATCAATTCTTGCAAAGCCTCTTCCAGCTCCCCATTGGTCAAATATTGCTTAAACATTGTGAAAACCGTGAGCAGAACGATAAATTTTCAGAAAATTTTTGCAACTTTTGTGAATTCTGATGCTTTTGAAGGAGTTTGAATGAATTTTTTTCTTGGACACGGAAAAACACGTTTCTTATCTATTCTGTGTGCAGGTTCTCAAAAAAAGGAGAAAATTTGACTGCAATTTCGATGACTCATAGAGAAAAAGAGCAAAACAAATAAAAACTTTTTGATGATTTTTAAATTCTTATGAATAGCTGAAGTTATAAGTTGCTTATTTGCTTGTTTTTAAGATTATCAGATGAATTCCAAGATGTTAAGCCAAAGAAAATTATCCACCCAACAAATTTTTGTTTTCTCTTTTATTTTTTGTACAGGGTGACCAGAAATAACGTTGCGGGATTTTCGCGAATCCTCAAAGTTTCAATTTTGGGAGACAGATTTATTTTTAACCTATTCTCTGTGATTGTTTTTATTAGTTTCTTTATTGTTTTACTTTGTTTCAAGTCTATTCATTTTTTACAGGATGACAAACAAGGGATTTGCCATTCTGGAGCGAGGTCAATGCGCGAGTGCGATCGCGCGATTGCTACGTGTTTCTCATCGCTCGTCAAAAGCGATTAAGCGATACAAGGAGCTTGGCAACGATGGAGATCGTCCAGGAAGAGGCAGAAAAAGAACAGACAACGCCTCCAGAAATCGCAAAGTGATTCAGAAGCGCGTGACCCGGAATCCACAGGTCTCAATGAGAAAGATCGCTCGACAGACGGGGATCGCTCGCGAATCGGTTCGACTTATGGCCAAAAATGAGCTCAATCTTCACCCTTACAAGCTCAAGCAAGGGCAACAACTCGACGACGACAACAAACGAGTTCGACTCGAAAGATATCGAGAGCTTCTCAAGCGGGCCGCAACTCCACACTGGGAGCGAATCCTGTTTTCTGACGAGAAGCTCTTCTCGGTGGTGCAAAGCTACAACCACCAAAAGGATCGGATTTGGTCAACGTCCTCTCCAGGCAGCTCTGCGATTATTCAACACCGACAAAATCCCAAATCGGTCATGGTATGGGCCGGAATCTGCGCAAGCGGCAAAACCCTCTCATTTTCATCGATTCTGGGGTAAAAATCAATAAGGATGTGTACCAAAAAAAGCTTCTTGAGGATGTTTTGCTTCCATGGGCTCAACAGCATTTTGGTAACGGATTTTGGACCTTCCAACAAGACTCCGCTCCTTCTAATCGAGCCAAATCCACACGGGATTGGTGTAGGACAAACTTTCCGGATTTCATCTCGGCCCAGAAATGGCCTCCGTATTCGTGCGATCTCAATCCGTTGGACTACAGTGTTTGGTCTATTTTGGAGGCAAGGGCTTGTGCAAAACCCCACAAAAGTTTGGAGCGTAGCTCTTAAGCGATCGTTGACCAGGAAATGGGATCGAATCACTCCGGCCGAGCTGCGGCCCATCGCCGAAAACTTCATCAAGCCTTTGAGGCTCTGCATCGGAGCCAAAGATGGCCACTTTGAAGAAAAGTAGATTTTATGCTCTCTTTATATCATGTTGTTAATAAAAAATTGTTTCTGTTACAAAATCTTTTTGGATTTTTTAAAAAATAGGCTAAATTAGGTCGCAACGTTATTTCTGGTCACCCTGTATACATAAATCACCCAAGAATCACCCAAGCTTTTGTTAAGAGAGTCGTTTTTAGAGCATGTGCCATTATTTTCGTAATGAAAGAACGTAAGAAAGAAGACGAAAAGAAAAAGACAAAATAAAAGAAACTTCAAGAGGCAGAGCAACAAAGAAGAGAGGTCAGCACTTTTTTCAAATTCCATAAAACCTAATTAGCCTTCCTGATAGGATTCCATCTCTTTTTAGTCATCATAAACAAACCGAATAAGATCCAATCGCCAAAACGATTATCAAAACATCTCGGAGACATCGCTTTGAAAGAACGAAAAGTGATTGATGATGCCAAGGAAGACATAAATACCTTGAAATTTATTTATAAGCTCTTGAGATTTCTCAACAAACCTTCCAAAAAAGAAGCGGTGATGAGTAGAACAATGTAAAGCACATAAAACTCTAGTGTAGCCAAAAGTGTTGGCTTTAAGCTTGCATAAAAATGCTGAAGGATTAACCAAATTTGTCGACTAAAATGGTAACAGGAAAATCGATTTTAAAGAAGTTGCTTCTTATTATTAACGTGAAAACAGCTAGTACATTTTGTCGTGTTTATTGTTTTAAGCACAATCAATTTTCCATAAACTATCATTTTTTTTTATGGTGGGAATCTAGCATTAGCTCCTGTTGTTTTGCTCAACTGAAACTGAAAAACCATTATTTTGAGGGTTTTGTGAAGCAGAAAAATGAAATTCATACAATCACATCAACGTTGGCATCGAATTCGAAAGAGTCATCGAAATTGGGGCAACAAAATGTCCACTCGGTTTTAAAGATATTTCCCAAAATTCTCATTCGGCGTTTTAAAATGAGTTGTGTAGGACGTTAGGGTTCAGTCAAGAGAATCAACGAGATTGATCCCAATAGACCGTGAGATCCCAGGAGAGCAAAGAAGAAATTGTTTAGGGCTGTTTAAAAATCCTTTTACTAGTTTTAGTTTCTTTTGAAAATTTAAGAAAAGTTAGTAGGAACTTAGTAGAAAACGAAAATTTAAAGATCCCTTTCAATTACACTCACATTGATAGATGAAATCTGGTTGTGTGATCAGAATACCGGCATAGAAAAACCAAGGCCCACCAATTGACAGAGTGGGAATGACGTGCTGAAAGAGTTTTCAAATTCAAAACACTAAAATACTCTAAAATTCTGGTTCAACTGTTTTTTCAAAATCATTTAACCTCACCTGAATCCAAAGTGCCACAAAAAACTTCTTCTGTAGTCTCCTCGTTCTCTTGCTCATATGTGGACAACCATGTTGAATCAGATTATAACACCAAGAGATGCATATGTAAGTCTAGGGATTTCTTTATAAAATACTAATAGAAGAACACTTACAGTACTCATTGAATGTAAAATAAATGCAAAAACTCCAACACAAAACATGTGAATCGCAGTGAAATTGATGTATGGTGGGTAGAGAGGTTCGAGACGGCCCACATAGATATCGGAAATGTTTGCAAGATAAGAAAAAGTTGGATGAAGCCAAATATTTTCAATTTCAATTTAGCATATTTTTATTGTTAGCTTACCTTCACTAGCTCTTGAAAATTAATGGTATCTGTTCCTTGAGCTAGTGGTAATAACTCAAAAGAGCCAGATATCCAAATGGGATACATGAAAAAGTACGGTAACATGAAGATTGTTTTGCCAAAAAATCGAAGTCTAAACTATTTTGAGTCAATTATCGTTTAATTAAACAATTAAACTAACTTGAAACGACTCGATACATCTAAAAGATGTTGAAGTTTTATAAAGAACATATTAGTTAGAGCGGCTATTGTTAGAACGACCAAGAAGGCACCAGTTGCCTGAATCTTCTTTAAAGTAAACAGAAGAAATAGGTATTTGACTTTAAAACTAATGTTACCAAAGCATGTTTAGCTCCAATTTTGAAAACCGAATCCCAAATGCCAAAAATTCGGCCGGCAATCGCTGGGAAGTTTAGCTCTGGTTTAATAGAGATTAACACCAAATCGAGAGACATTGCGAAGATCTAGAGCTGATTTTTCTTTTGAAAAGTATTTTGATTTACAGTTACATTTACAGACATTTACATTTTTACAGATTTACAGTTTGCTTACATGAACACAAAATTTGGATCTTATACAAGTTCGTGAATCATTTCGATAATCATTTCTACCATGTTAAGTTGTACTGGTTTGGCCTAGCCTCAAAATACGTAGTTGTCAGTTGAATACCTCCTACCTCCTTACAACTTTACCCTTTAATTTATGACAATCTTAACAATCTCAATCTCAATTCAAATTAATAACACTAAAAACCTGAGCAAAAGCTAGTGGAATCTTATATTCTTTCATCTCTGGCGGCGTCTTCTTCAAAATACAATACAAAGTGTACGCGTTGATCGGAGTGACGACGACAGAGATCACAATTTCAAAGAGCAAGTAAACGGTTGGCTCTTGAAACATAAAATCTTTTTAGCGATTGAGCACAAATTGTTTGAGAAAGTTATAAACTTTGTAGAAAGTATCGACTTGCGTTCGTCTGTGACTTTTCCTCGCCCACACCTGCACACTCCTCTTTCACCTGTTTCCCAGTTTGGTGATGTAAAGGTGAAATCTATTTACGAATAACGAGGAACGGTTTTAAAAAGCAAAAAACACAAACTAGAATTTGTCTGCAATTAGGTATTGCAGTTCTTTCATGACCCATGAAAGATAAAACTTCCTAGTGCGAGTTATGTCTCTTGAAGTTATCCAATGTTTTGAAAATCATCTTGTATCCTGAAAATCATTGCTAATTTGTTTGTGTTTTCTCTTAGTTGTTCACCTGAACACTGTGATTTTCGAGCCATGTGTGAGTAGAGATGGATTTTTAAGTGGAAAAATGTATGCTTGACATTGACATCTCGGGTAACTTCTTTACCGCAAATCTAAAGCAAATCCTTAAAAGAAATGCGATTAATTTCGTCTGACACTTGTAAAATGTCTTATCGTTTCATCACATCTTATCATGCCAAGTTGCACGAAATTTTTCAAACCAACAAAAGGCTTTCTTTTCGCGAAATAGCAGGAGAGTTATCATTTGATCGTACAATAATACTCGAACATTGCATACACTTGGGTTTAAAACCTGTTGGGGTTTTGGATTTCACATCATTTAACGGACGCCCAGAAATGGCAACATGTCAGAAATCAATGCCGCTCATCTTTCTTGATACGAGCGCAATTTTTTTATTCCGTATTGTGACGGGGGATGAAGATGGATTCTAACTGTCAAATTCCGGAGAAGGCGCCAATGGATTGCTGAGAGGGAAAAGCCCGAACCCGACGTCAAGCCAAATGTGCATGAGAAGAAGTTTATGCTCTCGGTGCTCTGGGATTTGGAAGGGCCTATCGACTAGGAGCTATCTACTGGAACTATCTACTGGATAGCAAGACAACACTCAACTTAACCAAATACTCGGAGTAACTTGACAAGTCAGCCTAATCTTTGCCAGAGAAAAGACCTAAGGAAAAAAATTATTCTTCAACATGATAATGCTAGATCGGATGTTTCGAAGATAACTCGTTTTACACTAAACCCACTCTAATGGGGAGGTAATGGCCCATCCGGCATACAGCCCTGATCTTGCACCTTCTTGATTACTACCTATTCCAGGTGATGAGCAATGATTTGGCGAACAAGAACATTTGATTCTGAAGAAGAGGTCAAAGATTGGTTTACGTGAAAACCGAAAATTTTCTACAAGAGAGGCATTTGACTTCTACCAGTAAAATAGGCATAAATTATACAAAATAATGGCAAATATCTCGGATGATTTGAAGTTGTTAATTGAAGAAAAGTTTATTTCAAAAAGAGTGCCAGGTCATACCCACCAACTCAATACTTAAGAAAAAGGTTGAAAATCAAAAGCAAATCAAAATTGAAAGCAAAATAAAACAAACATTCACAAAATTAAAGAATTTCTTCAGTGTTCATCAATTTTTCGAGCGGATTTATGTGATTGTTTCGAGGCGAAATCCTTGGCTTGTTCTTTCTGAAAACCGAGAAAAATCTTTAAACTCTAAACTACCTAAAATGAATACGAAAAGTTCTCTTGGATTTGATTAGGTCAAAACATTTGACTCTTTCAAAATTTCCCCACCTTATAGTCAGTCTGTTCCCATGTCGATTGGGATTTTTCGTGAGATCGATCCTCTTGGCCGTTGCCGGGCATTTCTTTAAATTTGTCCTTCACCTGAACTTTAGCATTTAGTTGAAAATAGCCTCATCTTGAAAACTTTTGTCTTGGACCCTAGAAAAAGAAATTGAAAACTAGTCAGTTCGCTTTTGGGTAACTATTTGTAAAAAGTTCAGTAAAGAATTAAAGTTTGATTATCAAAATTCATTGAGTTAAATAAATGTAAAACAAAATACTTAATTAGAACAAATTAACAAACAAATTAATTAGCAAAGTGTCTAAAAAGTTTTCTCAGAACAAGCTGAAACCAAACCTATTCGAAGCCTTTGGTTTATTATTGGTAAAAATTTTTGGTTTTACTTACAAAAAGTATCGAGAGAAAAAAAGGTTCAAAATTTAGAACTGTTTTTTGGGGATTCCCAAAAAACATACACCTTCTGCTGCAGCTGGGACGGCCTTCATGGCTTCCATTCCGGACATGTTGATAAGGATTTTCCTAAAAGTGTAAAGACTTTCAAATTTTTAGGTAGATTTATTAAATTTAAACAGAAAGAGGCAAGAATAAAGAATAATGTTTGAAATAATGAAGTGAATGATGAGAAATTCGGATTTATTTTCATTTCGTCAGTCTTTACGCCCCCCAAAACTTGCCCTTTTGTTGACAAAAAGGGCAATAAAAAACAACCAAAAACACGAAGAGTGCAAAGAAAATTGAAGTCAATATTTATTTTTACGTGTTTTCTGAAGCACAGTGGGTTTTCTGACAGAATTCCAAGTATTATATACCAAAAGATGCAGAAAAATATGGGAATTCGAAAATCGATATCATCCGTGCTAAAAAAACTAGAAACTGAAACTGCTAGAAACTCATAAAACACCGGGCCCACTGGCTTTTCGCCTGTAGGCCTTCTAAGACTCTTTTCTAAATGCATCTCAAAGAGTTTTTCCTAAGCAAACATATGAAAATCTGAGCAAGAATGTCGACTTGAAAACAGCTGACGAGGGAAAGGTGAACGACTTTGTGATGGTCGAGTGCGCGAAAAAACAGGTTGGATTTGACAAACGATAGATAGGGTTTCCAATCAGCACGCAAAGAAAACTCTCAACACATTCATGAAAAAGCCCTATTGCACTTTACTGGCCCTTTCGAGGAAATTTACCCCCAGCTTTTTGACCTATTCTTCCTTTTAAAAAGGTTCATTTCCATCCCCAGCAAATTTCTAGCAAATCAACTCTTTTTGATATGAAAACGTTTGAGCCAAGTTATGTTTTGGAAAAGCGAGAAATGACTACGTATCACCGGTGGCACACATTGCCGACTAGTGTGCTAAAGACATACACTGAAAGCTGAATGAGCACTTTTATAGGGAATTTGGTCAATTTGGTCATTCATTCATTTCAGATTTCTGAATCTGGCTGCAATCAAATGCTCGAAACGATCAAAGAGATTCTCGACGAATGGCAGCACGCAGCGGGGATGCGATTGGGTGCTCACGAGGCCTGTACGAAAATCTCCAGAACATGCCTTTTCTGATATTTCTCCTATTGAGCTTCTTTCGATAAAAACACTTGCATAAACATTTTCTTAGTCTCATTCTTTCAATTTTTTTGTTATGGTGCTCGCTTAAAATGTGGCCGTTTCAACAAAATGAACGTTTTCCAATGGTGTAATTCTTTTCACACAGACATTTTAAAAAATTGAAACTTCATATTGTAAAATTTTACAAATCATGGCAATTGCAAAGATCTTTTGTTGTTTTTTGCTTGAAAATGAGGTACAAACTACTTATTGATCATGAACTTGCGCAAAACGACTCTTTGATGGTTTATCGCAGGTGAACAGATAACAGGGGTGAACAGACAAAATTTATGGAATTATTTTTTGCAAAGTCCTTTACCATTGCAACTTTTAGATGGCTTTTTGCAGACAAAACGAGCAGGAGCTGAATTATAACCAGTGTTGCCCCATTTTTTTTATAATTGCACGATAGATCGTCTGAAATCTTTTTGAAAAGTTTTTCAGATGGTGACAAGGTAAGAAGAAAAAGGCACCAGTCACCTATAATCTTAATCTATAATCTATGAATCTTCCGGCGAACTATTGTAAATGTAATCAACGGGACACCCGTCAATTCACGTCTCAGCACCAACAACTCCATTGTCGTAATATCCGATCCAAGCCCATTCGAATTCACACGGGCATTGTTGGGGCAGCATTTGTAAGTCCAGGTGTCCATTGAACCACTTTTCAGCAAACTTCCAAAAAGCCTCTTGATGCACCTTCACGTTGCCAGTGAATGCACATGGCTTCAATTTTTTCACGTACTTCGTGATGAACTGTTGAAAATCTTTTTAGCCAGGGTGAATTTGAGAAATGCTTCGAGGTCGAGACGATCAATTTCACCCATTTCGAGCTCATCTAATTTTTACTTTTTTCACTTCATTTCAGAAATCTCAAGTGTTTCCTCATCGCAGGCCACGATTTTTGCGGTCGCTCCTATCCGGGTCTCTTCTTTTTGGTCCAGTGAAGAACGATCAAAGGATTGTTAGGTGTCCTATCGTTAGATGAATTCACTTTGAAAATGGGAAAAAATTTTGTGCAACTAGCTGCTTCTGTCAATTCCATCAAACAGAATAATACGATTGCCAGATCAACAAAATGATCGAGAGCTTGTAAGCGAAGGAGAAAATCGACAAATTCGAAATAAAGCTCGGCGTATTCTGGATATGAACCACAACAAGTTGGTAGACGATTTAGTGATTTCGGTTAACGTTCTACAATGGTAAAATCTTTAAGCTTTGTAAATTTGACAGCTATAGTAAGTTTATGAATTCTTGTTCATTAGTAGCGTTCCCGTTGAAGCTTTGGCATGTACTTTGCGCTCGCTTCCCTTCTGGCGCATTTACTCATTTGCTGTTTTTCAACGCTTATAAGCTTTTGCTGCAGGAAAAATCAAGAATTCAGTGCACCGGAAAGTGTGTTTCCACTTTTACGTTGTATTTTCACGTGTTTCCAATTATCCCCAGACTTGGCAAGAGGAGGAACTGGCTAGGTGCAGAACTTGGATTGTGAAACCTCACTGATGCTATCAACCAGGCTTTCAAATTCTTTCCCATCAATCAAAACTAAAATGTCTCATCTCCCCTTTAAACCCTTTATTCACCTGTAAAACCTGAATATAACACAAAAAGTAAACCGACACAAGTAAAACAAACTTTGAAAAAACGTAGAGCCTTTAAATCGTTTAGAGTTTGACTTTTCTGTACGGAGTCAACATTTGCGGTGAATCGCGGTGAATCATTTGCGGTGAATCGAACGGCTTTTTGCGAGGAATCGGTGTAGCCGGGATACTATCTAAAATTAGTAGTAGTAAAGTTCGAATAGACAAAATTTGGATTCCCTTAGAAATTTGTAAAATTTTCATACGTTAAGAGATCATTCAAACACAAAATCCCCTCACCGTATTCATCGGCGGAAACGTGTTCCACTCGGTGCACCCGAGCTCGACAAACGAAACGAACAAAGGCTAAAAGGAACAAATTTTAATCTAACAATAAAGAATTTACCCGAGAAACCACGGAAAGGCGCTGAGAGTTGATAGACACGAGACTCGGGCACTTTGTAGTACTAAAAAGAAAAAAAGTCAATGTTTAATTAGTAACTTGTTTTGAAACTTATTAATTTACAGTAGGTAGTTTCTTAGACAAATTTATTTGTAACGTTTTTAGTAATCGGGTGGATAATCATAAAATCCTAACCTTTTTGATGTAGATAAACTGAGCTTGATGAAATTGTGGTGAATGTGCAGACGGTTGGGGTTGAACGAGTTGAAGTAAAGGAACAAGAGGAGGCACCATTGAATCCGGATCACCCGACGGTGATGATAGGGCTACCGATGGAGAATCTGAATGAAATTGTTACACCATTAGTTAAAATTCCCAGTCAATTTTCCTCGACCATACTGAATTGCGCAGAATTCAGTGCAAAAAAGAGCAATTTTATAACTTTAAGCCACTTCAAGTAAGCTTTCAACTCTGCTTGGTCATAAATCACTCGACTCTTGATCAAAAAAACATCATTAACAGAAGAAAGCGATACCTCTTACAGGCGTTGTTGGGCGATTGTTGGAGGATTCGAAATCACCGTTGACCGCCGTGTGAAATGTCGGCCTGTCACCATGGCACGATGGACTCAATGACATCATTCTAAACAAACAAAGAATAAAGATCGGTGAAATTTACGAAATATTGCACTTATGGAGAGATTTTAATCAAATTTGACTTTAAAAAAAATTTCATTTGTTAAAATCAAAGAAACTCACCCCGCATACGCATACTCGCCACCGTAAAGCATTTTAGAGAATGAAAATGAGAAAATTTTTGTCGAACACAAATTTTGCGACGTAAACGCGCCAATATGCAAATTTTCTTCTTTATGATTTAAATTTGCATGTGAAATTAAGAAATTTGGCGGAACTGCTCCTTTTCAGTTTTTTAGCTTGAATTTCTTTAATTTTAACGAGTTTCTAATTGTAAAAATCGTTTATACTTTTCTCTTGCTCATAAATAAGATAAAAGTCGAAGGTCAGTGGTCATCGTGGCCACTTTTTGCGCTTTTTAAGAATATTTATTTGGTGTCCTTTTTGACACTTTCTTTTGTTGAACTCTATTGTTGTTTGATCTTCTTTCTTAATCTTGAGGTGACAAAAATGATTGTTGTTTGACTTTTTACCTGTTTGACTTGTTTATGTTCAGCATATAGTCCATTACTAATCCATTCATCGCCAGGTATTTATACCGACTCGTCAGGTATTTATACTCTTTACTAAAGTCCATCGAGACTAAATGATGAAATTCTTGATATTTCTTGTCGTTTGCTTTATTGTGTGTGCTTGTGTTGAACCGGAGGTAAGATACTTTAAGTAATCCAAATACAATGTGATTTGCATGAATGATTGTAACGGTAAATTTGCTATACTGTAACAATTAGCAAAACGATCAACTGGCACTGTGTTAACTAGATTGTTAGATAGATAGGAATATTAGGTAGATTGTTTTTGAACAAGATTCGCCAAGTATAAAGTAAACTATAAAGTTCATAAAGTTATAATCAGAAAGGTTGAAGTTCACAAACACTGACCAACAGGGCTATCTTGCTGGTTCTAGGGGTTTTATGTCAGGTTTCCGGCTTTAAAGATCGATTTTCATGCTGGTATTCTTAATAATAACATCCAAGACATTTTGAATAAGTTGACATTTCAGAACGCCAAGGTAAACAGCGCCCGTGTTCGCCACAGCAGCAAATTCGGCGGCAGCATCAACGGGAATATCGATCTAAAAATGGACTGTATGAAAAGAGGAACTTGTCTATTTGGTCCAGGTGCTTGTGTGGATTATTTCAAGAAATATGTCGGTTCGTCTTGGGGTGAATGTGGTGGAGGAGAGTTTAGATGTATGCACGAGAAACACCGTTGCAACGGTGTGCAACGCGTTGTTCCACAAATCCATATAAGAAATAGTGCTCATGAAAAGCGGGTATTAAACATTTACTTGAATAAATATTTTTGTAGGTTTTATAAGTAATGCATGGTAAAAAGGGCTGTAAAGTTGAAAAACTGTTTTTGGGTCGGTTTAATTACCATTTTTGTTCCTTTTAACCTTTCTTTCTCGAATCTCCACAAATTTCGACTCAAACTTGAAGTGTTTTTGTGTAAAGATATTCATTTTTAAAAATGTGATCGTATATCACAAGCTCAACACATAAAAACAGGCTAAACAGTTCTTCACAATTCTCTTCCTTCCTCCTCAATTTGTCCCCCTCCGCCCTCCGTCGAATGTCTCCGTCTTTCTTGTTGTAAAACCATATTGTAATAAGCTCCTTTTATCGATAACAATTCTTGGTGATTACCTGAATATTCCCAAATATTTTCCAGCTAATTTCCCCACCTTGTTCCACAATTTCCCCTCCTTTCATCACAACAATTCGATGGGCATTTCGAATTGTACTCAAACGGTGGGCAATCACTAGACAAGTTCGACCCTCCGATGCGGCGTCAAGCGCCTCTTGAACAATCTGGAGAATGAAAAAGCTTTATAATGAGTCAGGTACTGAGAGGTATTTTATAATAAGTTTTTTTAACCAAAAACTTATACTTCTGAGCTCAGGAAAGCTAGGAAACAGAGCCAAACGCCATACAGAGTGAGATTAGACCCATTTTGCCTTGCAAATCGGGCAACAACTGCCTCACCCTTGGTATGGGCCCGCAGTTAATAACTAGTTGTTATATAAATTTTAACTCTTTGAGCAACAAACCTTTTCACTTTCTGTATCCAAAGCACTCGTCGCCTCATCAAGAATCAAAATCTTCGGATTTCTCACCAAAGCCCTAGCGATGGCCACTCGTTGTTTTTGGCCTATAACTAAACATTTTTAGAAAAAAGTTCTATATTATCACCTCCAGATAACTGAGTTCCCTTCTCTCCAACTGTTGTCTGATATCCTAAAGGAAGCGAGGTGATGAACTGATGGATGTTCGCTTTCCCAGCTGCATCGAAAATTGCTTCTTCAGAGGTCAATGATGAGTCCAATCCGTAAATGACATTGTTCTATAATCTGATTTGAAGACGTTTTACAGTTTTACCTACTTTTATTGTGTCATCGAAAAGAATTGGCTCTTGTGCAACGACAGAAACTTGAGCTCGCACATCGGCGGCTCCCATGAATCGTAAATCTTTGCCATCGATTTTCTAAGAAGACTTGTAAAAAGAGAAACTTATACTTTATCTTTTGTTATAGCTAAACAATTTCTGAGTTGAACCCAAGTTTCTAGAACTAAGATTTGGGAGATCATGAATTTTCATCTCAAAAGTAGTTTTGTGGAATATTCAGTTTCAATGGTTAACTGAAAGCATGCAATCTGAATTTTTACAACCGACCAATCAATCTTAGATACAATAATAGTTTAGAATGTTTTGAAGTCATTGGAAATTTCAAAGCCAACCACAGCTCCATCCGTGACATCGTAGAATCTCTGGAGGAGACTCACAAGCGTACTCTTCCCGCAACCCGATGGGCCAACAACGGCCACCGTTTGGCCCGGTTCAATCGAAAAGCTCACTCCTGGAAAGATGAGGTTCTAATCGCCTTTGTGAGCGTCTTTCCAAACGATTCTTTATGCTCTTGAAATTTCTTAGGTTTCATTTTGAATTTGAATATGATATTTAGGGTCAAAAGAACAACAATACTTAACGATACTGTATTAAAGTAAAGTAAGAAATGGCAAATAAGAATTTCCAAAGAGGGAATTGAACCCTTGACCTTTTTGCTTTTCGGGCAGATGCTCTAACCACTGAGCTATCCGGTACCTTCTTGTCAGGGAAGAAAGAAGGAATACAAGAGGGATATACGATACTGTAAGTAATACAGCATATTGCTTCACTACGATATCCTGCATAACTCGATTAACTCGATAGACTGAATATCTTACAAATCTCTGAGCATTTATTCTTCAACTTTTTTTCGATTTACCTTTTAATACCTCTTGTTCTTGTCTCTCCGGATAGGTGAAACGAACGTTGTTGAACTCGATTTTTCCATTGGCCACCTGTTTTCAATTTTTCAATTTTATAGACAACTTTTACCTGGAGTCCCCTTTTCTCAAAACTGTCAATTTTTGCTTTCTCATTCATCATCTTGAACAGTAACCCGGCTGAATATTTTGCTTTCTTGTATTCGGGGAAATAGGTGGCTGCTTGAGCGACGGCTTCTGACGAAAATTCGAGGCAAAATTGAGCCCTAGAATTAAATTTTTAGCTGAAATACCATTTTGTAACCTCCAAGCATCAAATGGATTCTTGACATAATCTTTCGTGATCATCCAGGAAGAGAAACGAAACTCCAAAGCGTCCATCATCGGTTGCAGGCAATTTATGATCCCAGCTATCATACCCTGGACTTGATTTGAAGCTGACTTTTGATTAGACAAACGCTTTAATGGATTGCCTATGGAATTGGCTTGAACTTGGAGACTTTTGCCTCATATTTTAGTTGGAACCTTTAAACTTACAAGTTCACAAACATGAACCAGAGAAGAGAAATGTGACAACTTTTGTAAGCTAGAGTTACAATACAAAATTTGAGCTCAATGTGGAACGTGTTCAAATTTAGCTCAAACCTGTTCATCTCTGAAATTTCAGAGCCTGTTCATCTCAAACTCAACACAAAATTGAAACCAAAACAGTCACAAGTGTTAGCTTTTGTTTCAACAACTCTTCTCACTTGATGTTTTTCTTGAAATTCTTATACGACAATTAGTTTTAGTCTACTTCTTACAATTAATTTACTAGTCATTGACGGCTTTAGCTCAAACCAACACCGACGGCTAGTCACTAACTTATTAGAATGTTTTAAAATTCTGAAGTGCAAAAATTCTGATCCCCTTTATGCGAATTTCTTGCCTCCAGCCCTCAAGCTCCAGAAGAGGCATATCGGTACATATGGGTTATCTCCCCGCCACTCAAAATGGCTCGCATTAAGGATGTCTTGTGATCTGACGAAACAATTTTTATTGTTGAAGTTGCTCACAACTAATCCCCCCAGATCAAAAGAAAATATTGAAACGAAAAATGCGGGTGAGGACCTTTTTTCCGAAAGGATTGATGATTTGGGGTGGAGTTACTGCAAAAAGGAAAGATGCCACTCGTTTTCATCGACAAAAACGTCAAAATCAACGCCCAAGTCTATCAAAATGAGGTTCTTAATAAAGTCAAATTCAAATTTTTGAGTGGCGGGGAGATAATCCTTTTGTACCGGTTTTTCCCCGTTCCCTTTTTTTTTTTTTTTTTCTTCCCTTTTTTTTTTTTTTTGGGGGGTGGTCCCCCCCCCTTTTTCCCCCTCCCCTTTTTTTAAGTTTTTTTTAAATATTTTTTTTTTTTTTTTTTTTTTGAAGCTAGTTTGTCATTCCACGCACTTTGAATTTTTACTCTAAATTTCTTTCTGGTCAGTACTACTTTCCCTCTTTTCTATTCTGTATAAATTTTGCTGGTCCACTTATTCTTGCCGAATAAAGTAGATTTATATAATAATCACCTGAGCTATCGCCTTTTTCTTGTTCGTTTTGAATGGGCGCTCGATTAAACCACAGTACTTTTCGTGCATCACATTTTGCAGAGACAAGGCATGCACGGTTCGAATGCACTCAACGGACTCGATTGCTACCTCAAAGTTAAACTTAGGTTTAGGAAATAAAAAATTACTACAAATATGGAGAATACTCAGCCAAGCTGTGATCTAGATTTGTCAGTAACTTGATCGATAATTAAGGAGTGGGATAAATGTGACCTTTTTTTTGCGCACCCGGTCCATGATCGCACCCTTTTTGACGTTTTGAAGAAGCTCTAAAAAGTTAATATTAACCAATTTCCATTTCAAAAGTTGTTTTTCTGGGTGATTTTAGGGTGTAGAATCCAAAATTTGACATATCAGAGCTTGTGAAAGCAAATGGACGGAGTTATACATAGGGAAAAATCGAAAATTTTCTTTTGACCTACTCGTTTTATCTTTCCAATTGGTTCCATAAGCTTTTTAGAGCCTTTGTAAAACGCGAAAAAAGGTGCGCAAATGTCCCGGGTGCGCGAAAAAGGTCGCATTTGTCCCACTCCCAATAATTAAGCGGTGAAAATAAAATAATGCCACTTCTAGATTTAAACAAATTTTCCCAAGATTTTAACGAACTTTTCCACTCGCTTCCATCAGTCTCAAATCCTCGATCGAAACATTGTCAAAGACTCGCTCCCAGATGAAATTGATACCGGTCAAGATTGGCACCACAATCAACACTGAAACTTGTCTTTTACTGAAGAATTTTATCAAGCTTATCAACTGAATACTTTTTAAAAGCTTTAGAATTCTTTTTTGGTAAATCTTACTTAGAATTGTCATTTGCCAGGAGAAATAGATCGAAGCCGCCAACGCAGCTCCAAGTGCGACAAAACCACGAAGAACGTAGCCGAGCTTGGCGTCAATGGCCTAAATTGCAAATTGCAAATTAAATTAGGATATTAATGGTAAATAAGTTATTAGATAAGATGTAGTTTTTAAAAACTAACTTGTCGAATATTTGGCGCATCTGTGGCTAAACGTGTAGCCACTTTCCCGGGCGAGTGCTTCGACGAGTCAAAGTAGGCCCCATCCTGGCTGAGCACGTTGCGAAATGTCTAATAGTAGGAAATTTTAGAAATAACGTTTAAAAACGTATTTTGAATCCGATTTCACTTTTTAAAGCCTTTTACACCAGTTCTTCAACCTACATTCAGTCTGAGCCTCTCGGTCACCCCGCACGCAGCCTTGCCGAAGTAGATCGACTAAAGAACAAGTTATAGATTGGATAGGTCATGTATTTGTGTAAGAAAAAAAAACTAACACATCCAGACGGAATCGTCAAATCGATGATCATCATCAGCAAGAAGCACAAAGCGGCTATGTGGCCAGAGTGTCGCATCTTTTCACGATCGTTCTCGGAGAAGATCTAAAAGGAGCTTCGATTCTTTTTTCTGATTTTACTGATTTTTATTTCTAATTTATTTTAGATAACTAAAACCAATTTCCAAAAAGTATTGTACTTCAGAAAGCTGTTATTCTCTTTCTAAACTAAAAACAACCGTGTTAAAATTAGCTGCCTTTTTCCAAATCAAACGTGCTTGGCTTGCGTTCTTGCATCTTTTTTGCATTCTTTGCAATTGCAATTCTTTGCAATTCATATGATAATTTTAGCACGCTTTAGTGCTTCAATAAGTTTTTTTGAGCACGTTGTAGTGTTTTGGGGCAAAAATTGATGATCATTATCACAAACTGCAGTCCTACCTTTCATTTCATTCTCGATTCCTTTGGGTTCATCAATGCAAAAGTTAGAATTTTCAAAATGAAGCTACTTAGAATATTTGTAGAAAAAAGATTCAAGAATAGGCAAAATTGGGTTTCACTTTCGAAAAACTTTACCTACTAGGTATAAACTTTATCATGTCAGATAGCATTGCCCTCAAAACCCTACCTCAAAAGCCTTTGTGTAGAAGAGTCCATAGATCGGATAAGCGATTCCCTGAAAGTTAAATTTCCTTCTGAAAACAAAGTGTCAGACCTCAATCATGCAGAGAACCAGCGCCAGCACCAAAAATTTCCATTCAGGTCCCACATAACTGAGAATTTTGTGGAGTCCCACTGTGGGGATTCCTTCTTCTTGAATCTCTGAACAATGTATCTGCTTATAATAAAACTTTCTTTAGTTATTATAATCAATTTTTATCTCAAACCTCTCTTCAGTCTTTCCATTTCCGATTCCTCGTCCTCCTCCTGTTCCAATTTTTGGTGCAAATCGATTTCTTCAATCGAATCACTTGATGTTGTGCGGTGACTTCTCTGTCGCAAATAAGCTGGTTCCTCTAAATGTCGCTAAGTCTGAAGGATGTTGCAATGTACTCCTTCCAATAGTAAGTCCAAGTTAAACGTTTTTGAGTTTTGGGTAAATGCTTTAAGACTGGAGTTCTTTGCTTTGAAGCATCGATCATGAAACATCAAATAAAATGAATAGATCTGCTTACCTTTATGTGTCTCAACATCAGCAAAGACTTGAGCATTCACTAGATCAAAGTAGTGTCCTCGTTTTTGTAGAAGTTCGGCATGTTTCCCGGTTTCAACAACTGAATTTTCGAGCAATAATATTTCAGTTCGTTCCTAAACCTTCCCCATTGCTTATCACAATGATTTTATCAGCATTTTTGATAGTCGAAAGTCGATGAGCGATCACAATCGTTGTTCGGCCACGACTTGCCTGAAAATTGATTGTCAAGAATTTGACAAAAGAGCGCTTTGTACGTATCACAGTTTCACTCAAAGAATCTTCCTTTTTCTTACATTCTCTAATGCTTGTTGCACAACTCCTTCACTTTCTGCATCTAATGCCGAAGTTGCTTCATCCAAAAGAAGAATTCGCGGATCTCTGAGAAGAGCTCTCGCAATGGCGATTCGCTGCTTTTGTCCACCAGACATTTGAGTGCCACGATCACCAACAAGAGTGTTCAGACCCTGAAGAGAACTTGTTGATGGCAGATCCAATCAAAGCTGTTCCTAGGGCTATTTTGGGTCAGGTCCAGAGCGTTTAGACCCTGAAGAAGGTGGTGGTAGATAAATCCTGTTCTTATAGTTTTGCCCAAGTTGGTTTTGGCTTTTATCTAAACTACTAAATTTTATCTAAACCAAGCCATGGCTAGGATAAAGCTCAATCAATCCTAGCCAAAGCTATTCATAAGGTTATTTTGAACCAAGCCTAGTCAAGTCACTCTTTCAGTAAAGTCAAGTTAGTTAGTACAAACCTGAACACAACCACACAACACACAAAGCTTAAACCAGTCTAGCTATATTCTTAAGTCAGGTCAAGTCAAGGCTAATTTAAAATCAAGACAAGTCTCTGGCTTAGCTGGATCTGGCCAAACTTTGTCTGGCTCACGATTGTTTCGCCGACTTGTCCTTACAAGATCAAAATGCCACGACCTGCTGTTTTACAGCTTTCAGGTAACTCAAGAGGTTTAAATTCAAGATTCAGCTAATAATTCTATTAAACTTTGGCTAACAAGACTTACGTCGGGAAATTCAGCGATGAAACTCAAAGCATTTGCTTTCTTCAGAGCCACGTGCACTTCTCGGTCGCTTGCATTAGCGTTTCCAAAGCGAAGATTCTAAAATTAATCTTTATTTCAAAGTTAATTCACGCGTTCATATTCAAAATCAGTTCAAAATTTCACCTCAACTATTGTGCTATTGAAAAGAACCGGCTCTTGACTGACGACACCGACGATTTTCCTCAAATGGTTTACATTGAAGTCTTCAAGTGGTATGTCATCGAGTAAAATCTGTAAAATATTTGATGCATTTACTATTTCTGGTTTTTTGATTTCCTTTTTCTAGCTATTTTGCATTAAAATTACCGATCCAGCTTCGAGATCGTAGAATCTGAGCAAAAGATTGACGATCGTCGATTTTCCTGACCCAGACGCACCAACCAAAGCAACCGTTTCCCCAGGTTGACACTCGAAAGAAAGACCCTGGATATAGGTTTGTTGAAGTTTATTTTAAAAGTTTTATTTTATACTTTCAAAATCGGGACATCTGGCCGACTAGGGTAGTTGAAGTAAACGTTTTCAACCCGAATTTTCCCCTCGACATACGGTTTTTGAGCGGTTTCATCGTCTTCAGGTTCAACCTAGAGCTTTTACGGTACTGTAGATTTTGTGATTTAGTTGTGAACCATTACTGTACTCAGTTGATCTGCTAAAATCTTAGGCAACGTCCAAGCCAAGACCAGGGAAAGTCAGTGTTCTGATTTAACTTGATTTGACTGATCGTAACTTTTGGATTTTCATTCAGTTTTGGCCTTCCCTAACGACTGGATTCTTTGTACTACAGTTTTTGTACAGAATTGGGTTTTGAAGTACAGTTTTTGTACTTATACTTGTACTTGTAATCGATTTATTTTTATACCGTATCGATAATCTCCATAATTCGACCGCCTTGCCCGAGCGCGCTTGACACCGCCGCCACATCGGGGAGGGCGTACCCAAAAGCGAAAGAACCGTATTTGATTGCCATGATTACCTAAGAGGAAAACAGTTAATAAAAAAAATTTTTGGTATTTGTTTTCAAATTTATAATCTGATTTTACAACAATTGAAAAGACACCCAACAAGCTTGTCTTCGCTTTTGGCCTTGTTTGGCCTTATTGAAACACATTTATGCTTTTAAAAAACAATTTTGTTCCATTCTATTTGTAAAGCAATTTCTTTACTGGTTTCTTTTTGATCATTGAACTTTTTCTTAATCCATTCAACCACAACCAAAAACATAAAAACACGCACCCCCCCCCCCTGCTTTTCTCTTCCCGGAAAATATTAGAAATACGGTAAAGAAAGCGCGGAACTCCAAATATGATATCCATGTCCACTACCGTAATCATCGTTTGAGCCGATGTTAATCCCCAGTACACATAATCTGTGCCCACCCAAAACGCCACACACCACATCATATCGAAAGCGCAATAGGTGAGTGTCGTGCCAAAGCCGAGAAATACTGAAATTTCAATTTTCTTTGAGATTTTTCTACCAGTACTTACTCGATTTTCGAATCTCCTGCCGACTGCCTTCTTTCAACGCCGTCTCGTATCTAGATCAATGATTTTTATTCTCAAAAACTCACTCACTTTTTGCACTCGTGCTCCTGACCATTGAAGGATAAAACAGTTCGAACTGAGCTTAAAGCCTAAATTTTCGATATAGTAATTTCAAATTTGCTTTCTAAACCTCTTCAGCTACTTTTCCCGCCTTTGCGTAGCGTTTTGCTGAATCAACGGCCGTGTCACCGATCATCTATAAATATTAGGTCAATCAATAAGTAATGAGCTTCTCCTTTATTTAAAATTTTGCAAAAGCCAAGCCATAGATCTTTCTAATACTTTAGTAGGATAATTATCAAAGATAATTATAATTATCAAAGAGATTAACATTATTGTACAAAGTTCTAAATCAATTTGATGGCTGGGCTTTGAGAAAGTCTTTAGAAATTGTGATAACATGAAGCATTTTTCTACTATAACTTAAAACCCATTAAACGCATCAGATTAGAATGAAATTTTTCTCAAATAATAGGCAAAAATCCATTCTCGATCCTCCAAAAATTTTAGGATATTTGATTGGTTACTTTGAGAGAAATCAGAAATAAAACTTTTTGTTGAATGAGATTTTAAAGAAATTAAAAGCAAGTTATTACTCTTCTAAAGGTTCCTCCTCAAAACCCAGCCATCAAATTGAATTAAAACTTTGTACAATAATGTTAATCTCTTTGATAATTATCATACTAAAATATCAGAAAGGTCTATGGCTTGGCTTTTGCAAAATTGTAAATAAAGGAGAAGCTCATTACTGACTAACCTAATCAACTTGCGTACTTAGCAATGATTCCATTCTCTTTTCTTACTTTATTAACAACGATCCCCGAGATGACGATAAACGGTGATGTGACCGTCATGATGCCAGCTATTCGCCAATCGTAGTAGAACCCTGAGTAAATAAACTTCCGTTAAAGGTAAGTTTCTGAATAGACCACTGGGATCAAATTTCATGAAAGCTTAGAAAGTCAAAGCATAATTTGAAAATGGTACTTGTTGTTAATTTTATTTCTTTTTGATAAAATTCTGGAAACATTGAACTCCTGGAGGTACTTTCCCTATAATGGGGAAGGGGAATTTTTTCCTGAATTCCACGGGTGGCATCAGGTTCACAAGCGTAAGTGCAAGCATTACACTCCCAGCGATAGACATCTTTTCCCTTGGATACCAACTTCATCTGATGCGAGCGGCCACATGACGGAGTTTAAATGAGCCCACGAGAGACGAGAAAAGTGCTGGCAGCTTTCTCATCGAGAACCACAAGATCAGAGAGGCGAGTAGGCATTCGGAAGAGGTTATTGGGGGATAACTCTGATCAAGGGGGAAATCGGCCATCAATTTATAGATGTTCTTCTCTTTAGTTCTTTTCTTAAACGCATCTAGTCTATCTGGAGATTTGATAGTAGATAGCGTAAAAATCCCACCTTGATATAGAAAAATGTTTTGATGAGTAATGGGCCAAAAATCCCCCCTTTCCCCGATAAGTTTCCTCTCCCCCTCCCCAATAAATCCGTTATAGGGAAAGTACCCTCCTGGAAACAGTTTTCAAGTCATACCCTTCTTGCTCTTCAAATCTTCAAACTTACAAAACTTTATTAGCCTTTATTAGTCTTTAAACTCTTTAACAAGTTACCATGTACATTGGATTTACAAATTATCAACAGCTACCTGTATTTACAGTATAAAATAGTTTATCTGTATCTGCACTGTTGTCCTGTCGTCTTGCAAGTTCACAAATGTTTACCTATAAACATTCCCGAGGCGAACACACCAAAATTGTGCAGCCCGTCACCGAGTTTATCACCAAAACCTTCTTTGAGTCGTTCTAGGGAACTTAAACTCTTCATTTTTAGCTGGATTTTGAAAAAACCACTGACTCAAACATATTCGAGCACAACGATCCCGAAGAATTCTTGTCGAACCATTCGATTTTGTGATTTAAAATGGACTAAAGCTTCTTTATTAAGAAAATTTCTTCAAATTTTACCAAGAAAAATTTCTTCCGTATCCGCTGACAAATTGTCTCACAAGCGTACATGCAACCGCTTGTCTGAAAATTGAAAAAAAATCTTTTACTGAGCTTGATTCAAACCTGTATAAATGAGAGAATGCAATACACGATTCCAAAGTAGAGAAAATTCCAACAACAAGCGATAATTTCAGTGTTGAGAAGCTCTTTTGCTTTTGCGAGATCCTCGGGGGTGATTGTACCGCTTTCTAAAGTTCGTTTAGCGAACTCTTTTTTTGAACTCGAGATTTTCTTGATTAGTTTTTTTAGTTTTGGTTAGTTTTACTGGCTTTATTTCCCTAAACTTCACAGATCAAATTTTAATGGGAAATTTTTTTAGTTCAAAGGCACTCACTTCTTTGGGAGTCGTAGGTGATGAACGCTTGAGAGACCCGTCTGAAAATTTGAAATTAAACTTTAAACTCATAAAATTATGAGTTGCAAGCCTTTTTGAGTACTTTTCTGTTACACCACATAACTAAATTAAGTCTATAAATCCTGTTTTGCTTTGGTGCAAACTTATCAGGTTGTCCGGAAAGTCTTTCCCGCTTTTTTAAAGGTTACTTTTTGAAATAAATAATGAACCAATCGATCTATGGTTTGTTTTATCAGAAAGTCCTATTATTTATTTACAAATTGCCCTTTAAGAAATTCTGAAAAGCTCGCGTTAGTTACTTTTTTAAAAGTGTGAAGTCGAATAGTCAAAAACGATGAAACTCAAAGTTCCGATTTGAGCACCTTTCTTCACAGAAGCCTATTCTGGTTACAAAAGACAAAAGATAGAGAATGAAAAGCTAGGTAGATAGACAAATTTTCAGAGAAATTGATTCAGCCGATTTCATTCTATGTCTATTGTAAAGATTTTAGGAAAAATAAGAATTCCCGTTCGAATTTCCTTCAAAACGGATTTCAAATTTGCCTAAAAATGAGCCTAAATGAAATAGTTAATCTTTTTTTTTTAATCATCCCCACGTTTATCGGCTAAATATTCATTTATAAATGAAAATTTCAAAAAGGCGGACAAGACTTTCCGGCCAAAGCAATAATTTTATGACACAACAAAACCAACGCCAAAATCGTGGACATTAACGGATAAACCAGTCCGGAGATCAATGCGGCTAGCATTCCAAAAAACATCAGAAAATAATCGAAACATGAAGCAAAACGAAACTAGATTCGAATTATTACATTATTGATAGAAAAAACAAACAAATTGCCATAAAGTAGCTCGTTTCTCAGGGAGATCGTCTGGGGATTGAGTGCTAAATTTGATTGAAACTGGATTCTCTTGAGAAGTTTAGGTTTAGTTAAGATAAAGTATGACTTCTTTTTGTTTCATTATCATTTTGTAGCTATTAATAATGCGTAGAATGTATTTTGTCAACTGAAATCTCGAAATAACAATTAAATGCTGAAAGCTTTTGCTAACAATCAACTTGTTTCGAATGTATAGAAGTTGCCTTGCATTTGAAAACAAAATTAGATGAGAAAAATTTTGGACCACTTGCTAAAGTCTAATTGTTTTGAAATTTTGCAAAGTGCTGCTTCAATAGATTGTAGAAAATAGATTGTAAACAAGAAAATAGATTGTAAACAAAAAAAAGCCCAAAGTAACAAACTTTTGTTGAATGAGCGTTTCCTCATCGTCATTCTCTCCTCGTCGACAACATTTCAACCATGAGAAAGCCATTTTCGACAAAATTCAATAACAGCAATGTAAATTGTATAAATATATCAGACTTTTATGCATACTTTAAATAATTGAATGGTTGTGCAATTTTGCACACTTGTAGTCAAGCAGAAAAGGTGTGTGTTTTGAGGGGAAAGAGAAATTAAAGGAAAAAAGAACACGGAAACTAAAAAGAACCCAGACAACAGAATAAATAAAAGAAGAAAAAGAAAAGGAAATTTTCATGGTCTTGAAAAAACCGAAAGAGGCTCAAAAGGAAAAGCGATAAGTTGTCTAGAGTGAAAAGAAACAAGTCAAAGATCGGAGAGTTTCGCAATTTTTGGAGAAGAATCTTCGAACTGTACTTGAGCTTACAAAAATTGAACAGAAAACATCTTGGATTTTGGCTCTTCTCCATTATCCGGGATTTTCACCGCGCTTTGAAGATTCATAAATTTGTTTAGAGATAATATTATTCTTAAATTACGATAACATTATAGTTTTTAGAGAACACTTCAGGCTTTCAAATGATATAAAATAGAATTTGATTGAACCACACAACTCTAAGAAAATCAAGGAATAGGGAAAACAAGTCAGATCGAACCGTTCACTCAGTTTGGCTGCTTGTTTAACACTGGGGAAAACAGACGTTGTGTGTTCTTAAGGATGTGGAATTTGTAGCAAAAATACAGCTAAATTACAAGCAAAATTGGCCCCAAAAATTCGGGCATAGTGACGCCAGGTAAAAGCGGAGGACGGCTCTCTCACTAGCCGCTCAAACTCCTTTTCAAAATTCCAAAAGAGAAGCACCCTATACCGGACGGGTATGCCAGAACACGAGCGATTGTGCACAAAGAACACCTTGTCAATCATTTACATAGAGATTTTTCTTTTGCTTTGTAGATGGCACAAAAAGAAGATATTCAGCTGTAAGCTTATACCCAGGGATTTTCGAGCTCAGGGAACCGACTGAAACTCTTCATTTTAAGTCTACAAATTGGAACTAGGGCTTAATTGGTTCATGGGTGCGATCTGACTTGAGCCTCTTGATTTTCTTAGGATTTGAAGTTCCTTGGTTTAAATTGCTTTCATCTTTTTTGTTAGCTTGCTGTTAACGTTGAGTTCAACTCCCAAAAAAATTGTGAACTGACTGTAAAAAAGGTAAACCGCTTTTGAAACGAGTATTCCAAGTGAGGGAAATGTAAAATAAACCGGTTTCTGAGTGCGTTCACTTATGAAAATACAGTGAAAGTCGAGAATTATGCAAATCTCGAGGCCAAATAAAAGGAAGATTGAGGGGGTGCAGGAGATGAGCAGTAACAGTAACAACACAGTCGACTTCGGTAGAGTTTTCCTAAAGTTAAATTTCGAAGCAGTACTTTAGTAGTCTTGCTATTTTTTGAAGTTTTACTGCTTACAATTAACTTAATTGTTGGACTCATTTTTCTTTGAGTTTAGAACAAAAGTCGCTGAACCAGACGCTATGAATGTACTTTACGTTCAAAGCTTACAAACATACCCATTCTAGTGCACTTGCTTTACCTTTTTTCTCACCAAATCTTACTAGAAGAAAAGGAAAGTGTAGAAAAAGTGTGTTTGCAACTTTTGAGTACAAAGTTTACCTTACAAAATGCTTTTACTAAATACGGTTTATTGTTATTGACTTTGCAGTAATTTTATTTCCTAAAAATGCTACAAATTGACCTCTGATTTTTAACATTTCATATCTTTTTGCTGGCCAAACTTTTATGACCATTTTCAGCTTCCAAAACCGGTTCCAGCAGTAAAACTCAAAGCTGAACTCAAACAAAGCTTCCGTTTTTGTTTGAAATCATAAAAATTTTAGAACCAAATATGGTAACCAAAAATCTCATAAACTTTGCCAGTAGTTTTTGAGAAAATAAACCTTTTATATCTTTAGTCCCGTCGGTGAGATATTAAAAATTGAGGAAAGCAGTTATTTTTGGAGTTGAGTAAACGATGAGCTTTAGTTTTGTTTGGTTAGTCGAAAAGTGCTGAACTCAAAATTTTCAATTTCCAACTTTCAAGATTAATCTTTAAATTTCTGCAAACTTTCGTATTTTTATGAAAATCCAATTTGATCAGTTGCTTTCATTATGATCCTTGTTGTATTCTGTTTAAATAAAATATGTCATTTTTACAAGCTACTGTAGTCATGCTTAACTCTAAAAATTTTACTTGTTGAGGAAATGGGCGAAAAATGCATCGACGATTTTATGCGATTCGGCTATCATTCACTTCTCGTCAGTCTCATGCTTGAGGTGAATTCGGAAATTTTATTCAAATAGTTTACTTCTATAGACTTGAATCAATTTGGGGAACTAAACCAGTTCATTTAAAATCAAAATATGATACTTTTAGAGATACTTCTCTATATAAAAACGGCTAATTATTTAGATTGTGATGATTTCCGAGTGCGGCAACTTGTTGTTCATGGTTTTTGGAGGTTTGTTTCACGGGTTTAAGATTTTGCCATTTATTCTTCAAGATTTATCTTTAAGAATTTAAAAAGATGACGAGAATAGAGCTTAATTTATTCTCATTGTTGCTTTTTATATTCGTTGTGACCAACTGAAGCCATAATTCCCAGAAATCAACGGGTAACTAGACCAAAATATACCGTATTTATGCCAAGAATATTTATTAAGAGCCCTCTTTAATAGAGGAGCCCCTTTTAGACGAAATAGACAAACAGGATTCCAAATTCTCCAATTACGATAGGAAAAAATTTTAAAAAATTCCAAAGGCTTTAAAATAATATTTAGTATATTCTGGTTTTTCACTCCGAGCAATCAATCACAGGACAAATCCTTTGTTGTGCTTTTCCTAGACTGCCCAATGCTAGGAAAAGAATTCAAATTCTTAACTTAACCATAACTCTTGAAAGTCAATGATCATTATTTTGTGGAGTGACGATGCTGGTCAATAAAAGGAAATGGCTGCAGTTTATGTGCAAGCCAACCCGTAGTTTAATTTCAAAGGGTACGGCGCGTTACATTGCCCTGCGCTTGGGATAACTCTGGGATAACGCTTGGGATAACTGCCACTAACCGCGCCCAACATTTGCTCAACTTGGCAGATCGGCAGATTTATAGACTAAAAAAGCCTAATGACGTCGAAAACCGACTGAAAATCCAATAAAAACACCCATTTTTGAGCTTTTAAAAATTTGGGTATACTCTGTTTAGGGCACGAAAAAGAATTTTAGAGGGAAATTGAAAAATAGAAGAGCCGACTCTTCTATTATAATGTTTACGGTAATAGTCAAATGCTAAAATTTGGATTTAATACTTGGTAATAGGAGCGGCTCCAACTCTCCAAGGATGTCACGGTCAAAATCACACTTTACTTCTTTCTCAAGAGGCCATCTGTGATCTCTACCATAGTGGATCGTGTCTACCCATCGTCGATCATCAATTCTACTCAGTCAATGTTGAGGTGTATCTTTATAAATCTAAATCTAAATCTAAATTTATCTAATCTATTCAGTTCGAGCTTCTTTGCGGTGATGCGGGCAAAGTCAAGGACAGCACATCGTACCAGGTTTGACCAAAATGTTTGAAAATCGTCAAAAATGGCAGCCCGCTAGATAGAGGTCGACTAGTGCTCATTCAAGGACTTGTTAAATGAGTTGCATCAATCCGATTGCAAAGTTTTTACTAGATAAATGTAGCCAAGATCAAGAGCTATAATTCTCTGTATAACACTTGACACTTTGAAATAAATTAAGCGTGCCATAACTAATTTTCCAAAAAGTTTTCCGGGTAATTTTGCCGAACCCTGTATTTTTAGATGGTTGGCTACTTGATCGGGTCGCTCGTTTGGGGTCAAGTCTCTGATGTCTTTGGAAGAAGATGGGTAGGCCAAAATGACACAAATTATGAAATAAGACTAGTCTTTTTCTTCTAGCCAATGTTGATCACTTTGTTGATCAATGGTGTGATCGGTGTCGGTTCGGCTTTCGCCCCGACTCTCTTCCTCTTTACCGTGCTTCGGACGCTTGTTTGCATCGTTTTCACTGGGCATTTAGTGTGAGTTTGAAATTTAATACAAATGGAAGGTAAGACACTGTAGAGCTGAAGCTTTGCAGCTTCAAAGATAGTGTTTTTCATTTGAATTGCCCGCCTTCAAAAGAATACGTGACTTGATCCTAAAAACTAGGCCTCTTCATGCACTACAGTGTACCGGAAAGGCTAATATAAACTGAAATTTTAAAATTTACAATTGATTTAACTTCAGTATCTCGATGGTGTACTTCTGCGAGATTTTCCCCTCAAAGCACCGTCTCTGGCTGGCTTTTGTGCTCAACTGGTCACCGAATTTGATCATTGTTGCGGGAATCGGTACACTAAAAGAAAAGAATAAACTTGTAAATATTGTAAAAATTATACCTGCTATTATTTTATAATCATGTTTTATATTATATATTATATGTAAAAAAATATAAAATATATCATTTCAGCTTGGTTGTGTGGTGATTGGCGTTCGTTTTCGCTCGTCATCAATGCTTTGTGCTTTGTCGCTGCGGCTATCATGTGGTAAACGATCATTTTTTACACAACTTACAATAATAAGAACTTTACAAACAAGTTTGGCAAGTTACGATTAAAAACTGTAAATAGAATCTAAAACTTATTGGTTTCACAAGAAAGTCTTTTCAACTTTTTTGAAATTTTCATTTATAAATGAATATTTAGCCGATAAACGTGTAGTTTTCTTTAAATAAAAAAGATTAACTATTTCATTAGCTCATTAGCTCATTTTTAGGCAAATTTGAAATTCGTTTTGAAGCAAATCCGAAAGGGAATTCTTGTTTTTCCTAAAATCTTTACAATAGATATAGAATGAAATCGGATGATTCAATTTCTCTGAAAATTTGTCTATCTGCCTAGCTTTTCATTCTCTATCTTTTGTCTTTTGTAACCAAAATAGGTTTCTGTGACCAAAGGTGCTCAAATCGGAACTTTGAGTCTCATCGTTTCTGACTATTCGACTTCACACCTTTAAAAAAGTAACTAACGCGAGCTTTTCAGAATTTCTTAAAAGGCAATTTGCAAATAAATAATAGGACTTTCTGATAAAACAAACCATAGATCGATTGGTTCATTATTTATTTCAAAAAGTAACCTTGAAAAAAGCGAGCAAGACTTTCCGGCCAACCTGATACATATCAGTTTGGCAAACAAGTCTTTCCACCCTGTTTCATAATTCCTTTCAAAACAACAAATGCACCGGTTGAACGACGGTTTTTCCATTATGAAGGCAAATCATTTTCTAGAAAATAACATTGAAATGGGTTCAAAATGTCTTATTTGTGAATTTTTTGGGGGCGAGTAGTCAAGTAGTTAAAAAAGGGCGACGACTCGATGATGTAATTCAGGCATTTTGGCCAGGAAACCCTATTTCGGTGTCAATAGATAAAAGATAGAGCGCAAAGGGTTAGGTATGTAGCCAAATTTTTAGAGAAATAGATTCAGCCAATTTCTTCGTAGATCTTTTTATAGATTTTTACAAAAAATCCGTTTTCGCATTTGGATTTGCTTGGCATAAAAAAAAGTAGGAAAATGAATAATAAATTCTTTTTATTTGAAGCAAACCTTAGGTAAATTTGGGTGAATTTTCGATTTTTCAAACGAAAGTATGAAAAAGGAGGAAAAAAACTTGTTTTCCAACTTAATAATTTGTCAGGTACTGCTCAGAATCCCCTCATTACCTCCTCCGTCGGGGTCGAGTCAACGACGCGATGGAGGCTGTGAAAAGGATTTATCGGGTTTGTTTGTTGAAAAATTAAAAATGAATATACACACCAAAAAATATTCAAGAGGATTTGCTTGATTTTGAAAGCTCATTGAAAATTCAGATCGACCGAGCCGAATTGGACGAGAAAGAACTCGAACGCGTTTTCGACAAAGAACGAGAGCAATTGGCGGTGAAAATTTAGTATTTAACTAAAAGAATTCTAAAATATCTAACTAAAATATTGCTTCCTATTCTATAAATTCAATTTTCAGTTGATCCCGAAAGAGTCCTTCTCTTTCCCGCATCTCTTCTGCACGTGGAAATTAGCCGGTTACACTTGGGCCGTTTTCCTTAGCTAGTAAGTTGCCCAAAGATCTTTGCGATGTACTTTGTGCTCAAAATTGAAACGCACTCTTTCTGTTTCTTTCTTTCTTTCACAATTCTTCACTTTTTTTCATAAAGCTGAAACGAAAAGAGCAGAATTCAGTGCACCAGAAAGGTTGTGTTTACAAACGTGCACCAAGGGAGTACAAAGTACTTTAAAAGTGTACTTTATGCTCAAAAATCAGTAAACATACCCTTTCTGGTGCACTCAATTTTGCATTTTCTCATGAAACACGGTTGCAACGAGGGGAAGGGCAGAATTCAGTGCTCCAGAAAGCGCGCCCTAGCTACCGGACCCTCGCCGCCGTCAAGCAATGCGCGTATATAAGGCCATTTCACTCATTTCTTTCATTCTAATTGCGCGGGGTGGGATTATTTTATTTTTTAAGTTTATTTTTTTTTTTCTTTTTTTTTTTTTTTTTTGTGTTGTTTTTTTTTTTTTTTTTTTTTTGGTTTTAAAAAAACACTCCATTTATAAAAAAAAAAAAAATTAAAAAATTTATATCCCCTTTTTTGACTGGGGGGGGGGAGGGGGGAAGCGCTATTAAGCGGAGAGCAGCCACGGATTTCTAAAAAGGAACGGAAGTTACAAACCAGAAACACACCTCAAAAACAAGATTTTAAAGCTTTTAAAAGTAGATCTAGATCTAGATTTTATCTGGAAATATTATGAATGAGATTTTCACAAACCAAAACACGCATGGGATCAAAAAACAGACTTCGTTGCTGCTTTTTGCTCGGCTCACTACAAAAAACGCAAAACGAACCCCAAAAATCTCTCTTTGTACCTGGAAAGGCACTCTGTGGTAGAAACTTTATACTCTAGTCAAAAAAATTGGACTTTTGTGCGAACCGTTCTTCCATTGGACTTTGCAATTTGCGGCAATGCACATTTTTCAAGTACAAATAGATTTCTATGAATCAAGGAGTTTTGACCTGAATCTGTAACAAGAGCTGAGTACATTGCAAGTTGTTTTCTGCAAATTTTCTTCGATGTTTAATTCCCATCAATTTGAGAGGTCAATGAGATCAATTTTGGAGTGATTTTGAATGCTTTTTCTTACTAACATCCAAGCAAAGCACACATCAAATTCAATAGCTAATTTTTGAAATCAAAATTAACTAAAAATTTTGATATAACTTATATCTTCAAAATCAATTAACTATATTATATTGAGCACCAATGATATGATACAGTGATTCTAGTCTAGATTTGTCTTCTTTACTCGACTCTAGACCTATTTCACTCATCAACAAACTAAATTTATTCTAAAGAAACAGCAATATATTGAGATATAACCAACAAGATCAAAAGTTGAATAGCCCAAATTAACGAATCAGGTCAAATCATTCAAATAACCGAACTTTGTGAGCCACCTTGTGAATTCTTGCAAATTTGCAAACTTTCTAAGAATCAGTTACTCAAAAATATTCTAAATTTAGCTCCAACTCTCAAAAAATATATCCCCCGTACTTTTCTTTGTGCCTGGAAAAGCTCACCGAACATCGGGTCTAAAGAGAGCAAATTTTGAGCTCTCAAAGGACGCACCTCTTTTACTCTAATTCTCTTCCATAAATCCATTCCTATTTACTAACGATCTGGATGTCAACTTTTTTCGCATAGAATCGGGTGCATTTTGGGGGAATCTGGTGGATTTTTTCCCATTCCTCGTACTCAAATTATTGACCGGACATTGGCCGGTTCGCAATGGGTGCATTCTAGGGACGTGACACACCCAGTTCACACCCGCAAACAAATTTATCCATCAAAATCTGGGTGCATTGCATTTCATGCATTCGTACTTATTTTCTTGACTTTTTCAAGGCATTGTACTTGCTGTGCTTGTTGACCACAAAATTTTTCCTTATTTTGTGTGTACTTGATTCTCGCAAAAGCTTTCTTTGAATCCATGGTCAAAAAGGTCAAAAAGTATCCGTTTGATTTGAAGCAACAAGAGTTTCATCCAAATTATATCATTCGAGTAAATAGGATTAGATTTGCTGAAGAATTTTTGGGATAAAAAGAATAGTTCTTCTGACTGTGAGAGCTCAAAATCTGGGCTCTTTGGGCCCGTGTTTTTAGAATTTGTTGAGTCCTAAAAGCCCGATTTGGCTCATTTTTGAATGGATTTTCAGCAAGTTTGAATTTGTGCAGAGGTTTCCTTTTTTCGTCACCGATTTGCCCCTCAAATTTCTAAAGACGGGAGACTAAGGCATTTTGGCTATGAACTCTTGAAAAGTAACCCAATTTTAAAAGGCGAACACTTTACCTAGCTTTTTATCATTAGTCATTTGCACCTTGTTTTTTAAAAAATCATTCCCGAACCTAATAGAAAACTAGATCAAAGAGAAAAATATCAACAAAAAATAACGGGGAAAGAATGAGAGCACCGAGTGCAGCCAGGGGGCGCCGTGTCCCCAACATCGACTCTTTGAAAGAGTGAAAAAGAAAAGGGAAAAGAGGGAGCAAATGGGTGCATTCAGGGTGCATCCTCCATCCATTTCCCCTTTTCTTTCTTTCAGTGCACTTTGAACCAACCATGAACCCAATACATTGAGTTCATTTCCCAATCGAGTTTTTTTCAATCATCTCTTCTAGTACTTTTTCTGTTCTTTAACTTGACACAACAGTTGGTGTTTAAATTTTTTTCACAGAATTCTAGAACTGCAATCAGAATGTAAGACAAGTTGAGCTAGTTATATTTGTTAAATAATATACAATTGTATCAGAAAATAGACTGAAGACCGGGGTATTTCCCACTTTGTTTCTTTCTTTCTTCTCCCCCCTTGTCTTTCCCTTTTCTCTTGGCAAGTTAAAGTACCGGATAGCTCAGCGTTTAGAGCAATTGCGCGCAAAAGGAAAAGTTCAATCTCCTCTCCGGAAATCTACTTTTTCTTGCTAATTCCTTCACTTCTTAATTATATCAGAGTGCAAAGAGTGTGAGCAATGGGTACATTCAGGGTACATTCATCCATTCTCCCCCTTCTTTCTTTCAGCGCATTGAACTAACCATGAACTCAGTACCGTGAATTCAGCAATTTATTCTAGCTCTAGCATATTTACTCTATATTTTCTTTTAATGACACGCTTAACAAAAACGCGTCTTCATTTCATTATTGCAGTTGCATTCAATCTCTAGCTTTACTATTTTGGTGTTCAAATGAAGTGAAGAAAGGTTTTCTCCTCTGGAATTTGGGAATCCTTTTTTCACAAGGTACATTTTATCATTGGGTACCTGTCAAGTTCATGTCGAGGTGTAAATTTGTAGATAGGTGCAAAATTTTCATTTTACGAATACCTATGTAGTTAATCGAGCTAACGGCATTTCGATTTATCTTTTTTGTAATCAACTAATAAAAGCCTCAAGACTAGTGAGCCCCAAGATTCACTCAATTTTCTGAGTACATCAAGGGTACATTTTGATGGGTACACCGGGGGTACTTGCCGAGTTCACGGCGAGTGCAAGCTGGGGTGCAAAAGGGGAGGGAAAGGCACGGATCCCAATCTGTTCCCATCTCTCTTCTTTCGCCATTCCTTTCCCAATCCCATTTTTTTCTCTTTTTTTTGATATGAGTGCATTCTCATCAATCTTTGTCCTTTGTCTTTTCCTTTTCCATTTCTCCCATTCATTTTCTCTTCCAAAATGCACCCAAGTGTCAAATTGATTGTCCATTTCCTGATATTTTCTCAAATCTTGACTTTTTGCTTAAAATTTTAAATGCTTTTACTGTTTTCTTAGCAAAAAAATCAAATTGAAGAACAAATTTCGGATTTTTTTGTTTGAATTCAGTATTACAGATCAAAATTTGAGGTCAAAAGATCACAGATCATTCTAATTTTCTTGAAAAAACTTTCATTTTTTCAAGTTCCTCTTTTTCTCTTGTTTCAAAGTTTAAAATGATTTATGAGAATTTGACTTAAACTAAATTTATAGTTTTAAAGTGTAAGATAATACTAATTTACTAAACTTTCCTCTCCCAACTTACTTTTTTGACGAAATTTCTATTTCAGCTTCTCCGCCTCACTCGTCAACTATGCTCTTCTCTTCAATATGGAGACAATGTCCGGATCGGTGAGTGATAAAATATAATATTTTTGATAACTAAATTTTTGATCATAATTGCATCTAAAAAAACTTTGACTATTCTTATTTTCGATACAGCTGAATATCCTTTCCCAGGTCTATGTCAACACATTTTTCATGGGACTTTTCCGTCTTTTGATCAATTTGTGCTCGGCTGGCGCCGATTTGAGCTTCGAGTGGCTGGGAAGAAAGGTCAAATTTTGAAATGATTCCATAAAAATTACTGTAACAAATATAAACAATCAATTTACCGCTTTACACAAAGCTAAGCCTAAACTTTTCCAGACGGCCCACAAGTTCTTCTGTCTCTACGCTGGCGGCACGCTGATCATCGCCCTCGTGGCTGATCTGATGGGTAAATTTCTTTTAAAAAAAGCTGATTGAAACTTTTGTACAACTTCTGAACAACTGAGTTGTCACTAAATCACGTCACAGCGCCCGTAATCCGGACTTACTTTTAATATCATAGGCTATCATCTTTATAGATCTTTCCGTTTCTCATCTTTAGATTTATTACGGTAATCTTTTTCAACAAGATACTACTACTTGGGTTAATAGAATCGACTAATCGGTCTATGGCTACGGTAGTTAAGTCATGCTTTAAACTCGGAGTTAAACCTACACAACTCGGAGTTCAAACAAAGTTTGCAAGTTAACTTATAACTTCTTGCTTACGATTTGGTTTGGTTACGATTTGATTGCGATTTGTACTTGTACATTGTAACATTTCTACTTGTACATTGTAACATTTGTACTTGCAACAAAACAACTTATTAGCTACAAGTAAATAATTTGATGTCTAGGATTGAATAACGCTTGGGAGTCGGTGATTCGTTTCATGCTTCTCTCAACCGCATCGATGGTCTGTCAAATGTACGCCGTCGTGAGCGTCGTTTGTAATGAGGTGAGGATATCCATAGCCCAAACCTTACAAAAGCCAACAAATTGATATGAAACCCAACAATTCCCATACACTTCCAGGTTTTCCCTACTCCGATCCGAAATGTCGCTTATGCGATGACACAACTCAGCGAGAGCTCGGCCACGATTGTCGCACCGCAACTCTATCAATTGGTGAGGATCAAGTTCTGCTTCTAGTCACTTCTTGTCCCGAAAACAGTGCTGACTACTGAAACTCAGAATATAACCCTCACATATAGTTGAATAGTATAGTATTGGGTCAGATTATGAGGCTACATTGATCGTTTTTAGAGTGTTCTCGGCTCATGGGTTCCACTCGTCGTGATGATCGTGCTGGTATTTGGCGACTTTTTATCTTTTCATTTTGCTATCCCGGAGTCGAAAGGAAAACCACTAGCTGATCGAATGCCCGAGGGAGAAGAAAGAGTTGGAGTGTTTAGGTCAGTGTAAGGATTCAAAGCAAAAAGTCTCTTGAAAAAACCTTCCAGGACTTGGAGACAAAATAAAAAGTAAAAAGCTACCGTAATCTTTCTTATAGAATAAAAAGTAAAAAGCTATCTAAGTATTTTTTAAAGTTCTCTCTTTTATCGGGCAACTGAAAATCACCGAAAGGGAGTTTTTGAGAACTTTTGAAATAGTTGTCAATGTTTTAAACCGGGCCCTTAAATGGATAGTTCATTCTTTGGAGTAACTAAAATAGAATGCGCCTATTTAATTCTAAAACGATTTTTACAGGAACAGTCATCAATATTTAATAAAAAAAAGTCTATCTTATCTAAAATAACTAATAAACTTATTGATTCTTGTCAAGTTTACGAGGTTTTCAAGTTTTTCCGGATATTTCCTTGAGCTTTTATTTATTTTATATACAAAGTTGAGTTTTTTTTAAACTATTTGTGATCAAGAGAAGAAAGGAACGGATTCTGCCTCCACAAAAGCAATTTCAGTCGAATTTCCCTCAGCTCTTCAAATTTTGATTTTGAAGCCCAATTCAACACAAATCATAAGCTTTTGTAGGATCTGTTGGTTAAAATTATTTGAAAAGTTTCAGTTTACATATGAAACTAGTAGAAGCTCAAAAAATATCCCAAAAGATTTCAAAAAAACCTCATAAACTTTACAAGAACCAAGTTATCTATTCAATCGTTTTCAGAAAGAAGAGCAAAGTCTCTCCACCGGACTCAACGATCACTTCTGGCTACTCATCCCCGCAACACAAGCTCAGTTTTCAGCAAGCTTAATCATTTTCTTCAACTCTCACATCAATTACCATTTTTTTGAAATCATTTCTCTTTGCACAACCGAGAAATTTTCACGGTGTTTGTACATACCTTTTCCGATCAATAAACATTATTTTAAAAATTGCAACAAATTCTCAATTCTTAAAAACTCTAAAATTTTGCCTTGTCTTAAACAAAAGCTTACAATCCTTAAGCACCCAGTCAAAAGCGTTGATAACAAAGGCTTATGGAACATTCGGGAAAACAAGGATTAAAAAGACTTTACAAGTTTGATTTGAAATTGAAATTGATCAACTAGACTAAGTTTCGCTTTGGTCCTAATGGAATACAAGTTCTTCTTCATTGCCAATCTCTTTTTACTTAATGAAGTGATCAAAGCGAGAGAAGCGCTTCCGAAAGAATGCCAATCGCGTGAGTACAAAAAGTTGCCTGGCTTTAACTATCAAAAGGGCATTATTTTCCCCCCGACGAATCTCTTAACTTTATCCTTCCCTTTTTTCTTTTTTTTCTATTCTTTTTTTTTTCTTTTTTTTTTTTCCCTCCTCCCGTGAAATCACTCTTTTTTTTTTTTTTCTTTTTTTTTTTTTTTTTTAAATCTATAATTCACTTCTATTTATTTTGCCAACTATCGGGTCGACGACCAACAAAAAGCCTGCGAAATAAATGCTTGTTTTGTTTGATTGCAAAGTTAGTGATTTCTATTATGACATTTTTTATAGTAAAGAATGTTTTTTAATAAGTTGAGTTTCATCAATATAGCTTTTGAACCTATGGAAAATATATTTAGCACAAGTTTCGAATGATCGTTGCCCAAAAATTTCACGTATTCTCTGGTCGCCTTGTATATGCTAGAAATATTAACAGGGATTGCTGAACAAAATAAACTTTTTAAAATTAAAGCTGGATGTACATAACAAGACATTTTCCCTTCAGTCTCAACCGAAATCGACAAATCGGCGTGCAAGCAGCGCTACTTTTCCTTCATCTTCGTGATGCTGGGTGAACCGGTGAAAGAAGAGGCGCTGAGGTGAGACATTGAGATAAAGTTAGAGTTAGAAATAAACTTTGTACTTTTTGATATCAAAGATGTTATTTGACTAGTCGTGAAGTTTCACTGGCTCAATAAGAATCCAGCTAGCATAGCCCTGGTTTGGGTTAATACAGTGCTCTGATGGGTTGTGATAGAAATCTTAGAACCGGCCCTAGAGTCTATAAGCCAAGAAGAAGCCAGTTTTAGGCCTAGCTTCCGGCAAGCTCAAGTACTTTTTGTGGGCCAAACCTTTGAACAACCCTGTTGAAAACTAAAGAAACAAAAGTTTAGCTAATTTATTTAATTTTAGACACTGGAACATCTCGAAATGGATCCTCAAGCCGTGCTACGATCTCGAGTCAAAGCCACCTGGACTTAAAAATTGGAACAATAGGTTAAGAAGCTCTTTTGTCAATAAAAACAAATACATTTTAGCATTGTCACATTTGTCGATCACGATTGGAGTGAGTTTTTGAAAACAATATAATGAATAAATGAATAAACAAATGAAGTAAAGCCGGTCAATGAAATTTTTAGAGATAAATCTTCCCAGAGCTTTCACCCATGACGAAATTCTCGACTTGGAGCACATCGATCACCCCGAGAGTAAATACGATTGGTTGTATCTCACAAAAGAGTACTGTATCAACTAAATATTAAACTTTAAATCCTTACCTTTGCTTGGACTAAAGTCGAGTATTCCAGCATCAACTCCGTTCACGATCTTGCCTCAGTCCTTGACATTGCTTTGAAACAAATGGACGAGGATAAATTCGATCGTCAGCCGACTGTTCACCTCTTGTTGAACGCCTTGGATAAACAACGTAAGCTCTAAATCAGCTCAATCTTATAGCTTTGATATAATTTCTCAGTCTACTACGAATTCGGTGACTCTCTTTTGCCGTTCCTCCGGGAGAGTGTCGAGAAATTTGTCTCTCATGGAGCCATCGCTAAACTCATCTTCACAATTGTAAGTTTAAAATGCTAGATTACGATCATCATTAGTACTAATGACTAATTGTGGTAACTGTCACCAAAAAGCTATTCAGTCGAAGCTAAACTGTGGATAAGCTACCGTAGTCTGGCCTAGTTTTTCGGCAATATAAGCCGTCTTTTTGTACTTTTTTAACCCTCTTCTTCAGATCTTTTTGAGAAAGTTTTCTCTAGATTTTGTCTATAAATCTTTTGCCGGTTAGCTCGGTTCGGCTCTGAAAGTTTAGAAATTACACGAAAAGTACACTCGAGTCGCGACACTAATGACGATTTCTTTTAATTTTTGATGTCAACTCAAGTTTTTAAGGACTTTTATTATTTATTTCGGAGAAAGTGTAACTTTGTATGAGTTTTCAAGAGGAGATCCATTCAATTCTAGGACCAAGTGCTAGACCCGTACGTTGAGGGTTATCTGAAAGAAATGCGCGACGGATCGAATGGATACTTTGATTATGTTGGTGGAAAAAAGTTTATTTACGAACGAAAATTGATTGTAAATCTGTGATGAAAGTTTAAAATCCGTAAATTTCCAGATAATCGACCCGATGACCGACTCTGTTGCTGTTGCCAAAAACTATGGAATGTGCTCAAAAAATGTCAACGCTGATTTCTAAAAAATTGCAAACCTATCTTTTCTAAGGATTTTTAGTACTTTCAAACTATTCACGTTCAATAAATGATGATCAAAAATGAGGAAATGCAAAGAAATACACATGTGCAAGGAACCACCATTTGTTAAGGTTTTACTTGATGAAGTTTACTTAGAAGTTTAGAAGTTTACAAAAAAAGCCTTTTTTCAACGTCAACACACAACCCTTTTTATCTCAAAAGATGCTTAAGAAAGGAGAGAAAGTCGAAAAGAATTTTCAAAATCACGTTTTTTGGGCAGAGTTTTCCAAGCCTCAAACATTACTCCAAGATTTTGATTCTTTTTGAAAAAACCTCAATGCCATCGCTGACGACTGTTTCAGCTGTTTTTTTTCTGCTTTTCGCTACCGTTCACTCGAGCACAGAAATCTCTGCTTCCTGTCAAAATTGTGAGTTAAACGAGTCCGACTAGTTCACCCGGTAGGGTCATTCTGATGCTACGACCCTATCTGGTTTTTGGTTTGGTTCGAATGATGTTCCGGATGATTCAATCAAAAATCCGAAAGAGCTGATTTCCACCAAAGTCGGTTTTCTGACCAACACGAATCAAAATTCGAAGGCTAAGGTGTTCCGCAATCCGATTAACTCATAACCAAACTTCCAGATTAACTTTTCTATTTTTTCCAGTAAATAATTAGGTAATTATCAGGTGGTACAAATCAAGTACTTTTTCACTTCTTTCTTTAACAAACTTAAGTTAACACCGATCTCAAGAAAACCTCTTGCAAGCAACGCTATTTTCTTTTCATCTTGCCAATGATCAGTAACAAAGATTGGGGATCGGAAGCTCAGAGGTCACTTTTTGTAAAAGTTTAAAATTTACAAAAATATAGACATCTAAACTTTACTCGGCAAATTTTGACTCCTTGTTATGCGTTGGAGCCGCAACCACCAGTGTATCGAGATCCGGGAAACAGGTTGACAAATTTTTAGGCTGACCTTATTTTTGCTTTAGTCTGGTTGCTTTTCCGAGTGCAAATTTCAGTGAGTTTTTGGTTTTAAGATCATCTAAAGAGGATTTAAGTAAGCACGCCAATTGCAAAGACTTTTGATCATATTATGAAACAGAAAAAGCTCAATGATGATGGACCATGGGAATATCAAGTGATTGACAGAGAGTGGGTTATGCGATTATGATGTAAGACTGAACAAAACAGGATAAGACTGGACTAGGTCAAGATAGATCTATACGAGACATCGATTCAGCCAACCAACCTAATCCAGTCAACCTGAAGCTGAAGTCGCACTTTTTCAACCACTGAACTGGACTGTACCGGACTGCGTTACTTGTCTAATCAGTACTAGAGTCGTCACGAAAATAGTGCTAGGGCCAGTACGAGCCAAGCGTTAAGGATAGTAACAAAACAAGGACAGGGCAACCAATATCAGACAGGGACAGAGCAATCAGTTAATCAATATCCGAGTCCAAACCATATAAAACTTATCAGAGCAAGTAAAGCTAGAACAAAAGTACGCACACTAACGATACCACTATCAGATCAGTACCAAAGCCAGGCCAATACGAAGACTATAACATAGATGAACCAGGGAAAGTACCAGGAAAAGCTAATCTAACAATATGGGCACTACAAATACAAGCAGCTCATAATGAAGCTGTAAAAAAGTTCTTTTTCCTAAAAAGCAAAACAAGTTTCAGTCACACGAGACTGGCTGACATTGCAAAGCTTTTCGATGATGTCATTTATCAAATGCAACGCGTTGATTCGTACCAAGGAGCAATTATCATGCTGCACAGTGGCGACCCTGGCTATTGTGAGTTGAAAAAAGGCGTAGTCGAACTACGTTTAATGACTCGGATATTGATCTAAAGCGGATAAAATCCGTTAAAAGACAATTGACTAACGAGGTTATTGTATCTTTTGACCACAAATTATTCACAATACCATATTTAACTTCAGGGACACGTATTGTGGATCCCCAAAACGCGACCGACTATTTGCACTCGTGGGCAAAGCAGTTCCAGAGAAATGAGATTCTTGGAAAATTGATCTTTACAAAGGTAAATTTTTATGAGATTCATATTTTTGAAGGGCAAATTTTTGAAATTAAATAGTTAAAAATTTTCAATAGGATTTGGTGCTCGAGAATTGGATAATTAATGGATTGAACTGGTTGCGAAATGAAACGAAAGGATGGTTTGATTGGGTATATTTTGAAAGATTTTAAAAAAACTTTTTTGATTCAAATTGGTTAACACATTCACGACGATACGATCCACCTAATACTAATAACGATTATTTTTGGTGTCAACTCAAGTTTTTAAGGCCTTTTGTTATTTATTTCGCAGAAATTTCTCGATAACTTTGTACTAGTTTTCAAGAGGAGATTCAGGGCTATCGAATGACTATAATAGTTTAGTTTATCTTTAAATGCTCACCAAATTACCAGTAAAACAGTAAGGACCACACGACTGCAGTCTAAAAAGCCGTTGTCGCAAATGTGTTAAGTTAACTTTTTCTTAGAAAATCGATCCGATGACTGAGAACGTGGAGAAGAACTGGGGAATGTGCAGTGAGGCTAGGAATAATAACAATGGAGCAACAACTTTATCTTGGCAAATGTTTTGGTTTAGATTAACTGCATTATTGCTACTCAAATAAATAACAAAAGACTGAACACAAAAATTTCTTTTGTTGATCTCAATGAAAAGTTATCCCGGTTTCATCGCCTACTGGTTTCACTACCGTAATCCTTAACTCAATTGGCATATACAAGAGTAAGCACTTGTTATATTTACCCCTTTAACTCAATCAAGTAGCTATGCTAAAGTTTGACTTGTCTATCGTAACCTTTAAACCAATTTGAGAGGCTTAAGAACCTGTGCAATTGGTACCGTAGCCGTAAAAACCACTTTGAAATAAACTAGGAAAGGCAAAATTTGGTACCATACGGTTTACCTCTAAAATTTACATTGGCATCTCCAGCATCGGCAATTTTTGAGGTCGAAGATCAGGTTATCGGACATTTGATACGCGCCCCGCCCCTTTTGCCATTGAAAATCTAAGGTTGAGCTCAAAAAACTTGGTGTTGGGCTGTCTAATTTAAATATTCTTGGTACCATTGGATGCGCCAAGTCTTTCTCTGTCGATTGCTACAAAAACTATTTAAATTCGACAGCTCAACATGAAGAAATTTGAGCGCAAAGTTGGATTTTCAATGGCAAAGGGGGCGCGGTGCGTATCAAATGTCCGATAACCTGATCTTCGACCTCAAAAATTGCCCATGCTGGAGATGCCAATGTAAATTTTGGAGGTAAACCGTATAGTATGTCCCACAATCCGTGGATCATTGGGTTTGGAGCATTGACGTCGTTGAGCGAGAAGTCCCTTGTTGCGGAAAAACGAGATCATAACCTCTTTGAAATTTGGCAAAGAAAACATCCAGCCGTTGTAGAGAATAGTAGAAAATAAATGATTTTGAGCACTGTGTGATGTAAATTTTGTGGGTATAATCGGATTGAGTCACTTGGCTTTTCCGTCTATCGGGTTTAACCGTATAGTACCCAAGATTCTATATCGTATTAGCACAGTTAGAATATACTACGATAAACCTATGTTAGATGTACTCTAACCCGTAACACATTATGGTGTACTTGTCAACCGCAACTTTTAGCCCAATTGTAGAGACTGCAAAAGATCAACCCTTTGCTAAGAACTATGCTGCTGATAGCCGGTGTATTTCTAGAGTATCCACTCGAGAAAAGTTCCCAATTCATCAAATTTTTGACAACGTCATTAAAATCTTTTCGCTTCTCAAAAATCAACCTTTTTCAAGAATTTCAGTTTAGCCAATTTTGTAAAAGTAAAAGTAGTAAAAGTACCAATTTTGTGTGTGCCCAACTTCAAAAATCTTTGTTTGAATCAAAACCCAAAGCATCAAATTACTGAAAAATATTTTCTTTGACTATCAATATTTCAAGATTATGGTGTACTTGTTCAAAAAAGATTGCTCCTTTGAAACAAAGACTTCTGTTCAACGTTTAGAAGCAGAATTCGATGTGGAAAAAATGCGGAATGTATGTACTATTGAGCTGACTGGTGAACTTTAACTCAAATCTTGCTGACAATTCATTTCCAGAGGGTTTTCAAAATTGAATCATTTACAAAAAGAATTTTGTGTACTTACAGAAATGTTCAGTGTTTGTAGTCTAAAAGTTCCTGCTTTCAAGAAACACAAAAAGTATGCAGATGGAGATGCAGATTGCAAGATGTACACAATTTGCAATGGCGCTCTTGACCAATCTGTCTCAAATGCTTTATTCAAACCGGTAACCAGTCATTGAGCAAACGAAAATAATCTCCGAAAATCAGAAAAGATTCAATTTCTTTGTCATATTCGTTTTCAGTGGCATACTGAGGAAAAACGTTGCAAATGGGAGAATTATTGCAAAAACATCGTAAGAGATACTTGGATAGATTGAATAGGGAAAAGCGATGAGTGGATGGTCAAAAAGGGTGTAGTAGTAGATCTGAAATGAGAGGATTATTAGAAGTTAGCACTGTAAAGCCTGTAAAGCATATACTGTAAGTGAAAACTTCACCTTCACTAGAAAACTATAGTCAAATAGTACTTGTGTAACAGGGTCATTCAAAAGGCAATTTTTAGCCAGGCAAGGCAGGACATGCTATGCGCAGCGTCTGTGCGCAGTGTCTGTGCGCAGCGTCTGTGCGCAGCGTCTATGCATCTTATCCAATCTAATCCTCATAGAAAGGTAGATCGATCGGATAAAAGTAGAGGCAAGGTCACGGTAATTTCTGTAAGTTTGAAAACGAACTACTTGAGAGAAATACACTCTATTTAATATTATCATTTATTTGAAGAAAGTACTCCATAACTTTTTAAACAGTACACAGTAATGTGCAGTACAGAGTACCGCCAGGTTCAAAACGTTCCCCTGGAAGCCAGATCTGAACCTGTGGCCGGGCTTTAGACTGGCCTTAGAGCTCTGGCACTAGCTTTCCTGGCTTATACACAGTTAGCCAGGGATGCTTAACATAGGAGCGTACTGTACTAGCACCAAACCACCGTCTAGTTCTATGCCAACTGACCCTATTAAACTATTTTTTCAACTTTGACCAGCCAAGTTAACTCAAAATGAACCCAAAACTCGAAAATTTTCCAAATTCTTTTCAAGCTATCGAATACTTTTTGATTACCCTCAAACATCACAAATTGCACGCGAACAACACCCATTAATTCTTTCACTTTTTTCACACAATCTTTATATCCTCAAGGGATTTCTCCACGTGATATAATTTACATCGGGAATTCCCCGACAATTCTAAATTTGGACTTACAAAAATGTACATTTAATCAATTGAAACAGTCAGTTTATGTGTATTTTCTACAAAAACACCGACAAAACATGAGTTCACTTTCCACGAAATTCATTTCAATAGAGAAAACGATAAATGCGAAAACTTAAACCTTTCTGAGAAAAGATTTGCAATTTATGAACTTGACTTGTTATCGATAAGTTACTTGAGTACAAAACACATTGATTGAGCACTTTATTTTGAATCTTGTCAATGAATACAGTTTTGCGTAATCCATCGCCCCAGCTAACCCTACGGGCTACCGTAACCCGGTAAGATCCCTATTATCCGTAAAAGTAGTGTTAGATAAGTTGAAGTGTCAAGAAATTTGGCATAAAGCATGAACAGCTTTGACAGTACACTACAGTAGAGTTGTTAGCCTTAAGGTCAGGGACTCAAAATCAACTCGAAATTCGCAAATGTTTCAAATTCTTTTCAAGCTATTGAATACTTTTTGTTTATCCCCAAACATCTCAAATTGTACACGATCAACTATCATTAATTGTTTCTCTTCTCAACCCAACCGGGACCTAGATCATTTAAGCTAGGTCAGGCCAGGTCAGACGAGAAGCCAGAACCTAACTTTAGGTCTAATCCGGGTCTTGCTTGACCTAACATGGCCCGAAAAAATTGTCTTTGAAACGATTCTATCACTATTGTGCTATCCGGTACTCAATGGCTCTTTTGCAAGATAAAGCTCACAAAATGCGAGGCGAGCTGGCCCTCGAGCAAGAAGAAAACGAGCATCCGAATCAACATGAAACGTTTCACTCGAGCACTTGATCGTTGAGTATACAAAATGTAGTAGTTGAGAGAGTTGACGACAAATGTGGCTGCAGTTAACATTGTGAAATATGTCGAGAGAATCAGGGTCACCGTTCGATATGCCTAAATAGGCAAGTAAAGGAAATTATTGTACTCGAACTTTCAATCTATGCTTACAAGATAAGAAAATGCTAAAAAGGTTTTTCTATGGCTCAAACCTTGATAATAAGTGTGATATTGGTCGTATCGGGCGTGATCATCTCCAAATAGATAACAAATGGTAAAGGCAAGAGATAGTCAAGAAAATATAGAGTCAGCGCTTGCTAAAATTAAGCTTTAAAACTAGGCTCGAGTCAGACATTCATAGGACTATTCAACATTTCAAATCCCTAGAATAATCAAACTCAAATGCGGAGTTAGTTTAAGCTAAAAGTCTCACTTGAGCTACAATATTGCCGTTTTTGCTTGACATTTAAATACTTTTAATTCAAGCCCAAGTTTTCTCATTGCTTCTCAAAAAAAACTCACCGAGTTATGCCTGACAAACGATAGATTCAACCCCAATCGCAGGCTCGACGTTGTGAAAACGACTGCGTAGGCGACAAAAGCGAAATAGGCAGCGATGTACGAACACAAATTGCCGATGTTCTTATTGTCGAGGAAAAATTGTTGAATGTGCCGGAAAAACTCCCATTCGTATGTGTAAACTTGGAGTTTCATTGTGAGCAGATTGAAAATAAGAAGACAGGAACACTGAAAAGTTGGGTTTATCCAAAAGTATACTTTTGTAAATTTTTATAACTTTTCCCCGTTTGCTTACCGATATGAAAATCGCAATGCAACTCGGTCGATGCACATTTTTGAAATGTCTCTCCGAGAACATCAAATATCCGGTGAAAATCGTTTGAGCGATGACTGCGGCAAATGTGTAAAGAGCTTGCAGGAGAAAGGTTACATCGGCTGACAGCATTGCTAAATAATTTTGAATACAGACGTGGCGAGCAAGGCAAGTAAGTTGATAATCAACTGAATATGAGATTCTTCCAAAACAACAAGATCAATATGCCGTGGTTTTTTTTACACATTCACGACAATATGGCCCACCATATTGGTTCATTTTTTATTTTTATTTTTGGTGTCATCTCAAGTTTTTAAGATCTTTTTTTATTTATTTCGCAGAAAGTTTTTGGTAAATATGTGCTAGTTTTCTAAAGGAAATTTAGGGAATGGCTACTTTGCGCCAAATTTTTTTTTTGCATAACTCGCCATAACTTTCTTTTAATTGAGCGAATCTTTATGTTTTTGGTGTCATTTTGTAGATCTCAACAAGTGCAACAAAATGACACCAAAATCATAAAGATTCGCCCACTTAGAAGAAAGTTATGGCGAGTTGCGCAAAAAAATTTGGCTTAAAGTAGCCACTCTCGGAAATCTATGGATATCGAATGACTATAATAGTTTAGTTCATCTTTAAATGCTCACCAAATGATCAGTAAAACAGTAATGAGTACGCGACTGTACGCGTCTAAAAATATCGTCTTCGCGAATGTGTTAAAACTCTTACGCAATGCTATCATTTTCAATGTATTTACAGTAACCTCAGCTCTGCGCTCAAACCAATCGCCAATTTTCATTCAATCAGTCCAATTTTGGTTTCATTCGATGAGGAGTCACAAGGCTCAGTCAATGATACCAAAATTGGACTGATCGAATGTGGGCTACTTATTTGATAATCTATGCCTTTTAGAAAACATTATTAGGATTTAAATAGCAAGACAATACTGAAACGAAAACTACAAGAAGGTGAAGAAGTTTCTATCGGACTATCTCTACTGAAAAGTCTTTCAAGAATAAAAAGCCTTGCATTTTCTGATTCTGCGCAAGAAATTTGAAAATCTTGTAAACAAAATCAAAATGCTGATGTGAAAACTCATTTTCTCACAAAAACAAAAAAAAATAATTTTGCTTTGACGTTTAATAATTTTGCCCCAAAACTCTATAATTAAGCTATTTTTCAGGGATGAGTAAGAAGAAAATTCGTGGGTTCAAATCAGCGAAAAGGCAAAATTAATTGAAATTTCAAATTTTTGAATAAAAATGAAGCTGAAAATCGAAAAATCAAAATTCTGACTCAAAAATTCAAAAAATTTTTGCATGTCAACTTGGAACTTTTTCGATTCAAATAGAACAGTTAGCATCAAAAATTTGAATTCTTTGAGATCACAAAAAACATGTTTTTTCGTTGATTCAGTTTAGGCAAATTATTTTTGATCCTCTGGGGGAAAATTGAAATAGGAAGGAAAATATCGTAGATTTTCCTGTTGATTTTGTATTGCATTTATGTTTTTACTTTACTTGTCTTTTGTCTGTCTCATGGGTTTTCGGATCTGTGATGACCTTTTTGTGATACAGGAACTAAATTTTCGCAAATGTAAAAAAGTTTAATGGGTCTAGGAAGTTCCGGAAGTTTTTTTTCTAAACTACAGAAAGCTTTGAGTACGGTGATGTACAGTTGCTAAAAGGCAAAATTGTACAGAGTATATTATCTACAATGTTATAAAAACTAATCATAAGAGGCAAAATTGTAGTTTTTGAAAGATAACACGACGATGACAATTTCCTAGGCAAATAGCAAAATTTCTAGGTCACTCCTTAAGAAATTGGTCAATTTCTAGCATTTATCGGTTTTTTTCAAACAACCTAACACCATTTTAGAGCATTTTAAGCGTTTTATTCATCATCGGTTTAACCCCATCAATATGTTTTGTCTAGGTCGACTTGTTGAATGACCGCCTTGGGCGACTACGTGGATTGTGAGCAAATCGGCGAAGGAACTTATGGAGTCGTGTTTCGGGCAGTACATCGAAAGACCGGCACTCCTGTCGCACTCAAAAGGATCTCTTTGGATAGGTTTGAGCTTTTGTTTTTGTTGCAAAAGTAGTGGAGATTGAATCGCTATGTGATATCATTTGTGAACGTTTTAACGTAGATTGGTTTCAAATCAAAAGATGAAAAGGATTTGCTCTTTTACATAACTTTGGGTCAAAACTGGTGCTTTTTTTGCGTCGTAGGTCCTGACTATGAGTCATAAATTTGAACAGAATGAAGTGTTACGAAAAATTTAGAACACTTTACTTGCAAGTGTTTCTAGTACTAGGTTCCTTTATAAGAAGTTTGGTCACTAAAGTGTTAAATTGCAAGTATTGTTGCATTTTCTGAATGGAAAACCAATGTATAGTCTTTTATGATATAAAGTTAGGATAATTTTTGACGCCTAAACTATATTCTCTTTAGAGATTCTGAAGGTGTACCCAGCACGTGTATTCGAGAGATCTCACTTCTGAAGACCCTAGCGCATTGCAATATCGTAAAGCTTTACGATGTGATTCAATCAGGTTGATCTTTAATTGTTTTTCTTTTAATGTTTTTCTTTAGGCATGAAACTTTATCTGATCTTCGAATTCATCGATCGAGATTTAAAGAAGTTACTTGAAACGATTCCAAATCATCGGCTTCCTCTAGAATACGCAAAGGTTTGAGTTTTTTTGTGAATACAAATGTTATGCGAACGTAATGCACTGGGCTAAAGCTGTCTAATTTGTAAATGCTTGTTGAAATGATACTTTAATATGATTTCGGTCTTGAATTCTAAACTCTTACAACGATAATATAAGGTTTAATGTTTGTGAATTTATCTTTTTAGTCTTTCCTTTTTCAACTCCTACAAGCGCTTGCTTACTGTCACACTCGTCGGATCATTCATCGGGATTTAAAACCACAGAATATTCTCGTCAATGATAAAGGTAAACTTTTTACTTTTTTTACAAAAAATTTCAATGTTTAGGTATATTGAAGTTGGCGGATTTTGGATTGGCGAGAGCGATTTCAATCCCCAGCCGAATCTACACGCATGAAGTCGTCACGTTGTGGTATCGCGCTCCAGAGGTCGGTGATCTATGTCCGACATTGAATTGAATGTGATTTGGAATTGAATCGTTTTGCTTTTTTCGTAAACATGATCAAAGAAAGCGTTGTTTGATTCGAACTAAACTGAAGCACATGAGATTTATCTAACAGTAAGCTCGTGCCGAATAGAATATCTTTGTGCATTTCTATTCACGTCAATGCAACCAACCGAAATAAAAAGATTTTAAGACACTGGGATTTTAACTTTTTTACTATTTTTGTTTAGATTCTCCTTGGTGCTCAATATTATTCGACTGGTGTTGACATCTGGAGCTTAGCCTGCATTTTCGCAGAGGTGATGCTTTTTCAAGAATAGTTCGTCGATGTAAAATGGTTGCAAAATTGTTCAATTAAAGATTCATCAATTAAGAAGTGATTTAGATGATTCGCGGAAAAAATCTTTTCGCTGGTGACTCGGAGATCGATCAACTCTTCAGCATATTTCGTATGTTGGGCACACCGGACACCAAGGTACTTAAAAGCTTTTATGCAAGTCAGAACTTTTTTAGATTTGGCCGGATATCGAACGATTTCAGGACTTTCAACCAGTGTTCCCTAAATGGTACTACGAGGAAAAAGCCTTTAAGGTCAGAAGTAACATCTTATAAATAAAAATTTCCTTTTAGGCCGAGCTTCGACCTTTGAATGAAGATGGATTTGATCTATTGAAGGTCAGTCCTTAGCTTAATTATTTTATCTTTGATACTTTAGTTGATGTTTGTTTATTCGCCCGAGAATCGTTACACGGCCAAGGATTGTTTACAGCACAGGTTTGCTTTGAAAAGTATCGACACGATTTGAAAAGTTAACTTTCAGGTTTATCGGAAGCGTACGCTTAGATTTGCCGCCAGTTGTCACTCTGATGAACACAGCGACTTCACAAAGGTTTTTGTTTTAAAATTCTTTAAAACAAATCAAACTTTATCGTGAAATTTTCCAAAAATTAAAAAGTCACGATTGCTGAACATTTAACTATTTGGTTATATTGAAATAATAAACAACTCAGCTCTTTTAGGAAGCACAGCAAGGCGAATGCTGTTCCAGTTTTTGACAATGTGGTGATGTAATGCTGATCATTTATCTTCGATATGTTTTTAGATCTTCTTGTAAATTTTGTGCACATTTGTAGAGTAAGCTTGTGATATTGAGTGTTGATTAATAGACTGATGTTCTGATGTTTGAGGTCTTTTGACAGTAAAAGTATTACCACGTTTCAGATTTGCGAGAGTGACGATACTTGAACTTGATCGTACCCAGCTAATTTTTGATTATCTGGTGGCTGTGCAAAAGTTTCAAGGTTTTATTGAGCAAGTTTTTTCATGCTTGATAAACTATTCCCATCCGATTCGTTGAGGAGATGATACCGCTTGAGATTTGTAGCGAAGCCAATGGAGTTGCCACTTTAGCTGACTCGATCGAGAGTTTGGCTAAATTTCAAGAAGTCTAGTTTTATTTTCTGTCAAGTACCTGGTAAAATCAAATTAAGCTTTTGAAAGAGAAATCTTCGATATGGAAGATAAAGAATTGGGATACAGAGAGATGAGGAGACACCGTGAAGTGTGATGAGACATGGAAGGATCAAGTTGTACGCTGGGATAAGGATAAAAAATTGATAGAAAGTGCTTAGAAAATTTTGTTTACAAAATACGGCATGCTATTTAAAATCTTACACTCAAAACCTCGTAGATTCCCGAGCACACAAATGACGGCGATCAGCACCGGTGAAATGATAAAGCCCATCGAGAAACCTGACTGAAATAAAGCACAGATTACTACAGAGTGCGCCAGAATTACGGTTACATCTTTCCAGCAGATTGCATGCCAGCTTTCCGCAATCAATTCAAAAACCCTTAGTTAGAAAACAGCTAAAAATGGAAGCGTGCCGGAGACTGGACGGATTGGGCTCATTTGAGGGTCTGAAAAATGGACTGCAAAACTCCAATCAAGGATCTTTTGGTGCAGAAATGTAGGCAAGAATTCAGGCTTCAATTCTCTATATAATACTGAGGGTTTTTGAATTGATTGTGGCTTTTGACATACAATCTGCTGAAAAGGTGTGGCCGTAATCCTGGCGCACCCTGTACAGTGAAAGAGCTGAGCTTACGGTATCTTTAAATAACAATGCTCTTACCACTTTTTTTTACCTGGGATCTTACGGATATTAATCATTGCTTTCACCTGTATGCAAAGACACGTCAAGAGTTGACGTTGCATCTTTTGTGTACTCGAGCTCAATAGATGCGTGACTTTGTTCATGTAGTAATAAGTAGGAACAGTCGTTTCTACAAAGAACATGATTTGCATTTTCAAGTTAATTTACCTATTGTGTAAAATATCATGATTGCCACATAAACAGCACACATAGAGATAATGTAGATCCCGGCCTCCACTTGGAAACCATAATATTTGGGGTGTTGAAAGAAAAGGAGAAGCTCGGGGTAATCCTAAATTTTATTGTTTATAAGGAGCAAACCCCAAATTTGAATCTAAAGCTAGTTTTTTTTGCATGCATGCCTCTGACAATACTGCCGACATGACTTTAAAATGAATTTTTCCGAACCGACTCGGCTACTGTAGCCCAGTTAGTAAATATTACACTAACTACATAAAGAATACTGTAATTTGGAGAAAGGTAACGCAATTTTCCAATATCAAACCGTGGAGATCTAGATGACGGTAGATAACTGGGACGACGGTTGAAAAAAGGTCGCCAGTTCAACAAATCTAGTTCAATTTACATAAAAATCTACTTCCAAACTTTCTTCTGACAACTTTTCCAACAAATCTAGTAATTTCAGAAAGTTGTCCATGCAAATTTATTAAGTTCTGTATATCAAGTCTATATACCAAATTTAGAGAGATAAGGAATCAAATTTAGAGAGATAAGGAAACAAATTATTATGCTATTATTATTGAGCTGTTGTATCTTGCCCAAAATCCATTTTTCCAATAGAATTTTTGTTCCAAAAAACTATTGTTGCAAATTAAGCCCTACTTTATACTAGAAAAATTGCTTGCTAAAGTCTTTTTAATATAATTTTTTTGTATCAAAAATTGGAAAACGACGTCCGGCGCGCAAGGTTTTTTTCGAGGTTTGCGAGAAAAGCCATAACTTGAGGATTAAGAAGCCTAATAAAAAATGGTTATTATTTTTTAAATCTACAGAAAATTTACAACATTTTTGTTAGAAAACAATTCACAAAAACGCGTTTGCTTTGAGGTACAAAAAAACCACGCCTCCATACTTATGGGCCACCGTGTAGAAGTTTCTTTGGAAGTCGGCGCCATTTCACACTCCGCAACCCAATATTATCTACATATGACTCGACATATTTTCTTTCATACTTGCAATTTCGCGTATCGAATTGCCTCCGAGTCGTTGAAGTGGAGAATCGTAGCGGAAAAAGTGAACCCTTGTAAACCGGTCGTGTACAAAAAGATATACATCGGAGCATGTTTTCTAAAAAGTTTTGCACATTTGTTGGAAATCTCTTCATACGTCATTTTGAGTAGATGTGATTCGGGAAGAATCGCCTGTTGTCGCTGGAAAAAGAGCGCCCCATTAGCACCGGCGAGAGCGAACACCATTGTACAGCCGATTATCTAAAAAATGAAAGAGCTGATTTTAAAAAAAAAACATAAATAACATCAGATAACTTTAAAGCTTATCAAGGTCAGTTTTTTTGTCGAATCTGTTTAATATTGTAAAATCCCAGTGTCCTGTTTCTTTATAGTATCCCATTAGGTGTGGAAATATTCAGCTGACTCAGCTAGACTGAATACTTTTTCTAGTTTACTGTAATTATTGGATATTGGAACTACAGGATCTTTGGGTCTATAGTTAGTCAAAAATTGAATATCCAAAGATTTTGTTGACTTAATACCTTTTAAAGAATATTTTTAATTCAGCAAATAAACTTACAACCATTAAATCTGTGGGAACGTCGAAATTCGCCAACCACCCAAAAGGAACCCCGCCAACAACGGGGAAACAGAAAATCGGGAACAAAACCGAGCCGAATCCCCAATCGACAAGAGTCGACACGATCTGGAAACATCATGTATGCACTAAATTCCCGTTTTTGAATAATTGATTGTATCATTTGTTCACCAACAAGTTAGCTGTGTAATTCTTGAGCGTAATTCCAAAACTTGACCAGAATTTGCCATGTTTCAACTACCTGATAGAGCAACAAAAGCCGTCCATATTGAATCATTGCTTTTGGCGTCCCGAAAACAATCAGCAAGAGCACCATGAGGTTTATTGCCAGGGCAATACCTAAAGAAGCTTTTGATTTAAAATTATGTAATTAGCAGCCTAACAGCGGGTTTTTCTAGGTGCATGTTTTGGGGCTGACGTGGCCGTTGCCGAGACGCAGTCGGGAGTGCGCTTGCCTACGGCCCACACGAGCCGGATGCGACCCCTCGTAGTGCCATTCAATTTTGGCTTTTTTAATTTTTAATTTTAAATGGCATAACTACAACATATTCTACGTATTCTAAAGAAGCTTTAGCTTTATTGGTCAAAACACGGCCGAGAAAATGCCCCTACAGAGAGACAGACAAACAGACAGACAGACAGACAGACAGACAGACAAAACAAACAGACAGAGAGACAGACACTGCTCTTTATGTATAGTAGATAGATTAGGTGATCGTGAGGGAAAATTCTAGGTAATTTATTAGGTTGATGCATAAGTGTTTTTGTTCCTTTTCGTCTGCCGTTTCAAGCCAACAAATGCACCAATTAAACTACGGTTGATTTCATTAGAAAAACCAATTATTTTTCTGCAAAATAACATTAAAACGGGTTTAAAAATATTTAATGCCTGGATTTGCTTGAGAGTATGAAGTCGGGTAGTCAAAAAGGGCTAACTCGATGATGCGGTTTAGACACCTTAGCTAAAGAAAACCTATCTTCGTGTCAATAGATAAAAGATAGAGAAAAAAAACGTTTGATATTTCGCCAAAATTTCAGAGAAATTCATTCAGCCAATTTTTCCGTAGAGTTTTTTATAGATTTTTACGAAAAAGGCGTTTTTCACTCTCGAATTTGCTTGAAAGTGAACCGAAATTCATTTAAAAAGATGGAAATTGAACAAAAAACACTTTTTTTATAGAGCAAACTATAGATTAATTGGTGAATTTGTTACTTTTTAACAGAAGTACGAAAAAAACGAAAAGACTTATGCATCAACCTATTACAAGTGCTCAAAAAAAGGTGAATGCCGATTTCTTGAGAACAGGGATAAAATTGTCGCCAAGCGCAACGGTTTGGCTAGGCTTCACGTGGGACAATTCCAACTTTACTTGAGTTTTAAGTGTATAAAGTTTCTTAAAGTTGATCTATTCAATGCTAATGTTGTTTGTTACCATGTTTTGCAAGTAGCCATATTCAATAATTCAAAAATCAACCATAAACTTACACGAAAATATCCGGATCTGATTGACGGTTGGCCGAAGATCTTCTAACTCAATTAGCATAGCCATAAACTTACATGAAAATATCCAGATTGGGCACCAATTTTGAAAAAGTCCCAACAGCGACTTTTTCAAAATTGGTGACCGCTCGAAGAAATTTGAGGCGTTTTCGAGAAAACCGGCAATTTCCCCAAGTTTCTCGTGTGGGTTAATTACGACCTTGGATTCTTCAATTCTTTCCGATACTTTCACTAAACTTGATTTGATTCTTTTGAAAATTTTTGAAAACCGATTATTTGTTGGTTTTCGAAAAGTTTGAATGAATTGAACTGTACTGGAAAGTACCTTTGTGTAGGCAAAAAGTTGGATTTGGATGAAATTACGATTTTGAAATTTAAAAATTGGCTAAAGTTTATTAGAAAAAAGAATCAACAAACCCAGTGAGCCTTTTCAATCCGGTGTTCATTGGTGAGATCTTTTGTGAGCGGTTGGAGAATCGATCAAAGACTATTTGAAGTCAAAGCAAAGCTTGTTTCAATCGACATTTGTGAATGGTGTTTCTGTTTCGAACACAGCTCAACATAGTTTCTCACTTGACATATTCTCTCTAATAGTAGTGAGCAATACTATTTTTTACAATAGAAACCCTTAGAAATATGTTTGCAGAGCGCTGTCAATGAAAAGAAAATCACGAGCACATAGTTATCAGCCACCCTGTATATGGGGTTTTCTTCCCTAAATTTTGGGCTTAGGGTTTTTGCTTGTGTATTGTTTGTAGCACATTATTTGTGTGCATAAATGTATTTTTGAAAAACAGTGAAACGCGTCGAAAGCTCAGCGGGATAGTGAGAAAAGAGAATAATGAATGGATGGTGTTGTTTATCTCTTCGTGTGCCCTAAAGTTCGTTTCACGAAGCAGACAAAAACTTATTCGGGACAATGTTTAAGTCTAGTCATTCATTCTTTTTCTTGTTTTCTTCCCAAAACATTTTTTTCTCTTTTTGATATTTTTTAATTCTTTCAATTTTAATTTCAATCCATCCGGATATTCAATGTTCAATGTTTGCATGCAGTCATGGCTTTCGATCTTCATTGATGTGGCTTAGCACTTCATTTTCTTCTTCTTCTTCTTCTCATCCACATCCACCAGTCGATCCCTCATCACAAAGTTATTTGAACAGCTGACATTTTTCACGAAAAATTCACGCCTTTTCGGGAATTTGGAATAAATAGAATATAAATCTTTTAGATAATTGGAGTTTTTCAATTTCAACCCAAACTTTCAACAGAGTTCATTTCTCTCACAATCAGCAGTTAAATTTTCACTCTTTTTTGAAAACTATGGCAATCAAACTATCAGTTTATATTCGATCACCCCAATTTTTTTTGTCATTGATTGAGCCTTGTGATTCCTCATCGAATGATACAGAATTGGGCTGATGAGTTGCAAATTAATGGTTACGATTGTAGTGATTATTGTTGGTTTAGATATAATCTTTATTACAGAAATAATAGTTGGTTCAGTGGTTTGATATTGGGAGAGTAGAGGCACTCCACGGCACACGTCGGCAGCTCGTTCACATTGCTTTTATACGGAACTCAGGCGTTGGTCTCGTCTTGCACACAATGGAGTTGAACGAATAGCGAGGCATATTAAATCTCGCACAATAGGCGTTCGTCCCCATAGGTGTCTAGCTGGCCATTTCCATACGTGGCAATCTCGATCACGAGATCGTCACGACAACGATAGTTTTCTAAAATAGGTGTCTTTTGGAAAACACATCGACCAAAAGGAATTTACAGGATTTACATCCTCAAAACTAATTTACAGAATACCGTAACCAATTTAAACTTTGCAATGCCTTTAAATTTTTCGAAAAATTACCGTATCTTTTATGTGATTATTGAATATCCAATAAAATTATCTAGTTACCTTATAAAGATTTCAAATTTTAAATTTCTTATATTATTTTCGATTTCAGGAAGAATGCCCAGCGGGAAATTGGCCACAATCCAATCGTTGAGAGCTCTCGCGATCACTTTCGTTCTTTTCTATCATCTCAACGCGAAATGGGTCCCCCGAGGGTTTCTCGGAGTTGATATGTAAACTAGTTCAGAGATTAATCCTATAGAATCCTATTTCCCAGGTTTTTCGTGATCTCTGGCTATCTGATGGCGAAGATTTTCTATGACAAGGGCACCTCTTGCTCACAAGCCTACGAATTTTACAAGCGACGCTTTAGAAGGATCATGCCTTGTTATGGGTTAGTTTAATACTAAATTATATTTCATATTTAATCTTAAACTTTAGCTTAACAATAGCTATAGTTGTGTGGTTTGGTCGGATGAAATTGGTGGACGTCGACAGGGACAATTTGTTCACCGACGCACTCTTGTCGCTGGGAATTGTTTCAAATATGCAACCATTCTATACGAAATTTGATTATTGGCAAATGGTGAGTGGTGGAATTGGGCAGATTTTTCAACTTTTAAGATGTATAAATAACGATACAGAGTTTAGTATCTAGGGTACTGTAGCTTATGTACAAGGGCACGGTTTAGAAAATTAGTCATTGTATGAAAAATCAGAGATCACTGGGTACGGTTACGGTAACTGTCCATAGCCGAAAGTTAGTACGATAGCTGGGGCGCATAGGAACACAATTTAGAATAACAGCAAGTCAGAACTTGTGTACTACACCGGAAGGGGGGAAATGGGGTACGGTAGCTAAAGAATAAAGTCTATATAAAAGATCTATAGCCGATAGCCGATAGCCGGAGTACGGTAGCTGGATAATAAGGATATGTTTTAGAAAAATATCTAGTCAAAAAATGGACAAAATGGGACAAGTAGGGTACGGTTACGGAAGCATAAGAAAACGCTTTAGAAATCACTCTCATAAACAAGTTCAACTTAATGAAATGATTATCAAGAAATTATCAAGAAATATTTTCACTGATTTCAATCTTTTTCAGATCTCCGAGTACAAATTCCTGACTCACACGTGGTCACTCGCTTGTGAAATGCAATTTTACCTGCTCGTCCCGTTGATCTTTTTACTTCTTCAGAGATCAAACAATTTTGGAAAACTAGCTTTCTGTATTTTCTTTTGTCTAGTATCTGTGAATGGATTGATTGTAAGTTTTTTTTTAGAAAATTCAGTTAACGCAAGATTCAGGTACTTCCCCCGTCTCAATCCTTCGGTTTTGTCTTTTGTCGACTTTGGCAATTCATCGCTGGAATTGGAGTACATCTAATTTTCATTGCGTCCGATGAAAAAAATATGATTGGGGGTTATAAAAGAATGCAAATCGAAGAAGCGGATGGATTGCTGGGTGATCAGGAAAATGCCTTGAAATCAGGCGATGACGTCGAAATAAAAGGTTGGATTTGATTGTAAATTGATAAAGTGTACAAAAACAGTCAAATTATATGTCGTAGCCGATTATGAATGAGTGGGTCTAGGAGCGTCCAACCATCAAGTATTTAGTATCATTCAACGCAGAATCATTAATAATTATGTTAAATTTTTAAAATTAGAAAGATTGGATAAAAAGGAAAAAATTATGGGGCTTCAAAGTTTTCTCTTGAACAAACAGTTTTTTTGCTCTATTTTTTTTCTTTTTATCCAATCTTTCTAATTTTAAAAATTTAACATAATTATTAATGATTATGCGTTGAATGATACTAAATACTTGATGATTGGACGCTCCTAGACCCACTCATTCATAATCGGCTACGGGGGTCCCGCCGATTTTGAATGAAACGTTGTAGCGCCGGCAATTTTTAACCTAAACTCACAAATTTGGTACCAATCGACGCAGAATTGAATTCGCTACAAGATGATATAATATTGTCCTCATACATTAAAGGGTTGCTCTACTAGAAAGATTTGCCAAAAAATTTCATTCATAATTGGCTACGACATATACATTTCAAATGTTTCAAAATTAATTCTTTAATCAATTTTATCACGGCTAAAAAACTGCAAAGTAGATTTCTTCAGTGTTGGGAAAAAGGTGGCCAAAAATTTTGTTCTTTATGCAAATTTTTTTGTCTTTTGAAATCGGTGAATCTGCATTTACACTTGGGAAAAATGGCGTAATCAACAATTATTTATAATTGGCGTAATTAACAATTATCAACAACAATCTAACAATAATTATTGTTAGAAAGTTTTTAAAAAAAGTTTAAAATCTGATAATACACGCAAAACTTTCTTTTAGATAATCAACCTTGTCACTCAAAATTTCCTCATATCGCTGTCGGATTGTTCTTGTTAAATATTGGCCTCGGATTCTTTGAATCCCTTCCAATTTATCTATCTCGTTTACTCTCGGTGCTCGCTACAGCCGGGATCATTTATTTGACTCAAATCGGTAATGCTAAATCAGGATTATGTCTCAATACGATAATAAGTAAACTGCAGTTCTTAATTCAAGCTTTTTTCTAAAAGTGCGAACAACTGACCGGTTGTTATTTTTGGTGGAAAGGTTTAAAATTTCAGAAGAATCCCCTCTGCTCACCGTTCAACCAATGCCCTACATCGGCGATGTCTCCTATATTTTGTATTTGGTTCACTGGCCGGTGATCACTTTCTATAAAGTGCTCAACAATGCTGAACTGACAATATATGGTACATTGGAAAAGTTACCTACCGTAAATGCTCTAATAGAACGTCATAATAAGTAGTCTAACTTTGAACGTCCCGTTCTCCGCGCTGCTTTATGCTACAGTGTGGGCTTGGATGTCAAATGATAGCCCTTGAAATCTAGTACAGTGCGTTTCAAATTCTTAAACGCACCCTCTAAAATAGCGGATTTTGCATTTTCCCCCTACAACTATTAATCTTTTCTATTAGAAAGAGCTGTCTTAAAACCTAAATAACACGAAAGAAGCATACTGTAAAAAGTAAAAATTTTCAAAATAGAACCTTTTTGCTAAATCAACCGTTTCAAATTCTTAAACGCACCCGCCTTTGCTGTTGTTATTTGAAATTTTTCGTTTTGTTGTGCGTATTTTTTTATTAAATTTATAATTTTTGTTAATTTTCAGGTAAATGGCACACGGAAAGCTGCTCACGGATTATGAGAAAGGCCAGATTGATGCCCGTTTGAGCATTGGCGACTCAATAAGGAAAATCGCAAAAAATTTGGGCCGATCCGACTCTGCCATGCGAAATTATATAAAGTCCGAGTTCGTTTCTACACCAAAGGGCCAGGACCAAAACCAAAGGTTACACCGCGAGCTAGACGCCATATTATGAACAACATCCAAGGAAAAACGATCAATGAAGTGAAACGGAACGGAAAATCGACTCTTCGAAGTCGAAAATTTGGCGGCCATCGGAAAACGCACATATCGATCAACAATTATTGAACATCCAACCGACCGTGAGCTTTTCACAAGAAAGCCCGATTGGCCTTCGCCAACTCATATGAATCAAAATTGGTCTATGGTTGGAAATCCGCTTATGTTTTATTATTTTTTTGCGTTTAGGTGATCTTTTCCGATAAGAAGAAATGGAATTTGGATGGCCCCGATGGCGTTGCTACTATTGGAGGGATCTTCGACGTGTCCGATGGTGTTTGGAACTCGAAACTTTGGCGGTGGTTCTGTGATGGTTTGGGCCGCCTTTTGCTGATGGAACGGTCGCTCTGAAGATGGTTTCGAATCGGATGACTAGATAGATATCTTGAACAATTGCTTGTTGCCATTTTGCTCCTAATCCAACCGTTCCCATTTGTTTCAACACGACAACGCGTCAATTCATCGAGCCGGAACACCCTGAACTGGCTGAACAGCAACAACATTGCAACTTTGGCTGACCCGCTCAGTCTCTTGACCTCAATCCGATAGAAAATTTATGGGGAATACTTGTCCGAGCTGTCTACAAGAATCAGCGTCACTTTCAAGACGTTTCTGCACTTAAGCAGCAATTTTTCGGCCTGGGCGATCTCGACGTCTCTGCCTTCAAAACCTCATCAATTCAATGTCAGACCGCATTTTTCAGTAATTAATCGTTCTGGTGCGTGTACAGATCATTAGTTTTGATTTTTACCTTTGATTTTTAATTTTTGTCGATAAATAAAATATTTTCATAGTGCGTTTGAATTTGAAACGGTTGATTTGCAAAAGTTTCTATTTTGAAAATTTTTCTTTTACAGTATGCCTATTTTCGTGTTATTTAGGTTTTAGACATGCTCTTCTAATAGGATTAATAATTGTAGCGGTGGTCAAAATGCAAAATCCGCTATTTTAGAGGGTGCGTTTAAGAATTTGAAACGCACTGTATTTTTGGTACCAAAAGTATAGTTGAGAAAAACCTAGGGACTGAGATTTTCTAAAAAGAAGTTAGACGGAGGACTGTACAAGGAGGTGGGATTATATTGGAGTATTTACGGCATTCATTTTAGTCAAGTCCTAATTTTCAGATGTCGGTGTGATGTTTGTATTGTCGGTGCTTATCTCGCTAGCCGCTCATCACTTCATCGAAAATCATTTTCTCGGACAAGGGGTAAGATTTTTCAATGAGTTAAATTGTGTGTTTTTGGGTTCTCACTCGAAAAGCTTTCATTTCATTCAACTTTTCTCCGTTTGAATCCATTTGGTACACTTTTTAGAAAAGGAATGGTTTTATTGGTAGCAAGATGTTTACCAAAATTGCTAACAATAATGATCAGAATTAGATTTTTGTCTAGAAATTCTACTTTTATACCCACAGAATACACCCAAAGTATGACGTGGCCAAGCTATTCAGTCTAGCTAGATCACAAAATCGAAAACATAAAGTCTACAAAATCCGGTTACAGCCAGAATACGATAAGAGCCGGTTTATGAGATCACCATAAACTTCGTACTTCATCTTTAAATGCAATTTGCCGGGAAAAGAGTCAGTCCCGTATTAGCTGGTCTCGTAAAATGAGCTACTCGTTAAATGCAACTCGATCTGGAAAATTGGCTCTAGGAACAACCTTGGACTGAGCATCGTTTACTTGAATTGATTATCAAATCAGTTAAATCTTAGTGCCATTGATACCAGTATCACAGAACTTCTAGGCTTTACCTTCAAAACCCAATTTCAGGCCTATTTATGCCTTCCGTTCACCGTTTTCTGCTATCTGATGGCCATCTCCGGTGTATTCTTACCAATCCAAAAGCCTCTCGAAATCGATTCTGTACCTATGATGCTCATAAATCAAACTAAAGGTTAAAACTTATAATAAAAATTTGTAGCTTTTTAAATTCTAAGATTGCACAGCTCTCCTGAAACTCCCGGAAATGCCCGATTTCAAGAACTGGAGCGCCGAAGGAGCCTATTATGAACACTATGGGGAATTGGTGAGTGAAAAAAATCAATTCAGATATTTTTACATATCAAATGTCATTTCGAAGCTATGAACTTGATATTAAGTAAACAAATTTAGCACGGAAATGGCTCATTCGATGTGATGGTTGTCGGCAATTCTTATGTACAACACTATAGAAATTGGCCGGACAAGATCTTCCAGAAAAGATACAGAAAATACTATCATCACGATATTAGCAGTAAGTGGACTTTGTTTCTGCTCAATTTGGATGTTTTCGAAAAAGTGCTTTTATGAAAAGCTACCGTAGTCCGTTGTCAAGTGAAATACCGTAATCCGAACTAGCTTGATGAAATTGTGCAAAGCTGGATTACGGTAATAGCCTCGGATTACGGTAGAGGTTAAATACGGACTAACGGTAGCCTAGTAACCTTACTACTTAATTACTTCCTTACTTCCTTACCTTCTTCTCTTTCTTCCATCTCTTTCTTCCTTTCTCTTTCCCCTTGTATTTAAACCGTAACCCATGTTAAGCCCCGCCCGCCTTTTTAAAAATGAACCTAAAAGTCAGATTCCCCATAGTGGGAAAACCCCTGGGAACAAAATATCGCGCGCAAAAGTTGAATACTTTGCCTTTTAACCGATAGAGCGAACGTAATTACGGAGCGTCGCGTTTGCGCACAGACAGACGGACAGACGGACAGACGGACAGACGGACAGACAGGCAGTCGGACAGACAGACAGACAGACAGACAGACGTCTCTTCTGCTATATATATAGTAGATTAGTCGCAGCAATCGTATTAGTAGTAGCTGAGTGCACTTTTTAGAGAACTCTTTAATCATGAACTAGGCTAATCCATTTTCCGAATCCATTATACCTCATTTTCAGCGTGCGTCCCTTTCCTCGATTATCGTGGTCTTCATGTATTGGGTGGTGTCTGTGAGAAATACTTTCAGAGAGTCATCAAAAACATCGAGGAAGTGAAACCGAAAATCGTGTTCTTTATTCTCGGGTAATTTTAATGATTTTAAAATAATTGTATGTTCTTTTGAGTGCACTTTGTGTTTGAACTTACCAAACTTTCTGTCACATCAAATCTCTCATTTTTTGGCGGCAACAAGCCGTGATCATTGTAAAATTAAAGGATCGAAAGACAGAAAGCGTGTGTTTCCATGTGGAGTACAATACACTTGAAGATCTAAAACATTTAGACTCCATTTAGGTACGGTAAGGCGAATGATTTGATTATGGTGAACTTCAAGAAAATGTACCCACCGGCGATCGAGCGAATAAAGAGAATAGCGTTCGTTTTTTTGGAAAAGAAACCCATTTAGCACTAGAGATTGGATTAATAATGTATAAACACCAAATTTTAGAGCCTCAACTGAACACTTATTGATCACTTATCCAATGTTTTATCTCGATGATGATCGGGCTCACAAAAACGAACGAATATTCCGAAAAGGAGATCCGTTGCCGCCGAGGAATCGCTCGCAATTCACGTATTCGGTAAGTGACACTAGAATTTTGTATTGTAACAGGTCAATTTATTCATTTTTAGCTTACAATTCAACCAATTTCAGGACTACTTGAAGCAGTGCGGCCACACATTGACCTTGCTCTTTCGAGCCACTGAAAACTGTCCGATGTGTCGACTCGTTGACACACAATCGTTGTTTTGTGAAGACGGGTAATTCATTCTATTGCTAATTTCAATATTTTGATAAAAAGAAGCTAGAGTAATCTACTCTTTAAATGTAAAAACATAAAATCGGATCGTACGTATCCTAACTACTAAACTGCGATTAATATTCTTTAAAAAAAAAGTGACAACTTTCAAAACCTATCGTAATAAGATCAGTTTTTATCAATTTATCAACTTTTTTATATTTTTCGACATCCTTTGCAAACTCTCGTATAAAATTGAATCAAAAAAATGGCTAAAAAGTCAACACAATGTACGCATGACTCATCTAAAAGCTTTGAACGGATAGCTGCAATTAAATACTTTACAAATACTTTACAAAAACTTTACTAGGATTCATTGTGATGTGTTCGATTACGATTGTGGGAAGAATCTCTACGATTGGGGCGGGCGACATCCAAGCGTTTTTGCCCGCAATCGACAACAGGTAGAGCAAATCATTTTCACAAAAAGATCAAGATTTGTGAAAAATTTTCAAGGTCAACTTCAAACTAAACCTATGATCTTACCCTTCTCTTTAGGCGGTCTACCAAATGGTAATCGATCAAGTGTACAGTCAAATCGCAGACGATGAGCTGACAAAGAAATAAATTTAGGTAAACAAATTGTTTATTGTTACTTTTTGATATTTAAATGCTGTCGGGTGAAATGAAATGTTTCCATTTTTTTAGAGAATCTTGTTTTAAAGCCATTTTTAAATAAAAGATTCATTAAAAAATATAAAATAGTCGAAAAATCGACAAGTCTAGGGCGGGGGTAGAGTTTGGCAACTCTTCCATATCTCGACTTCTAATTGTCAGGTCGACTTCAGGTTGGTTTTAAAATGTTCCTCATGAAATTTGGTTATAGAAAACCACAATTTACTTAGTACACTCTAGTATAAAAACATAGAGAAAATCTGTGTCAAAGTTGAAATACCTACCTGGAAGAGTCTATCCACTTAAATGATCTATAATTCGAGATATGTAAGCCGAATCAACTCATTTAAAACCCGAATTTAGATTTTTAAATTCATGGGATATACTAAACGTGCTATATGCTAGACGTATTATGTTTTGATGATATGTAAAAAATTTGAATGTAGAACGAAAGTTGGTGAAAAAAAACTAGAGAACAAGCTAACAAAGTGGCGAAAAGATCCGTAAACAACGCTGATCAAGTTGGAGGTGAAAAAGAACTCTCATAGATCACAGAAATTCGGAGAGGGAAAAGAGGGAAAGGGCTGCTCTTTGCATGTTCTCTGTGCGTTCTCTCGTGCTTTGTGCCCGAGAGAGTCCCTTTCTGTTGAGAGACCGCCGCGTTTCATCTAAACGCGCGCTTTTTAGCATATGCTGAGCATAGAAAGGGATCCTTTTCCCTCATGCTTTGGTTTTAACCCAGTTTACCAAGGTACGCTTGGGATTCGACCTGTGAGGACACTCGCAGTGCCGAGAACTTAAATTTTTGGAATCGTCAACTCGGGGTGATCCGGGATGACAAAAATGAAATGGAAAAATTGGGGAAGGCTTCTTTTTAAAGGTTTTGAATGGATTTCAAATTTACTCATAAATCAAGCGCTTTTTTATTGCAGAAATGACCAAATGACCACTAACTGTTCTTTTGAAGAACGTAAAGAAATGCAGAGTTCCTTTTTGGAGAATTATTTCACGAGAACGTGTGTTTATATGCTAGTTTTGAATTTTGATTCTATGCAAAGCTTGTTTGGTTCAACTCTTTCATCGAAAAACCTTTATTCAAGTAAGAGAATGTTATCTGAAAAGTTATTCATTCATCAAAAAAACAAAGGCACTTGTTGAGCTTTTCGCAGCATTTTATCAGACCTTAACAATGCCTTAGACCTTAGACCCTAGAATATCCATGTACATATCTGTGTACAAACAGACAGTTTGGGTCAAAAATTTCATGAAAATTGACTCTACCAAATAAAAAACATTTTCTACAGTGTTCAGTATTTACGGCGACTTCTTTTTTGTAGATTAGCTCCCAAGCCCCAAGTTTAATCCTAATGTATTAAGTGTTATATAAAATATTGAAGCTCTTAATCTTGGCTACATTTACCTATTAAAAGTTTCACGATTGGAGATATACAACTCATTTTACAAGCCCTTGAGTACTAGTTGATTCCTCTCCGGCACGCTGCCATTTTTGGCGATTTTCTTCATAAAAAATTCTTCAATCAGCAAGAGTTTCTTTTGACCAAATTTGTGGCATTTTATCTAAAAATTGTTCTCGACAAATTTCTAGCACCAGATCAGTTAATTTTTATATAATAAGGAGCACATATGAACTGAACATCGAAAAATACTCATTTTCACTTTTTTCCTTGCTCCACCAAAAGAACTTGACTTCAATTCAAATTTTAATAAGACGGTTTGATCAAAAACAGTTCTTAATGTTATTAAATAGTGTTAAATAATATTTTAATATAAAATAAATATCGAAAAACTTTTTCTAGCAATTTATTATAATGAAAATCGCCAAAAATGGCAGCGTGCCGGAGAGGAATCAACTAGTACTCAAGGGCTTGTAAAATGAGTTGTATATATCCAATCGTGAAACTTTTAATAGGTAAATGTGGCCAAGATTAAGAGCTTCAATATTTCATATAACACTTAATATATTAGGGTTAAACCTGGCGCTTGGGAGCTAATCTACAAAAAAGAAGTCGCCGTAAACGCTGAACATCCTGAACTTCTACGCTCTTACTACCTGTATTAGCTTTTGTTATCCTTATTGTAACCACTTTGTGTTTTGATGTTTGCATTAAAACTCTACTTGTGCTAAAATCCAAAAAATTCTTGATATACAAATTTTCCAAAACATGCATATCACTGTTTAAGAGCAAAAGTCGAAAATCGATTCACTGACGGGATTTTCGATCAACAAAACTTTTTTGTTTGACAATTTCGACAAGAGTTGATGATTGAGAGTAACGATCGACTGGGGAAAGAGAGAAATGGAAAAAAGAGAACTGAATAATCGGGTGAAAGCGAAATGAAACACCGGTAAATCATTTGGGGAAGGGGAAAAGAGACAAAATTCTCAATTTCCTGCGATCACCGGTTCACTATTATTTCCTTTCCTCGTTTCATTTCCTCGAAAAAGTCAACCTTTTTTTCTGCTTCCTGATTCAATTTTTGTACTTTTTGGCCTAATGAGCCTATGGAAAATTTTTCTTTGACTGAATTGGTTTCAATTTATCTTTAGTTTAAAAGCTATGCAGTTAACAAAGCTATTTAGTTTAAATAAATGATATTTAGTTAACAAAATTGTAAAAGAAACTTTTGAATGAATCAATTTGATTTCTGATTCTCGATTTGGTTAGTAAACAAAGTTTGGAAGCTTTCAATGTAAACTTTTGACCTGTTCCTTTGAATCTCAACTTTCATTGATAAGAATGTTTTTCGGGAAACAAGCAAACAAGCTGACTACATTGAAAACTGCAAAAATTTAGCTATTCCTATGACAAAAATCGAAGACTTAACGCTAAATCAAACAAAAAAAGAAAAAGATGCCTCGAGATCGAGTCCACAATTGCTTTTCGGGGTCAACGATGTTCCACCATCCACCTACACGGCCTTTTTGGCGTTTCAGGTGGGGAAAGTTCGCTCAAAATCAAAAAAAGAACGCTCAAAATCCACATAGCTCAAAATTTCAAGGCCATCTCAGGGCTAGGCTTTTTTGGGTAGCATATTTTTAAACAATGTAGAGAATCTCACAGAAATTTGTGGCTTTTTGCTGGCTTTGCAGGCAAAAACCCAGACCTAGCCAGGCAATAGACGCGAAAAAGTGATTCAAAAAAGATTTTAGGTAAAACAAAAAAAACTTTAAAGTCTCTTTTCCAGCAATCGATGATCTCACTTTCCGGCTATTTAATGTTTCCCTTTTTGATTAGTGATCTCGTGTGTGCGGGTGCGGATACAGCTAAATTACGGTAACAAGATTAAATCTGTTCTTAGATATCATATTATCAATTCATTATTATCTACAAAATATTGACTCAAACAAAATCTTATCCATTCAGGGTCTATTTGATTGCGGCCACTTTCATCTCTGGTGGAATTGCCACGATTTTGCAGAGCACTTTTGGATTGAGGTGAGCTGAATTCACTCCCCAGGCTTTAAAATATAAATAGAATAGTTATTGGCCAAAGTTAGTGCAAAATAGAAGATAGATTATGGTAGAAAAATAGATATAAATGCTAAAGTATATTCAATTTTTAGATTAGCCATCATTCACGGCGCTTCGTTCGCCTTTTTGCCGCCACTTTTGGCGTGGAGGTGAGCTTGGTGATATGCAAATCTTCATAAAAATAATTATCTACATACTTTAATAATATATCTAATAGATATATTGTCTATTTTGTTAAGTAAACTTTCAGCAATCTCGCTGAAAACAAGTGCAACTTGGGCCCAAATGACGTGGTCCCAGAAGAGGAATGGAAGGCTCGATTGTTGACGGTAGGAATTCGAACTCTAATATGTTTTAAGGATATTACTTTGTTTTTTTAAAATATTTTTCTAGATAACGGGTAGCTTGCTGATATCGAGCTTCGTTTTCATTCTTATTGGAGCGATCGGCGCTGTGGGATTTTTCTCGAGACATGTTGGACCGATCACTATCGGTAAAATGCAATCGTGCTTGTCTAACACTTTAAATCATTACATTAAGGTATTTCAAAACAGAGATTGATCGTATATTAGTCAGATTGGAGCTTAAAACTGGTAGCTTGAACTTGAATAAAAACCTGGTCATGGTAAACAAGCTTTATAGCTCTAGACTTGTTGGGTTTCTGAAGTTCTAAGAGTAGAACTGGCAGGTAATAAAGTTAATACAAGCTAAAAATAGTACTACACAATATTTATACATATAATAATGAAAAGAAAAGGCAAATATTTCGTTTCTTGTTCAATTTCTCAACCTGATCATCAATTAGCATTTACCCAAATCCAGGGTGACCCGAAATAGTCCTAATAGTCCGTTCTAGGCTCATATTTCTGTTATTTGTAGAGCAAAACAATTAGTTTCTTTTTTAAATGAAAATTCACATCATTTTCTGTATATGTTCAAGTTTTCATGATTATAGAATCGATGGATAATTTTTTATGGCCACTCAAAAATAGCTGGCCAAAAAAATAACGAACCGAAATTCAAGTTTGGGATTTTTGAACAAAAAAACCCACAAAATAATTTTTTCTTTACAATTTTTTTTCTAAAAGCGAAGTTTTTGTTATGTTTAAGTAGATTCAGTTCAAAAAAAATATTAAATGCGTTAATATTTTCTATAAAATCATCGATAAAGACCCTAAATTTGAGTTACAGCTCGTTATTTTTTGATGAGCCATTTTTGAACGTACATAAAAAATTATCTATCGATGCTATGACCATAAAATCTTGAACATATACAGAAAACGATGTGAATTTTCATTAAAAAAAAGAAATTAATCGTTTTCGTCTACAAATAACAAAAATATGAGCCTAGAAAAAAAAGGAGGGGTTATTTCTGGTCATCCTGTAGTACCCAGCTTACTGGAAAATCAAGTTTGATTTATAATCTTTAACTTTTTAAAACCCTTACAAGTACGTAGTTATGTTAGCAGTTTTAAATGCAAATTTGTCATCTTAATCTAAGATTCGATTTCACTTTAGTCCCGTTGATGTCCCTCTTGGCTCTATCCACTGTGCCCAGTCTTGAACGACAACTCGGAATGCATTGGATATCCATTGTGTTAGTAAACGATTATTTCATTTCAAAATCATCTTTTCAGCGAGCTATTATTACTTTTACTATTTGCCATTCGTTTGGAGCATTTCCAAGTCCCAATCCCATACTATTCCCTGAAGAACAAACGATTTCAAACAGCCAGAGCTCCACTGTTTGGACAATTTCCGGTAATCAATAGAAAATATAGCTTAATTATTTGTCTTAGTATCTATTAGCTATTGGAATCTCTTGGTTTATTTGTTGGTTGATGACTATTTTCAATCTAATCGACGATCAATCACCTGTTTCAACGAGAAGAAATATCACACAAGGATTGGTGGCTGAGGCTCCGTGGATAAAAGTACCGTATCCCGGTGAGACTATTGATGATCGTCAAAAGAGCTTATTCATAAAAGAAGCTATTCATTTCCTACCCTTTCTACCTTCTAAAATGCTTTGTTGAATGCTCAAATCTTGAACTTTAGGAGAATTCGGTGCTCCAAAGATCTCCACGGCTTTATGTATTGGTTTTTGTGCGTCAGCTTTATCAGCAATGATTGAAAGTGTTGGATCGTATAAAATGAGTGCCCGGGTATCACAACAAGGAAGTCCTCCAAGGAATAATGTGAATCGAGCGGTCATTGTTGAAGGTGAGTCAAAAAGAATGAAACTTAGTCCACTTGCAAGAGTGGTCTTGATTTGTTTTAGCTCAAAGAACGGTTTAACTGAGAACTAATTCACAACTAATTTACACTTTGGAATTACCAAGCGATAACCAAATACAGTTCTCGACTTGTTTAGGAAAATTTACTGCTTATTTAAATGTATTGTTTAGAAAGTTTAAAAAACCTAGGGATAATCAAGATCCCTAGAGTTGTCAAGAATCAAACCTGGTCCGGTTCGGTTAGAGATGAGATTTTACTTGAACAACTCTGGTCTAACCGATCTAGTCAGGGTTTTCGGTTTCTTTTACTTGATTTCTGATTCATCTAACTTTCTCCTTTAGGATTGGGAAGTTTCGTAGCGGCAAGTTTGAACGTTGGAACTGGAATCACGACGTATGCAGAAAGTATTGCTCTCTGTCAGTTGACCAAGGTATTAGATAGCAGTGTTGATTGTTAACAAAGATGATTTCTTAGATGATTTCTTAGACAATAGGATGTATAAGTTGTAATAATTGATGTGAAATCTCTTTCAAATTATCAAACTTTCGTATATTTCTAGGTAGCAGCTCGAATCACTGTCCAGTTCGCCGGCGTAGTCTCGATTTGCTTAGGATTGTTCACCAAAGTGAGTGCTAATCTTTAAAATTAACTCACAAAATTGTTCAACTATCAATTTTAAATATTGATATTCCATTTCCAGTTTGCAGCCGTTTTGGCCTGTATCCCAGATCCATTAATCGGCGGTATGCTTTGCTTGGGAATGAGCATGATTGCTGGGGTAGCTCTGTCAAATTTGAGGGTGAGTTTAAAACGTTCGAATCTTAAATAGCTATGGATCTCTTAAACCCAAAATAATTTAGATATTTTCTTCAATATTTCAGGTAGTCAATCTACTTCTCACTCGAAATCTAGCCATTATGGGATTCTCCTTGTTGATCGGCTTGACAGTGCCCCTCCATTTTGAGACACATCCAATCGATTCGGGTAATTTTTGGCAGAAAAGCATTTTATTATGCAAATCTCAGGTCATTCAACCCTTGATCAAGTGCTAAACATGTTATTGAGCATAAAAATGTTGGTGGGAGGATTGATCGCGTTCACGTTGGACAATGTGATGCCGGGTAGGGTTTTTTGAAGAAAATCTTTTGTCAAGGACTTGACGCGTTTGCTTGCTATTAGGTTGTCAACTAAATAACCGGACTTTTTTTGGTTGGTTTGGATTGGTTGGTTTGCAAAAGACTTGCAAAAGACACTAAAGATTGGTTTGCAAATGTTGAATGGACTAAATAAAGTACGGTTTGAACCATTGGAAAGATCTAGATTTTCTCTGCAAAATGGTTGTTGTCAATTCAGAAAAGCTTTTGTTCTTGGGGTTTTTTCGGGAGCGCAAAGGCGAGTAAGCAAAATTGGAAAGAAATGGAAAGAATCAACTTTTTTGATCAAAATCAAATTGGTAACTTTTTTTTGATGAGAACTGACACTAAATTTCAATGCCAAAGAAAGATCAATCTCTGTTACATTTCCAGTAAAATCCATCCAGCCGTTTTCTACAAATTTCAAGTTATTCAGAGCGCCTCATGTAATCAAAATACTTTATTTGAGGACTTTTGTTTGAAAACAAAACTCTGAAAAACGGCTAGACGGATTTTTTTGGAAATTTTACTGAAAATATAGAAAATCTATGTCTTTATTTTACGTAAAAAGTAAAAGAAAAGAAAAAATCTTTCGAATGATAAAAAATAGATCTCATTTGGTTCAGCTATCATTTTTAAAACTCACTTTTTCCAAAAATTCCGGTTATTTGGTTTACAATCTAATAGAATAATGTATAACTGAAGTCTGGATTTTGCGAAGTTGTTCGAAAAAAGAAGCACTCAAACCCATGGGCCCTCAGCTAATTAACACCTTCAAATTCTGATTCCTTTAAGAAGGTTAAACTCTAAATGTGTTCGTGTTTGTGGTTTAGAAACTTAAGAAACACAATGGTGTGGTTTAAAATCGAGATTTAGCAGATCTGGAATACATTTCAGGAGCCTCTCGAACCGATCGAGGTCTTGCCGATGAAGGAGAGGATGATGGGCCATTGGATGGATTCAATTTACCAGATTTCCTGGACAGGTTGGTATAAAGTCAGCTGAACATGATATTTCTTCCAAAACAGCCAATCGGCTTTGCCATTGAAAATCCCACTTCAGAGCTTTCCAAGCGCTTCCCTTCTTGCGTCGTCTGCCGTTCATTCCATCGAAAAGTCACCGATTGCTTAACTCTAATGGAGGAAAAGATACAAATGTATAATACGGAAATGAATAAATTAATTAATTGAATAAATAATTTAAATCAAAAATGGAAATGCAACTCAAAAAGATTTTTCATTAGAGCAAAATTTTTCAAAGTCAAAACTGATCTAACACAAATTCCGACTTTTTTTTCGGAAAAGTTTTTTTGTTCAATAAAGCAGAGGCTGTTTTCAGAGAGAAAAATGATCGGACTACGACCAGGAAGTTAGAAAATGATATAAAATTATATAAAACAGCAATGATCATTGCCATTTCTAAACATTTTCCCCAATTTCACTATGGTTAGAAGAAGTGAGGATGTATCCTAAACATATTGAGCTTTCCCAAAAAGAAATGTAGCAAGATCCAAGACGGCCAACTTCTTTTTTCTTTTTGGGATCAACCATGTCGCTTGTTTACACAATTTTTCTAGCATTTCAGATGTGGGTTCTACGTATTTCTCGTGATTTTTTTTCTTTTTTTAATAACTACAGAATGATTGAAAAGTTCTCGTACAACTTTTTACTAAATTTTGATTTTAAAATGACTGAGGAAAGCTATTCAACTCGGCTTTTTTAAAATTAAAACAATAAAATTATATTTAAAACCACTAATAGGGAGCCCGCAAGTGCCAGCTGCCACAGAAGAAATACCGACAGTCCTCCCAGCCGAAATCAGAGCAGCCACCAGCACAGGCAAGTCGAAGACTTCGAACCAGGAACAACCAAGATAGGAAACACTGGATGACAATAGCAAGGGATAGAGAAATGTGGAAGCAGGTTGTGATTTGCGCAAATATAGTTTTTACTCTTTAAAAATAAAAAATTAGCCAAATGAAAATTTTATTGTAATTTCCTTTTCATTTTTTTAACAAATTGATTAATAATTAAAAACTATAAAAAATATAAAATCTTTAAATTGAAAAATTTTTGTCTCTTTTTTAAATAAGATTGGTTTCCTTAAAGCGCTAACCGGCCGCCTTTTTTTTCCCCCGCTCAAAAAATTTAAAAAATTTTAAACTCGTTTTATGTCATTTTGCAGAAAAATAATTGGCCTTTATAACCTTTTATTGTTTTTTTTTTTAACGGAGTTGAAAAAGAAAACTTTTCAACCTAATAGAAACACCTAAGCACGAAGACAGATCAAAAAAAATAAGGAGCCCAGATCAGTGAAATAATATTCTATTTATTCCCAGCAATTATTCACGGAGCTTCATTTGCTTTTCTGCCTCCACTCTTGGCTTGAAAGTAAATCTCAATCTGAAATGAACAAAATTTTTTATAGCAATCTCCCCGAGAACAAATACAGAGCTGCCTCAAACGATTTTGTGCCTGAAGAGGAATGAAAAGATCGATTGCTTACAGTAAGAGTCTGGACAGACGATAAAATATCCCAAAACCATTGCAAATAATCATTTTAATATAATCCGGCGGACTGGGGGGATAATCCCATAGTACCAAGTTTCCTCACTAATTTTGAAACCAGCTCCGATAGTCACCCAGCTTGTGAGTAGTTCTTAAAGAGGTCCCTACGGCCACGCCACTCAATGGTGGTGGCGTAGTGCTACCGTACCCAGTAGTAGTAATCTATGGATACTTTTACATGTTATAAAGACATTTTACTTGTATAACTAGTCAGAATTGAGATAGTTTTAACTAGTTTATTGACTAAACTAAAGCCAGTCACAATTTTAGAGCTCTTGAGGCGGTACCAATCTTTCGAAAGCTTCCATTTATCTTATCAAGGAGTCATCGACGCGCCGTTGCAAAACTGCCCAGAAAATCATTATATGAAAAATTACGAGATTATCAATTCGTTTGCGTAAAGTTAAATACCATTTATAGAATTTTTAAAAGCTTTTTTTTAAAAAGCTTTTTAAAGCTTTAAACAAGAAAAATTGACTCGATTGGAATTGGAGTTGGAAAAAGACAACATTGGAAAATCTTGCAAACCAAGAACTTTTTACAAAAATTGCTCTTTTTGCTCTTTTCATAAATTGAGAGCAAAGTTTGCTGGTGCGGGATATTGTGGACTTTTGTTGGACATTACTCTTTCCCTCCATGTTTGATTGAAGCCACTTTTTATTCAACCGGAACAAACCACATTGGAGGGAAGTGCGTCCTTAAAATCTCTTATAAACTATAAAGTAGTTTTAGAGATAGAAAGCTCAATACAGATAAAAACTGTAATTAGACAAGGAGGTAAATCCAACAAGTCAGTAGTTAGTTAGTTAGTTAACTTTGAAAAAGATGCCGAAAAGCAATATTTTAATGATCTTACATCTGTCTGGAATTAAAATGTGACTCTGGTATTCAAGAATGTATATTTTGAAAAGTTATAGCGTTTCGGTGAAATAAAAATCTCTGAAGGTTTCTGAAGAAGCCATAGCTGGCAATTCCAACCAAACTCAATCTGCCACCATGGCCGACTGGCTAAGAGCTCTTTATCTTACAAAAGAAAGTCAACTGGATAGGCCAAATGACATGAGCCATAGATCATTCGACGCAGAATTCAACGCTGCTTCCGAATCTGTTTTCCGTTTCTGCTATGGAGCACTCTATCAAAAGTTGTAAACGTGCAAAGTTTTGTATGGGATTTCAAAAATCACACCCCGAGTTGATAAGCAGATTTCTTAGAGGCTTTAGGAGGAATGGTGGCCGAGTGACAGTGGGTTGGAATGCCGGGCAAATTCTCTCTAGTTCAAGTCCGCTGTTTTACTTTTTTCTTTTGCTTTTTTGGATTTGAAAAGTTAATTGTTCTCGGTTTCAAATTCAAGTTTATTTTAAGCTACTTCTCATAAAAATTTTTGCTTTTAACTATTAACACAGCTATTATTAAAATCCAAAAAAACTTTGACATTGATGACAACATCGTCGATGAAAAGGTGAAAAGAGAAAAGCATAATTTGACTACAGTTACGATAGGCACAAGAAAGAAAAGCCAAAAATGCACAATTTGTATCCTCAAAAGGCAAAACATCAAATTTGAACAAGCATCGTTTGGAATATCGAATGAAACACGCTCATTTTCATCAATGTCGACGCCTTGTGAATGTCATGAAATCCCATACAAAACTTTGCACGCTTATAACTTCTGAGAGAGTGCTCCATAGCAGAAAAGGAAAGCAGATTCGGAATCAGCGTGAAATTCTACTCTATGGCTCATGTCATTTGGCCGGCACATCCAGTTGAGCTTCCCTTGCCAGTGATCAAGTTTCAGATCAGTACAGCTTTGCGATGAAAGAGCTAATTGTTAGTTCTAGATCAATATCACAAGAACTCATGATAGTGCAAAATTTAGCGAATCTTAGTTTGTATATCTGTTTTTTCCCCCCAGGGGGGAAAGATTTCTTGTTTGCCCCACACACCACGAAAAAAAACTAAGCCATGCTTATCGTCGTTATTCGTTGGGTTACGATCATGATATTGTTCTGGCAGACATTTGCCAAAGAAAAATGCCGTTTCAACGTTTGATCGGCTTGCTTTTAAATGTTTTGTGGATCTACAAGCAATTTTAAAGATTCATTCAATGAGCCATCTAGATATAACAATCCAAAAACAACTGCTTCTAGACCCAGACAGATCTCGAAAGCTCTGTGTACAGGAGCTAGCTGTTTGCCTATTTTCTAAAATGCTCAAAAATCACTCATTCCCCGAAATCGAAATGATCACCGGATGGCCCAAAAATTCGCTTCGTTTCGGGGAAAATTTGAGCATGGAAAACTTGTTCTTCCCATCCAGCTATGCCAACAAAACGGTTCGGAGGCCGTGTCATCGGTGCAAAAGAGTTTTTGTTTGTCATCCGGAAAAAAAGCCGAAGAAAAATTGCATGTCCATGTCTTGGAAAAGACTATAAAATGATGAGAGGATGGTGGGTGATCATTTCACATCGCTGAATTCACTCCCTCCACACCGAAATGGCCGCCACACTCTTGAGGATCACCGCCGCCGTCGCTTTTGGTAATGAAATCGGAAACTAATCCTTTTTAGTAATTCTTTAAGTTTAGCCCACTTAAAAGTTAAGTCTTTAAGTCTAATTTCTACTTACAAACTTTTCCCAATAGCTAAATCGGCTAAAGCATGGCTAGCTACCGTAAGACCCATAGATCCTTATAGATTTTGCATTTTCTAACTCCGATAGCCGAGCCGTACAAGAATGGCTTACTTCTATACCCAAATTAAGGCTTACATTTCCCATAAGAATCCTCCTATTAACTAAATATCTGTGGTAAAAAAATTCAATTATTCTATTCATTTTTTGAGTTTTTCAACTATTCAGCTAAACATTAGATTAATTTTTTTGCATTTCAGTTGCCCTCGCCCTCTCATGCTCCGACGGCAGCTCTAGGTAAATCTCATTGGATTTTGAATTCATAAAATAGAGAGTTTATTGATATCATCAATTTATACTTATATTAGAACTAGATTTATATCCTTTCATCGCTTTCAGCTGCACAAATTGGGTAAAAAATGGCTTCTGCTCTAACAGCTTCTACACGACGGCTCAAAAGGCTCAATATTGTGGCGCATCATGTGAGAATTGTTATAGATTATTAAAATATCATAATATTATATCAATATACAGAACTTTTAAATATATAGAAAGAATTTTTTTGTTATCTAAGAGTAAATTAAGGCAGCCTCTGCTCGGTAACCAGTGCCTCGGCGACGTGTTCCGACTTGAACACCAAGTAAGAGATTAAAAAGGGGATAATTTAAAAGTTAAAACTTTATCTAGAGATTAGCAAGATATGATAAAGTTCTAGTGGCATTTTTAACCGAAAAAATCCCCGTTTAGCTGCGCCACTTGGGTGTCAAATGGCTTCTGCACGAACACCGCCTACACCGACGCCCAGAAGGCTCAATATTGTCCATCCTCATGTGAGATTTGCATAGAAAAAGATTTAAGAGTAAATTTGTATATCTATTTTGTGAATTTCGATGAATTTATGTAAATTTTCAGGCAACATGTGTGTGACATCGACCGGCGCCACCTCGACTGCCACCGCCACCACGGGTATGGCTTAAAAGTTATGAAAGGATTAAGCTTTGGATCTTAACTTTATACAGCTAGTTAAGGACTAATGATAAATGCAAATTTTCAGGTGATACAAGCACAACCGGAACAACCGGCACGACCGGCACCACGGATACAGCACGACAGGTAGTTGAAAAGGCAAAACGCTATCTGACACTTATATTTATGGAAAAGCTTTAGACCTGTAGTAGCTGTAGCTTTAGAAGAGCTTTGTCTACTTAACTAAGTTGTAAGTTTATAAGTGGCTCTTCTTTCTTTCAAAAGGAGCTTGTCTAAAAGGTGCTCTTTTTAGAGTACAGTAAGATGGTCAGTACTGTAACAGGCTTAGGTTGTAAGCTTTACTAACCTGTAACCTCTAGCATTAAATACAGTGTCCAGCACAGTGCTAAAGTCCTATGCTGTGCACTACAGTACTACCGTATACTATGGTAATATGACAGTACCAGATTACTATGCAGTAGTGCATGGTACAGCTCTACTATACAGTGCTATAGTACTACCATTGTATTATGCTTTTTTTTTGATGATATCTGTAATTTTTAGCCTCTACAACTGCCGCCTAGAATCGCAGATTTCAGTATGGACCTTGGATGGATCTTTTTTTTGTTCTTTTATAATAAATCTGCAGCCTATAAAGCCTGTAAAGCTCAATTTATTTACAACAAAAGGAAAGACATGTCGTGGAATCGTGCGTAAAAAGTGATTGAAAGATTTTGAAAATGAAAAAATGAATCGGAAGGCACAGAAAATGTTCCAAGAGTTGAGCGAGGGTAAACAAAAAAGGAAAGCTTACAGATGAACAAACTTATAGAGCAGAACAATTTGGAGATTTTAAAAAAACAGATCAGAAATAGAAACCGTTTGACATCTTGCAGCTAAAAAGTTCAAATTGTGGTCTTCGATGTGAATTACTTTTTGCCGGTCATGCCTGCTTAATTATATATTATTAGATTATTAGATACATCTCTGAATAATTCGTTGTCGATAATATAATCCTCGAAATTCAGCTTCAGAATTATTATTACTATTAGAAAGACATGCCTGTTTTTTAACCTCCAAAATATTTTGGCTAATGGGTGTCTTTCTACATATTAGAATAATTAGAGTAATTTAATTCTTGTAATCCCATTTGTTTTGTGGACGCTCCAGGGTGTAAACGGGACAATTGAAAGTAGCCGGGAATTGACGACGCCAACGGAGACTGTCCGAACGAGTCACTATCTAAAAACAAGTATCAGGTTGAGTACTCATTCTTGAGACGTACTGGAACCGTATTGGATCAAAATAGGAAGCGTATTGGAACCGTATTGGAACCGTATTGGAATCACGATTCTTGAGAACACTTTGTTTTTGTTTCATCAAAGAGCAAACCATAGCTTTTTATAAATTTTTAATATGATACCCATTGCCTAGCTTTGGGCAAAGTTTCATCCTGATCTAATGGCTGGGCTTTAAGCAGGAGGCTTTTGCCTGAAACCAGTCGATCTGGCGCACAACAAGAGTTTTTTGGGATTACTTAAAGACTGAACTATGTGTTTTTATGGAACTTTTGAAACATTGATAGGATTCTCTTGTCCTGGCAGCAAGTTTTTATCCTGTTTTGATGAATGAAAGCTAAGCCATGAACAAAAGAGCAAAAAAAGTGACTTGCAAAATAGACTCCCGAGAAAATTTTTTAAAAAAGAATCCAATCCAGAAACTTTTTACCCATGTGCTTTATCAACACCTAAATAAGATATTCAAATCTCCAACATAACCACATGAACTTTTAGACTTCAAAATTTACTTTTCTTTTCAGTTTCGAGTAACTTTTTGATCATTTGAAATGCTGTCAAAGTTTCTTGAAAAACTACTTCATATAAAAACTACTTGAAAAAAAAATGTTTTGTTCTTTGATGAAACAAAAAAAAAGCGTTATTAAGAATTAGTACTCAACCTAATAAATTCAATTTATGCCTGAATTTGGTGTATATATCTTGCTCAATTTTTAATAAAGCTTCAAGTTTGCTTAACTGTAATGATGTAATAATGGTTTATCTAGAGAAAACGGGCTAGGTTAACGACCGAAATGTACGTCAGGTCAGGCCAAAAGCCAGATCCAGGGGTGGCCAGTACTTTTTGTAAGCCAAAGCTGCAGCAAAAGTAAGAGTAGTGTGTGCCAGGTAAATCAAGGAAGCTATACCAGGATAGAAAGAACTAACCTGTTGATTATTGGGGAGAATTCGTGGCTCATTCCGCGAAATCCACGGGAGAAGACGGCGATACTCGCTCACCCACAACACTGCCACATCGGCCACAATTCTCACCTGAAAATATAAATAGACTAGAACAAGTCTCATTGCCTCATTGTACTTATTACGTAGTGTACATTGCTATTAAGAGCGAGACAAAATTCGTCTCGAAAACTCGTTCTCACCATCCACAAAAGCACTGCTCCGCCAGCAATTGTCTCAAGACGGATCATCGTGTTGAGGTACTGGAATTGGAAAAATATGTAATTTATTTTTAAAGTTAATTCAGAAATGTATGTTTAACTTGGTTTTCAAGTTCACCTCAATGAGCGAGCAAGTCTCGGCCACTTGAACTTTGTGAAAAAGCCAGATATTGTTTTGAATGATGATCGCTCCGGCCAAAAGCAAAGAACTAAAGTTTTTAGCTTATGTTTTAAACCGTTTCAGATCACTTTACCAAATCAAAACGTAAAGCACTATATGCGCTCCAAAACCCATGAAGTGTTTCAGCTTCTTCTTGGTGATGTTCGGCTCGTTGTGTAGCCTGAAAGGCTCGAGATTTAAAATTCCTTTGCAGATTACTGTAAAAGACAGGAAGATATGTACGACACCCCCCCCCCCCCCTAGTCTTTGGTTCATCTGCTTTCTCCTTTCAGGGCACACAATGTAATATTAATATTTAGAAATACGGTAAAGACAAGGGGTTGCTGGAAGTGACGATCGTTTATGTGTATTTCATTGTGGTATGTACAGTAGTACAGTTGCTACAGTGCTACAGTAACTTTTGCAATCTATCAAATTTTCTTACAAATCTACGAGCAGTACAGTAGACAGGATCAACTCGAAGTGACCAAAAAGCTTAACATTTTCCATATGCTACTCACTTTTCTTGTACGGATGTGTTGTACAATTTGTAGGCAACGGCCGCGTAGAATAGGAGAACAGTGGCCATGAGAAAGGCGACTAATGCGATCGCGATGATGATCAATGGACGTTGACAGGAGAAATATGAACAGACTAAATCAAGTCTCATTGCCTCATTGTACTCATTGTACTTACAGGGTGTCTGAAAAGTTCTGTTCGCATTAATATACGTGTCTTTATTAAGTCGTTAAAAAGTTCGCGGTCACTTACAGAAAAATACAATTTTTATTCGCAAATAATCAACAAAAACAAGAGCGTTCACACTTCGAAGTATAGTCCGTCATTCTCTACGACCTTCTGCCATCGATCAGCAAGATTTCGAATCTGCTCGAAGTACCAAGCCGGCTCCTTTGAATCAAAGAACTCTTCTTCTTCAACTTCTTGTCTTCAAGATCAAAATCACCGTCATTGAAGCGTTTGAAGCACTCAATCGCAGCACGAAGCGTTTTGCCAACAGTTCCCTCGCCTTCCACCTCACAAATCATTTCAACAGCAGATCTCGCCGACAAATCTTTTTTCCAATAGTGATGGAGCAGAACACGAAGTGTTCAGTTAAGTTCACTTTTATCCACCTAAAGATGTGGAATGTGTAAAGTAAGTTATATAACAAAATGCTCGCAAGAAAACAGGGCTTTTAAATGACCCAAAATCATAACAATCCATTGTCAAAATAGTTAAATAATTTGAACTTTTCTGCCAGTGACCGCGAACTTTTTTTAACAACCTAGTATAAACTAAATAGAGCAAAATGAAACTCAAATTTAGAAAATTCGACTATTTTTATCTTTTGTTAAAGTGCTGTTGAGTTTCGTTGAAGATAATCAATGTATACCTTATTAGATTCTTTTTGCCAACTTTTGTTTGCTTCGAAACTTGTTTGGCCCCAAGATCGTCATTTTTCCATTAGAACAATGTGTCAGTTTTTAATCCTTTTGCATTTTTTCACTTCCCTCAAAATCAGCTGTGCGAAATCAATTTAACCTCCGCAATTTTACCCCGGTCTGACTCACCTTGGGCCTTGCAATATGTGTGAAATCTTGCAAGGCCCACCTCCTTCAGCTTTCCTTGGATCCAAGATCACCGTTGTCAACGGGGCAAAAGCGGCTGCGTAGAAAATTGACAACAACCAAAGCACGACGAGGCAGGCGACGAGTTTACGCAAAGAAAACGCCGACTCAAAACCGTATGGCCGGAAGAGACTGATCTACAAGAGCCCCGTTTCAACTTCAACTTAAAGATTTTTTTGTAACTTATTGCGCCTACATTTATTAGGGTTTTTAGATAAAATTCTTATATATAATAATCTTTTGTACCAAAAAGCGATCACCTGTCTGAGTACAATGACGAGAATATGAGAAAGGCTGAGCTGAAGAAAACCGAAAGTCGTCACGTAAAGGAAGAGGGCAAGTACAGCGAATGAGGCTGCAAATAGGGAGTGTACTTTGTGTACGAAAATAGGGCAATGCACCCTTTCTGGCTCACTCATCATGATCGTTGATTATCAAAAAAGGTGTGCACCATTTTAAGTGCAAAGTACAAGATGAAAGTCAAGACGTTTAAAATCAACTACTCCTTCTTTTCGAGTGCAATCCAACTTGCGACAAAACTTGCAATCCATTGTAAGCAAAGCTAACACGACCCCTAGAAAGTCCTGTAGCACTCGGCTTTTGAAAATTAAACAATTGCACCGATCAAAATTGTTTTCAGTACTTTTCCATCTTTAGCCCTTCAACCAAAATAGGAGAAATGTAAATTTCCGCCAGCATTTTTCTATTGGGTTGTCCAGTTATGAATCCGCGTTTTTACTATTTCTAAATTTCTATTTTTTCTTTTTTGAAAGAGTCATTTTAAAAATTTTTTTTACTTTTAATAAACCCTTCCTTTCCACCTCTTCTTCTGTAAACATTGTTTTCTTTTTAAAATTAAAAAAAAAAAAAAAAAGCCCCATCAAAACCGGACAACCAAACATTTGAGTAAAGCTATGCGGAAAGTAGTATAAATGGCTTTATTAGGTTTATATTCTCTAGCTGAAATCTATTAAAAATTATTTAAAATCTAGGATATAGTATAGTAAATTTAATGATGAAGCAAGCCGTCAAAGATTGAGTTGCAAAGACCGCGCAATGACGTGGCAAAGACATGGGAAAGACGCAGAAGTACCCAGTTTTCAGTACTATTCTATTCGTTTATACCACACCATTTAATGATTTAGTCAAACATTAAACTTTTCCTAAAATTAAGTTTTAACCAAATAGTTTCATGATTCATTATGCAAATTTTGGCGGGGACAAAACGGAATGAGGAAGTGATGGGGTAGAAACGAAAAGTGCCCAGTTTTTTTGCCAGATTTCTTTGGAAGAGTTCAGGCAACTACTCCCCAGAGATCTTAATTAGATCCTACATAGTTTTTGTAACTCTATTTGAGCTCATAATTCCAACAAGATAATTTCTAATTATAAGATAACTTTTCTACGTGAAACAAAAGTTTTTACAAACTACCTGAATTCTTATTTGCCATCAGTGACACGGCCGCAACGAGCACTGCCGAGAAGAGGTCGCCGACGCTCCTCGAAACGACAACACTGAAAATTTTTAGATCAATAATTTTTCAACTTTGTGATATTATTCATATATTCCGTCTGTCTCGTACTTTAGAACTTAGAACTTAGACCTCATTCCCGGAAAACCACCTGTAGCAACTTGCTTCCATATCCTAATGAAAGCTTTTGCATGAACGCTGCATTTGATTCATCGTTGTTTTTGAGATGTTTTACAATTACACGAATCCACCTCTAATGTTATTTGGGATTTACGATGTGGCCACGATTTTGGTGAACGAAAGCTATTATCCGTTCTACATGTTTCTTTTGTTCTGTGAGCTGATTGGGATGGGTTTCTCGTTTACGATTGAGATTGTGAGTGAAATGGCAAGATGGATGAGTATCAGGAGACAAAAAAAAGTTAAAAGCAAACGTTTTAGAAGATGAAGTTTCAAATTAGATGAGTTTATTTATACTTTGGAATTCCAAAATATAACTGCTGGTGATTCAATGATGTTTCGCAATTTTGCAAAAATTTGAACCTAAACCAGATAGGGTCAGAAACAGGCTTGAATCCAGGTTCTAGCTTGACTTTTAGCTTTTTTCAGTTTGTCTTTGCTGGCCTACAAAAGCCCCTGAGAGTTGTCAAACTTCTACGGTTAAGCGTTAGAATCTAAACTGTCTTAAATACTGTAATAGTACTTAATATACCGTAATAGGTAGCTTAGTACAACAGAGTGAAACTTCGGATTGGATTCTAATGGAATAATAGCCTGAGCAGTGATATAAATAACTTAGACAGTGCTAGCAGTCTAACAGCCACTTGTATCCCTTTATATGCAATCAGCAGCCTCATGTGTACTCGTTAAGATCGCTGCCTACATCATCTTCAGCTCATCCGCTTTTAACAAGAACCTCATTCAAATTTTTGGCATCATCCTCACCGTCCACATTCTATCTCAAATTGGAAGAGTTTTCCTGATGATGTATCAATATGGAATCTTTCAGATAAAAGGTGCTTAGAGAGATTTCAATAGAGAAATTTCATCAACAATCCATTCTAGGCAATTGGCTAACCGATTTCCCATTATTATTTCTGGCGACACTTCGAATTTATTTATACATAAGTGTAATTGTAATGTTGTCATTGATAGCTCTTGAACGGGTGATGGCCACGTATTTTATTGGAGATTATGAGAAATCCGAGAGAACATGGATCAAAATCTTTCTTGGAATTATTGGAGTGACCATGCAGATTATCGGATGTGTGCTTTATATTTTTTGTGAGTTGTTTGATTGATTGAGAATCGGCAATGTGATATATTGCTGACAATACGGAAAAAAAAGTAGGGCAAGATTTGGAATTTGTCTCTATTGCCTGCCTGCCTCACTTTGGTATCCTGCATAGCTGATATAAAAATGTGTTATGATAAACTTGTGGTTAAGATCGTCTATAAAGAACTCTAACTACTAAAACTACTACTATTAGGCATGCAGGATTGATTGAAAGTTGAAAGTTTTGAAAGTTCTGAAAGTTCTCTAGGATTGACTGAGTCCAGGAATGTTTAAAATCAAGTTTATTCAATAGACGTGGGGCAAAGCGTGTAAAAATCTTTCAACGAGGCTCGAAGAAACGATGTGTTGACCCAAAGACAAAAAGAAATCACTTTGATAAATCTCGAACAAAAGAAAACAACTTTGACTTCGAAAAGACTAAATGAGAGAAAATTGTGACTAAATGGGAAAAAAGACGCTTTTATACGCGCGACATTGTTTAGAGTACGGTATTTCTGGTGTCTTATTAGACTGCTGCAGCTTTTTTTGTCACAATGGCCATATGACCAGGTCACCAGGTCAGACAAGACCATAGCCCGGCCAGAAGCCTGGTCCAGGCCAGCCATGATAGATCAGGCAAGACTGGAAGCAAGATCAAGACTTGGTTTTTACCTCCGGTTCTTATCTGACACGAAAAATTTGGCATTTGAATCAATCCTGTTAAACGCATCCACCGAAGGCTAGCTTTATATTTGATTTTTAAGATGTTTTCAAGAGTTTGGAACTTCACTTTTAGCAGATAACGCTATCGAAAAGGAAATTTAGTTGCGGCTAAATACGCGCGGGGTCTCTTCATCGTGATGTTTCCTACTGTTGCACTTTATCTCATCTCTTGTTTTACGGTAAAATCAAATGTAGTTATTATAATCTTTATCCATCTTTTAGATATTCTCTGTGATTTATCGCCTAAATTCAAACAACCTGAAAGCAATCTTAAAAACCTATGAACTACGAAGATACTCATTGAGTTTACGGTTCCAATTGGAGGAGAATCTGCGATCATTAAAGGTTGTATTTAAAGATTTCAAAAAAATTTAAGGCAATTCTTTTCCAGTCTTTAAAAACAATCTTTGTTCTTCATGGCTTTTTCATGGTGATTGGTGCTTGTATTTTTGTATTGCCGCATATGTGGTATGTGGATGGAAATCCGCTGCTTGAGCTCACCATTGCACTGCTTGAGGGCTTCCAGAGCATGTATGGATGATGCTTTAGTGTTTTCAATATTGCTTTTAATATATTTACTTCTAACTTTTAAAACTAGAAACTTAACTAAAATACTGGTTAATTTCTAAAAGATTTCTGGGATTCTAAAAGATTCTTTCCCAATTTATCAGATTTTGATCAAGTCTAATGCAAGAGCAAATTCCTTAGATTTAACTCACAAGAATGCAACTCAAAACTCAAAATGCAACTAACTCAAAATGCAAAATGTTATGTCTTTTGATTTTTAGTAATTAAATTTCATTTGCAATTCTAAGTGTTTATTGTTCAATTTCACATCTTTTTAAGTCAATTTGGGTCAATTTGAGCTTTCCAGAAAGTCTTTTCGTTTCTTTTCATACTTCCGTGGAAAAATAAAAAATTCACCAATTCACCTATGGTTTCCTTTAAATAAAAAGTGTTTATTGTTCAATTCCCCATCTTTTTAGGTCAATTTTGGTTAACTTGCAAGCAAATTCGAGAGTGAAAACATGTGTTTTTCGTAAAGATCTATAAAAACCTCTACGAAGAAATTGGCTGAATGAATTTCTCTGAAATTTTTGCTATATACCAAATTTTTTGTGCTCTATCTTTTATCTATTGACACAAAGCTAGGTTTCCTTAGCTAAAGTGTCTAGAACAGCATCATCGACTCGTCGTCTTTTTTGACTAGCCGACTGCACGCCCGCGAAAAATCCAGACAAAAGACATTTTGAACCAGTTCTAATGTTATTTTGCAGAAAAATAATTGACCTTTCTAATGAAACAAACCGTAGTTCAATTGGTGCATTTGTCGGTTTTAAACGGAAGTACGAAAACAAACGAAAAACCTTTCTGGACAGCTTAATAAGTATGGACTCTACTAGCTTATGTAAAGAATTGGGTAACTAAACCAGCGATTTCAGAAAAGATATTCTCTTACTATTAGATCTTCAAAATTAGGGACAGGATAGACACTTTTCGGAGTGTAGTTTATGCTCATTACCAAAAATGAAAACACCTTTTCCTTACAACATTCTAAGAAAAACGAGCTTTCAAACAACAAGTACGATAAGTACCAAATTAACAATCTACAACTTATTTATTCTGAAAATAATTTATTTCCTCAGATACGCGATATTCTTTGTCACCTTTCTTCTCTACTTTGTGCCTTCATGGAAACGAAAATTTCTCGAATACTTGAAACGTTTCACGAAATCTGGAAAACTGACCGGGGAAAACTCGTTTGTTACAATGTCTCGACACACTGAAGACGACACGAAAGTCTATTTTCAACAATTGACGAATTCTTGGCAATAAAAATTATTGACAGACTTATTATTAGAGATACTCGCTAGACATCTTTTCGCTAACTAATAGAAAAATCATCTAAGAATTTAGACCAACTAAACCCGAGTTCCAATTGGTAGATTCAATAAAATGAATAGCTCCAATCGATTTCCCGATCCGGAAAACCCCGGGTACAAATTTACTATCTTCTTTTTGTATCATCTACAAAGCAAAAGAAAAATCCCTAAATGACTGACGAGGTGTTCTTTGTGCGGCTGCGTAATCGCTCGCGACCTGACAAACCGGGATAAGGAGCTTCCCTTTAGGAAAACATAAAGGAGAAGGACCGGGCACGGCCCGCCCCGCCCCGCCTGGACGACAGTCCACCCAAATCCCTGGGGGCAATCCCGCCCCCAATCTGGCCGCATTTCCGGTACAAATTCCAGATTCGCGAGAACACACAACGCCCGCTCCCCCAGGGTCAAACAAGCAGGCAAACCGAGAGAACAGATTTTTAAATTTTTTTTATTTTTATTAAATTTATTATTTATTTATTAAATATTAAATATTAAAATTATTTATTAAATAAATTTTTTAAACAGCGCACTTATCAAAACAACAATAAAAGTCCTATTGAGTTATGAAAAAACAACTTTTAAACGCTATTTACCCCGCAAAAACCCAAAAGTTCTTATTGAACTTTTGAAAAAATATAATTTTCACAAAATTCAAGAGTTTTGTTCGAAAATCAACAACGGACCACCAGATTTTGTACTAATTCGTAGGTTCACCAGGCATTGCAACAAGTTCTCTTTTTTTTTTTAGTGAAGGTGATAATTTCCTGAGCCATATTCCAATCTTGGCTTGTTTTCGCTACATAGATCTGTTATTTACACGGTTTCTTGAAAAAGTCACCTAGATAAAATGTTTTTGAAGTGTTGTTTTATGGTTTAGAAAAGTTTAAAAAAGTTAGCTTTGATTTTTAGCTGAAATAAACTTTAAACTAATTAGCAGAGCAAGCAATCGACTGTACTTTGTGCTCAAACTTAGTAAACCCATATTTCCTAGCGCACTCAATTCCCCATTTGTCTGATGGTGAGATCTTTGCAAATTGCAATAGAGATTAGTAAAATAAAGAACTACGTGCACCAGAAACGGTGTGTTTACACATTTCGAGCACAAAGTACACACAAAGGTTCTCTGTAGTGTACTTTGTGAACAAGAATAAGCAAACAGACCTTATCTGGCGGACTAAATTCTTTATTTTTCACAGCAATCGTTTGTGATATAAGAAATGGAGAAGTCAGTTCACCAGATTCAGTATGTTGCTCATTTTGGGGCACAAAGTACACATGTTTCTTCGTTTGTTAAGACAAAACTTTCTGTTTTTACATTCCACAATATAATTCTTGTTCTTATTTTGTCATTTGCGGGAAATTCGTCAACTTTGGCGTCAGACTTACATGTTTGAGTTGAAATTTAGACTGTTAGAGCCTTGGAATCTTTAGTTCAAGCTGAGATTGTTCACTAAGACTTAAATCGACTTGTTTACTTTATTCTTTTCGACTTGAACAAACACAAAGATTGAGGATCAAATTTGCAATTTTTACAATAATCACAAATGAAATTTATGCTCAAAAAGTTAACGTTGAACCAGTTTTTAACAACAACTTTGTCAAGCTCGATCCCGTGACAACTTGTCATCATTTCTACCGTACTTGATTCTGAGTATCCTTTTGCAAAAAAATCTCAGACGCACATTCGCAGAATTTCCCAAAAAATTCCCCAAAAAAAACTCGAACCAAAATTTCACCTGCTTGATAGCCTTTACAATCACAAATTACAAACACAAATTACAAACAAAAAAAGAAACTGTCCCGGGACTAAGAATACAAAAAAGTGTTGACAATTTTCGACAATTTCCTTTTGCAAAAATTTCACAAGCGTTTTTCTCTGTTCAGGATTTTCAAATGATCTATAATGGAAACGGGATAACGATTGTTTTATTCGGGATTTATAACTCGAGCATCATTACGACAAGGCCCGAATTTGTGCCGATTTATGGCTTCTTTATATTGTGCGAGATTGTTGGGTTCTTGTTCTCGTTTAGCATTGAACTGGTGAGTTGTGCCTACTAAAGTATTTTCTAAAAGTTTCGCTTACGAAAAGCTACAGTAGGTCGGCTTCATTTTGAGACAATGGAGTCATTTCAGTCCAAAAAAAGGCTAAACTTACTGTTTTCAATAAAAGATACGGTTACGTTAACTTTTCCTCAGAGCATCTTTGGGAAAAAGGAAATGCTTCGATTAGTGGTCATTTCTAATTAAAATTAGCAGATTTTGACAAATAGGAACTAATATTAACCTAAACTTATACTTCTAGAAAGTTAGAGTACTATTTCATAAAGTAAAGGAATGGGAAAGAAAGATTTACGGAGAGGTGATTGAACCCTCGACCTTCTTGCTTTTGCTTTTGCTTTTGGGGTAGATGCTCTACCACTGAGCTAACCGGTATCTTGTTGCCAGAGAAGAAAGAGGAAATACAAGGGGGGAAGTAACTAAATTTGACCTGGTTCAATCTGTGATTAACAATACTGCTACTTATTGATTAGCTCACATAAATACTCTGGTTTAAAATTTAAAGGCAATCTTAGTTTTATGCTGACTATAAGCCAATGCCTAACGCTTACAAATCGACAGGCTTACTGTAACTTTTCTAAGATTACGGTAGCCGTAATAGCCGATATTTACCGATCGGTCACTGGCTTGTAACAAATTGTTCTTTTGTCTCGATAATTTGTACTTAAATAAGCCTCTTATCCCTCAACCATCATTTTTAGATCGTTGTAAAGATTGCTTTCACATGTCAAACATTCCACAAAAATCTCTTGAATGCTTTCGGTGTCTTCGTCGCTCAACACATTCTTTCACAAGCGGGTCGTTTGGTGCTCATGTGCTATCAGTTTGGAGTCTTTAAAATTACGGGTAAGTGACTAAAATCTTTAATTTATCTTTAATATCTTTAATATCTTTAATGTTTAATCAAAAATCTTTAATTTACACTTATCATAAGTTCAGGCAACCTTTTACTTGATTTACCCCTATTGATCTTTTCAACATATCGCGTATATCTCTATGTTGGGGCGATCACTTTCCTTAGCAGCCTTATTATCGAACGCTTTATGGCCACGATCTACATAAAAGATTATGAAAAAGTGAGGCGGATTTGGATTCAATTCATCATTCACACAAATGCTTTCATCGTGCAATTCACAGCTTCGATTTTGTACTGTAAAAGTGGGTCCAATTGTCAATACAGTTGAAAATGAGTTTAGATGGAGCTGACGGAGGATCGATATTCCTTATCCTGCTCTTTCTTGCTGTTTTTTGGATGATTTTTGTATTTTGGGTAAGTCTGGAGGAAATTTTTGATAGAATTTGCTCTCGGAACTTTTGTACGAAAATTATGGGGTTTTATGGCCCGATTTAGGTGGTAATTATAGAAAGGGCATTGCAATGTGATGAGAGATAGACTGACTAGGAGAAATTGAACTGGATGAATAAGCTAAATCAATTTTTTAAAGATTTGAGTGAATCGAGGGAAACATAACTTACAGTTTTTGGTGGTATTTTGTGCTCAAAATTAATAACTTACATTTCTTACTTGAGAACGTCGTCGACTCGGGTAGCTAAAGCTGTTCCAGTTACTGTAACCGAAACAAAATGTTGTCATAGTCCAGCTATGATAAATAATAGTAAGGACTACAGTAATCATGATAGTTAACAAGAGTATGTAAGATATTTTGTGTCGTAGACGTAGGTAGCCGGCAGAGTCGTACTGTCGGTCGGAAAAGATTCCCGGATCCCCATGATACTCAAGCAGTTGAGTATCGTACATTCTAGACCTGGGAATTTTCGATGTGAACGTCAATAGGTGCCCAGCGGAAAAATGCCATATTTTAGCCAATTTCATGTTAATCTTTTTGGCTTTAATTTCAATCGATCGAAAATTAAATTCTGCGTCAATTGATATCAAAATAAAAAAGATGGAAGTGAAATTGGCTGAGATATGCAATTTTTCGTTGCACGCCTATTTGCGTTCACACCGAAATTTCCCAGGTCTAGTACGTTGAGCAACATAAAGAGTGTGTTGTGTTTGCACGTAGCCAAAGACTCTACCTACTTAGACCCTAACCAAAGCTTCGAATGACCGGACGCAGAAATAACTTTTGCTTGAACAATAAATTTACCGCTAAAATTTGAAAATCCTTTAGGCTTTTCGCAAAATCCATCAGTCAAACTCGAAATCGTTGGCCTCTTTATTGGCTCACTATGAGCTGAATCAATACTCGCTGAGCGCTCGATTTCAACTCAAGGAAAACGTTCGCTCGATGAAGGTTTGTCAGAGGGATTGAGTCTTTTGAGAGTCGATTTTACAGGTGATCGAGAAAATATTTTACATACACTGTGCATTTTGTTTATTTGCGACCGCTCTATTCACAATACCCCATGTACTTTATGAAGAAAGTGGCGAGGAAAGGGAGCTCGGGATAGCCGCCTTGGAAGCGATACAGGGAATGTGAGTGACAAGAAATCACAGTACTCGTGACTTTTGGACTCGAAATTTCAATTTCCAAGTTTATTAAGTCACACGCAAAACAAGCCGCAAGTACCAAGATATCAGAAAGTACCAAGAAAACAGAAAGCAAAGGAAAAAATGGCATCCAGACTTTCGAAGTCCAAGCCAGAACCAAGCCAGCTTCAACAAACATAGACTCAATCTGTTTGTAAATTTGTTTAGCTCTAAATTCTGTATATTTTATTTAGTGTTTTCTAGTTACCGTAACGTGGTCTTTTGTAGTAGGCCAATAAAAATACCAATCTTGCAACGTTTCCGATTCATTTGGACTGAAAAACTTGAAGCCCAAGCCTTGTAACTGTACATTAAAGCCTTATGGCTAGTATTCTGTTTCGGTAAAGTATCTAAAATGCATTCGGTAGATAATACTAAATAGCTTTTAAGAGAACTTGGCAACAACTTGGGGAAGCTGATCAAAACAGCGCCGTGTACAAACAGCGCCACGGCAAAAATAGCCACTCCGCGATTAAGTTCCTATGTGTTTCTTATTATTATTGGATCCAGAATAAAATTAGCTACATTTTATATACTTTGGGATCACTTAAAACAGAATTGGTGTCGAGAAAAGCTCAGTTAACCTCTTTTTGAGCCCTTTTTCGTTTTTTGGCATTTTGTCATCCCAGATTTGGTCTAAACAGCTCCAAAAAATTCAGCAGATAACTAGTTTTTTTCTACATCGAATGAAAATAAGAAACACAAATAAACTTAACCGCAAACGCATTATTTTGGCGAGCGCTGTTTGTATACGGCGCTGTTTTGACCAGCTCCCCAACTTGGCAACTTTTTTCCTTTCCTGCCAAGTACTGGAGATACTGCAGGTTCAAGCAAAAAGAAAACTCCTATTTAATTTTAGTTATGGCATTTTATTCGACTCTTTCCTCATCAATATCATTCCCACGTGGCGGGCTCGTTTCTTAAAAATCTTCGAGAAATTCTTCCCGAAAAAGAAATATACGAGTGAAGTGCATTCAGTTGTTATCTCACCACCCGTCGAGGATGAAGGCCGTATTTATTTTAGGATATTGTCAAATTCTTGGACATAAGAAATGATTATTGCACTACTGTACCAGCGTCAAACACAAAACGTCATGCAAAATCAGATCAATTCCTTGAGACAAACACTTTTACACTTTATATTTGTCAATAGGAAAAGTTTCAGCACAATGCACCTGCCTCAGATCGCCAAAAAAAACTACAAGTGGAACTAAATAGACTTTAAAAGGTTGCCTAAAAGATCTTAATGACAGAATGACAGCTTTGATTTCTTATATTTTCTGAAACACACCCGACTTACTGTACCTGTGGAAAAGGAAATTTTTTGCTGTCAACATTTTCATTTTGTTTCGTAATGGATTGTTTAGCGACCTAACCTTTTTGTGTATGAAAAGTTTTAAATATAAGAAATATATTGTAATTCGCTAACGAAAAAAGCTCTTGGCCACAAATTCCCCTTGCACCTTTCGCCTTTCGCCCGCAAAATGTCCCCGATTTCTTTTTGATATCCTAAGCAAACGTTGCGCTACTCACTACACCTTTCTCTTACGCCAAGCCACTATTTTCAAAAATTTCTCACCCAACAAGTTTAAATTGGCGCATATTTAAGGTTGCACATTTTTTTTTCAATTGGGTATGACATGTTCTATTTTTTTTATTTTAGATGGATGTGCCGCGACTGCTGCGAAAGTTGGAAGAAAGCGGGCTGCCGATGGGAGTGTTCGCCGGTGTGCCACCGCAATTGAAGCAACTATGGATCAAGCAAACGAAGACAATCGTTCAAATGGAGCACAAAGTGCCGGCCAATCATCCGTGCCAGAAAGACGCCGAGTTCAAGAAGAACATCAAAGTATGCAAGGAGTTGCTCCGAGAATTGGATGTCGCCGAAGAAGATTGGTGAGTTTTAGTGTGGTAAATTGATAGGGTTGTAAAATGTTAGTGTTTTCAAAGTATCGAGTAGGTTATATGCCAATACTTATCATTAGAATCGTAGGCGTAAGCTTTAGAACCACTTCGACCCGCTGGAAAGCATTTATTAGGCTGTCCAGAAAGGTTTTTCGTTTGTTTTCGTACTTCCGTTTAAAACCGACAAATGCACCAATTGAACTACGGTTTGTTTCATTAGAAAGGTCAATTATTTTTCTGCAAAATAACATTAGAACTGGTTCAAAATGTCTTTTGTCGGGATTTTTCGGGGCGTGAAGTCGGGTAGTCAAAAAGGACGACGAGTCGATGATGCTGTCTAGACACTTTCGCTAAGGAAACCTATCTTTGTGTCAATAGATAAAAGCTAGAGCACAAAAAATTTGATATATGGCAAAAATTTCAGAGAAATTCATTCAACCAATTTCTTCGTAGAGGTTCTTATAGATCTTTACGAAAAACACATGTTTTCACTCTCGAATTTGCTTGTAAGTGAACCAAAATTGACCTAAAAAGATGGGGAATTGAACAATAAACACTTTTTATTTAAAGGAAACCATAGGTGAATTGGTGAATTTTTTATTTTTCCACGGAATTATGAAAAGAAACGAAAAGACTTTCTGGACAGCCTAGTATTTTTCAACGATAGCTGAAGGGAAAATTGGCTTTTTAACATTAACAAAACCTATGAAAATTCTTTTTCTGACTGATAGAAGGCGTCATAGTTCCTTTGATATTGGGTTTGGGACTTTTTTTTTATTATTATTGGGGACTTGCAAGTTGACCTTCTTTGTAAGAAGAAATTCTGGTAAGACTTACATTAACTTTTAAAAGCGTTTAAGTTTGTGTTTTTACAGGTACGTGGAAGAACACAAACCGAAAATTGATCAACCAACACCTGAAAGAAACATCGAGCTGGCTGGCGCGCAGATGGAGGAGCTACACATTGCCCAAGAGATGAGGTGAGCAAATTTGTGTGTCGGTCAAAGAAATTGAATTAATACAAACTATTTCAAATTTAGACAACCAATAAATGCAGCCAGTGAAATGACGCCACAAAAACGAGAAAAAGCGAAGGCTCAATCTCCTCAAAAGCGGGTCGAAGTCGTCAAGAATCCACGTCCACCACCAACACCCAAAGGAGTCGTGAAAGGGCAACATCCACCAATAACACCAAAAACGCCTAAAACGCCACGAGAAGCCGAGTTGGTTTTTACTACGTTTTCGCAGTAATGTTTTGTTTAGAATGAGGACGCCAAGAATTGTGAATACGCCCAAAGGAACTTCGAGCAAATCAAGAGACAACACGCCAACACGCCTACTTCGGTCAGCAAAAGCAACGACCAAGATGCTCGAGTTTGGTGGATCAATGGAAAAGGACACCAGCCAGGATCGAGCAGAGCGACAACGCGAAGAGCTTCGCCATGAGAAAGCCGAACGAATAAAGAGGGCGCGTGAAGAGCGAGAAGAAGCAGTGAGAGCTCGACGAATGCAAATAGAAAAAGAAAGGTGCCGTTTTCGTTTTAACTTTATGCATAAGTCTTTTTTTAGGGTAGCAAGATTTGAAGCCAAGATCCGAGAAAAGTCCCCAGTGAAACCCATGGTTGATCAATTCAAGCAGCGACAACGCTTACAGAAGCCTCCTTATTCACCTCAGGTCGTCGTCAAGAAAGCGCTTCTCCAAGACAGGCATTTGCCCGTGTTTGTCACTCAAGCAACTTCTGAAAGTGTTTGTGAATAACTTTGACTTTGTCTAACCTTTTAAATTTAGCGTTCTACACCCAAAAGAAAGTCGAGACGAGATGAAGAGATGAAGACCGATGCACACGAAGAGCCTCTCGTGCAAAAGCCACCAGCATTAGAAGAGCCCCTGATGCAAGACGTGAAGCCACAAACCGAAACTGAAGAGCCAACAACATGCAGTGATACTCGGGGTTCGAATCATTTCGTTTTCGATGATCCAATGTCTTCCAAAGAACGAACAAACTCGAAGGTACTATTGGGTTTTGTTCTTTCAAATGGTTTTTATTCAGGTGTCGAATGCTCCACGAAGCCAAGAAATTGATGAAGCGGATACTCGGGATTCGAATCATTTCGTGTTCGATGAGCCAATATCTTCCAAAGAACGAATAAGCTCGAAGGTACTCTTGAGTTTTGTTCTTTCAAATGATTCTTGTTCAGGTGTCGAATGCTCAACAAAGCCAAAAGCTTGATGAAGAGGACGCTTTGTCTACAAACGAAATTTCAAAAGCTCAAGAAGAGACCGTCAAAGAAACCGCTCCCGCGCAAGTCGAAGCCAAAGTCCTCGTTGAGTCTTCAAAGCCAAATCAGATTATCGAGGAGCCAACAGTGGATAAAGATGCCGATTATGGTAAGTGTTTTGATGATTTTAAATTTCCTTTTTTTATTATTCAATGAGATCGACTTTCATTTAGGAATCGACGATTTACATAGCGCGGATGATACAGATGACGAAGAAAACCCGAGAAAAGAAATTCCAGCTTGGGCAAAGGGATCAGGTAAAAAATTGGTGGGACAATTCTTAAAATTTTTTTAGCATTAATTCGTGCTGTGAGAACGCAGGCGTCTTTGAAGTACAACATCGACGAATATTTTGGAGCAAAACAAGAAGTCGACTTACAGAGCATCTTCGGACCAAAGCGGTAGCATTTTTCCACTCAATCAAAAATCAACAAGGTTGTTTTTAGATTTAAGCCACGTTCTTCATCAGCCGTTTGGCATTCTCCGATTCATCGCCCTCGTCCAGGCTTCAGCACGCTGGACTCATCGGTGGTGGCAGAACAAGTCGATGAAGAATGAAAGGAAAGCATATATAGTTGATGTCATTGCTTATTTGTTTGCTTCTACGTTATTTAATTGTCTATTCATTTTTTGATTTGTTTTTTTTATGGTCGCAATAAATTCATGATTCTTTGAGGTGTGGCAATTGACAACATTGAGTACCGCTCGGGGTTACGCTTTGAAGAAAATTAAAATTTGGTATAACATTATCTGCAATACTTTTTTTATTGTTTAGATCGAATGCCCAACTTTTGGAAAATGAGATCAAACAACTAAAAATTTTTATCGAAGTGAAAGCACCTGCTAAAATGTAGTGTAGGCCATCTCCGCTCATTTTTTCCCAACCGTTATTGATGCTCTACCAAATCAATAATTATTCGATCGTACTGTTTGGCATCTATGATCAAGAAATTATTGCTTGGAATCCGAATTTCTACAAATGCTACTTGTTTGCATTCATTCTAGAGATCATCGCCATGATGCTGGCATTTATCTTCGGAATCGTGAGTACAATAAATCTAATCGACATAAACTTTCGCCTATCGATTACTCTGCGAATAGCTAACAAAAAGCAGTCAAAATCCTTTAGGTGACGATCAACATCATCAGCAAATCGGCTGCTTTCCACAAGAACTTCCAGAACATTATTACGATTTTTATCGGGGAATTTCTGGTGGCGGAGGTTTTTCGCATTGTTCTCATCGCGTATCAATTTGGTTTTATAAAAATCACTGGTACGTGTGCAACAAATTTTGCTAGGTTATAAGTTTAAGTATTCAAAAGATCTTTCGTGTTATAGCCAGTTTAAACTATCCTTTCAGGAACCCTTTACATTGATCTACCCTTGCTGATTTCAAGTTTCTATCGAATGTATATCTATTGTGCAGCACTGTGCACCCTCAACACCGGCTTGATGGAGAGACTTTTTGCCGTGTTTTTCGTTCGTGACTACGAATATATTGAGAGATTATGGATTCAATGGTACCTTCAGATCTGGGGAACTAGCGTTTGTATCGCTTGCTCGGTTGGATACACGTTTTGTGAGTTTATAAGAGATGGGAATGCTTTGAAGAACAATGAGCAAGAGAAGGGACGCTAACCGCAATATTATAGCTTGACCATTGAGTCTGCAAGCTAGGCTAGGCCAGAGTCCGCCCAGAAGCCAAGTTCAGGAGCTATGTGTGAGCTAACAACCTTGACAGCTAAATATCCTTTTCAATTCACAATGGTTTAGTTGGAACGCTGGAGTCCGGGCTTTTCTTCAAGATCATGCTCATCGTCCTCTTATCCTTAATCGTCATCGCGTGCCTAGTTTGAGTCTTTTTCGATTTACAACCAAAACCCCGATTCCAGATCTTTATCTTTATTTCCTATCTGAATGCAAACTTTTTAAAATTACTTCTAACCACTTTTGACATCAAGAAATACACGCTGAGTCGACGATTTCAATTGGAGGAGAATGTCAAAGCTTTGCTGGTAAATGAAGAAGCTAATAGTTCAAAGGAAAGCAAATTTAGTTGATCAAACAAATGTTCCTCAGTCACGGGGTTTATTGCTTTTTTGCGATGGGCTTATTCGCGACTCCATATGTGATTTTTGAGTTAAACACACCCGAGTTGGAGCTGTCGATTGCGCTTTTTGAGACCACAATGAGTCTGTGGGTTTAATTTGAAAGAAAACTCCAAAAAGTCTAAATAGTTTTTCTAAAATTAAGCAATTCCAGATATCCAGTCTATTTCATGCCCTACATTCTATATTTGACGCCTTCTTGGAGAGAGAAAACTGCCATTTATCTGAAGTCAATTCTGAAAATGAAGCCACATATACGGAGAAGAGTTCAACGAACGAAATCGACGAGCAACGAGCAGGAAACGAAAATCTATTTTGATCAACTTAGGGACTTATGGGCTTGATTAAAAAAACATTACAAGATAAAGAATTAAACGGAATATTATGCATCGACTCTCAACTGCCTTTTCTGAAATGTGTTCACTTTTGAAAACACCGTAGTATTGTCTCTAGGTAGAGAGTTCTTTAACACATTCGTGGCGACGGCATTTTGGGTGTACAATCGCGTAGTCGCTAACTGTTTTACTAATAAAGTCGACTCTCGATACAACGATTTTGAAATTCTAAAACACGCTCTTGATTTCTGCGTAGCTACCCAGCCAAACGCAATCGCTGGCCGTTCAGGACAGCCACGCAAGAAATCTGGATCACGTTTTAGAATCGTTAAATCGAAATTTTTGGTCCTGAACGAATCATTAAATCGAGAGTCGACTGTAATCTGGCGAGAATTCAAAAATAAACCAAACTACTTACTATAGTCATTCGATAGCCATGAATCTCCTCTTGAAAACTAGTACAGAGTTACCGAGAACTATTTATAAATAACAAAACTTCAAACAAAACAAATAACTCCTTCAAAACTTGAGTTGACACAAAAATAATCGTCGTTAGTACGATCCGTATCGTCGTAAATGTGTTAATCTGCCCATTTTTGGTTTTCTTTACGAACCCTCATGTAATCAGATCACGTGGATCAAAAACTAGAACCAAAAGATTACGGTAGCTTTTTTTTTCGAAAGCTTATACTGGGTGACCAGAAAATGCATGAAATTTCGTAAACATTCATTTTTTTACGCGCCACGGACGTTAATTCTTCAAATTAACTTTAAATTCGGAAAATTCGCATATTTTTACCCTAGGAAATTTATTTTTCTAAACCGAAATTAACTTTGAACAACTTTTGCGATACGATTCTTTTAAAGGGTGTCACGGCTTTGCTCTGACATTTTGTCAATTTTTAACTCCGATTTCCTCACCGTGAAATCGCTTGAAAATCTCTTCTTTTTAAGTCATTTCTTTGGTTTATGGCTTATTTTGTAGAAAAATCTTAACTCTCCAAAATAGCATTCAACACTTTTCTAAAAAGAACTTATGCAAAGATTTTTCTGACTTCAACTATCAAAAGGGTCGACGACCAACAGAAGCCTGCGAAATAAATGCTTTTTTTTGTTTGATTGCAAAGTTAATGACTTTTATTATGACATTTTTATAGTAAAGAATGTTTTTTAATAAGTTGAATTTCATTAATATAGCTTTGTAACCTATGGAAAATATCTTTAGCACAAGTTTCGAATGACCGCTGCACAAAAATTTCACGTATTCTCTGGTGACCCTGTAGTTAGCCAAGAAGGACAGTTTTAATTGAGAAGGGGGATCAATTATGACCAATTCGATCATAGCAAAGGTGAAAAAGTTACCGTAACTTGCGGTATTCTGTAAAATACAGTAAACGGTAATCGTTTCTGGATACATTACCGTACTTTGGGTACGGAATGTTTGAATGTTATTTTCTAGATAATAACGGAAATATGGTTTTGCTCAGTTTGGAGTCTTAATTTGATTTAAGAAAAAAATATTTTAAAGCATTTTAAAGCACTTTTCTTTTATCGATTTCATAAAAAACTTCAAGCTTTGTGAAAATTTATGATTACTGGTGAATTTTGAGTGTTCATGATAAGTCCAAAAAGCACCTGCTTTTTGTGATTCTTGTGAACATGAGAGAATCGATCTCACAAAAAAAACACTAATAACTTTCAGAAATGCTCTATAAAATCGATAACTATTCAATTGTGCTCTTTGGGATTTACGATCAAAAAGTGATTGAAAAAAATGAGGATCTGACGAAATGGTTTTGGGTGGCGCTGACTCTCGAGGTGTTGGGAATGATGCTCTCGTGCGGGTCTGGATTGGTAAGTGCAAAAAAATGACATTGTTTTTAATCGCAAAGAAATTTACATTCATCGTAAATCTAAACAATTGTATGTATTTATTTTCTATGACTTTCAAAGCTTGCTTGATCACTGAGAAACTTTGTATAACTATAAGCAATTGATCTGTGTTGTTTAAAGCTTGTTTTTGTCAAGGAAAACGCTGTACTCTTGTCTATAGCTTTCCCCATTCAAAGAATCAGATCAAAAGTAGATTGATTGAACAAAAAAGACGGAATTACGATAGTTTCTAAAGTTGGCACGTTTTAGAAACTAGGTACATTGTTTAAGTAGTACATTCCAATGCTTAAAAATGGTCTATAGGGTCTCACAAAAGAGATTAAACTTTGAGAAATACAACGGATAAGTTTAACATATAGATGTTATGTCCGTTTACGAACTAACGTTCAGATAGGATCCGGACGTCCGTTTACGAACTAAATTTATCTTTAGATCGGATTCGGATGTCCGTTTACGAATTAAACTTAAATGCTAGTTTGATGTTAATGGAACTGCGCCATCTAAACAATCTGAACAGTCATCATGTTCCAAAAATGATGTCCAAATCCGAACACGATCTCCATTATATTAGGCACCTATATTTTCCTAGGCTATGACTACGCACCTTAGAGACCTGATTCTTCTAGACTATTGACTGATTTTTTCAGCTCCGGCCTTCTATTCTCCTAGGGATTCTTCTATTCTTCTTCTATTCTCCCAGATCGTGTTCGGATTCAGACGCCATGTTCGGAACATGACGATTGTTCGGGTTTGGACGTAACAGTTCCAATAGCATCAAATTAGCATTTAAGTTTAATTCGTAAATGGACGTCCGAATCCGATCCGATCTGAACGTTAGTTTGTAAACGGACATATATATGGCACTTATATAGTTCTTGTTCGTACAGTGTCAATTTTAGTGCTCTTGGCATCACAGTCTACTTAAATAACTATGTAGAATGAATAAAATAAGAGTCTAGAATGTGAAAAGAAGTGAAACTAACAAAATCAAAATCAAATTATTAAAATTTTTGACAAAAGATAGAAAAAACATTGCTGAATTTTTGCAACGATGCTTTCTTCGAAAAATATATTTTTATAAAGAAACTGAAATGCCTTTTTGATGCAAATTGTATTTTTAGAAGATTTTAAATAGATTTTGCATGATTTCAAATAAAATCACTTAACTAAAGAGCTAGAAGTCGATTTTGAATAAAAAATGGGATGCGGCTCAAGTTTTACGCGCAGTGCATATAGCACTTTCATAATAGTATACAATTTCATAATAAAGTATACAAAAAGATCGACACGCTTTCCATTTACAGCTAATGATAAAAATCGTTCGAAACTCATCAACTTTTCACAAGAATTTGCGGCACATTCTCATCATTTTCATCACCGAGTACCTGATATCTGAAATGTTTCGCATTGTGCTCATGGGATATCAATTTGGATACCTCAGTATTACAGGTAAATCATCTAGGAATTGATAGAAAAGTTATTAGGGTGAGTATCAGGCTTTAATTAAAGAACTTGAAGAAAACTGTCTTCTTTTCAAATATTTCTCTCCAATCTGCTGTCAGACTTTCTGGAAAAAGTTGAAAATCTAGGAAACGTCTACATCGATTCACCGCTTCTCATCATCAGTCTCTACCGGATTTACATTTATTGCGCTGCCCTCTCGATGCTAGCAAACGCCTTGATGGAACGGACCTTTGCCGTTTTCTTCTTCAGGGATTACGAGTACATTGAGAGATCATGGATTCAATGGTTTATTCAAGGCACTGTCACAACTGGTTGTGCTTTCTCCGGTGTTGGATATACATTTTGTGGGTGATTTTTAGGTTCCACTCTTAGGTCTCTGGAGTTTACAAAGTTAGAGTTTACAGTTAGAGTTAGAGTTAGAGTTTACAAAGAGTTAGTGTTTACAAAGATTACAAATTTAAGACGATTTGTAAAATGAAAGGGAAATGGTAAGTCGAAAATGATGACAGGAATTTGAATTGCAAAGAAATTGCAATCGCCTAAAAGGAAAAAAAAGGATACTGTTGTGAGCAACCTTGACAATAAAAGATCAAAACTTAAATCAAATCTCAACCATTTAGATGGAACTCAACAACCGCAGCTCTTCTTCGAGATTATCTGCGCCATTTTACTATCGTTGATTGTTATTGGATCTTTAGTGAGTTTTTCATCAAAAAATCATCAACTCCTCCTTTTAGGCATTCCTGTTCATTTCGCACTTAAATGCTAGCTTTCTCAAATTACTTCTAACCACTTTTGACATCAAGAAATACACGCTGAGTCGACGATTTCAATTAGAGGAGAATGTCAAAGCTTTGCTGGTTTATGAAATGGAAAATTTTTTTAAAATCAAAATTTAGCTTATCAAACGAATCGTTTTGAGTCACGGTCTTTATGCGATTTTTGGTGTTTTATTGTTTGCGGGTCCATATGTGATTTTTGAGTTGAATACACCCGAGTTGGAGCTGTCGATTGCGTTTTTTGAGACATCGGCCAGTTTGTGCGTTTCAGAATTCTCAGCAAAATGATAGGAAATAAGAGACATTGAGTATTAGCGTAGCTCATTGGTAAAGTGTTCCGTCGGTAAGCGGGAGGTGATCGTTTCGAACGTTTCGAACTAAAAGAACCATAAAAGAGCCTGCTGTGTTCAACAAGACGAACTCAAAATTTCTAAGTTTAAAAGCTCAAGTAGCGAAAGAAAAACTAAAGTTGCACGAATATTTGAGTGAAATTTGAGTGAAAAGCTCATAACAAGTCATTCGAGACTTGAGAGAACCATTACTTTGTAGGTCTATGAATTTAGCTTTATATACTTACCGTAAATACTGTAATAGTACCCCACCCACCTCGTACAGTCGCGTAGTCGCAAAAGTTTTTTAGTATTTCATTTTTTTCAAAGCGCCCGTACTTTCAAAAACTTCATCTTTGGTAACAAAAAATAGCTGAAATTCAGGGCTATTTTTTGATACATAAGTGCGCATTGTAGCATAAACCAGTGTCGAGAAAAACGCGTCCAAAGCTAGACTACGCAACACTCCGCACCGTCATTATGGGCGGTGGGGTTCAATTACAGTATTTACGGTAGGTAATTCATTATCCAAATTGAAATATTCAAATTCAGATACCCCGTCTATTTCTTTCCCTATATGATGTACTTGGTGCCACAGTGGCGAGATGAAATGATCGCTGATTTGAAAGCTCTTGGTCGCACGAAACACCGAGTGCAAAAAAGATTTTACTCGAACCAACCAACAAGCAAAGAAGAGACAAATATCTATTTTGATCAATTGAAAGTCTCGTGGGCTTGACGTGAATAAAATATACAATTTTGTCTCATAAAAGTTTATGGAAAAGAAAGACAAAGGGGGCGAGGGAAGGGGGGCGTGAGGGGCGGAGCATCAGATCGGAAAAACTATTCTTAAAGATTACACAGACTCCTCCATTACTGTTCATAGAGAAGCGTGCTAACCTCCCACCTCCGACCTCTAGGGGGAAATTCCATTTGGATATTTTCTAAATGCAAAGACATTAGAAAAAGAGTTTGAAATGATTTCAACTCAAAATAGTTCATCGATTTTAATGTGAACTCAAATTAAAAATGCAAAGAAAGCTCCAAAGAACAATGCAAAACCCACAAAAACACGCAAGAGTTAATCAAGAACTATTATTTAGAATCAAGTTGACACCATTAGAAGGAAAAATAAAAGATAAATAATGAAAAGACCAGGGGAGGATTCGAACCCAAGCCAAAAACCTTCATAAGTTCCGTAGGCTAGCACACTATCCGCTAGACTATCCAAGCCGCTGAAAAGTCTCTTTGTAGCATAAAGAGTCCGAAATTTAAGGGAATTTCCTATGCCAGATTCCTTGCGATTTCGTGAGCGTTTGGAGCTAGTTTTTACAGATTCAGAATCAGCGCAACCGATTCCATGAGATGCACTCGGTCACGAAGCGATTCTCAACTTCGACCTGGTGTCATTTCCATGTAAGGTATAAAGATTTAGATTAGGTTACGGTGGCACTTTAACCTAAAAGAATGCTTCTTATAGCTTCTTAAAAGAATGCTTCTTCTTCTCATTACCGTAGTTCTCTTCTCAAACTTTCCTTTTGCAAACATGACAATAAGAAAAGAAAGAAAATGAGAAAAATTTGTCTGATTTTAATTGGAATCATTTGCACCTGTGCCTCGAGAAATTTCACTGTGAAAAAACGGAACGAATTTTTGCGAACTCTCACATTTCATTCGCAAACTACTATTTAAAATGATCTACAACATCTCCGGCTTCTCGATTTTACTTTTCGGAATCTATGACGAGAAAATCATCAACGCTAAGCCGAACTTTTACTTGATCAATGCGATTTTTCTTCTTTTAGAAATAATAGGCCTCATTTTCTCGTTAACTTTTGAAGTGGTAAGACTTTAATTTACACTTTTACGCCAAAATCTTTCCTAGATGGCTGCCAAAATCATTCATAAATCGACGATTTTCAATCGGAATTTCATAACTCCATTATGGCTATTCATTGTACAACATATCATTTCGCAAGTTGACCGCATAATCCTGATACTCTATCAGTATAATGTGATTCGGATAACAGGTTCAGATTAGATTTTTTAAAAAAAAGCTTCTTGCAAAGCTTGATAGTGCTTTGTGCCTAAAATCGAAACGTATCCTTTTTGGTGCACTCAAAAGTGCTTCAGAGAAGGGGATTTTTCAGAAGGATCAGGGTTATTCTTAGTAATTAAGTCAACTTTCCTAAGCTATTTGTAATCCAAACCAAAGTAGTCAATGCTGTAATTTTGGTCTGAAAGCCAAGTCAAACCATTTAAAGCTGATAGCCAGGCAATATCTTGGGCCGATTATAACATACTCGGTAACTCTTTACAATTCCAGGCAATATTTACTACGATTTCCCTCTCCTCATCTTCTCATCATACCGTTTTTATGTCTACTGTGCAGCAGTGGTCTTATTGAGTAACATGTTATTTGAGCGAGCTTTGGCCATCTTTTTCATTCGTGACTATGAGTGGAAGCGAAGGCGGTGGATTATATGGGCTCTGCACACAAATTCGATTGTTGTTCAATCGTTTTCTGTACTTATGTACACGTTAAGTGAGTCATTTGATATTTTGAGATAAACTAACTCTTAAACAGTATACAAAACGGATACCGTTTTGAATCACATTAATTTTAAGACACAATTAGCATACTGTATCTTTGGTACTGTAGATTGCGTACTGTAGATTGGGTACTGTAGATTGGGTACTCTAGATTGGGTACTCTGGATTGGGTACTGTAGATTGGGTACTCTGGATTGAGTACTGTAGATTGGGTACTGTAGATTGGGTACTCTGGATTGAGTACTGTAGATTGGGTACTGTAGATTGGGTACTGTAGATTGCGGACTGTAAAATACAACCAGGGGTACAACTAGTAGTAAGATATTAGCTTGGAATCTTGTAAGATAAAACCAGGGGTACAACTAGGGTACTGTAGCTTCGGGTACTGTGAAATGACCTTCTAGTAGGATTACAGTAGGATTACAATTACAAAACTCTAATCAAATTTGAGTGGCCTGCTACTACAACGGATTTATCTTCAAAGTGATGTACCCCTACATGCTCGTTTGGCTCTCAAACGCATTTTGGGTAAAAAAGAAATAAGTCCAAAGCCTCAAAATAACAGTTTTCAGGTCTTTTTATTCATTTCGCATTTGAACAAACGCTTTCTGGCGTTTATTTTGAAAACGTTCGATTTAAATAAGTACACGCTGAGTCGCCGATTTCAACTCGAGGAAAATGTGAAAGCGCTGAGTGTTCGTTTTTCCGTTAAGCTTCGATGTTTTCTTTTTTTAGTTTATCCGTAAAATTTTCATTCTACATTGTGTCTTTTGCTTGATGGCGATGAATGTCTTTGCTTTACCGCATTTAATTTTCGAGATGGGGACGCCGGAGATGGAGCTATGCATCGCGGCATTGGAGGCTACGCAGGGAATGTGCGTTCAAAAAAGGGAAACTATGAAAAAAACTAGGCAATGTATCTGTAACCTATAAGTTGTTAAAATACGATGCTAAAGCTGACGTTTAGAAATTCAAAAAGCAATCCTTTTTGATTTGTGCAAAAATTGATTTCCAAGCGTCTAGAGCGATCAACAAAAATGCAAAAAGCTTACGGTGCTTGGGATTTGCGAAGCTGTCTCCTATCCAAGTAGTAAGCGAGCCAAACGATGCTTAACTTAACAGATCGGACGGGATGCCGTGTTTTCAACGTGGTATGGTCGTAAGCGAGTGGCTGTGAGAGACAGCTGAAATAGGCGATCGCGAAAACGAGAGAGCATCAGCCCTCGCAGAGACGCGAGACAATTGTGTGTACTTTTGGTGTGTCTCGTAGGGAAAAGCGGCATCTGGCACACGGCTCGTCCTCATAGGGCGACAGAGACCCGAGTTTTCGGTTTAACTACCCAAGTTTGAGGTTAGCATTAACCCCCGAGACCTTCCAAGAGTGTCTCGAAAAAATTTTGGAACGCGTCCCGTTTGTGGGGGATGCACAAGTAAAATGAGTTGGTTCTGATGCTTTATTTCATTTTTCTCGTGATTTCTCAAGAAATGTGTCGACTTTGATCTTTCATCACTTTCAGTGAAAAGACACGCAATCACACGAGAAAGCGTCCAAAATTGATTTCCCTGAATCAAAACGAGTTTTTAGCTCTTGTAAACTTTTATTTGACAAAAAAAAGCTTAAATCAAAATTTTCCCCAAAAAACCCGGGCCAGTCCGGGGATTGAACCCGGGACCTCTCGCACCCTAAGCGAGACTACTAGACCACTAGACCAACTGGCCGTGAGTGTCGTGGTTAAAATCGGGCTAATGTTTTGAGCGCTGTGGGGAAAAGCCGGTTTTGGTGTGAAGGGTTTGTCGATCGGAGAAAGAAAGACATTACATAAAAAGTACAAGCTTTGAAGAGACGGAGATAGTCAAAGCAGAGCTACCAATGATCCGCAAAAGAAAGACTTCAACCATTTTTCAGTTACGGTATCACGATGAACACAATGATGATCTACATGGTGCCGTCATGGCGAAAAAAACTAAAATCGTACAAAACCATGTGGGTACGAGGTAAGCCAAATACGAAATCGCCGACAATCGAGCAACGACAAATGTCGGCCACCGAAGAGGCGAATATCTATTTCATGGAATTGGGCAAAATGTGGGCATGAATAAAGATTTAATGGATAATTATAGCCACGAGAACAAGCCAGAGAGCAAGAGAGCTTTCTGGTGCACTCACAAGAGAATTAAGTGCACTAGAAACGGTTTATTGAAAATGCTGAACACAAAGTACACCCCAAAGAAGAAATTTGTGCTTTGGGACACAGGGTCAACGCCAGTTATCTGGCACACGGAGATCTTCATTCACTAGTTCCCGGTTCAGTTACTCGCTACGTTCATTCTGATTTAGTTTCCTAAAACTCTAAATGTTCAGAATTCAAAGGATTTGGGACTTTTCGTATTCAAATTTTGAAAGTCAATGCAAAGCGTAACTAAAAGTGCCGAAAACCGATCTATTAACTGAAATCTATTGTACTAAAACAAATACAGTAGACACGATAAGTTAGATAATGCTTAAAATTCCTAACGTAAAGTGTACTTACTTGTACTGTGGTTCTTGATGATCCAGATTCCAGACAAATCAAGCATTCAAACAAATTACTGTTGACTTTTCATCGGGTAATTACAAAACAATTTTCTTTTTGATAAAAAATTCAGCCTGCTCATTAGCAAGTACACCTTTTTGTCATGCAACAAACCTCAAAAAGAATAATTTACCAAAACTCACAAGTTATTTCTTGGATTTTGTTAGATTAATCGTTTTGAGCAAGAGCGTTTCTAAGGAGAAAAATGTGTGACAACCAAGCAGAAAAACACCTGGAATCGGAAACACTTGTTTTGAATTTAATTTTAATATTCTAACAATTTTTTCAATCAATTTCCCTTGATAAATGTTGTACAATTTGTCCGGTTTCCCGATTGTTCTTTTCGGGATCTACGATGTGAATCTGATAGCCACGAGAATTGACCTGTTCATTGTGTATCGATTGTTGCTGGTGCTGGAGATGATTGGGATCTTCTATGCGCTAACTGTTGGCTTGGTGAGAGTTTTAGAGTTAGAAAGTTTCTTTTCAAAATTCCCTAGATCGCTTGCAAAATCATCTACGAATCAAATGTCTTTCATCACAATTTCACGAATGTTCTTGTGGTTTTCCTCGTGGAACACGCACTGTCACAAGTTGGACGAGGGATTCTGATGGGATATCAATATGGAGTGTTTAAGATCACTGGTGTGATTCGATGAAAACACAGATCAAAGAAAATAACCGTATTTTCTCTTAATAGAAGAGCACCCCCGTGATCCCTCGAAATCGGGTCTTTTTAGAACTTCTTTTTAGGTAGAATGGTAGGTTTGGGGTCCAGATTTAAGCATTTTAGCATTGGCAGTAAAATTGGAAACATGATTTTTGAAAAGATTTCATTTTGGGAGGGACTACCTGGATTTTCTTTGAAGATTCGCTATGGGGTCCGGGTAAAAAAATAATTTTACTTTTAAACATGTTTTTCGTACGTTTTATGCCAATAGCTATCGTTTAAAATAGTTTTTTTAAATTTTAAACTTTTTTATTTATTTGGGGGACCCTTATCTACTTTTTTGATCGGTCGATTTTGAGGGGTTGAAAAATAGAAGAGCATGCACTTCCATTAGAGAAATTACAGAAAGTTGAATGGTTAGATATACAGGGTGTTCAATATTTATAGGGACCAATAGATCACTAGGTTTAAAGCTCATTTTGTACAAATCTAATGTTAAAAAAAGAAAAAAACATATCAAACAGATATACTTTAACGAGTTTAAGTTACTTTTTTCAAAACAATTCCCTTTCGCATTGTTGCTTGTCTAGAAACTCTCGTGGAAAGCGAAACATCGAGTTTGTCATAAACTTATGTTAAGTTTTCTGGAAAGACTGAATTAAAACTGAAATATGACTCCAAAATTTTAAATCCCCATGAACATTTTTTAATGTCGATGGCAGCATGGGAGCGTAATTTCGAATGTTTTAATTGCCAAAAATGGCAGCCTGCCGGAGAGAAATCAACTTGTACTCGTTGGAGGGGTTGTAAAGTCAGTCGGATATCTTCTTTAATAGATATGGAGTCTTTTAATAGATAAATGCAGCCAAGATTAAGGGCTTTAATATCTTATATAACACTTAACACATTAGGGTTAAAATTGGCTCTTGGGAGCTACCAAAAAGAAGTCGCCGTAAATACTGAACACCCTGTAGGGTTTAAAGTGGGTACAAGGTTAAATAGAATAGCTGACATGTTTAAATATAATATCTGACAAATCGAAATATCAAATCTTTGTCCTAAGAAAGGAAGAGTCAAGTTTTAAGTCATATTTCAGGCGAAATCTGCTCGGATCTTCCCCTCTTTTTCCTCTCACTATTCCGTTTCTTTGTCTACGCGGCGGCGCTGTTAATCTTGGGAAATATGGTGATCGAACGCTCGATGGCTATCTTTTTCATCAAGGACTATGAATCAGTGGGCAGACCATGGCTTCAGTGGTTCATCCACATAAATACAACAGCAACTCAACTTTCGGCTGTGTTTATCTATTCTATTGGCAAGTTTTTAAATGATCTTTTACTCGTTAATTTTAAGCCACTTGTTTATTGAATGGTTTGATCTTCAAGTACCTTGTTGCGATGACTTTTCTCTGGATCATTTCGACACTACCTGTAAATATTCAAATTCAATATGCAAATTTGAAATTCTAGGCATTTCTCTTTGTCTCACATCTAAACGCAAAGTTTCTACGCTTCCTATTGAGCACTTTTGATCTAAAGATCTACACATTAAGTCGAAGATTCCAATTGGAAGAGAATCAAAAGGCGTTAATGGTTGGACTTTGTTTAAGATAAAGATAAAAAGATATTCAGTTGATGAAAAATATCTTCATCGGTCATTTTGTTTTCTGTTTCTTTGGGTTAAGCATTTTTGCGATCCCACGTTTGATTTTTTCGCATGGAAGCCCGGAAATGGAACTGTCCATTGGGGCCCTAGAGGCCGCTCAGAGTGTGTAAGTTGTAAATGATTTTTCAAATTTAAATTTGACACTGATCACTTAACGCTGACTACCGTATTTCCGCTATCCAAATAAGCTTCCACACCCAGTAGAGGCCAAAAATTTCTTGTTGTTGGAGCACTTGTTTCTTTTTCAGCATTCAAGTCTTAAAAAACTGGAAACTTTCAATGTATTGCATCACTGCAGCTATCCAGGAATTGAAACAACAGTCAGCTAACGATTTTTAAAATCTTTAACTCAAAAACGCTTTTTGGCTTGTAATACTTAAGGAATAGTGGCAACTCAAAGTGGCCCATCTTATAGAATCGGCTATGGGAATCTCGAATCCGCTTTTAGTTTTTGGTATGGAAGGTTTACGATACAGTTTCCCAGCCGATATGGCAGCTATAGAGCAGTAGTAAAGTGTCTGGCTCCAGCGGTCAATTCTTTTTCCTTCAGTTCTTCGGTTAGGTCCAGCACACTATCCACTAGACATGAGAAAATTCGAACCCGAACCTAATTCCACCGTCCTTCCATTGCTCTGAAATTTTGTCTACAGATAGAAATCGACATTTTCAGCTTGTAGACAAAATTTCAGCACAATTAGCCCAGAAACGGCCGAAAAAACAAAGTTTGAATTAGGTTCGGGTTGAAATTTTCTCATGTCGACTATCCACTAGGCAGCTTTTCGGATTTCGTCCAAAACAAAATAAAGGAAAATTTATGGCAAACTTCTATGCCAAATTTCTCGTGTTTGCGAGACGTTCCGCAAAATTATGCCAGCAAAAAATGTTCCCCATGCCCGATTCTATAAGATGGAGGAGATCTCGAATCGAAAGGACACTTTGAGTTGCCACTATTCCCTAGTTATTGAGACAAAATACTCGGTTAGAAATAAAAAAATTTGAAAAATCTGATCCATTTAGCTTTTGATCAGTCTTAAATCCGATGATCTATTCGGATTTGCCAAATTTCCAACTCTAGACTTAACCCTTAGCCAAGCTTTTTCAAAGGCAACCACTCCATTACAATATTTCAGTTATGGAATGGTGTTTATCTCTTCGCTTATTTACATGGTGCCAAGTTGGAGGAACCATTTTTGCCGTTATTTCAAAAGATATCAAAAGGATGAATTGATTGTGATCAAAAAGCTAAAAAGAGAGAGAATCATTTCAACGAGTGATGTTGGGAATTTCTATTTTCAAGAGTTGAATCGAGTATGGAGTGGATAAGGAAAACGAGATCGTCAAAGTACAACAAGTGAACGCAACGCTGAAAAGTTATTGTCATTTTTAAACAGTTATTGACGCAAGGCTGGAATAAATTCATTATGTCTCTTCAGATTTTTAGAAGTACGATAGTTTTTCGTTAACTTGAGATGGAGTTGGGAATGGCCTCTTTGGAACTAACGGGCTGTGTAATGCATTACACAGCCCGTGACTTCTACACTGAACAGCTCAAAGCTGTTTAATGTTGTTCAAAGCTCAAAATTTGCATTTATGTTCCCATTTCTACAAATTCAGCACCTGAAAAATGAATTTTTTTGGTGGAATTTTTTGTTGGAATTTCTTGATATCCAAAAAAATACGATTCTCTTTTTTAAAGTTGAGCCACAGTTGCCCGGACTACAATCAAAATTCGAATAGCATCAAAAAAAAGAAATCATTGCGCTTTTTTTCAAATATAACGAATATGCATTAAAAAGTTCACGCAAAAGCACCTGCAATGAGAAGAATTTGAATGAAGGAACTCACATGAGAACTTAAGATTTTTAAGTTTAAAACTTATTTCATCGCTTTCGCTGGGATTAGCTATGATCTATGAAAACTTTTCCATCATCATTCCCCTATTTGGGATCTGTGACTCGGAAATGTTCTCACACAAGCCTAGACTTTATGCAGTTTATTGCTTCTTTTTGTTTTTAGAGCTACTCGGATTTATCTACACGTTCACTTTTTCGATTGTGAGTATTTGTAGCTTTTTGCATTGTACGGTAAACGGACAACTTTTCCGAGGGCTCGATCAGGCGCTTTAAAACAGATTCTAGCCAGGGTTGACAAAAATAGCCAAAAGCTTAGGCTAGCCAAGCCAAAGCCAATGGCTTTCACTAGAATTTCAGGTTTACCATTGGATTTGGTTAGATTTTGCTTGAAATCTTGGCTTTAGCTTGGCCTTGGCTTGAAATTTGGCCCCTTTGCCAAGCCTTGTCCCAGCTAACCTAATCGTCGTTGATAGTTGCGTTTCTATCTCCAAATTGGTTGGCGTCGTAGTAATCTTTGCCACTATTGTATTTATTCTAATAGAAGCAACAATTCAGACTCCTCGAAATCTTCCGAAATCTTGGCTTTAGAGCCCTTTGTGATCCCTCTGTGATATGGATAGATCTATTAGGTTGATGCATAAGTCTTTTCGTTCCTTTTCGTCTGCCGTTTCAAGCCAACAAATGCACCAATTAAACTACGGTTGATTTCATTAGAAAAAGCAATTATTTTTCTGCAAAATAACATTAAAACGGGTTTAAAAATATTTAATGCCTGGATTTTCTTGAGAGTATGAAGTCGGGTAGTCAAAAAGGGCTAACTCGATGATGCGGTTTAGACACCTTAGCTAAAGAAAACCTATCTTCGTGTCAATAGATAAAAGATAGAGAAAAAAAACGTTTGATATTTCGCCAAAATTTCAGAGAAATTCATTCAGCCAATTTTTCCGTAGAGTTTTTTATAGATTTTTACGAAAAAGGCGTTTTTCACTCTCGAATTTGCTTGAAAGTGAACCGAAATTCATTTAAAAAGATGCAAATTGAACAAAAAAACACTTTTTTTATAGAGCAAACTATAGATTAATTCGTGAATTTGTTACTTTTTAACAGAAGTACGAAAAAAACGAAAAGACTTATGCATCAACCTAATAGAACAAAAACTTCCTAATTGAATAGAAGCACATGTGCTTCTATTAGAGCTATTATGATACTATTGGATCTAAGCCGTACTATTGGATTTAAGCTTTTAAAGTTCTAGAGTAGGTAGGTGAACTAATGAACTGCTTACACACCTTTTCAAAGCGTAAATCTTACTTGAAGAATTTTAGGAAAAGCTAGAGGATAAAGGCAAGATAAAATCTTAAAAATTCTAACGTAACATAACGAGATTTTCTATTAGAATTGGTACTAACTGGATTACGGTTTATGGTAGCTGAAGAAAGCACAAAAAATATTTCATGATTTGATCAAAATCTTCTTCAGCTGGCCGTGAAAATCATCTACGAATCAAATGAGTTTAATCGAAATTTGATCAACTCTTTGGCACTTTTTCTGTGTCAGCAAATCGTTTCTCAAATTGGGCGATTGATCTTATTGATTTATCAGAGTGGAGTGCTGGGGATTACAGGTGAAAAGTCGAGTAAATCTTTTATATCAAAAACAACTCTAGGCAATAGACTGGGACTTTACACTATCCTAGACAAAAGACTAGCAATTTTACAGTACCCATTCCCCAGGTAATCCTCTCAACGACCTCCCCGTTCTCATTCTCTGTTCGTATCGCTTATGTGCTATGATCGCTTGTATTGCCTTGATTCAAACCGTAATCCTGGAAAGGGCAATCGCGATTCTTTACATTCGGGACTATGAATCGTTGAAGAGACCCTGGATCGAGTGGTGCCTTCACACGGTCACTTTCTTGGTTCAACTCGGTGGCTTATCGATTTTCTGCTATTGTAAGTTTTTTTTAAAATACACATTGACGACCGCACATCTTTTGCGAAACCAAAAAACTTGGTCATTCATTTTGCAATTTGGACCAGCAAACAAAATGAATGACCAAAAATTTGCACTTTGCAGTTTGCAATCCCAGAAATTTGGAGCTTAAAAAACTCTAGAATTCGAATAAATTTAATCCAATAAACCATATAGTTTATTTTCAAAGTTTTAATTATTTTAATTTTATTTTATACGCTAATTTCTAGTAGTTAACTTTTCGATAAATGTATCCTAGACGTTCACGGATCAGCTTTTCCTTTAGAATTGTTTTGAGCCTTCAAAAATTATTGGTTACCTTAGAAAAACGCGATCTTTTGAGCCGGTTTACCCGAATCCCGACCCCATATCTGAGGTAACACCAGCTTTTTCCGGTTTTTACGAAAAACCACACAACTTCCTAATAAAACTAACGTCGAATTTGGAAAGAGGACCCAAAATTACATGCTCTTGCAAATTTTGAGCTTATTTGGTCCAGTCATTCACGAGAAAGAGCCGTGACTCAGCATTGAATCACGTGAACGTCTATTTGTGAAAAGTTAAGGGTTTAAATTTAAGAAATGACAATTGTCTCATTAAGCTCGATCAAAAATTAAGCCGAATCAGAGGTGTTTTAGAAGTAAATTTTCTAGGCTAGGTCAGAAACTAGGTTCTGGCTTGTCCTGACCTGGCTTTGCTGCGTTTGTTGCAGCTTTGTTGCAAAAATTGGGGCCAATCAACCCTGGACCTGGCCTGGCTTGCAAATTTGATAGAGTAAACGGTCAGTGATAGTTTAGAGTCATTTTTAGGTTTCTCCTTCCTCTCGGATTTAACCTACAAAATCATCTACCCGCTTCCTCCTTCTAGCCGGCACATTGGCCTTTCTTGTGAGCTCTGGAAAATGGTTGACAATGACTTTTTCTAGGCCTTTCACGGTGTCACTCATTTGCATCACAAATGGATCGACTTTTTGCTGAAAAAATTCGAGCTTGAAAAGTATACGCTAAGTAGCCGATATCAATTGGAAGAAAATAGGAGAGCGCTGGTGGTCAGTTGAAATAGTTTGTGGTAAAAAAAATAGCTGACCAATGTAGTAAAGTTGAAAAATCATTTGCCAAACCAAAAAAATCAATGCTTTCAGCTGATCAAAAAAATCTTCTTTGCTCAATGTTGCTTTGGTGTCATTGCGGCCACGCTTTTCTCGGTTCCGCATTTCTTTTTCGAGGATAGCACTGCTGAGATGGAGTTGGGAATGGCCTCTTTGGATGCATTGCACAGCCCGTTAGTTCAACATTAAATAATTACCATTTTGCATAGTGCGACAAAATTGGAATGGAATGGAAAACAAAAAATGGAAAAGTTCAGAAGAGATACTAAAACTTCTAACATTCAGATATGTTATGATTTTTCACTCAACTTTCATCTACATTGTGCCTTCGTGGCGGGAAAAGTTCAAGGAAAATCTGCGAAGGATTTTCAAGAGACAAAAAGTCGATGTAAAGAAGAAAGCGATTTTTGTTGGAGTGGATCATATTTTGCAAAATGAGGAGGGAAATGTATATTTTGATGAATTGCGAAAAATGTGGGCATAGATAAACTGTATAAAAGTTTCACAAAACATAATTGTTAGCAAGAAATTTTCATCTAAATCACCTCTACAACACAGGCAACTTCGATAAAATAAACCATAGGCAAGTGAAACTTGACCAACCTGTATTTTCTATTCGGAAGTCTTCTGCGCACGATCGCCCAAATCAAAAACGAGATGCTGGCCACGGAGAAGATGGCGGCTGTGATTGAAAAAGCTGGAGCAACAGAGAGAATGATTGAGCTTGACTAAAAAAAGACACATTTGCAACGGCAGCATTTTAGACGTACAGTCGCGTAGTTTTTAACTGTTTTACTAATAATTTAGTGAGAATTCAAAGATAAACTAAACTATTATACAGGATGGTTCAAAATTATGGCAACTCCTGGCAAAGTAGCTGGCAAATGCCTAACTTATTTCAAAAGTGTCAAGTGTTATATAGAGAATTGAAGCCGTTAATCTTGGCTTCATTTATCTATTAGAAACTCCAGAATCGGAGTTATGCAGCTTATTTTATAAGATTTCGAATGAGCTCTAGCCTCTCTCTGTCGAAAATCATCAAAAATAGAAATATAATCATCAAAATATAGAGAAAATCATTAAAAATAGCACTTTCCAGAGAGAGGCCGACTAGAGCTCATTCGAAATCTTATAAAATAAGCTGCATAACTCCGATTCTGGAGTTTCTAATAGATAAATGAAGCCAAGATTAACGGCTTCAATACTCTATATAACACTTGACACTTTTGAAATAAGTTAGGCATTTGCAAGCTACTTTGCCAGAAGTTGCCATAATTTTGAACCATTCTGTAGTCATCCAATAGCCCTGAATCTTCTCTTAAAAAGTAGCACAAAGTTATCGAGAAATTTCTGCAAAATCAATAACAAAAGATCTTAAAAACTTGAGTTGACACCAAAAGTCATCGTCATTAGTACAGCCCATCGGTGGATCGTGAACTTTAAGTCAACTTTAGAGCTATTGTAACTGTTTTATTTACGATACTTCAAAACGGATAGGGATTTTTGTGAGTTCTCATCCATTCTTTATTCAAACCTCTTCAATTTGTTTCCTTCTTTCATATGTTTCATGTAGCTGTTCAGTGTCAAATTGGCCTTTACATCGGGCGACGATCTCATCGTCGATTTCCATCTTTTTGTTCACTTCAAATTTGTTTAAGAGGTTAAACGAGCATTTCTTGGAAAGAAAAGATTTCGATTTGCAATTTGCACAAAAATTCAAAGTTACAGTACTGGACAATATCATATTTGAAAAAAGTATGAAGAAGTTAAGTCCTGTAAATCAATTGATTTCAAAGATCGTCGCTTTCGCGCGTCTGTAACTCCTTTGTCTTTGAGTTTAAACTATTAGTGTTATACATTTTCTGAAAGCTCCTTTCAAGGGTTATACAATGGTAATATTAATATTTAGAAATACGGTCAAGACAAGGGAGTTACAGACGCGCGAAAGTGACGATCGTTTTTCAAATATGATATTTCATTGTCCAGTAGTGTACCGTATTTTCTCTAATAGTAGTGCACGCTGAGCGTCGCCTAAATTCCTCGAAATCTCGAGAACCGCTTATCAGAACCTATCGATGTGGGGTCGGAAAATGTAGCTGACGATGAGATCTTGTGGGGGATTTGAGTGTTGAGCTTCTGGGAAAACTTTGGAAGCCGTAAAATAGTCACCAATTCGGTTCGCCGGGGTGCACCACTATTAGAGAAAATACGGTAAAGACAAGGGAGTTATAGACGCGCGAAAGTGACGATCGTTTTTCAAATATGCTATTTCATTGTCCAGTAGTGTATATGAAAAGTTAGGCATAAAACAAAACTTGGATCAGGTTTAAACAAAAGGCTAAGTCGAATTTTTAAAGAAAGAAAATAGATTAACCTCTTTTTCAAAAGCATACCGAAAGATAGAGACTGGAAAAGAAAATAAAAAGTTTAACTATAAGTCTAGATTAAGAAGTTAAGTCCTGTAAATCAATTGATTTCATAAAAACGAAAAGAAAGCCGTAAGTGAAGTGTCTCAGTCTGTTTTCCCCTCAATTTCCCCTTTCTCGTACCGGGTCGTGTGCAGGCCCTCAGGCCTCTTTTTTACCAAAATTTCTCTCTATTTCCTATTCTTTTTCTAGAAATTCTTCTATGATGATCTTCTTTTTTGACTTACTTATTTACCCAAAGAAAATAGCGTGCAGAAAGGAGAGATGGGGTGAGTAAACGGAAGTAAACATTACCACCACGGGCCCTACGAAAATACCTTGTAGATTACAGAAATTGAAATTTTAGCCTTGAAAACATTAGAATCTTTTTGATAACACAAAAAAAACTTTTTCCATTCTACATCTGTGTTCACAAATTTGCATAAGAGGATTGCTTTTGCCTCGGTGAAATCAATTTCGAAAACAAGTGATTTCGGTGAATTTTTGTTCAAACTTTTGCTGATTTAACTTATTTTTAGCGAGTTTTTTTTTGATAAAAAATTTGTAAAACCTGTAAGATTAGACTTTTATTCAACAAATCTAAATAATCAATTTTAACTTTTTGTTTTTTCTTCTCCCGACACCACAACAATCGATAAAATGATGAGAAAAAGGCATAGTTAGGCATAGTTTTTCTGGTGCAGTTTTTTTGCGCTGATTCGAATATCTGGGTTGCTTGGGGATGGCGTGTTAAAATTCGCAATTCGCAATTCGCTTCAGTTCCAAAGTTTGCACAGAATTTTTGAGCATGGTTTTTGATAGTCAAAGTGCAGTCAAATTTGCGTGGCCATGGATATTGAAATTGCTTTTGCGCGGCTTCGATAACGTGAGCTCGTGACTGACTGGTTAGCGTGCTTGCCTTCAATATGCTTTTGCCTCGGTGATGAAATCAATTTCGAAAACAAGTGATTTCGGTGAATTTTTCTTCAAATTTTTGCTGATTTATCTTATTTTTAGCGAGTTTTTTTTGATAAAAAATTTGTAAAACCTGTAAGATTAGACTTTTATTCAACAAATCTAAATAATCAATTTTAACTTTTATTTTTTCTTCTCCCGACACCACAACATTCGATAAAATGATGAGAAAAAGGCTTCTCGGAGTGGGGCACAAGCGATCAAATACACATACGGCATGATGAGATTGCCGACCTCGAAAGCGATGTAGTACGCGTTGAGCGCAAGATCTTCTGAAAACTTCTCAAGCTCTTTCCCCATTTTTTTTATTCAATTTGCGGTTATTTTGAGTTCACCATTGAGTTTACACAAATCTAATTTAACCCTAGAATTATTGGGTTGGTGAATTGAAAACTGCGGGCTATTGTCATATGTAACAGTTTGAGCACTTTCTTCAAAAGAAACCCATTTTGGTGTCAATGGAAAAGTTGTAGAGAATCAAAAATCAAGCTTATATCCAAATTTTCAGAACGATTCAAAAACTGGTTTTACAAATTTTCACAAAACTTGCATTTTAAGCGAAACTACTAAGTGTATCTTTTTGGAAATTTGGCTATAAGCCTAATTTTTGATTCTCTACAACTTTTCTATTGAGAAAGTGCTCAAACCGGGACATCTCCTGTCCTCGATTTTTGAGTCTCACACTTGTCTCACACACAAACCAAAATCCTACTACGAAAGAGGAATCCGCAAATTGCCTTTAAAATGGGCAGAAGTCGTCAATAATAATGGAAATTATTTGGAATGAATTGATGGTTTTATGTTGAAGAAATTTTAGTTCAAAGTCCGGCAGTTTTCAATTCACCAACCCAATAATTGTATCTCAAGTTATCGCTTAAAAACTTGAGATAATAAAAGAAATCTATAAAAAAAAAGTCAATAATAGTTTACTAATAGATAGATAAAAGATTTTCAATTGTATCTTTTGTAAATAAAGAAAGACAATCACTTTTAAAAAGTCATTTCAAGTGTTTTTTCTGTTCCTAGTGTGCAGTTTATCGGTGTTATAGTTGTTGGGAAAAGTTTATCAAAAACCTGTAAGGTATTTAAACAAACTTAATCAAAAATCTGGCAAGATTTGAAGAAAGATTCAATACTGGATTGAGGATGATTTGAAAGCAAGAAAAGTTCAGTTATAAATGTAAATTGATCGTAAAAGATTTGAATTTGAATTTGCGCATTTAAAATGAAACAAGAAATCAGTTTAGGAAACTTACCTACCGTAAATACTGTAATAGTACCCCACCCCCATAATGACGGTGCGGAGTGTTGCGTAGTCTAGTTTTGAACGAGTTTTTCTCGACACTGGTTTATGCTACGATGCGCGTTTAGGTATCAAAAAATAGCCCTGAATTTCAGCTATTTTTTGATACCAAAGTATAGTTTTTTGAAAGTACGGGTGCTTTGCAAAAAATGAAATACTAAAAAACTTTTGCGACTACGCGACTGTACGAGGGGGGTGAGGTACTATTACAGTATTTACGGTATGGATTTGTGCATTTAAAATGAAACAAGAAATCGTACGCTTTAGGAAATTTACCTGAGGAATTTGCGCATTTAAAATCAAAGAAGTATTGGGTTGGTGGAAAAGTCCTTCTAAAACTTTTAGAAAAGAGATATCTCAAAACGGTTTTTACCAATCGATCCGTCTTGAATTCAGCTTTAGGATGAGCTATAAAACGTCAAAATTCGACAAATTTAAGGTACTCTCCCAAAAAATCCGAAAGGACTTTTCCACCAACCCAATAAATTCACCTATGAGCCCTCGCTGCTTAAAAAGAGGAAAAAGTATGGATAAAGTCCTTCCACCTGAGAATCAAATAAGATTTTGAAATTCTTTGCTCTGTTCTCGAAAATCTTTGGCTTGTTAAGTTTAAAGTTCTGATAGTGAGTGGCAGTGGAGTAACATCGCGAGAATCTCGCGACAACCTCTTTCTCGATCACCGCATCCTCCACCCGTACAAACGCCTCATTTCTCTCAATCGTTTCCATCACGAAACCCATCAAATCGCTTTGATTTCGGAAATCGCAAATCGCAAATAAACATTCGCCTGGGTTTCTTGTCGGAATTCCGTTACACAAAAGATTTCTGATCTCGAGCTTGCATGGATCGGTCTCTTCTTTAACAAACCGGCTTAAATGCACTCTTTTCACCCTATTCCCTCCGAAAATCGCCCAAAATCCCCGGAATGGATTGTTGATACGTAAGATTCTCAAATGCTCAATCATCAATTTCATTTTCGCAGTCATATAGGCGAATTCTAGCTCAGTGCACGAAAATGTAGGGTCGAAATCGATTGCGAATTCTCCAGTGACTTTTGGGTGAATGTATTCAAATAAAGTTTTGAATTCGTGAAAATCCTCAATCGATACAGATGAATTCAGAAATGTATCGACAAAATGAAGATTTAAGCGAAATCTTCGAAAATCCCAATCTCTAGCAAATTGCAAATTTACCCCAAAATTTGCCGTTTTAAAACGCCGAATCGACTCGTTTTCTTTGAGGAAATTCGCGAGAATCTCGAAACCGTACTTGTAATTTTCAAGACATTTCCTCGGGATTTCCACCCGCCAACCAATATAGAAATGGGCACGACTTCGGAAATAGCCCAAACAGATCGTTTGTTTCTCGAAAACTCGAACATCTCTTCTCTCGAAAATCTCCAATGAAACCTCTTCCGTTGACGCTTTTCTCAATGATATCGTATCTAATCGCTTTTTGTAAAATGGACCAAAATTCTTGGCGTAGAAACGCAAAGATTTTGTGACTCGAAGGAATTTGAAAGTCGTTTCGATATTTGTGCGGAGGAGAGATAAAGCCTGAAGCTCTTGAGGTAAATAGGGGAAGTTGAAGAGTTGAGGGGACATTTCAGAAGAAGTAGAGATGGAATCTGTTTGAAATTTAGAACTATAGAAATTAGAAAATACAAACGTAGAATGATAGAGATTTTAGGTGATATGCTATTGGTAGAGTGATTGGGAGAGTTAGGGCATCAAAAGGTCAACGGCGGCCTACAGACTACGGAAATTTCCATAAGATAGCCAAACAATGATCAAGAGAGTCAAATAAATGAGCTCAGTATTTTTGTTCTCTTTGTCTTTGTCAATCATTTTCGATTCGCTCACTATCAGTGCAAAGAGCTAATTTGGTAGTTTTAGCTGGAGAATCACAGAAGAAAAATGGTGGGTTGAGTTTGGGAAACTAACAAAGGAAAGGCACGAACTCAAGGTGAGCTTTTTTTGGAGACCTAGTACAAACATCAAGATTTAAGTTGACAATTCTCAACTCGAAACTCTCAACTAGAACAAGAACTTTTCTGGTTTTTAACTCAAAAGCAAAGCAAAGTTAGCTCTTCCAAAGCAAAGCTTTTGATCTCGGCTTTGGGATTTCTTACTAGAGAAAGGCACAAACTTTTGTCTATACACTCAGTACACTTTATAGAATCGGACATGAGGAAACCGAATCTGAAATCAAAATCTCCCAAATCTCCTGCCGTGTAAAACTTCCAGCAAAAATTTGTCATCAAAACAGATACTTTAAAAGGCTTCTTCCTAGGGTAGGAAACGGGCGTTGGTGGCCTAGTGGATAACGCATTAGTCTTCCGCCTACATGATCAACATTCGGTCCCGGCCCGGCTTTTTGTTTTTCTTTTGGACCAGCTTCTAGCATTTTGTAGCTGATGGATGCATGATGGCGGCTTGCAAAGTAGGAATTGGTCCTTCAAGTTCAAGTTGATACACAATATGCTTTCCCTAGTAAGAATCAAAAAAAAAAAGTCTCAAAATTGTCTAGGAAGTTTGGGCAAACAGAATAAGATTCCTTGAAAGATTACTGTACTTTATAAACGGTGAAAAGTGCGGATGCTAGATTTACGCTTAAAATATGATTTGATCAAGTTTTTGAAGGCTGCTTTTGAATGGGAAATATTTCAAATTTTAGTGCTTTTCAAAACTTCGAACGGTAAGCTTTTGAACTATTTTGTTTCAGTTTTTCTTAAGCGTAAAGCTACTCTTCATATTTCATATTTGCTTATTGTTCTTTTTCCCCTTTCTTCCGTTTCATTTCTCCATTACTCAAATGTAATTGAATACTCACGTTGAACAGGCGCGAAATTCATTTCACTCGCCCAATACAATGTATACGAGAGAATCACGATGAAATCGATTTGTTGATCGAGAATTGACACCATAGCAAAGGTGAGCTCGATCTCGAGGCGCTCGAGAGTGGCTGAACAAAAAAATTGGTATTTTTAAGAGTAGTCAAGTTTTGTTCAAGGAAAACAGGTTTATTACAAAGAAACAACGATAAAACTAATCCAGACAAGTTGTGCAAGTTCTCTAAAATCTGTCCTTGCTACCTAGTCGAGAAAAGTGCCAACGTAATCACAAACCACTGTGTTTCTCCTCTCGTCTTTGTCTATGAAAGTGTCCATTTGTGACTCGATTAGCGGTACTTTTTATGCATAAGTGCTCGATAGTGACAATCGATGGGACTTTTTTCTCTGAAAGTTTTTAAGATTAAACATTCATCTGATTTCTAAAGGTATCTAGTTTTTAAATTTTAAAGCCTATAAAAGAACGAGCTGGCGGGTACAATAGTGTACTTTTCTTAATAGTAAACACCACTCCTGAGACAGTGAAATGATTTCAAAATACTTTGAATTCACCAAAAAAGATCACCAAGAAGAATGGATGTTTCCATTGTTCACTCAAAAGTTTACTTAAACTATTTCTAATGCAATTTTTTCATCTTAAGCTTTCTAAACTCGATTTGCCAACTCACGCAGATGGTCCGCACTCCTGCGAAGCACTCTTTTATATTGTTTCCACATCATCACCAATGTGAACGTGTTGAGGGCACAGAGAGTCGGTGCATAAACAATTGTCTCGAAAATCATATCGATTGAGTCATAAATTGCTCCCACATTATGGTCCTTATAGTCGAGAAGCTCAATGTGACCATCTGAAAAGTTTTTTGGCTTGCTAGATTCATTTTGCTCAACCCCACTCACCAATGAAATAACTCCCACAACACTCGGTGAACATTGGCATAACGGCGCTCAATGGTATCACCCAAGTAATCATTACGAGCATCCATTTGAAGAAACGATTACAAGTCTGAAAAGAAACTAAATGAGCTACTTGAAAGCTTGCCTCGTTTTTCAAAATCACAGAAAAGAAGATAAACATTAGATTCATTAAGTTACCAAAAATTTTGCAAGTTTTCAGATTTCATTTGAATTCAAAGAATCGAAGAGATGTTTTGAAAAAAAAAATATTAGCTAAATGGTACAATAGTTAGAAAAAAGCCCGGCTTGAAGGCCTGAGGTCAAATCCAGACATTTTCTTGTCTGACTTCTGGCTTCTGCCATTTTTGTGAAGCAGACGAAGCCATTTCCTCACCCAATGATAGGTTTTCATCGATAGAGCCAACACAGCTCGATCACACGCCAACAGCAATCCAGAGATGACGATCGTCCAACTGTTGTACCATTCAGCCGCGTTGATCCAATTTGCTAGATCATCCTGAAAAGGTTTTCCAAGTGCTCAGGTTGCAGCGAAATTTGGGGCAAAAATTGATCCCAAAAATTTGGGCATAGTGACGCCCAAAACGACGAAGCTAGCTCAACAGAACAAAATCTCCTTTTTTTTATTTTAAAATCAATTCACTCTTGTCGTTGTGTAATTCGTGATCCTCTCATCCTCATAATCCACCAGTAAAGTGGGCAAATAAGTGGCTGAAACGCGAACGAAAACCGACAAAATATCGGCCATATTTTGCGAGAAAAAGAGCTAAAAGTAAATTTTAAAATATTAAATTCAAAAACCAAATCACCTCATCGAAAGTCGGTTGTCGAAGTTTTGGCGTAAGCAAAATAATGAGCAGTACCCAGATGTGAATGGTGACCGAGATGATATTCACGATGCATCTAAAAACAAGCGCAAATTCGAGTGCAAACAAATTACACAAAGCTTTAGGGTTTTAGGATCGCTGTGACTTTGTGCCTCAAATGCACACCTTCTTGTGCACTCAATGCTACATTTTTCTTATGAAAACCCACCTCAAATGGTTTTGGTTTAGCAGAATGTCGGATTTGTAGGAAAAACGACGAAATTTGAGATAAACAATAATCCGGGATTTGGGCATAGCAAAGCTCAAAACAGCAGAACCGGGTCAGTCACTCAGCGCTGTTCCCTGTCAAAAGAGAACACCTATCTATCGGGGGCGTGTGCCAGATCGCGAGCGATTACGCGGCTGCACAAAGGCCACACTTTACACAGTGATTTTTCTTTTCTTCTGTAAACGATTCCAAAATGAGATTTAATGTTCAAAATTTGTGCCCTGGGGTTTTCAGGGTCATACAAACTATCGAGAGAGTTTATTTTAACCATTTGTCTCAAGAAAGGTTCTAAGAGAATCGACGTGACATTGGGTTTTGCATATCATACCTTTTCACAATGAAAAAAACCTAGATTTCTGAGAAGAATCAAAAATAGCTTTTCGAGCAACCTCGATTTAATGTCATAAGGAAAATGAGGAAACCAGTGCGCCAGAAAGGAAATGTTTGCATTTTTTCAAATTCACCTGAAAAAAACATTATAATTCATAGGAATAGGTCGGATTTGAAATCTTTGAACAATCAAAAGATTTCGTTTTAAAAAGGGGTTTTATTGAAATTCGATACCCACACAATGCACTCAAAGATTTTTGAGATTCCAGACGATTACTTGTTTTAACGAATGAACCCAAAAAAGAAAAAAGATAAAAGCAAAGAGCATTCAAATTTACATTCAAAAATAACATGAAATTAGCATTTAGGGGAAAATTGAACAGAACAGAAACAGAAAATGTGAAAATTTCTTCGATTTTTCGGGATGGAGGACGGATCTTCTTTAAGTTTTAAAATCTTCTTTTTTAAGATCTTCTTCTTTAAGATCTTCTTTTAGTTCTAGGTGTAAGTTTTCATTTGAAAACCTGCATTTATCGGGCTCTTCATTTAATGTTTTTCTGAAACGTGGAGCATTTGGAAAACTACCGTAATCTCTCCCTCACCTTTTGTCTGTTTTACTTAATTTTGATATCATTCTATCAGAAATCAAACGGTGAATTCAATGGAATCAAAATTAAGGAGAACGGGTAAAATCGTAAGAAAGAATTACGATAGTTTTTCCGAACTGTCTACCCCTTTCATGTGAAATAAAGATTTTTGAGTACTGTAGCCTTTTAAACTCTTTTAGTTTTTAGTTGACTTTTTTAGTTTTTGCGAAAGAAGACATTATTAAGATTGTGAACAATTAGAAGATTAATATTTTATCCAAAAAACTTTATTTCAACGCCCCACTGGAAAACCTAAAACTGGATTCGGAATCAGCGTAAAAAGTTCTATCAGGTACACTAGGTCTCTTTCTGAAAAGCCACCTTGATCTGATGCCTTTTCCTAGGTACCCGCTCTAAAGACTGCTCCAACTACCGTAATCTTTAGTTCTTTCCGCTGGGCTACGGTAATGGGTAACGGATTACGGTAACCGGGCTACGGTTGGGCACAAAGTAGATCCTGGTACAATCTCACGATTCTCTTGAGACTTTTCTTGGGATAAAGGGTTAATCAACTCCGCCAATAGGTTCTACGACTCTGAAAATCCCCAAAGCAAATTTGAAGTAAAGATCTCTGCTTTTCCAAGGCCATCCCATCAATTCAAATCTTTTCAAGAACATTTAAAACAAAACCAAGGTCAATTTGCTAAAAAAATATCAATTTCTGATCTGTTTTCCGAAAAAATTTTCATTTTGAGTGTGAGGAAGGAGAAATTGGGGATTCCGCTTTTCCTTTTCGAAAACCGATCGATCTAGTGTGCGTACTTGACGTCAATAAAATGTGGAACAGAAAAGAAAAGAGAGGAAAAGTGATGTGATTTTTCTCATTTTTATTTTCTTGTCCTTTTCGTTGATATGTTCAGGAAATTTGAAGATTTATTTCAAAATCTACGAGATATTTCAAAACGACTGCAGTTTTCCGAAGCGTTATCCGTACATCCCGTACATGTATGGGTTCATGCCTAAAAAAACCCAATTAATAACGAAGTTTTGCTGTAATTTGTGCAAAAATTGGTTAACGCAGCCCATTTGGCGCTCTCAATTACCACCTTTTTTTGCTATTTCAAAAGTTAATTAATACTTATTTGTGTTTAAATAGAAATTTTTGGTTATTGAAAGTGCTATTAAAGTTAAGATTAAGTTAAGTGCACCAGAAAGGGTGTGGTTAGCTTTTTGTTGAGCACAAAGAATGCATCGTCATTCACTTACCGTACATCCCATATCCATATCCGGGATACATGCTCATCATCCCCATTCGCATACCAAGCAAACCCATCCGGGCCATGCTGAATTGGGAAATGAATCAGACAACTTCAGATTCGAATAGGAGAACTTGTTACTTTTTGGTTTAAGAAGCTTTGTCAGTATTTAGAAAACATGACTTACTATAGGCAAGTGCAAGTAGGAAGATTTTTGCTTACACTATTAGACTTTCACTGACACTTACACTTACACTGTACACGAATGGAACAAGAGGATACCTACCTACTGTGTCTGTAGCACTTGTAAGCTGCATGCAGATTGGCTTACACTATTAGACATGTACACAACTGGGCCATGCCAGATCAACTGTGATGTCGTACATGTTGGTTACTGTACATGGTGTACCCTTGATCCTTGTTGGGCTTATCCGCTACTGGCTTTAACCCTGTGGGCTACACAACAGTTGAACGCGCCAGTCCTTTTATGGGTTGGGGATGGGAATACAAAACATGGTCGGCGCCGGGACTCGAACCCGTGACCTCTCACTTACCGGGCGAACGCTCTACCAATCAGCTGCACCGATGCGTATTCCGTTGCCACCAGGGTAGAGCTTTATGCTTAGCTCAGCTCAACGACTACAGAAGAAATCCAACGAAACACTCACCCAAAGCCGCCGCCGAACGGCCGATATCCCCATCCAAATGGTCGACCGAATCCACCGCCCCATCCACCACCCCATCGTCTTCCCCATCCACCCCATCTTCTTCCACCGAAACGTCCCCAGCCACCGAATCGTCGGAAACCGCCGCGACGACCCCAGCCACCGCGGAAACCGCCACGCCAGCCTGAAATCCGACTTGATTGGTGTGACAGTGATTGCTGAATACCTACTAGTCTATATTTTTCCAGTTACCTATACTATATCTATATGTGCGTACTAAAGGCTCCTATGTGCTATTCTTGATTGCACACCCCCGAAACGGCGACCTCCCCATCCACGACGACCCCAACCACCGAAACGACGCAATCCACCAAAGCCGCGGCCACGACCAAAGCCGCGGCCACGACCAAGGCCCCGGCCACGGGCTAAATTTGGGTATTCAGGCCAATCCAGCTACAGTACAAACTCGCAAGAATTTTAGATTTTAGTATTAATGCTCAAATTCTCGACAACATTCATAACTTCCACATTCAGTGATTGAATGTTAAGGCTGGGCTGGTATTAAACCCGAAACCTCCTTATCCGGCTACACTGACTCAGATCTTAAGGATGAATTTATGAAGTGAAATGCAAACCGTACAGTTCACCAGCAATAGATCAAAGCTACATTTCTTTGGATATGAGTCGACTTTTCTTTCAGCTTTCAATAAACCTTTTAAAACAACCTTCACTTTAAAACAAACCTTCACTCACGTCGATTAAAGAAACAAGAATAATTAGTATCAAAAAAATAGCCGCGAATCTCATTGTTGAAATTGAGTGAGATTTTCATTCAACACTTTGTTTGAGACAGTCTAAATTTTGCCCACTTTTGTACTATTTAAAACGAGTTTCAAGAAAGGAGGAGTGAGACTGAAAATCAAAACATGTGAGTGAGTGAAAATTTTGATTTTCTTTCTCTGTGTTTCTTTTAATTATACGAAAATCGTAAATAGGATATTTTTGCGCACTTTGTCTATTCGTTTTGTGTTTTAGTGATCTATTAAGTGAAAATATTTATAGACACAATCATTAAAAGTTGAAATGTTTTTGACTAGTGATGGAATCGCGTTGGGAATTCTTTATCCGAGCAGCATCCCAAGTCCATTCATCATGCCCATGCCCATTCCGCCCATGCCCATCCCACCCATGCCCATTCCATACGGTCGATAACCCATACCGCCCATACCGCCCCATCTGAAAATAAAAGTAATTGATTGAATTGATTGATCAATTGGACTCCTTTTGTTAAAGATGATAAAAGATGCGCTTGGACTACCGTAACCTTTTCTGAATACTAGCGCACTACTATGCACCACTATAATACTAGCGCGCTACTCTGAATACTACTATGCTACCGCAATCGCAGAAAAGCACCGTAATCTGAGAGCTAACGTCTGTCTGTCTGTGCATTAATCTGTGATTGTGGGACATTTGATCTGACCGCCCTCTTTGCCATTGGCAATCCAACTTTGAGCTCAAATTTTTTGGTATTGGGCTGTTCAATTTAAATAGTTTTTGTACCAATCGACAGAAAAAGACTTGGCGCATCTAATAATACCAAGAATATTGAAATTAGACCGCTCAACACCAAGATATTTGAGCTCAAAGTTAGATTGCCAATAGTAAAAGGGCGCGGATCAAATGTCCGATAATCTTGATCTGCAGTTTGCATTTATTCAAGTCTTAATCAACGGCTGAAAACTAAGCAAAGCTCAGTTTAGTTGCTCTTAGAAAAAAAGCGCACATTTTAGAAAACATTTCAAGTGGGGAAACAAGCTAATCTATCTTGGATACATTCGAATACAAGCGGGTCTACTATTGGCAAATTAAGCTCGAAGCTAGGACTAACAACACACAAACCAAGCAACTATTTAGCAATATTGTTATTGAACATTACCCCTCTGCAAAGCTTGCCAATCTCCTTGCTCTCTCACCTGTTCATCCCCATGCCTCCCCATCGACCCATTCCACCACCCCATCGACCCATGCCTCCTCCCCATCGGCCCATGCCTCCTCCCCAGCGTCCCATTCCACCACCCCATCGTCGGCCACCCCATTGAGCTGAAAATTTATTATATATAATAGATCAGTGTCTGTCTGTCTGTCCAATACTCCGTTCGTCTTTACAGCCTTTTTCTCAGCCGTCTTTGGGCCAAAAAAAACTGAAATTTTTCTAAAGACAAAATATAATATAGTTATGCCATTTGAAATAAAAAATTAAAAAGGGACACTACGGGGAGTCGAACCCGGATTGTGTGGGCCGTAGACAAGCACGCTACTGTGCTACAGTGACGAAGTCTAGGCGCGACAAAAACCTGTGAAAAGCCTGGTAAAAATCCGGCGTTACGTGGGCTTTTCGACTGATTGAGTCTATAATTCTTGAAATTTGAGTTAAGTCGGCTACTGCTTGATAACTTCCGGAGTGCGAGCTCTAATAGAAAGCTCAAGTTCGACTGAGAATAAGTTTGCAACAGTCGTCTTTCTTCTGTGAATAGACTTGCACTCTTGTCATAATATTGATAATCTTATATAGTCTTCTTATCTTATCTTATCTTATATATTCATAGTCAGTTCAGCTATTCTGGAATAAAAATATTCAGCCAACAAGGCAAGATTGAAACTATTGCTTTGCAAATTTCCCAAGACGCACCTTCCGAAGCAACAACGAGCAGCACCAATATCAAAAGTGCGCGGACGAGCATTCTTCAGTAAAAAGAGTAGCTTCAATGAAAGTCAAGCTCTCAAGTAAATGGGAGTAAAATTTGTGAAACTTTTCAACTGCCCTGTCAGCCGAAACGAGCGCTTTTCTACTCTCACAAAATTTCATCGTTTTTTGTTTTCACGAGATTTTTGCGGAGACATCTCTCTTTTCCCCGTTTTCTTTTGATCCATGAAATTTCGCTCAAGTTCGTACCTTTGGATTTTTCCACTCAATCTTTCCCCCCTTCCCCAAATTTGACAATTTTGATGCCGATCTTATTGTTGGGGATTTGAAAATGGGGTTATTGTGTGCAAAAGTGAGGATTTTGGTTCGTAAACAGATTCACGGAAAAAGAGTTTGACTAAGAGACTTTTTTATCAACAAAGAATACAACCTGTGATGGATTTTCTCAAAGAACACTATCCAGCATTTCGAAATAGTTGTATAAAGTGTAATCACTTCAAAACAAATGGTATCAATTTCAGTACTTGTACTTGATGTACTTTGACGTGCTTGTACTATGATAACCACTTGTCAGAATTGACGTTGATGCCCTTAATGACCTCAATAGGGCAAAGTGCAGAGAAAAATGCGCACCACAGTTCTTTACTTTATTTTCGACTTTACTCTACTTTTGTAGTGAAAGTGCTATAAGAATCTTATAAGACGTTAAATGCAATTTACCTGATGTATTAGGTTAGTCGATAAGTCTTTAGACACTTCATTTCAAAAGCTATTTAGAAAGAACCAATTCACCGATTTCCCTACGGTTTACTTCATTAGAAAGGTCTACTATTTTTCTACAAAATAGCGTCAAATCTTATAAAAATGTTTTGTCTTTAGATTTTTATGAGAGCGCGAAGTCGGGTAGGCAAAAAACAACCCGAAGGCGTCAACCCGAAGATGCCATTTAGGCACTTTGGTCCACAGAAACCTATGTTGATGCCAATAGAAAAATGGTAGAGCACAAAAGGTTAAGTATATTGTCAAATTTTCAGGATAATCTTTTCAGCCGATTCCTTTATAGAGCTTTTTATCGAATTTTACGAAAAATGAGTTTTTGCACTTGAATTTGCTTCGCAATGGATTCAAAAAAGAAAAAAAAGATCAAAAAGTTAACATTTTCTAGGTCAATCGGTGAACTTTTCATTTATAAACGCTAGTATAAAAAAGTAATAAAGACTTATCGGCTAACTTAAACGATTTACCGGACTTGGCCTAGAACTGGTTGGAACATTGGGAAAACCCTGACGGACTGGGGCAGAAAAGAAATGGGATTTGCATCTTTGACAACAATTGAAAACATCAATAAAACTTAAAAGTGCTTATAAACAAAAGAATACAACGAATTTGACACTTTGACAAGTTGACAAGTGACTTTTCGGTCCAGAAGTCAATTAGTTCAAATCTCTGGTCTAGCTGGTCCTGGTCGTGGTCCTGGTCTAGCTTTTGTGCATCATGTGCATTTCAACAAGTAGCAAATCACTTTATTTGAGACACAAAAATTTAAACAATTTTGAGATCATTCTTTTTTTTTTGTGTTTTCTTCTTTAACGTCCCCACATTGGATTCATGCCGCCACCTAAAAAGTTCAAATTTTCGATAAAATCTTTGATAATAGATACGATTTGACATTTCGGGTTTTTTTCTCTTCTTGATATCAGCTCTTGAAAATCTCAGAGTTCAAATTTCGTCGAATGATCTAATCAAGTACTTTTTAAATCCTTAAAATCTATAATAACATTTGAGCACTTGAATAGTACATAGATTCGGATGGTTGCTCTAAATTGTGACCCAATTAGTCAATCTTACAGTAACCCAAGAAGCTTGTATCTTGGATGCAAAAATCACTGTAACTTTAACTAGTTTATAGATAGAAAATACAAAAATCTATAAACATTAAGATTTTCTACCGTAATCGTAACAGAAACTTAAATATTAGCAATGAAAAGATCTTTAAGAGCAAGCTACGAAGATCTAGCTTGAATTTCGAGCGCCACCAGACAGAGTTGGCGTTCGGAAAAGTTAGAAAACATAAAAAACACTCGATAATTCTCAGTCAAAATTTCACAGTACATAACTTTAATGTAAATAGAATAAAATTTTGTGATCACTGACCGTACATGCCTCCATACCCATACGGATTGTATCCCATTCCTCCATATGGACTCATCCCTCCTCCATACATTCCTCTTCCGTACATTCCCATTCGTCCTCCCCTGTACATACCCATTCTTCCTCTTCCATACATACCCATTCTTCCTCTTCCATACATACCCCTTCTGCCTCCTCTATACATACCAATTCTTCTTCGTCTTTATAGTTTACTAGTCTCTTTTCAGGAGTAAAGATAAAAGTTATTAAAAGTTGAAAAATTTGAGCGAAATTGCACACCTCATCATGCGCATCCCAAGCCTCATCGGCATTCGCATCATACGCATCATCCCTCCACCACGACCCCAGGCTAGAATTTGGAATCTTTGCCATACAGTTTATAGAGCTTTTTTTCTACAGCCTTTATGGGGATAGTACTTTGAAAGCCTTTAATCGACTCTATCTTTATCCAAAACGGCGTTTAAATTCACTTTCTATAGGAAAGTGACAGTTTCCACGTTAAATATGAACAAAGTTCAAATATGAACAAAGTATGAACCCTTCTTATACTAGGCTTTTAAAGTACTATCTTAAAGAGTAAACTCTGGGACTTCAACGTATAATGTATCCGTTTGTAGCTCATGGATAAACGTTTCCTAAAAGGTGCGCACCGGTAAGAGCAGTTGTAATCCTAGATTTGATATCTCTTTTTTGGATGAAACAACTGAATTGTGCTTTATTTTAAACAACTCTCAAAATTGTAATGCCGGAGTACGGTAGGTTTATGCCTTACCAACAAACACCACAAGTTAAAACTTTGTTCATATTTGACGTGAAACCTATAACTTTCCTATTGAAAGTGAAGTTAAACGCCGTGTGAAAGAGTTGGATAAAGATAGAGTCGATTAAAGTTTGAAGTTGCACAAACAAACCGATTAACTAGATCAGCCAAGCCTCAGTCTCAAAAGTACTGTCTGGTTTTGTTGAGTGCTTTTTTTAGAAAACCCTAACCAGGTAGTCCTGCAGCCATAAAATTCAGACTACACTCACCTTCTGTAAAGTCAATCAAAGCCAGGAAAACAAAAGTGATGAATAAAGCTCGAAGTAACATGTTTGCTATGTGAGAAATGACTAGCGCAGTCTACAAACAAGTGTGTGAGTGTGTTTAAATTCGAAAAGAGGGGCGATCATGTGTCGAATTTCGGTGATTCGTTATCAATCTCTCACCGGTTTTCCGTTCAATTCCCTTTTTACGATTTAATTTTTCTCATTTCGATTCACATGCTTGGACGGTTGTCGCTTTGGTTTTGGATAGGATATCGGCGTTTTTCTGAGTTTCCCCTGGATCAATCTCATGTTTTGCTGGGTAATGTCTGTTGAGATTGATTCGTTGAAGAGAATTTGGCGAAATGATTGACGTTATTGGAGGAGTGACCTCTAGAGAATTGATAAGATTTGTAAATGATCATGGAAAGCGAAAACAGTTTTGGATTTTAGGGAAAACACGCGGACAGTTTGCGTTTTTCAAAAATTCGTGAAAACAAACAAAAGAGCTACCAATCTTTTTTTAGTTTAGTGCACTTGGATCTGCTTGGATTTCAATTTTAAGCCTCGGATTTCTATTCTGACATTGTTGAACTCTAAGAGTGCTCCAGAAGTTCAGTGTGCCAGTGCCAAATTCAATCAAATTAACATTAGATAGATTTGGAATTCAATTCTGAACAGTGACAATTTTTATGACCGCTAGGATTTCAGTGTGCCGAACAGCTAACGATTGCTTGATCCAAGCAAACCTGTGGCCTAATCAAGAACTAGCCTAGGAAGGTTCTTTGCTCAAGAACTAATCCGTGCTAATCTTCTGTCTCACTACAATATGCCAAGAGAGAATTTTTCAGTGTACTGAATAACATCAGCGGAAGAACAAATGATATACAGACTTATTGATTGGATATTTTTATTCGAGTATATTTTAGTTTATCATCAAAGTACGGTGACGCTACAGCCAATCAAGAACTGAAAGCAAGCACCAGAGAGCTGAACTCAAACAATAGTCTAAATCTAATCTAATTTCTAATGAAAATTATACCAATAAAGCTTTTCATTAACAATTTCTCCTTTTTTAGCTCACCTTTCAATCAGGCGCTGTCGGCACGGCCATTCTCACTCATCTCCTAGCGCAACAAAACGCAAAACTCAACCACCCGACCAGAATAGTTCTCAGCATTTCAGTGAGTCGGTTTTTTTTGCTCAGACAAAGTTTCGTCTCAAATGTTTGAGTTGTGGTTTAATGATGTGAGAGATGATGAAAGGAAAATGATGATTGACACATGAGAACTATGAAAGGTTTAGGTGTAAAGGATTGCTCATAGAGACATGTAAAGACAAAAAAATTTTATCGGTTTATAAAGCTTTTAACTACTCGATAAACTACTCGATAAACTATAAAGCTTTAAAGCTATAAAGTTTTTTTTTTCACATGTAAGATGTAAGAGAAAATGGATAGTGTCTTGGGTATTTTTGCCTTAAACTTAAACACGATTCAACGTGCCATTTGCGATGTCGAAAGCGGCCGTAGACAATGGTTCCTTCGTTTTTATATAGGTATTAGATCAAATTTTGTTTTCAATTATCATAATATTCATTGGATTAAGATATAATAAGTCATTAGTCTTATAGTGAGAGTTATGAATTCAATTTTGGCTTTCCTTTTTGAGTTATACTGTAAACGGAAAACTTACAGTAAAAAAAAACCTGGGAAAATCAAATCTAACCAAAATTTTGGTCTTTCAAAGTAAAATTTGTGAGTTTTAGATCGGTTTGAATTGAAAGCATGTCTAATGTGATATGCAAATTTCATTGATACCGGTATGCAAATTGAAACTACGTACGCAGTACTCGGTTATCGTAACCCCGTAACCCAGCTATGTAAGGGCAACAGTAACAGCAAGTACTAGGACAAGCGATGCAAAGAAATGAAAATCAGATCAAAAGTGATCAAGCAAAAAAAAAGGTGGAGATCGGAATTGAACCCGAGAGCAAAAATTCTAGGCTAGGCCATTGGGTCACTTTTTACCCGGCACCATAAAAACCTCTTAACCTCCAGGAGCCAATTTCCGAGTAGATGCCCAAACGCGTTTTAAACGCGTTTTGGTACTTGTCGGTTATCCACAGAGATACATCCACGGAGACTCAAATCGGTTAAGCAAGGAGCTGACAACTTGTGAGGGGCGATTATGTTCAGTGAACTATAGTGCTCGCCTGAAGTGAGCAGTCGATCAGTCGAACGAAAATCGATAACCGAGAAGACTCGGATGGAGATGCTTCACCGAGATGAGTCTTTGTCGATGCTTAACCGATTAGCCGACATGTACCCGCCTTTTTCTCGAGAATGCGGTCTCCTTGGCAAAAACTAAATACTGTATTGGATTCACTATTGCCGAATGGCTTTTGCATCTTCTTACCATTAAAACCACATACCTTCTGACCATTCCCTTGTGAGTTGGTGTTCGAAAAACGTACCCCGATTAACCTCCACTATACCCCGTGTACCTTATAGTAAAAAGAAACACTCGCCCAAAGAAGTTTCTTACTATTAATCATGTGCATGAGTTTTCTGAAAGAAATCCCTTTCTTTAGTCCTCTCAAAAGATGTGGACAAAGATGCGAAAAGATTGATGAATTTAAGAAAAAAACTCTCTTATTTAAATCAAATTTTTCTTCCGTGACCAGAATTGACCCCGATTTGTTTTTTTCTTTTCTCATTTGTCTGAGTATTAGAAAATTTTCGAGTGCTCATTTTTCACCTGTCTTCTCTCGTTTCTCTGACTTCCCCCAGATAAAAGCTCTTGACTTTGAAATATTCTATACAAATTTACATATAAAATTTACAAATCAAATCAGAAGATCAATAATGTCTTCTAGAGAGAATCAGTAAGTCTTTTTGTTTGTTCTTTTTTTGAAAATCTAAATTTCTTTTTTCGACTCTTGGCCATCCCGCTCTCAACTCCCGAAAATGTGTCGATGATCTTCAACGAGAATGACAATTTTGGGTTAATTTTCGACTCATTCCTTCATTCTTCATTCTGCTATTAGCTTTATAAATCTGAAATTGATCTTATAAATCTAAATGGCTAATAAAAAGCATTGGCTTAACCCTGTAGTTATGTAGTTATTCAAAAAGAAGCCGAACTTCAACAGAAACTATCTACGAACAGTCCGTGAAATGATTTACAACGGCCCAAATAACGCCCGTACTAGCTTCCCATAGATTTTCATAAACTACTGCTTTAAAGAAATCTTTAAACAAATTTACTATCAGTTTAGCCGGAAAGTCTTCTCCGTCTTTTCGAAATTTCCGTTTATAAATGAATAATTAGAAGATCAATGTGTGGTTTTCTTTAAATAAAAACGATTAACTATTTCATTTAGCTCATTTTTAGGCGAATTTGAGTCCGCTTTGAAGCAAATCCAAACAGGAACTCCTGTTTTTCCTAAAACCCTTTCAATAAACATAGAATGTAAACGGCTTGATGAACATTTGTCTATCTGCCTAACTTTTCATTCTCTATCTTATGTCTTTTGCCATCAAAATAGATCTCTGTGACGAAAAGTGCTCAAATCGGAACTTTGAGTTTCATCGTTTTTAACTCCCCGACTTCAGACCTTTAAAAAAAATGAACTAACGCGAGCTTTTCAGAATTTCTTAAAGGGCAATTTGTAAATAAATAATAGAACTTTCTGACAAAAAAAAACTATAGATCAATTGGTACATTATTCATTTCAAAAAGTAGATATTAAAAAGTGACCTTTAAAAAAGCGGACAAGACTTTCCGGTCAACCTAATAACAATTAGAAGCGGTCTTATTTTGCCACTTTCTAACATTCACTAACAGTAAAAAGCACGTTCTAGGCACAGGCACATATCTTGGATCTTGGAAAAGCTTACAATTAGATATGGACTAAAGAACTCTATAGCAACATTTTAAACTTATTATTCTCATTATTTGATTGCTAGTATCAGCAGATTCATGCTCATTCACATTGTGCATGGATCTAGCTCAAAAGCCAAAAGGATTCAACTCAAGGCAGCATAGCTTTGTCATTAGATTTGACAGATTTGCCCGATAAAAAATATTTTTATTAGAACTCCATTATGAAAAAGGTTGAAAATAACTAATTTAGTCAATTCGCTTGTCGCCATTTGACCGCTTTCATTCGAATCGGTTTCTGCTGTGTGCTTTTCGTTTTGTTTTTGGCTGGAGCTGGAACGATTGTGATTTTGACGAAATCGATCAAAATGGTGAACATGACTGATGGAAGAATTTTCTCTGACGAAAGCCGAGCTTTCGCGCGACTGGGACTTGTGGCTTGATTGGCGAAAAGTCTAAATTCTTTTCTTGAACATTCTTCTAAATGAAGTACGATAATTTCCTGTTTTAATAAACTTTATAATTCACCTGCAAAAAGTTTAAACAATTTCACATGCGAAGTTCAATAAGATCATTTTTTTAGTTTTAAAACACAAATACTTTTCTAGTAGTTAGTCATTTGTTTTTATGTTTAGAGAATGAGCTTGCTTAAAATGTTAATTACAGTTTCATTTGTACATTAATTTTGTGTACAGAGTGATCAAAAAGTTTCCGTACACTTTAGAAAAGAAATCCCATTTCTCAGCTAAAATCCAGATCAAAATTCGACTTACTATATAGTATTTTGAAGCTGAGATTCTGGGGAGCATTTCTGCACCTAAACCATCCTAATCAGAGCCATCTAGCTCTCCAAAGAAGCATTTTAGAGTGCTGGAGGGAAACTGTCATGGCGCTCGCCTGTTTGAGTCTGTTTTCAATTGAAGAATCCTTCAGAAAGCCTTTTTAAATTCACAGTTTTGTTTTATGGGAGAGTTCAATTGTTATTTTAAAGGAATCAAATTTCTAGTCAAAATAAAAACGTAAATCAGTCTTGTAAAACATGTGAAACTGTGTTTGTCTGATGGACTGGTTGCCTCGAATGCTGGCTTTTTTAAAGGGTTGAAAATTTCTGATTGGAGTCCTTTACTTATAGAAATGTTCATCACAATTTCAGCTTTAAAATACTATAAAACACGGGAAATTTTGTTTTAGATTTCATTTAGAAAATGAAGCATTTACGAGCATTTGCGGGAACTTTTTAATTACTTTGATATTGAATAGTTATGTAAGCGTTGCTATAGGATACTTTTCATAACCGATTGTAGAGTTTTTCGATTTAGAAGTTTCAACTGGGTTTTGCAATCTGTAGCCAGGTTCAGTTCAGGTTCAGGCAGGCTAAGGCAGAAGCAGATGGTAGACCCTAATCCAGGGTTTAGGTTTAGGTTCATGGTTTGCTTCAGGCTAGTCCGGAGCTTTGTAAATTGTTCAGAATGCCAATTTTCTTACTCAGCTTTTGTCATGACTCACGGAATAAACCCGGGAATATCGAGGAACATCATCAGGTCAGGCCAGACCAAGATTTAACCCAAAAATCAGGATTTTAGAACACTATTTGTTAAGATATTTGTTATTTACTTGTGTTACAAATGATTCGAGAACAGAAGTTTTGCAAAGAGGCTGCAAATTGCAAATAGGCAAATAGGCTGACAAGGTCTGATTGTGAGAAAATTGTCAAGTACTTTGTGCTTGTCAAACTTTGTGCTTTGCTTCGTTTCCATAAAAGACAAAAAAGAATGCCATGTAAACAACTTCAAAGTTTCAATTTTTGATAAAGTTTTATCATTTTCTTTTCTTTTTCATACACCAACACAAGTATACAGTGAAAAGGATTTCAAAGCCATTTCTTTCCGATGAGAGGATTAAATTTTGGTGATAGTAAATGCTGGCTCGTAAATTTCCGCGTCTAGTAAAAGAAAAAAAATGAGGCGGGTAATTTTTGTTTTGTCTAGCTTATCGAAAAAAGAAGCGGTCAGTCATTTTTTTTTTTGGTGAAGCGAGCCGCTTTGTGATGGGAAGTGAGTCTGGCACCGCGTTTCGAGTCGAGAAAATTCTCGATTTCTTCGTTTCAAAGTCCATTTTTCCGTCTCATTTTTGGTATAATTTTAGAATTTCCCAGCAATGTATAAAAATTGCTTTTTTATTTGAAGAAATAGTCGAATTCTGTCATACTTTTAATTCTTTTGTCAAATGAGTCGTTTGACACCGCGTTGAAGTCAAGAAAAATTTCGAATATTCTCGGCTAAGTCGTTTTAAAACTACCGTAAATACTGTAATAGTACCCCACCCCCATAATGACGATGCGGAGTGTTGCGTAGTCTAGCTTTCAACGAGTTTTTCTCGACACTGGTTTATGCTATTGGGTTGGGGAGAATGAGTCGGCGCCGAAAATGAAAAAAATGTCTAAAACTTCTATTCGACTTCGTCAAATAATATGCGTTTGATATGAGTAGAATGGTTAACTAATTCTCTACAAAATGACATTTAAAAGAAAATTCAAACAGCGCCTCCGCTCAAGAAAAAGCCATTTTTTCACAAAAACTACAAACTGTCATCTAGAAAAAACCATTGATGGGATCTTCCTGCAAATTTGGCAACTTAAGTAATTGAATGTGCTCTATCTTTTTTATATAAACACCAAAGAAGGTTTATGTGAAAGAAACTGTTCAAATGATGAGTCGGACTCTTTGCCATTTTAACCAGCTGCGTTTGGAAGTTCATAAACTCCACGAAAGAAAAGCTTTGTGGAATCTCTCAAAAGTGATTTTGTAGAGAAATAGTGGATCCTTTTGATGAAACCAAACGTATGTTTAAAGAAGGCTTTATGTGTGCAAAAAGTCCCTTTAAAGTTTGGCGCCGACTCATTCTCCCCAACCCAATACATGCGCGCTTAGGTATCAAAAAATAGCTGAAATTCAGAGCTATTTTTGGATGCCAAAGACGCATTTTTTGAAAGTAAGGGCGCTTTGAAAAAAATGAAATACTAAAAAACTTTTGCGACTACGCGACTGTACGAGGTGGATGGGCTACTATTACAGTATTTACGGTAAGTGGTTCTTCTTTTGCTAAAATTTCAATATTTTTCGTAAAATTTACAGACTTTACAGACATTTACATTTACGTAAAATTTACAGACAGTAAGCTTCTCTTGATAAACTTTCATAAAAACCATTTTTTAATCATTTCATTTCGGTAACTAGTAAAATTCAGGACTTCGTGCCGAGAAAATTCATGCTCAGTTACCTTTTTCTAAAAACTTACTACGCTGAACATACGTGCCATTTTTTTTCTAGAAGTTGTGCTCCACTTTTTTCGTTTATTTGCGCATTTGTGTGCGTTTAAGCGTTAGATAGATTTACGCGATTATACAGAGTGGGCCAAAATTACCGTTACATATAAGAAAGTCTCTGTTAAAAAAAGCAACCCAAAAGGTCGAAGATTTTCCTTCAAAATAACTTTTATTTTCTCATAACAATTCATAAAAACTATTCCTTTTCAAAAAGATCTCCAATAGCTTTTACACAGGCGTCCAAACGTCGTAGAAAAGCGTCGATCGTGGCGAGAAGGTATAGGAGATCCAGCTCTTCCCAAGCCTTTTCGAGCGCTTTTTTCAAACTATCAACAGTTTTGTGTGGTTGATAGCGTCAGCTGATAGCATTTGTGATTTATTTTTCTTGTAAGCCTTTAACTTGAGCTTGTTTTTGATGATTCTTCTAAGGGATGTTCACTCTGTATCCCCATTTTTTGTGACATTTACCGCACCGATTAGTTTGGCGTTTTCAACAGGCGATTCCTCATTTTTTTTTTGACATTTGCTGAAGTTATTACCGTTTTTCGCTTTCTTCCATTTCGCTTTCGCATTTGCGCGTGAGTGTGCATTGTAACGGTAATTTTGGCTCACCCTGTAGAATAGCTTTTAACAGCTTGTGGTAGGTTTTTTAATCCTTAGAAACAAAGCGGCAGAAAGTAGAAAACCTATTTTGATTTGAAAATAAAAAGAGAACAATCAGTCATTTAAAAATCGTAAAAAAGAGGCTTCCAGGTGAAATAGTGGGATGGCATTGTTGAATGGAGAAGAATAATTTGAAAAAGGCTTACACGGATATTAAAATTACCTAGTAATACGTTTGTAACATTCGTTTAATTTAGCAGAATTTAAAAGCGTCGATAGATGATCAAAAAGAGAAGTGTTCTAGATTCACATCAGAAGACCGATAAACAATGAAAAAGATCTTTTTGGCAAGAAAAAGATCTACTATAATAATTTCACAGTTAAACTTATATACAGAACAAATCAGCGAGTGTTTAAAAGATTTTAGAAGCAAGAAAATAGCGCCACTGCCATGAGATTTTCAGCAAGTAAACGAAAAAAGTGGAGCGCAACTTTTAGAAAAAAAAAACACGTACACCTTAGCTATTTTTTAGAAAAAGTGAATGGTAACTGAGCATGAGTCTTTTTGGCATGAAGCATAAAGCATGAGGCATCAATTTTACTATTGGGTTGGTGAATTGAAAACTGCGGGCTATTGTCATATGTGACAGTTTGAGCACTTTCTTCGAAAGAAACCCATTTTGGTGTCAATGGAAAAGTTGTAGAGAATCAAAAATCAAGCTTATATCCAAATTTTCAGAACGATTCAAAAACTTGGGTTTTCAAGAAATGCCAAATTTACGAATTTTCACAAGACTTGCATTTTAAGCGAAACTACTAAATGTATCTTTTTGGAAATTTGGCTATAAGCCTCATTTTTGATTCTCTACAACTTTTCCATTGACACCAAAATGGGTTTCTTTTGAAGAAAGTGCTCAAACTGGGCTGACAGCTGGCATCTCCAGTCCTCGATTTTTGAGTCTCACACTTGTCTCACACACAAACCAAAATCCAACTACGAAAGAGGAATCCGCAAATTGCCTGTAAAATGGGCAGAAGTCGTCAATAATAATGGAAATTATTTGGAATGAATTTATGGTTTTATGTTGAATAAATTTTAGTTCAAAGCCCGGCAGTTTTCAATTCACCAACCCAATAGTTACCCATCATTTCACCATCACTGTATCCCTCAATCCATATTGCTTAGCTTTTTAAATCCCAGAGTCCATTTTTCAGGCTCATTCCTGGTATTATTCGAATACTCTTTCAACCAAATTACATAAATCGTGAAAATATGTTTCGTTTGCTGGTTTTTATCGCATTCGGCAACTCTTTTGAAGTAAATACCGTAAATAGAACTACTCTAGTAGAACGCTCTCGTAGAGTCGCCTAGTCTAACTTCTTTTTAGAAAATATTTTTTTACTCAGCTCCTAGCTTTTACCCAACTACATTTTTGGTGACAAAAATACTAGATTTTAAGGGCTATCATTTGACACTTAAGCGAAAACTATAGCTTAAAGCAGCGCTGAGAA